TTAGGGTTTAGAAATCAACTGACTCTCGATTGAGTCATGAATAATTTCAATCACTAGATTCTATTCGATGAGCCCCCTTTTTTCTCGTTCTTTGTAACACAACCTACGGCGACGTAAAGATGTGAGACAGTTTGTAAATAATAAAACGCCTTTGTTTCATTAGGTAAGATTACTCTTACGATAATTGGGAGGTCATCCAAAATCTCTTTTGCTCCAGACAGTGACTTTTTGCAGTTTTTCTTTAGAAAGAAAAGATTAACCGCATCGCTCTATTGAGGAAAAGCATCTAATTAGCCAGCAGTGTCTGGTAGCGACTACATCAATTTTACCAATGACATGTTTTGAAATCATTAGTAATTAAACGTCTGAGTTGTTGTAAGATCACTTTTTTTTTTATCTGTCAATCTCAGTCGTCCTTTCTGCTTTAAGGCTTCATTTAACTTTCGAAAAAGAGCACACACGAGATATTGGTGCTTTGATTCACTGCCCTTCTAAGAGTGCGTCAAATCAAAAGGTGAGTAAAAGATTTTGAGCCAAAGTAAATAATTCTTTAATAAACACTGATAATTTTAAAAAGTAGACTTTACTGAAAAGTCAAGAGGAAGTAAAGAGTAAAATCGGGGGTGAGAGGAAATATATATGTTACAGAATGTTTGTAACTTTCCAGGAATCGGTTGATCTAACTTAAATGTTGCGAAGTCGACCGAATCCCGAGCTACCCGCATAGTTTAGAAACGTCCCTGTTGGTTTCTTATTGTGAATAATTAGAATGAAGAGTTTCTTTGATCGTGCAAAACAAGAAAATGTCAAAAACTAACTTTTCACTCAGTTTTCCATAAACTGTCATTAAATGTTATGAATACTAAATACCGCTTCTAATTTTTTCCGCTAAGTAAACGTTAACTTAAAACAATAGGTGTCGTAAAAAATCGTGAGCCAGAAAATATTGCCCTTTAGGACGTCATTAAAATTTAATGGATAATGTTTTCCCTTTTAAGTTTTTGTAGTCTGTTTAGACCGTTGAGAAAAAGATTATTACTATCTCCAAAAAGGTAGAAAAAAATAAGTGGTGAGTCAGAGGAGATATATATGTTACAAAGTGTTTCTAACATTTCAGGTATTGATAGTTAAATTTAAGTATTGCGAACTCGACCAAACTAGATACAATTAGAAACAACCCTGTTGGTTTCTTATCGTGAATTACCAGAATTAAGATTTTCCTTGACTGTTCCAAACATGAAGAAATGTAATAAACTAAGTTTTATTTCAGTTTTCCTCATAAAAGACATTAAATGTAATAAATACTAAATACAGCCGCCAAGATTGTCCGGCAAGTAAACTTAAAACAATAGGTGTCGAAAACAATCGTGAGCCAGAAAAAATATTGACTTTTTGGAGGTCATTAAAATCTAATGAATAATAATTGTTCTTTACAGTTTGTAGTCTTTTAGACCGTTGAGAAAAGAAGATTTCCATAGTAACACCCTTAAGGAGTAGGTTAGTATAATTTTCTGAAAGAGACCTTCATGAAACAAATCGCAAATTATCAACTGACTGATCTCATTTGACGACAAAAACGTAAATTGAAATCAAAAGAAAATTGGAGTTGACTAATCAAGACTTGTGGCATAGCTCAGAAAATCGTATGTTTTATTAGTTAAGGTCCTTAAAGAATACTGACAATTTCTAAAATTTCATAAGTAGAATATTATCAATGCTGTGAAAATGAAAATTGGTTTAAGTAAGTTTGTGATCAGTCTACCTATTTTGGTCAGCTCGTATAACTAATGTGGACTAAATGATTCTGTCACGCGGTGGAATGAAAGCTAAAAAAAATTCATCCAACAATTAACTATACGCTTTGCTAATTAACTATAATGCTTTCAAATGAAGTTCTTTGACAAGCTTTTAACCTTTTAAAGGTACACCTGGTACAACTACAAACTCGTGGCAGTACCGGTGGAAACATTGAATGGTTCTCAGACGCTTCTTAGTGTCTCTACTTACATACAATTAGCAATGGTTGTTATGGTCAAACAATGAAAGAGGAGTCTTAAATCGTCTACAAAAGTGTTACCTTTTGTCATGGAAGGATAAAGCTTTTGTTCGATAAGACTTTGATCTTAAGCTCAACTTATATTAGTTTCTTGGTCATGAGCTGAAAGAAAGGGAAAGAAACCAAACCTCGACTGGTTGTTCAGAGTTTGATCATAAAACGTAGTCAATTAACTTGTTCTTAGCTTCTCTTAACGCTTGAAAAACCAGTTAATTGCTTCCCTCTCAGTTGCACATCTTGTCAGTAGCTGTAGAAAAAACACGTTTTGTCGTTATCGTTCTATAAGTCATGTCATCGGCGTCTTATGAAACAAAGGTAAATAAAAATTGTCAGAAAAATGTTAAACAAAGAAAAAGTTTGGACCTTAACATTTTGCACCCGAACGCTAGCTCTTGCTTTAAAAATTAATGATAATGACCATTATAATTATGATGTCACCTCTTATTTGCCATCGTGTTGATGGGCTGGTTTAATTTTCAAGATAGAAGCGGTGAATTCTCGGTGAAAATTTATCTCACGCATGCGATCATAATTTTAGGAAAGAAATGCAATAAAACGCAGAACAATTAAATCGACACAAATGAGATAAAGCATAAAATCCATTAGCCAGGTACACTAGAAAAAAAAAGCACTTAAACAACCAAATATCTCTGTTAATAATTAAACATCAGCTGGTGGCCAGTCAAGTTAAGGCTATGAATATCAAGCGTAGTTTTTGCCCTTCACAAGTCTCACTCAACTTTCAGAAAGTAAACAGTATTGGACTCAAACCAAATTTTTTCATCGTAAAATTAGAGCTTTGAGTCTTGGTCTCCTAAGCAACTACTTCAAATCTAAAGGTAGGATACAAGTTTTCAAAGAAAATCGCTAATCAGGAAAAAAGCACCGCATTTTTTTAAAACTCAGTATGGCCTCTTATCAGGGGGCTATAATTTAGGGCTTAAGGAGAGAGGAGAGAGATTGATTGAAGAGTCATAATTTTTTTTCAAGTTAATCCTCTGAAACTGCGAGCATGTACTTACCACAATGACGATAAATCATAGGAATCACTTTAACAATTTCTTGTTGATTGTGAATGTAATGAGCTGAAATGAAGCCGGGTTACCCTTAGCCGGAAAAATACCGGCAGTGAATTGAAAAAAAGCACAAAACATGACAAAAATTCTGAGGTTGGATATCTATAACCAAGAAAATAGCTGATATTCTCTAGCTATAATCAAGGATTTATAGCACGAAGAAAAACAATCATCTTAATAGAAAAGAAAGTACCAATAAAAGAGTTGGGTTAAGAAAAAGTTATCACCAAATTCAGTTTGAGGCTTTTCAGAAGTCATTAAAATTGAGTCACGAACTTTTGATCTCGTGAACTCTTTGGCGGTCGGTTTTTGTGGATCAAAGCCAATTGGAACCAAACGTTATTTGCTTTAGATACCTCCTCGCTAATTTCTGATTGTAAGTTAATCGGAAGGAAGACTCTTTTTAATCGTAACAAAGGAAAAAATGAAAATAAAGGAATGAAACAAAGTTTCCTAACATCTATAGCAAATGTTAAGCCGAAGTGAATAAAATCGTTAAAAGAAAATGTGTCGCAATATGCTTCTTGCCATTCGGATATCATTCAATTCAATGAACACTGATTTATTATCATGACCTTTGGCTCTCTGTTTTAGAACTGACATTCAGAACAAATCAAAATATACGTTTTGAAACATTCCTGTTGATTTTCGACTGCTTTTTAAAGAGAAAACTACACTTAAAACAATAAAACAAAAACCGTTGGAAGAAACAAATTCTAACTTTTGAATAACTTTTAGTCATCGCACGTAAACTGTTTAACTGTAATAACTGTTTATCCAGATGATACGGCTTGGTTAAAGCAGAAATAGTTATAGCTGTCGCATTATTTTAACTTACTGTCACCTCAAGGTTTAATTGGTTGTTTTAAAGTCTTTAACAAAGTAATTTTCACATATTGAGCAGCCCATAGAAATCTGCGAACTCTTTTATTTTAAGTTTCCTTGCACTGTGGGTACTTCGCTTGTAGACACTAAAATAAATTTCTAATTATTATTATTATCATTTTTCTTTTTGTTTTAGAATTTTCAGATGTATTAAAATGATGTCCACTTTGAGTATCCTGGTTTTCATGTTGGTGCAAGGACATGTGGTGAGTAATGAAAAACAAGGTTGAATTATTGGTTTTCTCAAAGAGATTAATTTTGAATTTTATATTTGGGGACATGCACAATAGTCACTGACTTGTTTTACTAGCTCAGTGCGTTAAAGTAAAGCTAGATATGCTTAAGATCTTCTCCTTAAAACATTTGGGAAATTCCCTCAAACAGTGACACTCCTTCGCGTTTGAAATTATTCTGGACCGACCTACAGTACTCAGTCTCTCAGGTTCCACTAAAAAAAAATTGATAACGATTACGACAAGTAACTACTAACCGACATGATCCAACACCATCGATATTTGAATTAAAAAGGAGAACATTCTCCCCCCCCCTCCTCCCTCCCCCAATTCACACCCTCAGATTTCGCACACTTTGAAAATCCCAACGCCAACGCCTGAAACTAACATTCACACCCTATCCAAGACTCTGAGCTAGACGCTAAACAGTAAAATTGTATATTATTATAAAGACTTCAAGAACCCGTACCTCGTCTAGCACCTTACATCCGTGAGAGCCCGGTGACTAGCATCTAAATTCTCACTAAGGTATCACTTCTGAATCAAATATTAGGTTCGTCGCGGCAATTACAGAAATGACCGCAAACTTGAACATTTCGAAAAGCTCCTGATTTTTAACGAAATTCTCCTTGTCGGCGTCCTAGCTAAAGTATAAAGAACAGAATGGAGAATATATCTACTGATGTTAGGGTGAAAAGAGCTTAGCCAAATTAAGTAGTTTTATCTAATGTGTACAATACTGTATGACAGGTTTGCGACAGCGAGCTCTTTCCAGTTTCCATTTTCGAGGTAGATTCAGTCGAACACCAGCCGATTGATCCGCAGAAAGACGACGAAATTGAGCCTCTCCAAGGAATAAACGTTACTGAAAGGTATACGACTAATTGCATATGCCAGGAGCTTAGCTCCTGCAACACATGGGATTGAGTGTCATTCCAATTACCTTGTCGTGTTTTGTATTGCCTGTATTTTGCATCGATCGTTATCACAATTACAATAATCAAAAGTATCGTGACATGATTTGAAATTATTATGAAGCTTACCTATCGAACATATTTCTATAACTCAATTTAAGGGCAATGATATATATAGCTTCGGCAAAATTCAGTGCTCAAGCTTTGATTCCTTATGGTACTCAGATATTTTCCACGTTCCCGACAGAGGAAAAACATTTGTCTCGTTTCATTACTGAGCTCTTAAGTTACTATCTTTTTCGTTCTTTTTATTACAACGAGACATTTTTCTTTGTTATAGATTGGAAGACCCCAAAGTTACCCGAAAAGAAATCTCCTGGTTGGATGGAATTATAAAAATCTATGGCTTCAAGAAACACCCCGTAGCTGCCATGTGGACGGAACAACCTTCCTTTAAGGATGATCTTGGAACCGAGAATTTCAAGACAGCAGCAGAGAAGGCGGAGCAATTTTTTCTAAAATTTAACAAAAACCGTGGCAAATCACCTTGGGAACTTTACAAGAAGTGACAAAAAATCAGAACAACAAACTCCTTAAAATTACAGCCGCTAGGTATCTTTTAGTTACTCACATTCTGTGGTATGTGAGTGGGGAGAAGTTAATAGCTTGCAAGGAAAAGAGGAACAGTTACACCGACATTCCACGAAGTTGGGAGATTCCCAAGGATGGAGTGTGTTTTCCTAAACCATACGGCAGCGCCACTTACAAATCGGACTACGACGTCGGGCTTATTGGAAAAGATTCTGGACGCGTCACTCAGGAATTTAATAGGTATTTTCAAGCTAAATTTTATTAACCATCGGAGCTTGTATTTGACACAAATGTTTACGCCTTCACTTTGGAGTTCGCCATGCCTAAGATGTTTCCCAACCTTCCCCGCTCTTTTATTTCCGATCTTCACATTCTTGAGCAAATGGGGTGGTACAAAATGCAAGAATTGGCCAGTGCTTATTACAAGGTCTTCAAGTACAACGAAGGTTCCTTTAAAGTAATGAAGAAAGGAGCTATTGACGAAATAAAAGATGAAAAAGCCAAGAAATTGTTGCTTCACTGGCTTGAAGAATTTGAAAAATTGAACAGGCAGGTGGCTTTGAGACAAATGGATACGAAATTGGTTAAGTTCAGATTAGCCCACAATGAGAAGTACCAGGAGTACCTGCAAAGCATGTCACAGGGGGAAACAGGAAGTTACCACATAACATCAACAGGTAATTAGAGATTGGACAGACTAGAGATCTATATAGCATTTTATAATGGTAATGGGAACAAGTGGAGTCCAATTTAGTCTGTAATCATACGAGTGATTGACAAAATCGGACGTCCGATTTGTCAATTACGAGTATGATTACAGACAGAATTGGACGACTCGAATTCCTCCTACCAGTTAATCATAACCTTTACAGTTTCCGAAAAAATCAAATACATTTAGGACAAACATCTCAGGTAGAGACAATTTCTAAAGTAAAAAAATCCTCCATTTTGGAAAGTTTTAGGATGAGGGTTGTTACTATGGTTATTTTGATTGCTGAATTTAGCTGAGTGGTTTTAGTATGATTTGCTGCTTCAACTGTCCAATTACAGGTGTCTGATTACAGCCAACTGTCCGATTACCTTGTCCGATTAATTATAACTGTTCAGAATGATTACTGAATATTAAAGCAGCTAATGCACCGATAACATTTGAGGAAATTGTAATGGTTATGATTAATGAAAGAAATGTGGAAAAATAATTCAAAATGCACCAAATGTCCCACTAGTACTTAATTCATTACGAAACTAAACTTCCCAAGTCCATTTGACACTTCCCATCGATGATGTGAGCGACTAAATAGACTTTAACTTTTGCATTTTTATCAGTGGTACAAAGAGTACCGGTGAAAAATGAAAAAAACAAGTGCCACTTCCCGCAAAGCGCGTTTTGATGAATTTTAATTTAAAAAATTGGACCCTGAGGATTTGGTATCATATACATGTAATCTTGAATTGATAGTTATGTACAATTACGATCTTTCACAGATTACCTCGCCAAGGCCCTCCTCTACGCTGCACAGGCATATCACACCCGAGGCGCCATGCGGCATGTCGTACAGGGCCTTCAGATGAGTGCAATCCCCACGTGTCAATATTACACGCCGCTATCAACTTACGACCTGTGGGTGTCCATGATTGAAAACTGGGGAGAGGCAAATAAGGAGTACAAAAACTGTAAATATATTTCCATTGCGGAGTGCTTGATGAAGATGAGCAAGTACCTGTCGAGGATGTTTAACGCGATGCGAGTGATCCGCCGTTCCCGTCTGCCAAAGATAGACAGAGAAGGATTGCTAGACTTCGGAACAACCGACGACCCAGAGTTCGTGACTGACCTTTTGCTGCGATACAAAAAGAGTGGAAAGAAACTCTCGCCAGCGGCTTATAATTTTGTAAGGTTTTTTTTGGATAAGTTCAAATGTCGTATTTCAAGTCATGTGCATTCGAATTTTCTGCTTCTTCTGAATTGTTTGAAAAAATCCAAAATGAGGTGAATGCCTACAATAAAAAGTTGGCTGCCAATGTGAACAAGGCAGAGGGTATGAAGTTGTTTGAACCCCCGTTTATAACAATCTTCAGAAGGAAAGGTGGAAATGTAGAAACTCACTGATTAAGAAAATTGCAAATACTCAAAAATTACTATGATATCTAAAGAAACGCTATAAAAAACGGCGTATCCAAAATGATATTCTCTATTTACTCATTTCGTAGTTACTGTGCATCAAATCAGTCTTTACTTATCGTAATGCTTCGATTTAGAGCCCGGGCACTTAAAACCTTCTGGTACCTCAAGTCAAGGGAGGGCGCTTCTTCAAAACAGGGCATTTATTTCTCTTCTGAGAAACAGCGGAATGTGTGAAACAAAGCTTTTATGTTTATTTGAAAGGAATTAAGATGACTGCAATTCAAAAAACTTGTTTTCCTTGGATTCTTGCTGGCTAGTCACAAAGTTTTAAGACGTGATTATTCGTTTTAAGGAACTGTGTACTTACTTACGTAGGACCCCACATAGACATAATGGTTGAGAGACTGTGAAGTGGACCACTTTTTATTTTATTAAGGCTTTAAGTGAAAAATGGTGGGAAGTTGAACTACAGTTGATCAAGCGTGCTCCAACGAGCCCGACCAAGAAAAACTACTTTACTCTAAGTACCTAACCTAAAAGCAATATGTTCAGTTCACAAGTTTATATTGCACTTCGTCAAGTTATTTTAATCGCATTTATCGGAAAGAAAAAACAAAAAAATATTAAACTCTCCCAACAGTTGTACTAAGCATTGTAACACCACAATTATATTTACTGCTTCTGTAAACCCTAATAGTCATGCTAAAATAAAAGACTGTTGGAACCAATCCACTGTTCAGTCTTATTAGAAGTATTTCTGGTAAAGCAAACTCTCGAGTGAGTCACCTGATATTGAGCCCATACCCTATGGGGTCGATTGTTCGCGCGGCCAAATGAAGATACGGGAAATTAGGGGTCAGTGGAGTCAGTCACTCACTTAGAGTGCTCTGCGTTGAGTGTCGACAAACAAAACCAAAGTAATCACTAAAGCCAATCAGAACAATGGTTATTATCATCACTGAACAACGAGAACTCAAAAGTAAGAACAGGAGAACTGCTTTAACTCTTTAACTCCCAAGATCTCATTAGTAATTCTCCCTACTGTCTGCCATAAAATACTTATGGTTTCACTTTGGAGAATTTGGTATTGGATCAACTTGAATTCCCCCAATTGAGTTTTCTTCTTTATTCTCCTCTGTCTGCTATCTGTTCTTTGAAATGGCATATTTCCAGCCGGCGTGCATGTTCAGCAGATCAGCGGAAATACTCCTACACGCAGGATTTGAAGCGGCGCCAGACTTGATACTATGCGTGCCATAACTAGCGATGTCATCTACAAATGGCTTAACGTATTTCCTAAGTTCCTCTCTGAGCGTCGTGTATGAAACGCCTTTAGTAGCATGAAAATACTCCTTAATCTTAGATTTAACAATTCGTCCAACGAGGGGGTAGGATGACTCAGTAGATAAAGGAAGAAGCTTAAGTAACCTCTCGGTGATAGAAACCGGGCAAGTAGCCTTATGAGACCTTGCTAGGAGGGATGTATGCCCCTCCCTATACTGATCATTCTCGCGTTTCGGAATGAAAACTGACATGTATTCACTGCAAATAGAGGCATCTTTAATGGACAAAGAACGTATTTCGCCCATACGGTAAAACCCAGCGAAGCCAACCAAGAGGATGAAAAGAAAACGAATAACAGCGAGAGAACTACTAGAAATATAATGATCAGCGATCCTACAAACTGTGTTGACGGATAAAGGCTCTTTGGGCTGAACGGGAAGCGCAAGTTTCCTTGTAGCGCCCTCTAAGGATGACTTAACAAGGGGGTGACTAGTAGGGCATTCTACTATCTCGGGCAACTTCAACCTAGAAGTTAAGCGAGGAATTCAAACGACCTTTGACGCCATTGCTACCGCCTTTAACTCTAAATTCGTAGCTACAGGAAGACAATAAATCTAAAAATCACACTCAACTTGCTGGGCATCAGCATCATCAGAGGTCAACAAAGCGCCATCTAGTCAATCACGGCGAGCGCTACTCTTTGAAGTGTCCGCAGGTTTTGTGCATGTCAAGCTTAAATGACCAAAACCACCACAATGAAAAAAGGGGAACACACAACAGCATGAAAATAAAATCCACAGCATAAAAATAAAAGAACAGCGGAGAAGCGTGTGGCGTTAGCAGACCCGCAGGAAGATCACTAACTGACAACAGCTATATATACGACACACAATTAACGCGAATTGCGTAACTTAAACACCTAATTGTATAACGCAATAAGAATACCAAATAGAGAACGTGCAGAAAACAAATATCTACTAAACTACGTACCGCATATATTTTGATATTCTGCACTAACCTAGTCTATAGAACGACATACAGCAAAACAGTAATTCATGCAGAATATTGGATTATGGCCTGAGTGTAACGCCATAATCGACGAAGTAAAAACAAAGGCAGTATAACGAGAAATAGTAGGCTACTTATCTTAAAACAAGGCCCCAAACGATGAGCTGGTCTAGCTTCTGAAAGAGAAGCCAAATCCTTACACGAGAATCTCGACGAAGAAGCCGCACGGAATACAGAGGAGGAACCGCTTCCTTTCTCGTCGGAACGGACACGACGACGCCTCTCTTCATTGATTTTTCTCTCGGCTCTCCTCTCGGCCCGGTAAATTCTCTTCTCGTCGTCGGAGTCAGAGGCGAGTTCGTCAGACAAATATTCGTCAACGGTCGCCCATCCAAATTCGCTCTTGTCAGCTAGCTTAATGGCTTTAACACGCTTGGAAATTACTTCAATACCTGACTCCAGGGCAACTTTAACTTTCTCGTACAATTTCTGCTTGAGAGCATCGGATGCTTATCCAGCACCTGGAGGGAATGATTCAACTGCTGCTGGTTTCCTCTCCTTTTGCAGGTATATTGTTCGCGCCGAGCTCTCTTGGCTGCTTGTTCAACGGACGAGCTGTTCTCCTCGGAAAATCGCTTCGCGAAATCGCTAAACCGAGATTCAATAACCTTAGTGAGGTTATCGGTTAAAGAACCTATCGATTCAGAAACGGCAGACTGTATAACAGCACCGACAGAAGGATTTAAAACTTCATCGTTCCGACTAGAACGTGCCCTAGCTTCCTCAGAGTCGCTCATGCTAAAGAACAGTGGAATAGCGTTTGGCGTTAGCGGACCCGAAGGAAGATCACTAACTGACAACAGCTACTTATACGACACGCAATTAACGCGTCTTGCCTCGTGATATTCGTCCTCGTTTGTTATGGCTTTTCCGATTTATTCAAAAAATTCGAATGATCTTTTGGTGGAGAAAGAAATCATGACCAAGTCAAAATCTAAACTCATAAAGGGGACGGTGACGTTGAAAAGACTCTGGAATTTATTTTTGGGTGGTCTTATTCTTGAAGAATCTAAGAGTAGTCATCATCCTTCGTCTACCTCTGTCAGATCTGATGCGACAATCACTGGATCATACCAAGCATGTTGAGCTGGAAAAAAGGTTGTGGTAGAATTTCTAATATTTTTGGTGTAATTACCCTCGAGAACAATTTTCAGTGGAGCGTCGGAAGGTAATTCTGGAGTGCTTCGATTTGCTTTACTTCGCTCTGTGATTTTGGTTTCAAACCTCAACCACCATCTCAACTAATCAAAACTGATATCAATCCTAGCTTGGTTAATAGCGTTAACTCCTATGTGAGTGATCGAAGCAGAATTTCTTGCTACAATATCAAGAATCAAGCAGATAAGTGAGGAGAATAAAGAATAAAACTCAATTAGGGGACTTCAAGTTGATGCAATACCAAATTCTCCAAATTGAAACCATGAGTGTTTTATGGCAGACAGTAGGGAGAATTATTAATGAGATCTTGGGAGTTAAAGGTTGAAGCAGTTCTCCTGGTCTTACTTTTGAGTTCTCGTTGTTCAATGATGATAACCATTGTTCTGATTGGCTTTAGTGATTACTTTGGTTTTGTTTGTTGACACTCAATCGGAGAGCACTCTAAGTGAGAGACCGACTCCACTGACGCCTAATTTCCCTTATCTTCCTTTGGCCGCGCGAACAATCCACCCCATAGGGTATGGGCTCAATATCAGGTGACTCACTCGAGAGTTCGCTGTATCGGAATTACTACAAAGTCTAAACAGTAGATTGGTTCCAACAGTCTTTTATTTAAGCATGATTACCTGGGTTTTCAGAAGCGGTAAATCTAACTTTGGTGTTACAATACTTAGTGCAACTGTTGGCTTTTGAGGAAGAGTTTTAAATTTTTCTTCTTTCCTATAAATGAGATTAAAATAACTTGACGAAGTGCAATATAAACGCGTGAACTTCGCTTGTTGCTTTAAGGTTAGGTACTTAGAGTAAAGTAGTTTTTCTTGGCCGGGATCGTTGGAGCACGTTTGACTTTAATCCCGAGTTAGCCATAAAACAACACGTTATGTTGTCATTGCGGTAAAAAAATCTGGATCAGAACTAAGCATGCTTCGAGCAGTCCAACCCTTAAAAGTTGTCTCTTTCGCTAGCGTCACGGGCCTCACCTGATCCTTTTTCACCAGTTAGCACAATGACGAATTCTAATTTCCTTCGTTGCATAAGGAACCGCTTAAATATTTCCTAAACAAGAGTTTCTATTTACACCTCTTTCCCTTGAGATACCAGAAGTTAACTGCCCGGGCTCTAAATCGATTTACTACGATAGGCAAAGACTGATTTGATGCAGAGTAACTATGAAATGAATAAATCGAGAATATTTTTTTCGGATACGCCGTTTTTATAGCGTTTCTTCAGATATGATAGTAATGTTTGAGAATTTGCAATTTTCTCAATTGGTGAATTTCTACATTTTCACCTGTCTTTCTGACGATAGTTAAAAATTGTTTGGAGGGGGTTCAAACAATTCCATCCCCTCTATCTCGTTCACATTGGCAGCCAACTTTTTGTTGTAGGCATTCACTTCATTATGGATTTTTTTCAAACAATCCCACCAAAAATACGAAAGATGAGGATTAAAAATATTACAATTGAACTTTTTCCAAAAAAGCATTACAAACTGATTAGCTGCTGGCGAGAGTTCCTTGCCACTCTTTCGGTATCGCAGTAGAAGGCGAGTCACGAACTCTGGGTCGTCGGTTGTTCCGAAGTCTAGCAATCCTTCTCTGTCTTTCTTTGGCAGACGGGAACGGCGGATCACTCGCATCGCGTCAAACATCCTCGACAGGTACTTGCTCATCTTCATCAAGCACTTCGCCACGGAAATGTTTCTACAGTGTTTGTACTCCTTATTCAGCTCTCCCCAGTTTTCAATCATGGACACCCACAGGTCGTAAGTTGATAGCGGCGTGTAATATTGACACGTGGGAATTGCTTTCATCTGAAGACCCTGTACCACATGTCGAATGGCGCCACGGGTGTGATATGCCTGTGCAGCGTAGAGGAGGGCCTTGGCGAGGTAATCTGTGAAACAGCGTAATTGAACATAACTGTCAATTCAAGCATACATGTATATGATACCAAATCCTTAGGGTTCTATTTTTTTTTTCGGAAATTGTGACGGTTATGATTCACTGGGAACAGGACTTCGAGTCGTCCAAATCGGACGTCCGATTTTGTTAATCACTCGTATGATTACAGTCCGAATTGGACTTCACTCGGTCCCTTTACCATTATAAACAGTAGTTATATAAATTTCTAGTCCGTCTGATATCTAATTACCTATTGATTGTATTTGGTAACCTCCTGTTTTCCCCTGTGACATGCTTTGCAGGTACTCCTGGTACTTCTCATTGTGGGCTAATCTGAACTCAGCCAGTGGCTGCTTCTTCATTTTTCTCAAGGCCACCTGCTTGTTCATTTTTCCAAATTCTCTAAGCCAACCGAGCAACTCTTTCTTCGCCTCTTTATCTTTTATTTTTCCAATAGCTCCATTCTTCATCACCTTAAAGGAACCTTCGTTGTACTTGAAGACCTTGTAATAAGCACTGGCCAGTTCTTGCATTTTATACCTCCCCATTTGCTCAAATTTGCGAAGACCGGAAGTAAATGAGGGGGGAAGGTTGGGAAACATTGAGGGCATGGCAAACTCCAGAGTGTAGGCGTAAACATTTGTGTCAAATACAAGCTCCGATGGTAACTTAAAGGTTGTTTGAAAATAGCTATTAAATTTCTGAGTGACGGTTCCAGAATCTTTTCCAATAAGCCCGACGTCGTAGTCTGATTTGTAAGTGGCGCTGCCATATGGTTTAGGAAAACACACTCCACCCTCGGGAATCCTCCAACTTTGTGGAATGCCGGTGTAATTGTCTCTCTTTTCCTTGCAAGCTGTTTAACTTCTTCCCACTTACAAGCCAAAGAATGTGAGTAACTAAAAGATACCTAGCGGCTGTAATTTTAAGGAGTTTGTAGTTCTGATTTTTTGTCACTTTTTGTAAAAGTTCCCAAGGTGATATGCCACGTTTTTTGTTAAATTTCAGAAAAAATTGCTCCGCCTTCTCTGCTGCTGTCTTGAAATTCTCGGTTCCAAGACGACCCTCAAAGGAAGGTTGTTCCGTCCACATGTCAGCTACAGGGTGTTTCTTGAAGCCATAGTTTTTTATAATTTCATCCATCCAGGTGATATCGTCTGTGGTAACTTTGGGGTCTTCCAATCTATAACAAAGAAAAATGACTTGTTGTAATAAAAAGAACGAAAAATATAGTAACTTAAGAGCTCAGTGATGAAAGAAGACAAATGTTTTTTCTCTGTCGGGAACGTGGAAAATATCTGAGTACCATTAGGAATCAAAGCTTGTGCACCGGATTTTGCCGAAGTTATATATGTCCGTTGCCCTTAAACTGAGCTATAGAAATATCATGTTTGATAGGTAAGCTTCATAATAATCACTGTTTCAAATCAAGTCACCATACTTCAGTTTGACCATGGTAATTGTGATAGCGATCGATGCAAAATGTAGGCAATACAAAATACGACAAGGTAATTGTCCGATGGATTTGCAGGTGCTACGCTCCTGGTATATGCGATAAGTCGTATACCTTTCAGTAGCGCTTCTTCCTTGGAGAGGCTCAATTTCGTCGTTTTCCTGCGAATCAATCTGCTGCAGTTCGACAGAATCTACGTCGAAAATGGAGACTGGAAAGACCTCGCTGTCACAAACCTGTCATACAGTATTGTACACATTAAATAAAACTCCTTTGTGTCTTAGCTCTTTACACCCTAACGTCAGTAAATATATTCTCCATTCTGTTCTTGCTATGACGCCGACAAGGAGAATTTGTATAGGTAATCACATGATTTCGAGTGCAATTTGGAATAAATAAGCACGAGTAAATTCTTTTAATTTGTGGTCTTTGAAAAAATTAACAAGTGCTTGTTTATTCCAAGTTGCATGTGAAAAATCATGTGATTAAGGGAATAACATGACTTTTTTCGGGAATATTGTTTATTTGCGCCCGCGTAGTGTCATTTGCCGCAAATGACACTACAAGGGCGCAAATAAACAATATTCCCGAAAAAAGTCATGTCATTATCATTATTATCAATAAACAATGCCAAATGATATCAAGAATGCGAGTTTTAATAATACAAGCTAAGTGAATGACGAATTCAAAGTCACTTCAAATCATCATGTAAGTGTTCGCAAGAACCAATCAGCTGTAGGGCTGATAATGCATTAGCAGCCCGCTGTCAGTCTTTTGCGGCCCGCTGAGCGTGTGTTTTGAAGAGGCCGATTTTCTATTTGGCCGCGTATATTGATAATAATAAGTGTTAATTATATACATGGAAAAATACGAGATGGCTTATCATAATTAAACATAAGCAAAGCGCGCATCAAGTGCAAAAATAATTTATTCAAATTGTGGGTTCGGTCAAAACAACCGCGTACGATCAAAACAATAATAAATTATGCAATGATATTTTCACCTCTTTAAGGTGCAAAAAAGTTCAAGGAATTGTTCAGTCTGTGTCCGAATCACTTTCGATCAAATGGAATCGTCGTTTCCGAGGTTTAACCATGTTTGTTTTTAATTTCGGCGTTGGATCGCTCGAGCAAAGTGTTAAGCTGGGTCAGCTCGTAACTTTCGATTTCCTCAGCAATTCCCTTCTCTAAACACCACTTTTTCCAAACCGACAACCAAAAAGCAGTGCTTTTTACAGTGTTTTCCTTGTTTAAGCTGTTTTTCAGCTGCGGTGGCAAAAGAAAGCCTCCTTAAAACGCCGGCCATTGTTTCGCTCGCAAATTTTCAAATTTTCAAATTTTGTTGCGACATCCAAGGCTCGCATTTGATTGGCCATCTGTGAGTTTCTTTGATTATTGACCAATCAGAATGTCTTATTTGTTTCTTTCTTTGCACTGAATTAACCCTCTTCTGCACTGAATTAACTCTCTTCTGCAAATGAATTACCTGAAAACTGCAATTATCTTGTCCAATCAGAACTGAGTAACTTTTCCATGTATATTATTGAAAATAATATACAATTTTTACTGTATGGCGTCTAGCTCAGAGTCTTGGAGAGGGTGTGAATGTTAGCTTCAGGCGTTGGCGTTAAGATTTTCAAAGTGTGCGAGTTCTGAGGGTGTGAATGGGGGGGGGGGGCAAATGCTCTTCTTAATTCAAATATCGATAATGTTGGACCATGTCGGTTAGTAGTTGCTTGTCGCTAATTGGTTATCATTTATTTATTCATTTGTTTTGTGGAACCTTTTGTGGAAGCGCCGAATTTAAGGTTGTTGCTGCCTTGTTTCGATCTCATTTGAGGAGGGAGATTTCAGCGGCTAATACTGCCTTCCGCTCCAAGGTTAACTTATACGTTAGGAAATCATTCAAATCTGGGTTCATATAGAGTGATCCAATAGGAATATTCGGAGTGTCAGGTGGGTTCTTGTAACAATAATTCAATGTCAACCGATCGACAGAAGCTTGTATCCGTTAAGATGAGGTCTAAGAAACTGAATCTGCTTGATCGGACTTAACCTTCACTGGAAACATGCTGTTAACAAAGCTGTCAGAAGGAAGTGCAGCAAAATTTCCGCACAGCCCCATAAAACAAATCTGTTTTCCCAATGGCAATGTATTGTTTTTGTCATTGTTTTCTCTATCCAAGAATTGAAAGCATAATGTAGTATGAGGCTGTGCAGGAATTTACCAGAAGTGCTCTTCAGGAACTGATTGAACCCCGTTCATACTCTACTGATTAAAGGACTGACAAATTTAATTTCATTTGCAGAGCTCGAGGTTAGGATAAATTATAACTGAATGGGGCTGAGCATTCCCCTTCTCCATTCAATCATGTTTGTGAACAGAGAAGTGCTGGATTGCTCAGCTAGAGAAGGGGTTATAGGAAAGAACTAGGGGTAGCCTTTGTGTAGCCGTACCCTCCCCCTCCCCCTCCCCCTCCCCCTCACCTCAGGTAAAACTCAAAGATTAATTGGTAGTCCCAAATAAACTCTAACGTATCATTTATCATTTATCGTTTTGCTTTAGAATTTTCAGATGTGTTAAAATGATGTCCACTTTGAGTATCCTGGTTTTCATGTTGGTGCAAGGACATGTGGTGAGTAATGACAAACAAAGTTGAATGATTGGTTTTCTCAAAGAAATTAATTTTGAATTACTACTAACCGACATGGTCCAACATTATCGATATTTGAATTAAGAAAGAAGAGCATTTGCCCCCCTCCCCCCCATTCACACCCTCAGAACTCGCACACTTTGAAAATCTCAACGCCAACGCCTGAAGCTAACATTCACACCCTTTCCAAGACTCTGAGCTAGACGCCATACAGTAAAAATTGTATATTATTTTTAGATAATATACATGGAAAAATTACTCAGTTCTGATTGGTTAAGATAAATGCAGTTTTCAGGTTATTCAGTGCAGAAGGGAGTTAATTCAGTGCAGAAGAGGGTTAATTCAGTGCAAAGAAAGAAACAAATAAGACATTCTGATTGGTCAATAATCAAAGAAACTCACAGATAGCCAATCAAATGCGAGCCTTGGATGTCGCAACAAAAATTTGAAAATTTGAAAATTTGCGAGCGAAACAATGGCCGGCGTTTTAAGGAGGCTTTCTTTTGCCAACGCAGCTGAAAAACAGCTTAAACAACGAAAACACTGTAAAAAGCACTGCTTTTTGGTTGTCGGTTTGGAAAAAGTGGTGTTTAGAGAAGGGAATTGCCGAGGAAATAGAAAATTACGAGCCGACCCAGCTTAACACTTTGCTCGAGCGATCCAATGCCGAAATTAAAAACAAACATGGTTAAACCTCGGAAACGACGATTCCATTTGATCGAAAGTGATTCGGACACAGACTGAACAATTCCTTGAACTTTTTTGCACCTTGAAGAGGTGAAGATATCATTGCATAATTTATTATTGTTTTGATCGTACGCGGTTGTTTTGACCGAACGCACAATTTGAATAAATTATTTTTGCACTTGATGCGCGCTTTGCTTATGTTTAATTATGATAAGCCATCTCGAATTTTTCCATGTATATTATTAACACGTAATCACATGATTTTTCTCGTGCAATTTGGAATAAACAAGCACTTGTTAATTTTTTCCAAGACCACAATTTTGTCAGTCTTTAAAAAAATTTACTCGTGCTTACAGGGCGTGAAATTAATTTTTTTTTCTGATAGCCACTTGGCTCCTAAATTCATCAAAGTGGTAGCCAATTCAAAAAAAGTTGGTCGCCATTTTGAAAAACAAACAAAATCTTTTTTTTATGCTGTCATCGTTCTAGAAATTAAGTTAGGGAAAAGATCTTTAACGTGCTACAAAGGGGACACTAGGATGGATGATATGCAATGTTTAAGCTCACCTAAATCCATGATGGCATCTAGTTATCGATCGAGATGCATCTGCTGCGTTTTGGAAACAAACTTAACGAGGAAGTTTGCCGCGGATTTGTCTTTGCAAATCTTTTTAATTCACTATATCTCTAGGTAAGGTTATGATGAAACATTCTAGTCGCCAATTTGGCGACTAATTTTCAGGATTTGGTCGCCAAAGTGAAAAATTTAGTCGCATTGGCGCCTGTATTAGGCGCAATTTCACGCTCTGGCTTATTTATTCCAAATTGCACTCGAAATCATGTGATTACCTATACAAAGACTTCAAGAACCCATACCTCGTCTGGCAACTTATACCCGTGTAACACTTTAAGCCCTGCGGGCCCGGTGACTAACACCTAAATTCTCACGAAGGTATTACCTCTGAATCAAATATAAGGCTTGTCGCGGCAGTTACGGAAATGACCGCAAACTTGAATATTTGGAAAAGCTCTTGATTTTTAACTAAATTCTCCTTGTCGGCGTCATAGCAAGAACAGAATGGAGAATATATTTACTGACGTTAGGGTGTAAAGAGCTAAGACACATAAAGGAGTTTTATTCAATGTGTACAATACTGTATGACAGGTTTGCGACAGCGAGGTCTTTCCAGTCTCCATTTTCGACGTAGATTCTGTCGAACTGCAGCAGATTGACTCGCAGGAAAACGACGAAATCGAGCCTCTCCAAGGAACAAGCGCTACTGAAAGGTATACGACTTATCGCATATACCAGGAGCGTAGCACCTGCAAATCCATCGGACAATTACCTTGTCGTATTTTGTATTGCCTACATTTTGCATCGATCGCTATCACAATTACCATGGTCAAACTGAAGTATCGTGACTTGATTTGAAACAGTGATTATTATGAAGCTTACCTATCAAACATGATATTTCTATAGCTCAGTTTAAGGGCAACGGACATATATAACTTCGGCAAAATCCGGTGCACAAGCTTTGATTCCTTATGGTACTCAGATATTTTCCACGTTCCCGACAGAGAAAAAACATTTGTCTTCTTTCATTACTGAGCTTTAAGTTACAATCTTTTTCGTTCTTTTTATTACAACAAGACATTTTTCTTTGTTATAGATTCGAAGACCCCAAAGTTACCACAGACGATATCACCTGGATGGATGAAATTATAAAAAACTATGGCTTCAAGAAACACCCCGTAGCTGACATGTGGACGGAACAACCTTCCTTTGAGGATGATCTTGGAACCGAGAATTTCAAGACAGCAGCAGAGAAGGCGGAGCGATTTTTTCTGAAATTTAGCAAAAACCGTGGCAAATCACCTTGGGAACTTTTACAAAAAGTGACAAAAAATCAGAACTACAAACTCCTTAAAATTACAGCCGCTAGGTATCTTTTAGTTACTCACATTCTTTGGCTTGTAAGTGGGAAGAAGTTAACAGCTTGCAAGGAAAAGAGAGACAATTACACCGGCATTCCACAAAGTTGGAAGATTCCCGAGGGTGGAGTGTGTTTTCCTAAACCATATGGCAGCGCCACTTACAAATCAGACTACGACGTCGGGCTTATTGGTAAAGATTCTGGAACCGTCACTCAGAAATTTAATAGTTATTTTCAAACAACCTTTAAGTTACCATCGGAGCTTGTATTTGACACAAATGTTTATGCCTACACTCTGGAGTTTGCCATGCCCTCAATGTTTCCCAATCTTCCCCCCTCATTTACTTCCGGTCTTCGCAAATTTGAGCAAATGGGAAGGTACAAAATGCAAGAACTGGCCAGTGCTTATTACAAGGTCTTCAAGTACAACGAAGGTTCCTTTAAGGTGATGAAGAATGGAGCTATTGGAAAAATAAAAGATAAAGAGGCGAAGAAAGAGTTGCTCGGTTGGCTTAGAGAATTTGAAAAAATGAACAAGCAGGTGACCTTGAGAAAAATGAAGAAGCAGCCACTGGCTGAGTTCAGATTAGCCCACAATGAGAAGTACCAGGAGTATCTGCAAAGCATGTCACAGGGGAAAACAGGAGGTTACCAAATACAATCAATAGGTAATTAGATATCAGACGGACTTGAGATTTATACAACTGTTTATAATGGTAAAGGGACCGAGTGAAGTCCAATTCGGACTGTAATCATACGAGTGATTAACAAAATCGGACGTCCGATTTGGACGACTCGAAGTCCTGTTCCCAGTTAATCATGACCGTCACAATTTCCGAAAAAAAAAAAATAGAACCCTAAGGATTTGGTATCATATACATGTAGGCTTGAATTGACAGTTATGTTCAATTACGCTGTTTCACAGATTACCTCGCCAAGGCCCTCCTCTACGCTGCACAGGCATATCACACCCGTGGCGCCATTCGACATGTGGTACAGGGTCTTCAGATGAAAGCAATTCCCACGTGTCAATATTACACGCCGCTATCAACTTACGACCTGTGGGTGTCCATGATTGAAAACTGGGGAGAGCTGAATAAGGAGTACAAACACTGTAGAAACATTTCCGTGGCGAAGTGCTTGATGAAGATGAGTAAGTACCTGTCGAGGATGTTTGACGCGATGCGAGTGATCCGCCGTTCCCGTCTACCAAAGAATGACAGAGAAGGATTGTTAGACTTCGGAACAACCGACGACCCAGAGTTCGTGACTCACCTTCTACTGCGATACCGAAAGAGTGGCAAGGAACTCTCGCCAGCAGCTAATCAGTTTGTTATGCTTTTTTGGAAAAAGTTCAATTGTAATATTTTTAATCCTCATCTTTCGTATTTTTGGTGGGATTGTTTGAAAAAAATCCATAATGAAGTGAATGCCTACAACAAAAAGTTGGCTGCCAATGTGAACGAGATAGAGGGGATGGAATTGTTTGAACCCCCTCCAAACAATTTTTAACTATCGTCAGTAAGACAGGTGGAAATGTAGAAATTCACCAATTGAGAAAATTGCAAATTCTCAAACATTACTATAATATCTGAAGAAACGCTATAAAAACGGCGTATCCGAAAAAAATTTTCTCCATTTACTCATTTCATAGTTACTGTGCATCAAATCAGTCTTTGCCTATCGTAGTGAATCGATTTAGAGCCCGGGAACTTATTAACTTCTGGTACCTCAAGGGAAAGAGGTGTAAATAGAAACTCTTGTTTAAGAAATATTTAAGCGGTTCCTTATGCAACGAAGGAAATTAGAATTCTTCATTGTTCTAGCTGGTGAAAAAGGACCAAGTGAGGCCTGTGGCGCTAGCGAAAGAGACAACTTTTAAGGGTTGGACTGCTCGAAGCATGCTTAGTTCTGGTCCAGATTTTTTTAACCGCAATGACAACATAACGTGTTGTTTTATGGCTAACTCGGGATTAAAGTCAAACGTGCTCCAACGATCCCGACCAAGAAAAACTACTTTACTCTAAGTACCTAACCTTAAAGCAACAAGCGAAGTTCACGAGTTTATATTGCGCTCCGTCAAGTTATTTTAATCGCATTTATAGGAAACAAAAAAAAAATTAAAACTCTTCCTCAAAAGCCAACAGTTGTACTAAGTACTGTAACACCAAAATTAGATTTACCGCTTCTGAAAACCCAGGTAATCATGCTTAAATAGAAGACTGTTGGAACCAATCTACTGTTTAGACTTTGTAGTAATTCCGATACAGCGAACTCTCGAGTGAGTCACCTGATATTGAGTCCATACCCTATGGGGTGGATTTTTCGCGCGGCCAAAGGAAGATACGGGAAATTAGGCGTCAGTGGAGTCGGTCTCTCACTTAGAGTGCCCTCCGATCGAGTGTCAACAAACAAAACCAAAGTAATCACTAAAGCCAATCAGAACAATGGTTATCATCACTGAACAACGAGAACTCAAAAGTAAGACCAGGAGAACTGCTTCAACCCTTTAACTCCCAAGATCTCATTAACAATTCTCCCTACTGTCTGCCATAATACACTTATGGTTTCAATTTGGAGAATTTGGTATTGCATCAACTTGAAGTCCCCTAATTGAGTTTTCTTCTTTATTCTCCTCACTTGTCTGCTTGATTGTGTATTGATATTGTAGCGAGAAATTCTGCTTCGGTCACTCAGGAGCTAAAGGGTTAAGCGCGAGAAACGCTACTAACCAAGCTGGGATTGATGTCAGTTTTGATTAGTTGAGATGGTGGTTGAGGTTTGAGACCAAAATCACAGAGCGAAGTAGAGCAAATCTAAGCACTCCAGAATTACCTTCCAACACTCCATTGAAAATTGCTCTCGAGGGTAATAACACCAACAATATCAGAAATTCTACCACAACATTTTTCCAGCTCAACATGCTAGATATGATCTATTGGTGGTTGCATCAGATCTGACAGAGGTAGACGAAGGATAAGGACTATGATTCACCAAGAATGAGACTACCCAAAGTAGTGCCTTGAATAAAAGTAGTGCCTTGAATAAATCGCAAAAGCCATAACAAACGAGGAAGAATATCACGAGGCGACAATGATAACTCAAAGAAAAACCTGGCGACCTGCAAAAAGAGCAGACAAACGCAAATGACGAGTCGCCCTTGTTACAACTGATTGCCTTTGGCGCGGGTTTTAAAAGTAAGGCAAAGCATTGGCAATTCTGTAAGTTTCAACAATTTAACAAGATGAAAACGACAATAAAGGGAGACCCTTCAAAGAAAACGCAGTTCTGCTGTTCAACTTCATTTCCATTTCTCGGCGACAAGCTTCGCGTCGGCACTTTCCAGCAGGATCGATGGCACTGTGTCTTGACATAAAACGATGTAACGTAGACAGAGAAAGAAAAATAATCTGACACAGATGACCATACGGTAATGGTAAGAGACCTCTTTTATGCACGTAGTTTTCATTTGCAGGTTTGCAGTCATCGTAAAATGCGCTGCTAGCGAAGGCATGTTTACACAAAAGCATAACAATTTAGCCTATTGTGCTCAGTTCCCTCAAGAGTGTATAAACAGTGCTAATATTCTCTCAGCACACCTCAATCCCTTTGCGCGGAGTGGTTTTTATTCAAATGGCCACCTGGCGATATAACGATTTCCAAGAAGTGAACGAAATGAAAGGAAAAGGGTCATCATTCAAAAATGATTGTTCTGTGTGCCGTAAATAATTCGTTTCCAACCAACATCTAAAAAATATTACTCAGTCTCAGGTGTTTGATTAAACCGCGCCTCCGATTACTTCTGTTGAGTACACTACACATACTTCCAGTCGGTAATGATCGAGTGAAAAATTTTTTAAAAGATTCTGCAGGTCCGCACCAGCGTACACAGACTTATGATTTATAATCGCGCGCGTTATGGCCAATGTAAACCTGTCAAGTAATACATAGCAACACAAAATTCAGTCGCATGTGCACATACAAATACTCATTACTTTTATGAGCCACAATTAAATAATCACATCACTGAATTTATTATCTATTGCCAGAAGTCTGTTATCAATAACTACTGTACTTTGAATACTACACAATTAAAGATCTTTAACATCTACTTCATATTACTACTAGTTTAGTTCAAATTTACTATGATTATTAACATGTGCAGCTCAACCTTTGGGATCAGAATCAATTGAGTGCCATTAAACCGATAGTTTGCGAAAAAAAAAAGGGACAGGAATTGGCAGATTAACCCTTGATTGACAAGGCACAGAGCTACAGTAACAACTTTAGAAAAAACATGTCGAAACAAAGGCAGGCTTTGTAACAATTATTCCATTGAGATCTAGAGAAGTCATGAAGAAGAACCAAAATATTATGGGGAGTTTCTCTTAAAAAAAAAAAAAAAACAAAAAAAAGTTTTGTTCTGGGATGAAAGTCAATTTTAACCCCCATATGATTACGATTTCTGGTACATGTACACAAGGTTTTTAGAGATTCAATCTTTAGTTGCTGTCCACAACATGAACCACAAAGATACAAAATGGAAAAAGGACAACAACACAAACAAAATTAGATTAGTACACTTTAAATAATATTGCAAGTCAGTCATCTAAAAAATTCAACATAACCAATAAGGACAAAAAAAGTTCCCCAAAAATGATAATTTTAATGCAATTGGTGTTTAGTGTCTGTTGCTTTCCTGGTTCTCATTACCCATACACTTTAGTTTGAATTAACCTTTAGATAGTACACTGAATGCAAACAATTCAGACACAAATCAGATGAACAGTATTGATTAAATTGAGACGTTTAAATTGTAACCACAACGAAAAGGTAATAAAGCTCATAAATACCACAACAATTTAAGCATAGACTGGACAGTACATAAACAAAGGTGGGTTTGTTTTCATTCACTCCCGAAAAAACCCCAAGTTGTTTCCCTCTCTCAAGTTTTTCAAGGGCCACCAAACAAGGATTGAATGAAACTAAGGAACCCAGCTTGCAAGCCATGCTAGAGCAAAAGGAAGGCAATAATCATCTTTACATGATACTACAAAATTAGGCAAAAAAAATCACTGTTAATATATTACAGAGATATGAATGCAAAGTTTCTGACAAAGGAGTGATTGTGAATATACTCCATGTGACACACCTAATCTTCATGAAAAACTACATGTATAAATTTTACAATAAAATTTCACAGTTTTCACTTCTTAGGTTGTTGTACAGGTTGATTTATAGAAGTCTTCCTAAAAACAAGAAAAAAAAAAGGAATGTTTGAACTTAAAGTTAATTTGACACCTAGCATGACCATAAACTATGCATTACAAGTAAATACTAATTTTTAATTTCATTTACAAGTAAACATGGACTTAAAGGAAATCAGTTGAATAAGAACATGTGAAGCACTGACCCTGGTTGGATGCCAATAGGGACAGTTAGAAAAATATCATACTGCAGCATACAGTATCTCAGAAATACCAATAAACAATGTATTAGCAAGTTGAAGCCACAGACAGCACATTCAAGCAACAGTGGCAGTTACACTAGACAGTACATGTCTTCAGTGTGTTGTTGATTCAACCAGCCCCAGTGTGTTAAACAAAGTTTTTTGCCATTGCCAATAATTTACAACGAGTCAATTTTTTTTAAATTGAAAATAGAAACGTACATGGGGAGGGTGTTAATGATAGGCAGGTCTCTACAACAAATATAAGTTAACCCTTTTTTACTCTTAAGATCTGATTGGTAATTCTCTCCTCTAGCTGCTACACATATCCTTGTAAATTAGTTATGAGAAGTTGTCGTTAGATCAAGACAACAACTTCTCCCTGATAAGTTTGAATATTCTCATTAGCCGTTTGCTGGATAGTGTTAGGATATCACTAGGAGAAGTTTCATATTGATCACTTCTGGGAGTTAAAAGGTTAACTGACTCAGGTTGAGGTTTAGATGACCTATACTGTTGTTGTTTTTGTTTTGCTGTGGTCGAATATAAAGTGATTTCCTGTTGCCAAAAAAGTGAGCTAAGAAAAGTGGAACACAGGAATTGTTGATATTGCTTGTGCAAGGAGCTAGCTATACATTAAATTTAATCAAAAGAAAAAGTGCCACTACAGTAGCAGTAGACATCCAGTTCAATAGACATGTCATATATACATGTCATACATACTGACAAACAAAACCAACACAAATTAAAGGCTGTATAATGCAAAGAGGTCTGAAGAAACAGACACACAGACAAGACCTACCACTTAGAAAAAAACATACCTCTTCAAATATCACATTCTATGCCTCACTGTTGGCCATGGTGAAAGTCACCAAGGTAGGGTGACCCAGGATAGCTAGCAGTCTCAATAAAAATAAGTTCTACACAGAATAACAGGAAAAACAGGAAAAAATGTTATTGTGTAACCAACATATATGTATTTTTTCACACACATAGGAGAGTATAATCAAAACCTAAAGTGATCAGTCTTATGGAAGAGTGATGGTCTCAGTGATGGTAGAGCAGTCATGAAAAAGATTGTTGAAAGAGATAGTAAGTGGTCGAATGGGAAATGAAAAATAACAGGGGGGGTTGGGGGCAGGTAATTGCAGGTGTCATGTTGTATTGTTAAAATGAAGATTACACTCCAGACTGGGAACTAATCTGGACAAAGGGTCTAAGATAAACTATGCACATTGCATAACACCTGACCTAATTTTATTACCTTTAAGTTTTTCTTTGGGAAGATCATCCAGCTCAGTTTCAAATCTAAATGGCTCCTCTGCCACAGGCTGTGAAGGTAAAAATTACTTATTACTGGTACTGTATGGTTTAATAACAGGACAATCAAATTTATTATTTAAACTAGTAATAATCAAAAATTAGTAAAGTGCATTTGATCTCTAGTAAAACTCTTTTATTGTACAGATTGCACAGAAAAAAAAAAACTATGTCTTCAGCTCTCGGCAGCCAAAAAAAAATTTGCACATGAGACCAAGGCTATTTGTGCCATGTAGCCAGCCAGCCAGCCAGTCCAAAATGGCGCCCAATACCTGAAATCACATGGCATCACATTCAATCCCCTTAGGACTGGTCCATAAAACCCTTGAGAGTGATTTCCGTAAAAACATCACAATTAGTATGTCTTCTCCTTTGTCGAATACAAATATCAGATCATGTATTCTGATTGTCAGGGTGAGGGCTATCTTGGAAAGGACTGTTGTGAGTGGTGGCAATTAACATCTTGACAGCCTTAGTGGAAGTCATCATCAAAGTCAACTATGATGATGACTTCTGCTAAGATCTCAAATGACATTGATTTATGATTGTTTTGAGAGATTCATTTTCCAAAACAAATGGAGTGCTCTATGTGCAGGAACTATATTTTTTTAAAATAAAAAACCTGTGTTCACTTTTACATGTACAGTACATGTAAGTTTCATAGTCAAGCAAGGAAGTGATAACTTGATGTTTTTTGCATACAGAGCATTAAGCTAACAAATCCTTCCTTACCTCATCTTGTGGGTCATAGTACTGCTCAAGGTAAGGATGAGCCAGAGCTTCCTCTATTGTGATCCGTTTGTCGGGATTGAAAGTTAACATCTTATCTAACAGTTCTATAGCTGTAAACAAGGACAGATAGACAGTTAATGAATAGCCTTAAACAACTGCAGTCAGGTACAATATTTAACCCTATCACTCCTTAGATCTCGTTAGTTTTTCTCCTTACAGCAACACTCTTCTCAAAATGTTAGTTTGGAGAATTTGATATCCACTTATACTCCCCCAATTAAAAATTTCCATTGGTCTCATTACTTGTATGCTTGGCCTTGTATCAATATTATATGAAGAAATTATGAGTTATTGTCAAAATAGAAATATCCAAAGTGAAAATTTTCACACCAATCGAACAAATTTTCCTTTTTTTCCAAAAGCAAATGTAAATTTTTTTAAAAAATTTTTTCCCCTATATATTATACTTACATATGTACATACACTATACTTACTTCTTACACGATGCTTACACTACATTAACTTGCACTACTTACAATACATATATTACAATATAATTACACTAGTCAAATTGAATTACAGTTGATCTATTTCTGTTATTGTTTGCATGTTAATTGTTCAAGTCACAGAGAAGAATTTTGTTTGTTAATTACACTACATAGCAAAAGTAAAATTGGACATTGCATTTATGAGGTACTTTTGGACTTGACTCGTTGAATATTTAACTTGAAACATACAAACATCTAGTTGCCAATGTGGTGACTAGACCACAACTTTCAGCTTTCAGAGAGAAAATATTACATGTAGTTGCATTGGTGCACATATCAGTTGCACTCTCAAGTCCTGTTCAGTGTAAGAGTTGCAAACCAAAGGCTGCATCAGACAACATATTACTGATGTGATGTCGATAGTTATTAAGAGCACAGAGAAGCCATATACATCTAATTGGTACCTTTGTTATCAGCTACAGGGAAATATCTTTGCCATGGAACTCTTGGTTTAAAGGCTAATGACTGGATGTAACTACGTGCCTGGGCAAATGAAAGAATTAAAAAAAACACTATTAAAAGGGTACTGTTGTTAAGTATGGGTTGTTCTGGGACATGATAAGAGACCAATTGCACACCAGATATCAATTGCACAACATCAGAAGGCAAGGCTACATGCAGATTGCTTTATATGCCCAAAGATACACTGTAGATAACTATACAACTAACCACATGTAACAGGTACACATGCACATGCTAAAATAACAAAACAAAACAAAAGCAACAACAAAAACTACAAAAACAAAGAAAACCCTCCAATATACATGTACAAGTTCAGCAAATCAGTTGACAAACATGTATGCAGTTTTCCAGGCAAGTGATAGAATTTTATCAGTTTTAATGTGTTCCATTCAACACCTGCTATCTGATAAACTGTATCACTTGCTTCTGAGCAATTGCTAGCTGTACTTAAATAAACACTGTAAAACTGTCACAAATATAAAATCATACCTAAGAAAACACATGCAGACTAGTGTGTAATACTGTACCTTTTCATTCATAATACACTGCAAATCTTCCTGTGATGGGGACCCCAAAACTTCAAGAATGCGGTTCAACTGATCTAAATCTGTACACAACTTTTGTAAAGAAAACAATAACTGTACGGTTCCTATAATATACATTTTGTAACAACAGGTAAGATAAAGAAACATACTAAAATAAGCATACTGAGGCATACAGGCAGGCAACTTCCCTAAAAAAAGAGATAGAGAAAGATTTACCCTATTATTAACCCTTTAACTCCCACAAGTGATTTACTTGTAACTTTTCCCTATCATATCCATACATTATCCAGCCAACAGGTAATGAAAATACTCAGACTAATCAGAAAGAAGTTATCTTGATCTAACTCCAAACTCTCAGAACTTATATACATGTACAGGGAAATATGTACCAGTTAGAGGGGAGAGTTAACAATCAGATCTTGGGAGTTAAAGGGTTGAATACAACATGAAGTATTTGCATGAATGTCTGAGGACCCCTATTTTGACAATATAGTCAATTGGCAACTGAAGTCCTTTGTGAAGTAAATGTGGATCTATAGATGCCTTCAGTGTGATCCCATCTTGAAGAAGCCCTACCATCCCAAGGGCCCACTGATAGGAAACCCTTGATCACTACTTGGAGGCGTATTGGGAATTTTAAACTATAACAGAGAAGGCTCTGTGCATGTTTTTTAAAGTACTCATCTTACTGAATCATCACTCCACAAACAAAAGAATTTGGAGTGTGTTTCTTCCAATATCCTTATAAAGATTTGCAATTAGGGTGCAAATAGTATCTAACTTCAACAAAACATTTCAAGAAAATGTTTGATCTACATGTATTAAAAGCCTCTATGGATAAAATCTTTAGACTCTCAAGAACAAAAGCTCATTTCTCCAAATTAAATAGCACATCCAGTTAATGACATGAATTGAGATGCCTACACAACCCTGTTATCAAAAAGGGTCAGTGTTACATTATGAGTCAGCTCTCATCTTCTGATCAGCTGATCGCTTTTAACATTGTAAAAGTTTTTCAGTAAATTCAAGGATACAATGCTTTCCTGGAAACAGAGGGCGATTTGACAACATCTCTGCAAGAATGCAGCCCACAGACCAGATGTCAATAGCCTTGCTGTAACCTTTGGAGTTCAGCATGATCTCAGGAGCTCTGTACCATCTTGTTGCAACATACTCAGTCAAAAACCCAGTGTGATCATGTTCAGGATCAGCTACACGGGCCAGGCCAAAGTCACAGATCTGAAAACAAACACAACAAAAACATGTAAATAGTTCAGCAGCAGTATTTACTTTATTGCCTGATTGTCTGGTTGCAAGTACATGTAGTTATGTACTGTCTGATTGACTGTTGTTCAGAGTTTTTTGTTGAAGCCACGGCACTATGATCTTTACTTTATTCAACTGTTTAATATCTGTCACAGCTATTTTATTCAGTGCTGTAGCTAAAGTGCTTATGGGAAGAGGGTTTTTTTTTAAACAGTTTCGGCAAATTTACTCATAGTCCTAGTTTACGACGTTTTTTTCAATGTGTTATAGACCAGCAGTTCACAATCAGTCATTGTAGCATTTATTTTCATTGTTGCTATGATGTGATTTTGGTTCTTAGCTTTTCACATGTTCTTCCAGCTATTCAAAAATTTTGGAAAAGACCCTGGTCAGTAACTGAAAGTCAGTGACAATTTGCTGACGTGTGGGGAAGTCATCATCAGAGTCAATAAAAAACATTCTGGATAAATCCATAGTTACACATGATTACCCCTTAAACCTCTACCTTCTAATTTCTCCTTTCAGTATCCCCCATGTTAAAAAGTTAACGCCACAAGAATATGTATGATTCCCAATTCAAAAGGTTTCTGATAAACAAATTCTCCTTTTAATCATAGGAATTCAGGACAGTATGGAGAATATGTATACACGTGTTAGGGTATTAACCCTTCAACTACCAAGATCTCATTGGTAATTCTCCTTACTGTCTGCTATACAGTTCTTGCGAAGTTAGCTTGGAGAATTTGGGATTGGATCAACTTATAATCCCCTAATTGATCTTTTTCTTTATTCTCATCACTTGTCTCCTTAATATTGTATTGATATTGTAAGGAGAAATTATGTCTTGGTCGCTCGTGGGAGTTAAAGGGTTAAGAGTTCAAAGTATGGTTCATCAAAACTGACTTGTACTCAGGTTAAAAATGGTGGTTGCAGAGACTAACAACAGTCTTTCTTAGGACTGACCACAACCCAAACAAACAAAGAACATGATAAACTGTCACTAGTGCAATCAAAACCATTTACTCTGTTACAGCTGTTAGTTCTATTGGTAAAAGGCTTCTACCTCTTTTCTTTACCATAAATTTAAAGTTTAAAGAACATTTTCAACTATTCGACTACAATATTTTTCAAGCAGACAAGGGATCTGTCACACAAAAATCGATAAATTTGTATCTTACTGTAAAATTACCTTGAGATCACATGTTGTGTTCAGCAAGAGATTACTTGGTTTCAAATCCCTGTGAAGCACATTAGCGGAGTGGATGTACTTTAGTCCACGCAAGATCTGGTATAGGAAGTAGCAAATGTGGTCATTGCTCAATTTCTGTGTCTTGAGTAACTTATACAGATCTGTTTCCATCAGGCTCTGAACAATGTAGCTAGATGGAAAAATTCAGGTTAAGGAAAAGAACCTACAATGGTAGATTGGCACAAGTATAAGCCTCTTTGCAAATCTTCCTCCCAGATGTTTGCTTGTGAGGGAACATCTGGTTCACCAGAACAATAATTATTCTCCTATGTGATTGGTTAACAGAGAGTATTTTCTCTAAAGTGCAGATGTTACAAATGATTAAGACCACTCAGACATGTAGTTGTAACTTGGCCAATAAGTCATTTTTATTTCAAAATGTCCCCTGCATGAGAATTTTTGTATCAGTATATAATCAATCTGCAATGCTGCGATGTCTCAGTGGCACTTTGGAAAAGACACACAAGAACTCTCGTTATGATCAACAACAGTTTATTGATCAAACAACTCTGAAATGCAGACATCACAAACATTTAGCAATAAACGACAACAGATGTAAAGACACAACAATATAATGTTTTGAAATAAGAGCAATGTAAACAGTTGAGTACATTTGATGAGCTTTACCCTCAAAGGAGACAGTCACGGCACTATTTTAAAACTGAAACGGGAAAATAATTTGGTTGAGAAAGTGTTCGTGGCTCAAAACAAAGCTTGACGGTTGTAACTAACGCATTTTGAATGAAAAAATTCATTTTGGGTTTTAATTTGAAAATCATGACGCTTTAAGTGAAGTAGTACAGTTGTTAAAGGAAGGCACTCGGTACTGCGGTTAAAAATATGAATATAGCATGCTTACGAGGAGAAACAACAAAAAATAAGAAGGCTTTTGGAGAAAATCGCTGTTGCGGATCGCAAAATGTAGCAATATGTGATGTTTCGCTGCATTAAGTATTCTTGCACTCACGACATGCTAAGAAATGGAAGTAAAACTTAAATTAAGCACATTTTTACAAATATTTCGTAAAATTAATACGCATAGGGTGACTCTTAGTTTACACTACGTCATTCTTTAAAACATTTTGATTTCCATGCTTTGAAAAGCTGCTTAAGATAAGCAAATTTATAGTGTAATTGTTCGGCTCGTGTTACTACCGAACTTAACCAACATTGAAAATCAGAAATTTCTAGAGAAATGGTCGTAATACTTAACGTAGTTCTCAAAGGATACACATCTTTCATGTCATCAATGTTTGGAGCGCGGATTATATCCATTATTCCGATGATCTGCACAGAAAGGAAGGAAATTATCGACTACTGGGTCTAAGATGCATAACACGTACGTGAAGAAGATGGTAAATGCTACAACGAGAGAAACACGACCCACGTAATAAAAATTCTAAAGCGCTGATGGAATGTTCCCATACGCGTCACGTTCCTCTCAAGAGTCCGTCTACAAACCTCACTCGTGTTTTTTTACAGTACTTACATTCTCGTGTTTAAATCGACGTAATATCTTAATCTCTCGCAATGTCCGTTGACAGTACGTCTGATGCTCGAAAGGACTGATTTTCTTAATAGCCACTCTCTGTCCTGTGGCATTGTCCAGCGCTGAACTGTGTAAAAAAGAAAAAGAGCAAGAACATGAAACGTTATAATTTCACTCAAGTAAATGCAGAGCAAATCGAATACAGTTGCGAAGCTACACTCCGTTCGAATTGGCTGGGAGAACGAAACATTTGGTGTCAACAGCGGCCTCCTTACCAAACCATTCCATAAGCCCCTTCTCCTATGTAACTGAGATTCGTATAGCGAGGTCCTACATCGAATGCTTGGCCCCGAACGACTTCAGGCGGTAAAGGTGCCGCCATATTTGAGTCAGCTTCCGTTTCGTCTACAACGCGGTACCGAGGCTGACGCACCCTGCAGTAAAAGTCTAAAAATCCCTGTTCCCAGCATGCTGTCCGACATGCGCAAACTTAGGCACGTATAGAGTGCAAATTAGCCCTTTGCTCTAGAAACAATTGTAAATTTATCATAAAAACTTAGTTCGATCAATTCAAGGCAACTCTTTTTTATTCATATCTGTAATCATGAGGAAGGTTGATTTGCACCCGAAAACTGACACTTTTATTATGGATTTTCGTAACAGCTCATTCTTTTCCGTGGAGAAAATCAATGCTGGATATATTGTAAAGATGGGTGATTACGCATCCTGTATTGAAATTTTAATTCTTATTTTCAATAGACCGTTAATGAAAAAAATCCCTTCTCTTGTCCACTGGCGAATATCAACACAGGAGGGAAGTTGATTGGAACTTCCTTTCCTGGACTCACGCCCACTCACTCATCAAATCGGAACAAGAAAGAGAGCAACCCATAGCGTAAGGGGAAAAAATATAACAGGAACTTCATATTTGGATATTTTTTCTTAAATTTGTTTTTGAATTTTTTTTCTTAGCGGGAAGTTGGGGAGTGAGTAAATTATCCACTTTGTTAAAGAGAAACAAGTCAGTCTCTGTTTATACCGCTTTACCATGATCTGCTCATTTATACACGGATTAATGTACGCAGTTAAAATTTTTTCCCTTTTAACTAGCGTGTAATTTCTCCTTACAGTATCACCCCTGAATCACACATTAATGTCACGAGAATGAAGGGAATGATTACCCACTAAAGAAAGTCTTGATTGTGAAAAACAAGATTCTCGTTATCAGCTTAGGAAATGTGAGAGAACAGTCTGAAAAATGTGCATTCTGACGTTAGGGTGTGAAGGGTTAGGACACTGAGCTGATGATAAATTGTAGATTTGCCTCTGTAAAGGGAAGTTTTTGTTGAATTCCACTCGCGTTGACCGGACAAATGTGAATATTTTTACTTTAAAAATTTTCATGCAGAGAAGTGCTCTTTTTTCCCTTCCCTTCGCCCACGCAACCAGTGTTAAAATACTGAAAGAGAATATTTTTTTTTTCACATCGGACGCATGTTTTGGACACCCACAAACTGTAAAAACTTGAAATCCCTGAGAAAAATTAACTTAAATACTTGGTAAGTATGATCCCGTTGTGTTTTCTTGCAAAAAAAAATAACAACAACAAAAATGATAATTATGGGAACATTTTAGGTAACTAAAAATATAAAGGAACTGTCAGATGAGTTGGTACGCCCACAAGGAAACCGCCAGCTGAACGAGAAACGACACACTGGAGCATATTACAAATATAATTTTTTCTTAACAATGACGGGGTCCTATGCAAATTGACCAACTCTCTCTCCCCTCTCCTTTCCTTGCCAAGCCTTGAGTTTGAATAACCTGGGGCCTAAGTAGGATTTAGAGAAGGGAGGTTCTAAGAAATGTCCCAAAGGGGATCGAAAGGGTTTTCAGTTTTTCAGCGTTTAAAGGGATGAAACAATCTCTGTTTTGTGGTTTTTTCAAACATGTCTATTGAAGTTTTTCGTCAGAAATCGTACGTGTTTAGACGTGTCCCATTTCAGTCAAGGGGGTTAAACCAAACCACCCGAACCCTGCCTCCCCCCCTCAACTGGATCCGCCTCAGCCGACCAGAACTGAATTGGGTAAATGACTAACCATATTATACAAAAGTTTCTTTAAAAATTTCGAACCTATGGCCCGAAAACAACCACAACAACATCAACAGGTCTGAATGCTACCAGACGGACTGCAAATCGAGGTGTATCTGAAGATTGCCGAATTTCTAACCATCTTTTTATATGCAGACCACATAATGCGTTCGTGGTTAGTAATTGTCGACATGAGACGAACAAAATTCACGAGGGTTATGAGTAAAGCTCTGAAATTTGCATATCGAAATTAAATCTCGGTCTGAATATCCCAAAAAAGTTAAATCAAATGTTAATCGACTCATTTGTGGTATTTTTTCTCCTTCATGGGCCGTTTGAAGCGTCTTTGTATGAAATTACCGTTTTGCCGGAGGACATTAAGAGAAGAAAGGGAGACTCCTATGGTGTGGTCTAGCCTACCCGTGATCATTTATGCCTTCATTGCTAGAAGAACCGCTGAAACGATGTTCCAACATTATTTATCGCCTGGAGGAGTGAAGGTTTTTTTTTTCCGTTGGGGGGAAAGGGGAAACACATGGTTTTCAGGGGGGGAACGGATTAAAACCGTTACTTAACCGAAGAATCAATACAAACCCCCATCGAGCTTTGAAGGGAAAAGTCATAGCTCAATAACGCACCTACCTAGATAAAATTTTATTAAAATTTCAATTAAGAAAAAAATACGACACCTATCAACAAATTAAACAACTATTGACCGAAGTGGAGGTGGCTAACTCGGGTGAATATGTAAAGTGGCAAGGTAATTATCCCTCACAAGCCACCCACACTGAGGTGAATAGGCTTTAGTATATGTATATGAAAGCAGTGAGATTGTAGAGCACAACCAGACAATTTAAATCATTATTCTTGCAAAGATTACGATATATTTGGGCGCGAGTTACCCGGAGATGAATAGGTTTTCCAGGGAGTAGCCAATCAGAGGGCTCCTTCGACGCTATTCGATGTTTTAGCATATACTAATGCATGCAGACTACAGTTACTATATGTTTACCAATTTACAACTCATTTTAGAGATCTAAGAGAGAGATATATCTACATATATATAACAAAAAGGATGGAAATAATATAATTGGGCAACTTTTTTTTCCCGCACGCGTTGGCAGACTATAAGAGAATGGTCTCGCTACGGCAATAGGAGCTCTATCCATTCGCATATGACGCAGCGATAAGATGGGTCGCGGCGACTTTTATTATAAGTTAATGTGCGTTTCTCGCCGAAAGCTTTGTTAGTCTCTGATTCCGAAGAACTGCTTTTGGATTGGCCTTTTCACTCTCAAGATCGAGAAGGTAAAAATATTTCAATTCATACAGTGAGAATACCAGGAAACGAAAAGAAAATTACTGGATTTTGAACTAAGACGAGCATTACTCCTCCCTTCAGTGGCTTCAGGGCTGTTAAGTTGCCAGGACTTTTGAGAAACGCGTCCAGTTAGCTTAAAGGATCTTGTTGTAGGAAACCTCACGCTGAAAGTGTCAGTCCGACCCTTGGAGCTTAGGGCCTGGGCACTAACCATCTATCAGATAAGGGCGCTGCGTTAAACGGCGTTAGGTTTTAGATCAGCATCGATAGACGTTTGTAAATCTTGAAGCTCGCTTTGTATTGTATATTGCTGGGGCATGGGTAGAAAAATGACAGCGTTACGGAAAAATCTTGCAAAAAATTAGTTTACACACATTAACAGCATTCCCTTATTCCCCATGGTTTTGTCGTTGAGCGAGGAAAAAGCAGTAACTCTTACTCTAAGCAAACACAGAAGCCAAGTAGTAGGCTCCTGGCAAACGTCCGTGTACGTAAACAAGAGTATCAGACAAACATTTCTTTGAAACAATAAGTTTAAATTTCCAGCGCTTTCTACCTAAACCATATTTACTTCTAGCTTTGAAAATTTTTTTCATTATGATAAATTTTGAACATCGAAAATTATTATTTTGGCAAAAGATAATTAGGTTTTACCAACTGAGTTGACAATAAAAATTTGTCACCGTATGCCATATGCAGCCTAGAATAATTAGGGAGACTAAAATGACCAGCGACTAGTTTGGATGCGTCCTAATCGTTCCTTTCTACGTCGCGAAGGTGTTCTCGGAATTGGTCACCTTATCGTCTTTCTGTTTTACCAATGTATAGCTTTTTGTATAAGTTATACAACAGATGACATTGGCGGAGGTGTTCGTGAATTAATCACTCAGTCTTAATAGACCTCTTGGGTCCCAACATTTCCTTTACGTTATGAAGGAAAGGATAAGGTTTGCATCGTGCGCGAGTGCATTTGAAAGTTCCAAGTTGATCATTAGTTAATTTGTAATGAAGTTCTGACTAGTTTTGCCCATGAATTTGTCGCGTTTGAATGAAATGAGTGGAGGTTGCGAAAAGATAGAGTCAGTATCTGAATCAATTTGAAGTAATTTAAAGTTTTTGAGAATGACAGATTTAACTGTGTGGTTATAGAGCGATTGATCATGAGTGTTGGCACTAATTCAGCTAGGCGGAGTAGTAGTAAGGTGTGTATTGAGACACATTCACGCGAACAGAGTGGATTTCATTCTTTATGACAAGGCCTGCATATGGTGACTGGGTAAATGATCATATTGATCATTAGACGAGCGTACACTCTGAGAAAAACAATCGACTGCAATAAACAGAATAAACGAAACACTTACCGTACACTTATCTAGGCTTTACCCTCAAGTATTCGCCTAGAATCAGAACGGAAACGAAGGGTTTTTTTTTTTGCTCAAACGGAGCCTTCTGATATACTGCTGAGCAGTTCAGAAAAGAAAGGAGAATAGCTGCATACGCTGGTTAAGTGAAACCAATCGCTCGAGGAGTCTGCTTTGACTATATATTTATTAGACAGGAATACACTATGTAACTAAATGTGATTAATGTGTTTTTACTTTATTCAGCTGTAGCAGTATTTTAATTTAAACACAGTTAACCTTCTCCGAAAGTGTCAGGATGTAACGATTAATAAATAATTTCGCACCTTAAGGCTCAAAATATCTTTTTGTTATTTAAATCTTCCTATTCACCTGCTCCACAGCTTTTGTAGATGCCAAAAAGGATAAGCTGTATTTTATTAAAACAATAACATGCACTCGCGATCGAATGCAGGAGTAACAAAGAATTCTCTTCACAAAAAACCATTTCCCGGGTAATGAAATTACAAAATGAAGTCTGCAAAGAGTTGCGACTGATTAATTTTCACTGCTTACCAAAGACACTGCAATCATCCCTAATTAAAATGTTCCAAAGGTAAATGAATGATCCAACTAGTATGTCAAACTAAACAAACAATTTGTAAATTGGATTGACTTTGTGGGAGAGCGCATAAATTACGGAAAGTTTTTGGCTTGCCACAAATTCGCCGAGTAAAGCACAAATGCTTCAGTTTACGGTGATAGAGAGAAGGCCGTTTTGCCCAGAGAAAAAAAATCCTGAACTGTTTAACTTTACAGTGATAATGTGCTTTCATTTTTAAAGTTTGACAGAAAATGTCTTCATCGTACACAGTATTTTTCGACGACTACTGGTTCAAAACAAGTCTTCCTAGTATAATCGTGTACGCCGTCGTTTCCGCGTTCACTATCTTTGCTAATCTGCTTCTTTGTGTGGCCTTCTGGAAAGATCCCTTCGGCGAATTGAGAACAGCTCAAAACTACTTTATTCTAAATCTGGCTATCGCAGATCTTGTTATGGGCGTCATTTCAGAGCCATTGTTAGTGGTCACGTATTGGCATGATAACAACCTGATATACTTCATTCATTACCTGTTCGCCGTTCTTGCTGGGACTTGCTCTCTAATGAACATCACGGCGCTGTCTATAGTCCGTTACTATGCTGTAAAGCAGCCCTTTCAGACGCAAAGTATTGTTAGTGAGCGTAGCGTGATGATTGGAATCGGCTTTATGTGGGTAACAGCTTTTCATTATCCCATATTACTCTTGCTTGGATGGAGGAATGACATGTTTCAGCTTTATTTGTATGTTTTTGCCAGTATCATTCCCACTATAATTTTTACCGGGGCTTATTTTCTGGTATACAAGACACTGCGTCGTCACAGTATCTCGCTGAAGCATCTCGGAGAGGGAAAAAGTTTGGCTCTTAGCAACGCTCTCCGTACCGAAAAAGCAGCAACGCGAACAGTTTTGATAGTTCTTGTGGCTTTTTTAAGCATGTGGATTCCTTTTTTGATCATAGACTTTATTATCGTTCATTGCATAACTTGCAGAGACGAACAGTTTCATCTTGCGAGGGATGTTACCCTCTCGCTGGTTTATTTCAGCAGTGGGATAAATCCCGTAATTTACGCGTGGCGGGTGAATACGTTCAGGAGAGCTTTTCTGCGTGTACTGGGCATAACGAAGCCATTTTCCTCGCCCGAGACATTGTGGAATAGACTTCCCAACACCAATCGTAATTATCAGTCAACGACCGTTAGTTTCATCAGAATTAAGAGAGAAGGACGTTTGGAAATAAACAGTCCAAGTTTAAAGTTAGAAGATATAGACTCCATAATTGGTCAAATAACTCAAGAAATAGACCCAAGCGAATAATACTTTTGAACATGTGGGCCCTTGCGAAATATATGTTTTTTGTTGAGCAGTCACTTCTTGGGTATCTCCAAAAATTTTGACCTAAAAGACGCTCAAATCATTATGTTTAGAGTTCAGAGTTCAGAGTTCAGAGATGCTTTCTTTCTCTTCACAAACCAAAGCCATCTTGGGGAAATCCAGAGGAAAGAAGCTGTCTTGGAAAAGAGACCATCATGGACTAGTGTAATATGAGACCTTCAGTTGACTGCATTTCTTCAGAGGGAAAAACATCAGTTTCTAGCCATAGAAAATGAACAAAAATTGATCCATCAAGGAATATTGTAACCTCTGAATGTGTGATATAATAAAAGCGAAAAGCATACCTTTCATTTTTAGAGGAAAACGCGTATACAATTAAAACGAAACGAGTGAGGTGCACTCGTACATTAAGTCGATCAATTACTTTACATTAGCATTGCAGACATTACAGTTTATTATTTCCTGCCTTGAGACAGAAACCTGTCAACGATTGTCTGCTCAAAAGAGTTGTCGCACTCTTCGTAACGTCTTTCTTCAGTCCATGATTTACTGGACCAGATGATTAGTTTCTAAAGAAACCGTGTGATGCGTCGGCTGGCATGAGAAATAATTGGTTGGCCAGATCAACCATAAATTAATAACGGTGATAAATTGCTATAAAGAATACGGAATTGTTCAGCCTATTCAACGAAGAAAAGCCTCGAGAAACCCGGCGCGTTACAGTGTTCTTTGGAGATTCTGCTTATTGGGTCTTTAGAGCGTTTACGCAAGAAGCTTTTCGGTAACACTCCGATACCTCAGACTGCTGCCAAGTTTGACAAAAGAAGTATCACTCCTAATAACCAAAATCTCAGCGCCACAAAACCAGCAATTCAGGCTTCTCTGTCGTTTCTATTTCTTGTTGCGCAACTGACCTTTACATCACCGTGGCGCCAAGCATTAAGTCAAGCTATTAACTCCTTAACCCCCAAGAATGACTAGTATCTAATTTCTCCTTACAATTTTATCCCCGGAATCACACATTAAAGTTGTGGGAATAAAGGAAATGATCACCAACTAAAGAAATTCTTAACTGTTAAAAAAATTTCCTTTTCAGCACCCTGGGAAATGTATAGGGAACAGTAGGGAGAATTTGCCCACTAATGTTACAGAGGAAAGGGTTAAGGTCATAACCAAAGCTTAAATATAACTTTTTTGAATTTCAATTTCGCCAACGAGTACAAATTTATTTTCACCATGGATATCACACTTTCATAACTCTTATTCCAAACAACGAAGGGCATCAAGCCCGAATTACTCTTTTTAATCATCGACTGACCAACCAATCGTCAAGTGAAACTATAAACGCCACAAAGATCTCGGGGAAATGCAATTCTTTTTACGTTACCTAATCATGCCATAAATGACACAACCTGACACTGCTAACAGTTGCTCAAACTGCTGTAGAATGACCCAGAAACAGGCATAATTTTTATTTTATCACCCCCTATCTCCTTAAACCCAGACAAGAATATTCATTTGGTAATTTGATGGTGAGAAACGAGGTTCTTCGGCTATAACTGACACGCAACCAGGTTCTCGGACAAGTTGTGATCAGTCATCCCTAGGCCCTCAGCGGACATTCAGCTCATTTACCACGCACCATTCATCATTTTCGTCAGAGGAGGAGAGGGTGGAGGATCTTGGGGGAGGGGGTTTACATGGATTTTTCGTAAGCACGAAGGGGGGGGTCTATCGTCGTCGAGAGAGTGTGAGGAGGGAACTGTAGAAAATTGAGTGCCAATTACTATCAATGACAGGGGGGGAGTCATATATATAGAACTTGGCAGAGCCATCTAGGGGGATCAGGTAGTAAAGTTTATCGTAACGCAACAAAATCCTCCATACACCTTCCCCTTCTCTCAGGCGATAAATAATTAACATTGAACACAAGCTGCCAAACAGCCCGCTAACGTCGCGATATGATGTTACAATTTCTGTTCATTTCAATCATTCATCAGCCAGCACAAATAATAATAATAATAGCAATGATAATAAAAAGGAACTGGCTGGGCTTTGACCGAGGTAACGGAGACTCATGCTGCATATTGTTTATAAAGCCGTTTTAACTGATTGCGTGGCGAGTGCAAGAAAGAGGCCTGGTCAGCCAGTGGATGGCAGTCAAACTCTTAATGTTTTCTTTCTTAATGACGCAGCAGCTGGTTAAAACACTAGCCTTTTTTACAAAAGGCGGTGATGACTTATGCATTAATCTAGAGTCGTATTTTGACCATTTATTGGCGATAATTTGAATATTTTGATTTACTAGAAGAAAACGACGCCTTCAAGTCTGGCGGTAGTCAAATTAGTTTAAAAATGCTGTGAGCATTTTCGCTGAGATTAAACCAACCTCACCATTGAAGAATGTTCATTTCGGTGACTGCACCAGTGAATCTCAAGACTGAGTTGTGAACAATTCCCTGTCAACGGCATTTCAATAAGTTGGGACAATTACGAGAGTTACGAAAGAACATCATCGACTAAACTATCTTCTTTAAACAAAATTTGTCTTGTTCTCATGCAAATTTACATCGAGGGGGTAAAGTCATCCGCCATATTTAGAAAACAAAACGTGATTCCATTTCAGCGAAATTTAATGTGTTGCCCCTTAAAAGCATTTCTAATTTCCTATGGAAGACTCTCGAAAGACAATTAAAAATAGAGCAAATTGGTGTTTAATTCCTCCCAATTTTCTAAAGAATATGAGTAAAACCAACACACCGCAAAATATCATTTTAACAAGCAATACGTGAGGTCGGTTCCAAAAAAAAATTGCAGTCCCCTCTTTTTTGAGAAGGTAACCCAGCAGGACGCATTTTTTGAAACAAGTTTTTAGGTGGATAAATGCTGTGATAAGAGCGAATAGAAGAGCTTCAAAGATTTTATTGTGACTTGTGGGTTTCTGAGAATCTTTGTCGATAACTTCGTGGCGAGCAGAGCATAACATATACCGAGCATAACATATACCGGAAAGGTGAAGCTGAATCACTGGAAAATAACTTTTGGATCGAAGCCGTCCTTTGATGTTTTTTTATTGAGTCAGAAAGCAAGGAAAGATTTTCCGAAGGGTAACAATTTTCTATATTAACGAAATTGCGGCAGGATCGCAAGACATGTCTTCCTCATACACGGTCTTTTTTGACAAGTACTGGGTCAACACTAGTTTGACAGTGATGATAGTTTATGCCATCGTATCGTCGTTCACGGTCTTCGCGAATTTGCTTCTCTGTGTGGCATTTTATAAAGATCCCTTCGGTGAACTAAGGACTGTGCAGAATTACTATATTCTCAATTTGGGAATCGCTGATCTTATCATGGGCGTTATTTCAGAACCTCTGATGGTGGTAACTTACTGGAATAGTCACAGCCTTATATATTTCCTTCATTATTTGTTCGCTATCATCTCAGCGTCGTGTTCTTTACTGAACATCACAGCGCTCTCTATAATCCGCTATTTTGCCGTGAAGCAGCCCTTTCAAACGCAGAGCATCGTTAACAAACGGAGCGTGTTGATAAGTATTGGTGTTATGTGGGTAACAGCCATTCACTATCCCATGCTTCTCGTTGTTGGATGGAGAGAAAAAGCATTTCAGCTGTATTTGTATGTTTGCGGTTGCATTATCCCTACTATAGTCTTTCTTGTGGCTTATTTTCTGGTATACCGCACGCTACATCGCCATACAATTTCGTTAAAGCATCTGGAACAGGGGAAAAGTCTGGCTCTCAGTAACGCTCTGCGTACAGAAAGAGCGGCGACACGAACAGTTTTGCTGGTCCTTGTCGTATTTCTGAGTCTATGGATTCCTTTTTTGATCATAGACTTCGCCGTTGTTCAATGTCCTAACTGCAGAACCGCTAAATTTCATCTTGCTCGGGATATTACTCTTTCGCTTGTTTACTTCAGTAGCGGGATAAATCCGCTAATATATGCCTGGCGGGTTAAGACGTTCCGAAGGGCGTTTATCCGTGTACTGGGTCTTCAAAAGCCTATAGAAAGGAGCGTTTGTTTTTGGAAGAGGATCTCCACATCTGAGGCTTCCCTACGTTTCCGTGTTGACAGCTCTGACAAAAAATCTAGGACAACGGATTTAGGCGTGAAATCAGAATCAGATGATGTCAGTGTAGGTCGCGTTAATGAAGCATTAGAGTTGAGTTAGACTTTTTTTTTTAAAACAAAACCCAAGATATCTTATGAACAGTCGATTAGAGAGTTTTTATGTCATTTCCTGGGAGGCTCCAGGCCTAAAGAAAAAAAAACATTCTACTCTTTTGTTTCGCATTGAGAATCACACGATAGAGACAGGTGCAATATTTTTTCCTTTTTTTAACGGTGTATTTAGCAAATCTCTGTGGGTTATGTAACAAACAGCAGAAATCTGATATCAACTTTCGACATAGTCGCGAAGCCCAATGTACATGGCAATTGAAAATAGTATGCTGTTGTTAAGCGCGCAGCCTCTGATGCTAGGAAAATTACGATAGTGTTGATGAAAGCTGTTATTAAATGCGTTGGTCAAGAGAAAAGCCGTTTGACTAGAAAACTAGTTAAACAAACGCAAATGATGAAAAGACAAAAAAGTGAAAGTTCCTTGTGTGATCGGTGCCGAAGATATTTCGTAATATACCTAACATTTACCTTGCCATTTAAGATCATCATAAGGTATGAGATGTGATGAGTTAAGGCATCGAGTTTCCGGTGGCAACACAAAATAGTCTGTCGAAGTTAAGTACCAAATGAAAACTATTTAAATAAAGATACAATTTGAGAAAAAACAACGAGCCAGACGCCTTCCATCCTGTGCAAGTCTAAGAGGAAAATGAAGGGTAAAGAAGATTCTTAAGTTGTATTGATTGTATCATGTTGGTGGGTGCTCAGCTTTTTACAATGACAACCAACGTGCGAGGCCGAGCCGTACGTGTATCACATCATTCAACATATCTGGCTAATGGCGCTGAAACAGATATTTACATAAACTAGAAGTTTCGAATACCTTTTTAAAGTTTTTTTTAGATTTAACGTCCTAATTGGTCGTGTGTTTATAATAATAAATAATAATAACCAACGATTCGAAGAGAGCTTCGCTAAAGTGGTGCCTATTGCGCATGCCTTTTCAGCATCTTATGCCCCTGATGTCAAGTATTCATGTCTTGTATCTGTAATTCGTACCGACTGGTAGAAATATTCATTTACTCAGCTTCTTCTACTGCACATGCATGTAGCAACATTTCACGATGTTAACACTGTGGAAAAGGAAACAAGCAAACTAATTCTGAGATCTGGTGCAATCAAATAAAAAAGTGTGCTCCAATTTTGAAAGCAATCATTTAAAAATATTCTAAGAGTGATTTTACGTGTGTCGAAGGCTTTCATTCTCTTGACCTAGAATCGAAAGATCTTTTCTTTTCCCACTTATATATGTCGTGAATCCAAAATACATCGTAGCGAATTGTTTCGTGCAGTTGGGAAAAATAAAGCATTTCCATTGATAAAAATTTATAAAGATAAAACTTTCTCTGACAACGGCCCGTCGATAAATTTAATGATCCACTGTCAGAAATTTGAGATCCCGAAGAGTAACCAAACCGTTCATAAAATGGTTTCCAAATATGCTGAAAATCGACTTTGGACGGTACCATCTAAACCACAACTCAGTATTAGCTAGCCGCGCACGCATAGCAGTGGTGAGCAAAAACAAAATCCTTGTTTGAGTCAAAAATGACTTTAATTGTTGTGATTAATTGTTTCGATCAAACGCTAAAAGATGGAAGAAAGAGGAGTGAAACTTGCTTATGTTACAGGTAAGGAGCCAGGTTGCTAGGCAGGTTTCATAAGGGCGGCCTCCAAAGTCGAAAGTTAGCACATTTCAAAGACAAGTTTGAATAGGTAAGATGAGTTGTTAGAGTCTCAAACCGTGATCAGTAAAGCCTGGTTTTTACGGCGAAGAAAGCACAAACGTAAGCACAAACACATGCTTAAGGTAAAACGAACGTCGACAAGCACAAGCTCTAACGCAAGAAAAAGGAAAAATTCTGATTCTCCTTTTGGTGCTTGTGTTTATGGTTATGTCAAAGCCGTTTTCACAGTGATATATAAGCTGTTGTGTTTGCTTGTGCCTGTGCTTGTTTCGTTAGTGAAAACCAGGCTTAACATAATTTCCATACTCTATTTAATGATTGACATAAAAGTTATACGGTTTGTGGACTACATTTCTCCTTTAATATTTAAATAAAGATGGGGTCTTATATTAGTTTTTACTGTTTGATTGCATGGTGTTCCTGCACTCCCCTGAAAGTTAAGGTCGCGCAATTATTTAAATTCCACATTATCTTTATTTCCCTACAGTTTTTCCTCTCAAGTGTTTGATGAAAAAGGAAAAGATAGGTCACGGAGATTGTTTAGGAGTAATCAGAAATTTCTTCGACTTAAGTAGGCTATACCATACTTTTCAGAGCGAGAGTCCTGAGTTCAGCCGTTTGCGACCGCTGTTATGCGGAGAACAGGATGTGAGTTGCAATAGTAAGGAATCACCTCAAACAAAAGGCATTCCTTACCATGTAAGGAAGACTTCAGTGCTGGCTATTTTTACAAACTTGGGCTTGTCTCATCTTCCAGAAAACACAGAAGTGTAGATTTCCGACTACTAAAAACGCTTAGTCTTTTTCTTGAATTTTACAGTCACTGTTCGAATGCACAATTAAGATGTAAGGTAAGGTGATGACTGTGAGCCGGCTATATACAGAGAAATTTCTTCTAGTTCTCCTGTACTTGTTCAAGCAAGGTTGGTTTATACATGCCTAACGACAAGGTACGATACAACGAATATGGCGCAGCTAACAAACGGTAATATTGTTGTGATTTATTCTCGTTTCCGGACCTTTTGAATTCGTCTAGAACGAAACGAAGTCTCAGCGGAGGAAGACTTTGGGAAAGAGATTTGTCTTGACTTACTGCTATAGAAATGGGTGGAATTTTCCTTACTGAGGTCTATCTCCTCTGTAAAAACAAGTAGCCGGTGGCACAACACTCTCAAATATATCTCTTGTAAGTTTGGACTTACAACGAAGTAAGGGAAGTAAAACGAAGCGAACACATGAACTTGAGTAGATTACAATGCATTTGTGTAAAAAGATCTATCACGATCAGCTTCTGTTTTCGATCCAAACGTCGCCAGTGCTATTGGATAAACCATGTTGCTTCTCCTCAGCATAATTTTATGCAGCCTGAGCAAGCGAGCAAATGCCCTGCGGAACTGCGTGACTCTCCATGCGTAAAGAAGAGGATTCACACATGAACTGAAGTACGTTAAAGTCAGCGTAACGTCGCGCGTAACATGAAACGCAAACGTTCTGCATTTGGTACATTGAACCATAATTGAGTCAACGAGAAGGAATGGAAACCAGAACGAAAAGAATACCACCAAAACTATAAGCATCGTCTTCGTCGTGGATTTCTCTCTGGCAACGGCGTTTTTCAACGCAGCATTCCCAATCGAAGGACCCTGCTTGAGAGTCTGCGTATGTGCGCGAATTGATTTAAAAATCCCGCCGTAAGCCAAGAAAACAACCACACTTGGTAAAAAACAGCCCAATCCATACAAATAAATCTGGAAATAGGAATTCACCCAACCCAATAGCGGCAGAACTGAGAAATGGGCTGCGTAAGTCCATATTATCGCTATGGAAACTAAAATCCGTCGACGCGACATCACCTCTTGGAAATTCAAGGGCCTTTTGACGCAGAAGTAACGATGGATGGACAGTGCAGCCATGTTCAACAAAGAGGATACTCCCGAAATGATAGCGAAGAGATAATGAGCGAGAAACACCGGTTCGCTGTCGTTCCAATAAGTACCAATGAGCACAGTTTCGGCGGCTATCCCCATTAAAAGATCGGAAATCCCCAAGCTTACGATGTAATAATTTTGCAGTGTTCGTAACTGACGATACGGGTCCTTTATGAACGCCGTGCAAACGAGCACGTTACCAAAGATTGTACATAACGAAATGACAACGTAAAATAACATACTTGTGAGATTTGTGTGAAACCAGTAACCTTCAAAAAACATTGTTTGTTACCTCATACAATGTAGACTCTTTGTAGGTCTCGGCAGCTGTTGTAAACTGATCGAGAGTAATAAATATCTTGAATTGTGTGATGATTCTGTAAGGCAGATCAATGAGTCACATCAACCAGTAGAAAAAGTTGTTCCCTCACTTCACGAATTAAATGCGTTTTCACCGCTTGCGTTGGGTTATTTGGCGTGAGGAATCGTTGACGATTCAGTTGTGTAGTACTTTGTCAGTTTTCTTGTTTTCTTAATTACCTTCATTCACCTGCGAAATCCGTAATTCGATCATCCAAACACTGCAAGCTGAAAGCAAACGTCTGATATTTCTGATCACTTGGGGTTTTCAGATGCAGTCAAACGTCAACGAGACACTGATAAACGTATTATTTCAATTTTAACTATGGAACAATCCTCCCTAAATTACAATTTTCACACAAAAGCTGTGTCGCAGCAGGAAACAGTTTGAAGTCGTCGGAGTACAGAAATTCACTCACCAAAATTCGAATTAACCACAGGAGCGCAAATGATCAAAGCCACGCGGTTTGAAGGATAGTTATAAACATTTGCGCAGTACAATGTAATTCAATCCTTTATTTGGTATTATGAAACTTCCTGTTATGTTCCTTGACATCCCGCCGGGCCTTATTGCCGACAGGAGGGTTGGTCGTTAAAATAATTCCTTTCACTTAACTTGACTGTATTCCACGTAGAGATAGCGTTGTGTAAGATCGACAGTTTTACTCGGTATACCTAGCCATTTCTTTGTCTTCAGCAAACGTTTTTCAGACGAAGAAAATCAGCACAACTCTGTGTTTTCCATAAACTAAACGTTGAGAAAAGAGGCAGGTGAATCGCCTGCAAATGAATTAGGAAGCAATTATGTCAAGTTAAAAATCATAGGTAATTACGCCGGGGATGAGAAAAAAAATAAGATTATCGGAATCTTCGTAATCTAAAAATTAGGATTACCCTTCAGTGGTAGATCTTACTTACTACTATTACGAAGAAGGTAGAAAGTTTGTCCACATATATGTCGTTTGGAATCTGATTTCTTACTAGGACCAAATCAGCATTAGAAATTACATCTTTGGCTGCCAGTGCCTTCACGAGACTTCATGGGTTTCTCTGTATATTCGTCTTTGTAGTGAGCGTTTTTTATCATTCTACCTGCTTCCGCCAAACGTTTACATTGAGAAAATGCGACTGGAGCCGGGGTAATGCTTTTTGGCAATAGCATGTCAAGCCTACAATGGCCATCTTCATTTTATTAGTCTCTGTTTTTTAATTATTTAAGATTAAATGAAAAAATGGAGCAATGCCACATACTAAATTTGACCATAAGACACAGTGACTAATTACAAGTAAAACACGACAAAAGTTTATGAAATGAAAAGAAAGAAAAAATTCAGTTCAGCGAGATAAATCTGTAAGAGATCAAAGTCCGCGCTCTTTGTTTGCTAAGAGCAATGTATTTACCAAAATTCCTTCTTTTAATAACTTTTGTACGGTTAATTCTTTCAAGGTAGCTTCATTTTCAATACTATTCCAGGTACATTAATAAAAACCTTACGCTATAGTAACAAAACCCTCATTTCAAGCATTTCATAGGTACAATGTATTTTAAATTATTTTATGGAAAGCTACTCAAATACAAACCGAAACATGAAAACCTTGCAAATTACAACTGATCCTTGATAAAAGGATTTAACTCTCAAAATTACTCAGTCTGCAAGAAATACGGAAAATGAATTTGACTATTTGTTTACTTTGATTATCGTGTAATACAAACCTGATTGAAATAACTCTAACTTAGGTTTTAATCTTAGCTTTAGCGCCTCTGTCGTTGCTGGGGACTTAAATATACGTTGGAGACAATTTTTAAACCTTGATTCCAATTATTCGATCCCTTTGTAATGTCCCAACCAACCAGGCTACAATGAGGCTGTCAAAACATTAAATAATGCTTTGCATAGCTACTTATAGCGACATAAGCAACGAGATAAAAACTGATAGGAAACAGGAAGTCTTAAACAAAATGGTTCGTGTATTCCTGACGGACACACGCAACTGCGTTATGTATAATTAATGAAGGGACATTGACACAGTAAAGATGTTTCCTTTTTGAAAACTTGAAACAAAAGTTTAAATTCATCTCGGCTCATATTTTCCTTAAGCTACTCGACAAGAATTAGTCGCTGCTAAGAATATACAGTTTGGCTTAGTTTATCAATTAAATCTTCCACTGCACGATAACAGCAAGAGAAGATTACCAAGAACTCTAAATAACAACGGAAATGGGTGTTCAGTACGACTGTATATCTTGCCTTTTAATCAACTGATGCTAATTTCTAAAATTAATTCATGGTACTGAAATGTTAGAGCTTCGATATTTTCCTTAATGATCAAAAGAATTATCACGTTACCCTTCCGCTCACACACAAAAAAGAATTTCACACAGCTTTTAAAATGTAAAATTCGTTAACTCGCAAAAGGTACGTTCCGCAGCGACGAAAAACAATTTGAAAATCGAATTTCGCCAAATTCGACGAAAAGTTTAATTTAACTGAGTTCTGTACCAGTTTGATCAAAAAAAAATATGAGATGAAAATAATCAAATGTGAGAAAAACTACGTTAAATTTACCATCGAAAGAACTGTCTCTCTCCATACTTCGAAATTTTAAGCACGAGACAATCAAGGGAAGAAAATTATAAAATTGCATCCTTTCAATTTCATTAATTTCTTTTCGCTGTTTCATATAATGTGCATTGTCAAATAATGCACATTTGAACAACTATAGTTACAATGGGAAACACAAAGCCATAACTATCTTTAATACAATGCGTGCGAATTAACCATCTGTTGTTTGATGAAAAATTATTCAGGAATCAACCGGTTACACATGCATATAGAATTTTTCAACTTCAAAGTTTGGAGGTAAAGATCTTTAAAGCTGTAGGGCTACGAGTGCACACACAGATTTGAAACTTCACATCTAATGACAACGGGTCCCGTTGATGAGCAATCAAAAGATTTCAATTGATGTAATATCATTCTGCGATAAATTTGGCCCTTGTTCTTCATACATAATTAAAAAAAAACTAACAACACATGGCCGAAAGGAAATAAACTTTGTTCTATAAAGTGTATGCTTGATTTACCTTCTAGTCTTTGAAATATATCTCCCAGACAATCCGAACACCCCACGTTTTCCGGATATGTGGAACCACTTTCTGGTAGCGTTTGTTTGTTAAGCAGTTGCTATTTTGAATCAAATGAAGATTGTGGATATCTCCACTAGTTACACATCCAATAAAGGAAGACCAAACCATGCACATACACTCCCTATGCGTTGTCAAAACTGAATCAGAATCTGTTTGGCTTTCACAGAGCGTCATTCACTTAACACCCAAGGCCATTATAAAACTCTATTTACTTGCTATCCAGCCGAGACGGGCGCACTTTGTACTCAGCAAGCTTTGATGTCATCATTTATTGTCTCAAATATGGCAGCCGTCTCTTTGGCAGGTTGGCAAACAGGAAACCAAACTTTGGAACGTGATCGTGTTAATTGTAAATCTAGACATCATAGGTAAGAATGGAAGCTTTCCTTGCTGTGACGGAAGACATCAGTCTAAAGATATCGGGCATTTAAGTGACCGACTGCATTGCGTTTTTTCAGTGACGCAAGGTGACAGCTTGAATTGTTGACTACAGCTGCAAAGCACACGTTATGACAGCTTTGATCGTTCTTAGTGTGTAAACATTACGCGGGTTTAATTTGCTTCATCGGCTATTTTCTAACAACTGTAACACTTAAAGGTTGTATGTACCATGAATTTTATCGATAGATGAGAACACGATCTTTACCGGAAAAATTTCAAGTAAATCGGTATATCTTCAATAGTGTCCGTTCCCTGTTGAGCCATAACAGTGGGGAAAATTTTTTTTCTACTTGCAAGTTGTCATTTACTGATGGATCTTTGTTTTTCCGTTGTCGTAATAATCATTCTTAGGTAAACTTAAGTGTTCTATTCAAATTTAATAGCCAAGACTTCCACGCAAAGGACAATTTCCTCATGGATCATTAATAACCCTCATCAAATATAAGTAATTCAAGAGATCTATCCGATACTAAAGGCTATTCAATTAATTTTCTGAATTAAACTCACCCCTGTAGACGTTTTTTGGTGCATACGTCTCATCGTATTCTCAAGTAAATTGACAGAAAATCTATGCTTGAGTGTGTCGTGAGACTTGAAGATCATTGGAGGACGGAAGCTCACGTTACTGGAAAGTTAACGTTACTTTTTACCATATGATTACGTTTAAAAGCTCAGCATGAGAAATTTTTTACACACATCCTGGCGGGGCTGTTATCCAATTGATTCATTCGGAAGTCTCAGACCCTTTCGATGAACTCTCCTCAGTCTCAAAACAATAATAATGGCAGAGCGTAGATAGGAACTGAGTGGGCCATAAATCATACATTTAGCAATGTAAAGTGTTAATAAACGACGTGTACATGAATTGACGTGGGACTTTTCATAAAGTGCCTCATTTCCAGCCGGCCTCGGTTTTTAACTGAAGTTTAGTTAGTGAACTATAATGATTGCGATTGAAACAACAAAGTGATGGTATGTCTGAGTTTTAATTCCAAACTGTGAATATCTCATAAATTTCAATAAATTTTCCGACCAAGAAAACGAAAACCATGCTAAAAATCTTAATTTTCGCCTAATCAAATGCCTTGTTCTGTTCCGAAGTCGACCAAGTCCTAAGTCCATATTCCTGAATTTAACTTGTCATCGTATATCCCGGCATCCTTTGAGATCTACAGAGAAACAAAAACAAAACATGGCGGACCCTATTGCACCATAACAACGCAAGTTTGGCATTTTGTCTGGAAGGTTTGGATCTTCTACATCACAAAAGTTTAAAACTTTTGGTATGAGTTAAAAAAAAAACGATTTTGTTGCAAAAGGACAGAGGTGATATCGATCGTGGCGAGATGGCTGAATGTATGGAAGTTCTTGACGAAGCTGTTCTCCAAGAACAACTGGAAGAAGTCACTGTTCTTCAGTCGATATTTCAAGAAGATCTCCAAATCATCCGCAATGGTGGTGGAGAGGGAAGCATTTGCTTTAATCTGATGGTCAGTGTCAACATTCCATTCGAGAGAATTGACTTCGAAGCTTTGATTCCAATAGCTGTTGAGGAACGTTCTGTCAGAGCCTGTAATAGTGAAAGTGACTCGGACATGGAATCCGGATGCCATGGCGAGAATAGCCAAGAAAGTGAAGCTATGGTCAAAAGTGAAGGTCATTCAGAAACTCATATCAACGGATCGGAAGTGAGTGCAGTGGATGGGGAAGAGGGTAGGCTTGGGAACGACTCGTCTTCCCCGAGCGGCTCTGCTTTTCTTGGACGCAGAAAACCTGGTTTTACAAGGTCCATGTCGCTTCAACACTGGCGTGTGACCGCTGAGCTCCTACACTTGACCCCGATATGTCTAACATGTACATTTCCTCGGCTCTACCCCGCAGAATGCCAGCCCGAGGTTTCCCTGAGTTGCTTGTGGCTCTCTAAAGATCAGATCCAAGTTCTGAAAGAGAAGTTGATGAATCTGTGGACAGAAACGCCAAACATGCCGATAGTCTTCACCTGGGCGGACTGGTTGCAGAATTATGGGTATCAACATCTGGGTTTGGGGCCACACTTGGTGTTGAAGGAGGACGAAAGGATAGTGATCGAATCGAAATTGCAGACACACATGTATGCAACTGAGAATGGCTATAGAGATGACAAGTTGATAGAAAAGGGGAGAATTGGTACTAATTTGCAAACTGCATTACGAACAATATTTGAATATGACTTTGAAATGCAAAAGCGAGAGTTTCGACAAACAACCCACTCATGCGAAATTTGCTTTGATGAAAGAGGTGGCACAGAATTCCACTATCTAGATGAATGCAAGCACTACTTCTGCAATGAATGTCTGAAAGCACATTGTGAATTACATGTTGAAGGCGGAACAGTTCTCAATCTCTTGTGTCCAAACCATGATTGCAAGTCAAGGATTTCACCAGAGATTCTTCGAGAAGTACTTGATGCAGAGAAGCTTGAACGATGGGAAAGACTGTTATTTAGCAAAACCTTAGACATCATGGGAGATATTGTGTACTGCCCACGATGTAATCTGGCTGTGGTTATTGATGAAGATGAAACCTCCAGACTTGCACATTGTGCAAATTGCTACTTTGCATTTTGCACTGAATGCCACCAACAATGGCACCCTGCCAAACCATGTTTTAGTGAATTGTCGGACTCTGACATGGATGATGAAGAAAAATCAAAGAAAAGCAGCAACAAAGCCCAAAAAAAGGAAAATACAGAGACAGTAGAGGCAGCTGTCAGGAGAAAACGAAGACAAAAAGAGGAACACAGGAGAGAAATGAGCAATGTATCTTTCATTCACATGATGAAAGCAAAAGGAACTTATCAGTACTGTCCCAAGTGTCGCATGGCTGTGGAGAGGATCTCAGGCTGTGACATGATGCATTGCTCACAATGCCGGGCTAGCTTCTGCTGGAGATGTGGTAAGTAAAATTATTTGTATTGGTTTTTTTTTTTAAAATCTTTGTCAAGTGATTGTTTGATCAATACATGTAGTTAAGCTTAAATTGTACATGTATAGTACAAAGTACAAAGGAATGACCATCTGATATTAACTTGAATGCAGGTCAACCAGTGTTCACAGGGTACCAAAGTAAATAAGTTTTTTTTTTCCCCTTGAAAAATGTTTGTTCAGCTGATTTTTGGGAAACAGAGAAACTTTTGTCAACTTACACTGTATCTGTGGCACTGATCCTTTTTTAAGGTGTCTATGGATACCTTTTTTGGCCTCCATGTTGTCATACTTGCATTACTTAGTTTGTTTGGAGATGGTCATGTTTGTATCTCCACAGTTGTGTGTTTCACTGGGGAATACTAGTCAATGTTATGAACTGAAAGTCCAATTGATACCTATGGATGTTGAAATACACATCTTAGAATGTGATGTAAATAATGGTTATTCCCCTGATGATCTACCTCATCTTGAAACAATTTGTTAAGAAAGCCATAATTTTTGTTATCGGTATTGATTCACATTTATATGCATTACTCAGGAAAGGCAATCAGTGGTTATGATCATTTTGGAAACTGTGGCAGAGAAATTCCACATCCTTACCCATCTCCCAGGGAACCAACAGAAGGAGAGGTATTGATAGAACGTTACTTGAAAGCAAACCCCGAGAAAAAGCTTCGGACTAAATTGTGTCCCCGCTGTCATCAGAAGTGTCTTAAAGAAAACAACAACAATAACCATCTCAAATGCTGGGCTTGCAAAACAGATTTTTGTTATCAATGTGGAAAGGAAATAAAGGGAACAGTGACTTTGCACTTTTCAGCAGCTAGTTCATGCACACAGCATTCAGATAATTAGAGAACATTCATTCAAGGAACTACAATGTAATCCCAATTTTGTTAAAGTGGATATGAAATAATTCATGATTATGAAGGTGTTGTGAAGTCTAGGTTTGCAAAGGATTAGGAATACTATCAACGGATTGCATGCATATGCACAATATATTTAATATTTTCATCATCCGTATGTGAGTTCAATATTTTTATGGATGCCATTAACTTTAGCAATAGACCACACTTTCTATCTGACTGTGTTTACTAGTGTAATGATCTACACATGATGCTGGGAGAACAGGAGAGAAGTTTATAATTCATAAGCAAGAGGCTAGAAAGATATAGTTGGATAGTAAGGATAGCCAGTGTGGTTTATTGCTTTTATAAAATAAAAACACAGGATGTTTCAATTTTACTATGGATTTACTGGACATAAAATAGACAATAGGTTTTTGACCAATCAGGGCACTGGTAGTATCTCTATTCAAGTTCACATCAATTAAGTATTAAGTAATCTGATGAAGCTGCGAATGCTTCATGCAAACGTACCGAAAAAAATTCTACTGCTGCAATAGTGTGGCGACGAACAGTCTCTTTGGGTATGGGTACTAGATAATTTTGTCTCGAATGTCCCCATTGCCGAAAGTGACGATGCAATGAGGGCAATTGGAGAAAGTAAACTCCACACAGCTTACAATAAAAAGGGCCATGATGTGTCTTTTTCAGATGATCTTTGAGGAGAAATCTCTTCCTAGACTTCTTGTAACATTTGGGAAATGGACACCAATAATTTCCATAAGAATCTGCTTCATTTATATTTGTTTTGAGCTTGCAAAACGAACCCCCACTCCCCACATATAATGTGATCGTAGCATTTGAACAGTTCTCGTTGGTTGTCTGTGCGCAGAAGATCATTTGTTGGCTTAGACATCGTTCAGTTATTGGGGGGATTGTGGTCTCTAAGGAAATAGACTTGGATTGTTGTTTGCAATCGCGGACAGCTGAATCCTCACAATAGGTAAAACTTAAACCAGTCAAAACCGTCTGTAGGCCTGTAAGTAATGTATCATCATCATGTTCTTCTTCACTTTCAAGTACAACATCAGGGCTGAATTCTGCAAGAAAGGCCTCTTTCTCCTTATATCGACTTGACGTGACATTTTCATCGCCATCGAGCACAGTTTCCAGTCCAGTTAAAATTGTGCTGCTGGCAGTTAATTCTTCGTCACTTTCCAAAACAATGTCGAGTTGTAAGTCTCCATTATCGCTCTCAAAAGAAAGCTCGTCGGCATTTGATATCTCGATCGGTTCTATCGATAAAGCCGGTCGCAGAAAATCCATATTTCCTCTCCAATCACAAATTAAGTCTCGGTTCACTTTGGTAAATACAGAAAAAACTAAAAAATAACCACTGATCGCTGATTCTCTATTTAGTTTCGTAAGATTCCCTGGAGATTAACCTGGATAGTAACGAAGCACGAGTGCCATAGGACCTAAAGGTGCAGCTTGACATGTTGAAATAAAACACATATGATTATGACTGAGTGGTGATGTATGTGGTAGTTGGTGGCTCGCCCAGTCTAGAAATTAGTTATCAGTTTGGCCAATCAGCTTGCAGTTACTTGACTTGAGACTGAAAACAAGCTGGGGTCACAACAGGACTTCCCGTGAAATTAATCGCGTACGATCGATAACTTTCACAAGATCGTTTTGCAGTGATCTTTTTCGCGAACCACATTATAACTTGTCGAATTTCATTTAGCGGCTTGGTGGAGTGATAAATGCAATCTAAATGTCTCAAGACACGGCTATATCCGTCGGGAATGCGATTTAGGAAATACAAAGAAGTTACTGCTCTATTCCCCGCTAAAAATTACTTGAGGGCGCGAAATGAGTGATTTGGACATTCTGTCCGAGACGAAGCCAAGCATGGGTGGGCGGAAATAAAATTTCTTCTGAGAATCGAATTCCTTGGCAAGGAAAATCGTATGGAGTATGGTGATTTCGCGATTCGAACGACTTTTAAGTCCGTAACTCACTTTCCTTAAAGTGTTATTAAAAAACATGTTATTAATTATTTACCCAAAGTTCAAGTTTATGTTAACTGGTGGTGTTGCTGAATGTTTTATTTTAACATTTGTTTAATTCTCCTGGTAAATAGTATTTAGCTGTGTTTTACTACCAAAATTTTCCATATGTTTTAAGATACATCCTGTGAAAAAATCCGCAAACGTAACGCAATCGTTGCATGTCACAAAGTAAATCGGAAATGTAAGGTGATGAAATTTTTCGTGCGTCCTCGTCTACCGTCTAGTAAGTGTCACGTTATCATAATTATTGACATGTTATTATAACAACTTGCGACAGAAAAGCCTGTAGACTCTACCTGCTTAATCATAAGTACGTTTGCATACCGCAGCTTGATAACCTGAAGGTAAATTTACTATATCATTCGGTCGCGACTATTTGCACGTTCTTTGTCATCGCTGAAAATGACTTGATGGTCAGTGCAAAGGATGTTTGTCATTTTATCGCTTTCTAAATATACCGCGAACAAAGCGCGACAAAACCGTTGGTGGCATTTTCTGTCAGCGATTTCTCTAGAATTGTATCCTATGAGGTGCCTTTCCATTGCCATGTGAAGCATAGTTTTTCGGTTTATTTCTTAAATTAAATTTAAACAATATTATTGTGATTTTTTTAAAGCAAAAAAGCTATTCAATAGGCTTGAACATGCCGGTCGCTAAATCAGAGTATTACAGCTTCGAGGAAGAATAATTAAGTGAAGACAGCACCCAATTTGTAGCGAGACATTACTACTCTTAAACCATTGTTGTCTGTTTTATTTTGTGTTGACTTAAGTAAAACAGACAAACCTTAACTTTGAAATGACATGGCAAAAATTCTTCCATGTAATTAAGGAGCTAAGTTCCTGTAAAGTAAAGTTCATATTACAGACCAAATTTGATTGGTTGACACAGAAACTTATTTCCCAAAGATCTCATTAAAAAAAAACGAATTTAAGATCTGATCATTCAGGAACTAAGATACCTAAAATGTCAAGTACATTTTAAAATGGTGAAGTACCTTTTTAAATGGAGATGTGTTATTAGTAATTAGCGTGCAGTGCAGTTGTCATATCGGGTACAGTGAAGATCTAATTGGAAGTAGATTTTACAAGCACAGGACCATTTGTGAAAAATTCATGTTTCGTTTAAGGTTAGCACAGGTAGAATCCCCTTTGTCAACCGTCCTTTACTTAAATCCTTAACTTCTAGAAGTGATTATTGTGTAAATTCTCCCCATAATATCCATTGGTTATCCACCAAAAAGGTAATGAGAATAACCAAATTCTTGTAACTTATTTACACATGTACATGGAAATGTGTAGCAGTGAGAGGGAAGAGTTAAAAATCAGATTTTGGGAGTTAAAAGGCTAAAAAAATTCAAGACAATGGATAGAAATTCTGCAGAGATACTGAGCACTGGACTAATATGACTACACCTACACTGCAGTCCAATAATTTGTCCATAGTATATATAACTAAAATTTATTCTTACCCTTACATGGTCTATAGAAGGGTAAAGGCATTAGTGAAGACCGATTTTTAAAAAAATTTAGGGTCATTCTGCTTTAAATTAAGGTGGATTGAGGATCTGAAGCTTTTCTCAATTCTCACTGCACCTATTGGTTGTTTTTTATATCTATTAATATAACTTAAATGAAATTTTATCCTGGCCCTGGTTGGTCAAAGGTAGGATGATGCTGCCCATTGGATAAATCACCATACTGCAGATAGGGCAGTGCAATCTGTCCACACTTTTCCACTGGATAGCGATCTATTTATTTGTACAACTAGGCCCAGATTATTTCAGTGACTTAACCCTTTAAGTCCCATGATCGACTAAGACAGAATTTCTCCTTAAGAATATCAATTCAATATCAAGCATACAAGTGATGACAATAAGGAAAAATATTAATCAGGGGATTATAAGTTGATCCAATCCCAAATTCTCCAAACTAACATTACAAGAACTGTATGGCAGACAGTAAGGAAAATTACTAATGAGATCTTGGGAGTTAAAGAGTTAAAAGCTTCTTACTAAGCAACAAGTACAGTGCTTAATACACATCAGTTATCAATTGGCTTTTCTTAAAAGCCTCAATTTTGAGGAAGAATGATTTGTGTTTGGTGGAACACCTAAATGTATGTAAATTAGAGAGAAAACTTGGTTCAGTTTAATGTAGGTCTTAATTTTGTGTTGGATTATGACAACCGTGGATGTAGGTTCTAAAATTTGTAAATCATCTTTCTTTAAACTTATTATCTTTGGAATTCACAAATGACCGATAAATTATTTTTGTATCCATCCTATAAAAGTGTGAAGTGTAATGATTATTATTATCATCTGAGAATTAAAGTCTATACTTGTTGTTGAGTGAAACTGCACAGGGAGCTGGAATTTCAGGAATTTCTTTTGGGCTATTTCCAAAATTGTGAAGAGTTAACTGATAGAGCAAATGGACTAGAATGAGAACAGCTGAATCATAAAATGAATGAACAGATAAAACAAAAAAAAAGCAACAAATCTCTGTGAAAGCCTGGAGGAGACCAAGCTTACTCCATAACAGTAGGTTCAAGTTTTTCCAGGTAAAAAAAGAAATAAATTATTCACTGTTAGCAGAATTTAGCTTTGACTCAAAATCAATATTTACAAATGTTATTACAAAGAGTAGGTTTCGATTGAGTATGACTAAACAAAAATTGAATACAAAAGCCAATCAGAACAATGAGAGTTCAAAGAAAAGAAATAGTATTCAGATATATAGCCAAGCCTAAAAAATAGTTCCAGTTAATTTGGTTATGAATTCAACCTGGGAGAGGAGGGGGGGGGGGATTAGACTTAGGGAGTAAAGGGTACAATAAAGTTTTTTGACTACAGCTTTCTTTTTTCAAACGCACTTTACAAATACAGGAGTTGTCAACTTTTTTAAGTCGAAGTTGACAATGCGAATGAAAATGAGAGGGATAATGCCTCGATTTTATCTGCAAGTGACAAGTGAAAGCAACAGTGGAATTAGTCTGAACAATGAGAGCTCGAAGTGAAATATTATTAAGCGTAACGCGAATAACCGAGCCATGATGGATTTTAGTGCTCATCTGACGCGTCCAAAGGATGGCTCAGTCTCTAACAAAGTGGCGTAAAACCCGTGCGCCTCGATTTTTTGCCAAAACACAACTGAAAATTTTAAATTTCCCGAAATATAAGCACTTTCACACGGGCAAGTTTTATTTGGAAAAGAAAAGATGTTATTTATTTAAGAACTTCCCATCCAAATAAAGAGCTTTTATCCATGTGTTGCGAGTAAATCAATTTGACAAGTAAGATTTTAAAAATGCTTCTTTTTTTTGTGTTGTTGAATGGACACCTTCAAACTAAAGTGCGCCTCACTTTTAACGAGAACATTCGCAAAGGTGGATCACGTGACTAAAACACATTTCTTAGCCGGAGTGATCCCTATGAATCCCTTTAAAATCAGTGAAGCGTTTCCCACTGTTTTTTTCTTATTAGGGTCGGGATGCTTCATTCCCCACTGTGTCGTATTGATTTTGTTACGTGTAAGCTTTGTACATGTAATTGTTTGCTCGAAGCGACACGAAACGCTGCATCGCCAGAAGTTCATTTCGAAGAATTTTTGCGTCGGTTTCAAGGAATTTTTTCACCGGTTAGATAAAATAAAGGCAGAAAGGGAAGCGTTGAAGCCCTTTGCCTTTAGGGAGCATTTATTAGTAGTGATTCAGTTGAACAAAGTGTTCATACCGACCAAAAATAAGCCTGAATAGATATAAAATAATAATCATATGCGAAACGCTTACCTTTTAGTTGACTGATTTAAGCCAAAAGGAACCTGTTCCTTCCACAATAATACAGCTACCACCTGAAGCAGTTCTAATAAACTGTCAAACGATATTTTCGAGAGAAAAGCAGACCCGAGCGTCTTTGCGGCATTTATTGTAGCATGTGATGCTTTTTTCTGACTTTCTGTCTCAAATTAACTGCGGTAAGAGCTCCTCATTCGAGATTATTTTAAAAACAATAGCGCAAAACTAATTGCCAAGGTGTCCGGCTGATTGATTCGTTAATAGCCTATCACTTTAAGCAAATGGGTTATTTGATTTTGTCATTAAAATGAAAGCAACCTGATGTGTGATAAGTAAAAGTTGACTAATTCTTAAAAAAATATTAAAGCATCTAAAATCTAAGTTTCACATATTATTTTCTCCCGCTTTCTCGTAGTCTCAGAAAAATTTATTTTATTTAATGCATCACACAGTTATGCAAATTAAAAAACCTATCAAAGACTGCAATAATTTGCAATTACAAATGCTATTTTCAATCATTTAAGCAACAGACCGCGCTTAATATCCGGGTTAACCGGTCTAGTTCGGCACTGCGGGATGTTTACAGTAATGTTTGCTGATCACTCGCTGCCGGTAAGTGATTTTAAACATTTTCGAGTGGTTACGCAACATCCAGAGTAGGTTAGTACGCCGGTAAAGCGATAGAAAGAAGCGGTCTATTACCTTAATAAAAAAATTTATAACAACAAAAGTATTTTATGGGTTTACCGGTGCGATAATCGATAAGTTTTTGGCCAATCAAGGCGCTCGTAATATCTCAGCCATGTCATAAAAATTGTTACAATACACCGTTACGTAACTATGCACTTCAATTCAAGGACCAGAAAATAAGATTTTTTTTTCCTATCAGTGGATATTGTTTCAGCATTTTGAAATGACGAGGAAAAGCGGGAAAGTTAAACTTTCACTGCATCCAGTATCTAGAAGAACAAAGAACGTTAGTACTCACTTGGACCGTTTTTTATTCACAACGGTATTCCCAAAAAGTATCATTAAGAACTGGCTTTCCCATTCATTTTCGCAAGTTCGCCGTATAATCTATTTGCATCGTAAATTATTTGTTTCGCCCCAGGTTTGATCTTGAACCGTTCAAGACTGTCATTGAACTGAGAAACAACCTTTCTTTCAACTTCGATCTCGCGATCTTGATAGCTCCTCAGGGCTGTTAAGTCTATTTGTGGTTGTCTGCTGGGCGGATTGACCAGATTCCTCTTCATGCCTATATAGTCAAGCGCGCGATAATGTGCTTGTTCAACCTGTCTGGGCGCCTTGTAGTTCTCAGCCCACGGAGGCGCGCTTTTCACTCTGTCTTTTTTGTCCGCACAGTACGAAATTCTTTGCCACATTTTACAACGCATGTCGAGAACAGTGGCCGGCCTTCCGAATTCGCTCGTCTTGAAAGAGTACAGTTTCTTATAGGGCACTTCAAACTGCTGACTCATTCGTTTAAGAACGCGCGAGGGGTTTTTCCCCGCGCGCTCTTCAGGCACGCTGCCGCTTTCCATTTCCAATGCGGTGCTTTCTTTGGAATTCAGTCTTTTGGAACTTATTGTGTGCTCTGAACGCTGATTTTCAAACGCTGAATTCCAACGTGTCGACTTGAAAGTATTCACGACAGATTCCTGTGCCTCAGCAATCCTTTTACTTCTGCGTAAGTGGCTCAAAAATTTATTGGCAAATGCGACTTGTTCTGCTTCTATCTCGGAAACAAAGTAGTCTGTTTGTCTTTTCAAACGAATCAGTTGCTTGGAGAGTTCCTTTTCTTCCATAACATTTGCTCCGAGGTTTCCTGTTTTAATCTTACTTCTGTCGCCCATTTTTGAATTTTATTTTCTCTTCGCGATTGCAAATGCCAAAACGTAATTTATGGTAAAACTGTTGCCGTATTAGCCTCCAAACGTCGAGACGTTAATCAAACATCAAGTTAAAAAAAATAACGATTCACCATCCAAACATAGCGAGCTTTAGTTCATTTGATTAATCCAGGGTTTTCCAACGAAAAATGCATGGTTGGATTGCCACCACTGCAATATCCATAAAATGATTTTCAGTAAACTGCGTTATAAAAAGGATCAATCCTCGAAATATTTTGATAAAAATACCAAATAATCTGACTCTAAGCATGGTTGCTATGTAAATTATATTATACACGTTAGCGCTTAATTGCGAAGTCGCAATGTTTATCTTCTGGTATGGAAACAACAATCTCCCTCGACCAATCAAATGGCTCGAAACAAGGACTTTAATGAGATAACACCAGCGCTGCCGGCCGAGACTGACGTCACAACAGGAACAGGTGCAATCTTCAGGTTCATCGAAGAAAAGAAGCTTTTATATTCTCCTCAGCAGGTGTCCGTTTGTTTGAGTAAGCAATAGCCACAAACACAACTTTAAGATTAAATGCTGTAGACGGACGACGCTTCAACATTCCGAGAAGGTCGTTGTTAAACGGAGAAGACATAACTTCAATTCCAAAAGAGCGCGTGTTGTTTCAACGGACCAAACCGAATTATGATAACATCTTTCTGGCCGATAGATTTCAACACAAAATAATCGAATGGTTCAATTTTTCAATTCTAAAGTTTTGAAGAACCAAAAAGAAAATTGCTTCTATTATACAATGCACTTATAAATGTAAAGTTTAGCTATTTTCTTTCTCTCCAAAAGTCGGTGTGGAACTAGCAATGCCTTACAAAACCCCTAAATTAACGAATACTGTTCAAGGCCGGAAGGCTCCAGAGAATTTATTTGAATCATGCAAATGAATGGGATTAGTCCTTTCGTTTAAAAATCGACAGAGGACGTTACACAGTTAATTAATTTCGTGCCTCCTAGAACCATGTATTAGATGTTAACTCCTCAGCGAGAGTCCTATCACTTATTACATTTTTGTCTTTATCAAACTGTCTTACGCATTAATCACAGATCAGGTACTAAGTCAAGTTCAAGTCCGTATATGAAATCCTACTAGGCGACAGATAAACTATAAATTTTCCGATGAAAACACATAAACATTTCGCGTTGTTAGAGAATTTTTTTTTTATTACTCGCGCGACGAACTTCGCCGTACAGGAGGGACTACTCGCTGTCTAAATTTTTGAGGACTTAAATTTTTCCAGGACGCGAGAAATAAAGTTGAAGGAAAGGCACTCGTCAAATAACGAAAGGCATAAGTGTTTGAAGGGTCAGTGTTATATCGCTTCGCTTATCTGAAGACACCTGTCAATTTTCCACAGTATTGTTTTTTAATTTGGTTCCATGTGAAGACTCTATGAACGTTCTAGTCTAGATACCCCAGTGAGAGATCTCTCTAATGTCAATAGTCATCGAGTAATGCGTAACACTGTGTTCCTACACAGTAAACGCTCTGCAGACTCTCTTTCCCGTATGGATAAGCAGACGATACCTTGGTTTGTAACTTTCAAAATGAGTACTATCGACCACGCAGTTCTATTTATGCCATTTCCAGTTTTTGACTCAGAGATATTTGTTGCAGTCAAATAAAAACATGCTAACATAGTGAATCCACCGTATATCTTATAATCCATTCAAGCTGTTTATCAAAGGCCTTTATCCAAAGATACAAGCAAGTATTTGGTAGAAGACTCTAGTTGCCGATCAATTACTTTGGCGTTATTCATGACCTTTCTGCAGTATGTTGAGACTTTGAGGCGCCGGCCTCGTCCTCAATAATTACTGATTAGACTACTAAAAAAATATTAATTGTGGTGGCTTTTCGTTAATCGACAAAACTTCTTAAAGAAAGTACTTCTAAAAAGTCATTTCCATCAATCAAATTAAATTATTCACAGTAAACCTTTTGATGGCAACCTTCGTTGATTGAAATTGCTTTTCTTTCAAGGTTATCACGATTACAATTATTTTTCTTATGTGCTCCATTTTTGTTAATTAAAAGAAAAAAAGAGAACATACAGGCATTTCCATTCAAGTTCTATATCTTTCTACTTCTGAATACCTGGGAAGTATTCCCATTCATTCTTCAGCTAGAAGACAATTTCACACACTGAAAAGGCAAATATTAATTTCTACCAGCCAGGTACACATTTGAAAGATCAAATTATGATTAAAATCAGCAGAGGTGAATATTGCGTATGAATGGACAAAACACCTAAATATAACAAAGATCATCTGCTTTGTTCGGCTCAGGGTGCGATGATGAAAAGCAATAATAATCCCAAGCATTGACTAAATTTTAATGTTTCAACCTATTGTAATATTTAACCTTACTTTTTAGTTTGAGGTGACTAAAGAACGGCTAGCGTTCCTGATTAGTTGAAACCGAACAAATGTAAAATAGGAACTAATAGTAGTACTCACAGTTAGTGTAGTATTACTCACTCACAGCTAGAAGGTTCGTCCGAGTTCCTTGAAGCGTCCTTTCTCAGAGAGTGAAATGCCAAAAATTTACCGACATAATTCACACGCCTTAGGACCCGTGTCTGCGCGATAAATAAACTATGACGTAATAAGCTGCAGTCGGTTGGCGCCTTTTAATCCGCCCACTTTACTCGGTTCTCACGACTCAAGGCAGACCATGCCCCTAAAGAAAAGTTAAATGCTATAAAAAGGATGAAAAGAATCCAAACTATAATAATTGGACATAGGACAAGTATTATATCATCGTCATAAAAATAATTGTGAAAATAATTTGTATTTATTAACGGAGTGGGAAGGTCGGACGGAAAAATATTTGGCTCGAGGTCCGTGGGTCATATATGCATGAACGAGAGCCAAATAATTTTTGTCCGGCCCGACCAAACTCAATCAATAACCGTGACAACAATTTTACCATATGAGCGCTTACTAGGTTTTGAAATTTCGAAAATTGACTCCTTTCCTATATTTTTTCGAGTCAGAACGAAAAAAAACCCATAATTCATCGAAAAACGTGACTTACTTCCCTATTCTGTTTACTGCTATCCCTCATTTTTGGCAACATCAGCGAACAAAAACCGAACAGGTGCACTAGGTTGTCACCTCTAAGGTCGACCACGACGCTTCGACTGATGAACACCGCTGCTTTTCCACGCGATTTGAAGAAACAAATGTTAAAGGATCAGGTTACCGACGCCTCTAATAAGAACTTCAGTTTGACCAGGTAGTTTTTTTCTTCTACTAAATTTTGAGCTTCAATAGTTCACCAAATGCTGGACAATTTTCGAACATATTACCCAACTGGCCAATGGATTAACAAATTCAAGAAAGCATATCGTGTTACTCTCTTGCCATAATATTAACGTGGGCGGACCATTAATACTAAAATAATAGTCATAATAATAGTAATGATTATTGTTATTATCATTGGCATGGACACTTGGAAGTAGATTTAGTGGTGTTTTATTATTGTGGAAATTTATTTCGGTGCAAAACTTTGATAGTGCATGTTACCTTTACTACTACAGCCGAATCACATGATGTGATGTCAAAGGTTTGTCTTGATTTGTCGTACACTGAAGTACTTGGTGACCCTTGAACGGGTACCACAAAAAGGATGCTAAATTTCGCAAGGAAATAAGAAGAGACATTACCCCTTATATAGACGCAAAATTGTGGGATGAGCTTCTGACTCTTAATCTTGGAACAAAATCACTAAATAGGTTTTACAACATTGCCCAGTTGTAAACGACAGAAATTGTAGTGTTTCTCTTTACACTGCTTAAACCGCGTTGACCTGAAATAAAAATGTAATGTAACCTTTCTGGTGTCAACTGTCAACTGTATGACTATTTCATGAGCCAGAGCAGAGACGTAGATCTGAAATAATAATATCCAGTTGATTTTTTACAGTAGTAATATTTTTCAGAGATACATGTTCCCTCGGCGAAGAAACGGAAATGCATGCGGCCATTTACTTTGTTTGACTGTTTGCTTCATTTTTCAGTTCCGTGCAAAGGATAATGTATTGTCATATGTCTCGATGTGGTCGCCAACTAGTTCAGATTTTAAGACTAATAGACTCACTGCTGAAGAGAAAGAAAAGTTCTTAGACGAGCATAACAAATTTCGCGGAATGGTGAAACCAACTTCGGCCGACATGGAGTTTATGGTAAGTGATAGAGATAACATGACAGTAAAGATTTTAGGGCCAAATTAAAATCTTTGCGCTTTCAGGTTTTAACAAGTAAAACACTGAGACGAAAAGCTATCTGCCTTCGCACTCACGCCTAAATCTTAGTCTTAGATCCTTTCCTGTAAACAAACAAGCCAGTTATCTTCCTCATTTTGAGAAAGCAGACATGGGACGACTCAGTATACCTTTGGGCCAGAAAGCAAGCTATTGTTAAAGGGTAATGATATAAACAAATAAATTGCGCACCGGTGTGTCACTACCATCACCAACCTGAACTATATCAATAGATTCTTCAACTTAAAGTATAGTTTTGACTACGCGAATAAAGTTGTAGTGATGACACAAATTTGAGCACTCGAAAATATGTATAAAGAGCGAAATGAAAAAAAGAAAAAAGAAAAAAGGGAAACGCAGTTTAGTAAGGCGAAGCGACTCAAGGTCAAGTACTTAGCTCATAGTTTTCATAAAAGCAACTTTAAACAGATTTCCTTTAAAAAAAAAAAAAAAAAAAAAAAAAAAAGATAACATATATATGTGAGACTCGGGTTCTGTCAGCGCAAAGGCTTGAAGAAGAAACCCAAGGGTAGAGCATCTTAGGTTGAACGCCAATCAAAGTCAGCTTGAGCCCCGTCATCTCGGAACGTTCACCATTTATCATCTCTGATAGAACAGAAATAAAGAATCCGTTTTGACCAATGTAAATTGAAAGGTAAAAGGCTTTCCTTTGTGAATTACGAACGTCCTTTCCCCTGTGTCTTCAATTCTGGAAAGATTGTTTTTGTTTCGCAATTTTAATTGGCTGTGGTCAAAGCAAATTTTGATCTAGCTGGTAGTATTTGATGGACATAAGGTATAAAGCCAGTCTGACCAGAACCAGTTCTGTCTGCAAACAGAACAATGAGCCTTTTCGTGAGAAGCGCAGTCCGACCCTCGATTCACAGGTTCACGCACTAACAGTCAGGATGTCGGACTTGGGGTAAGACAGAGATGGAAAATATTTACAAGTGGAAGACACCACACGTAGGAATAGCTGGTGATAATGATAAAATCAGAAAAGCTTTTGGGTGATAAAACTATCCATACAATATGATTTGACTGATAACACAAACTTTTTAATGACAGGAGTGGGACGACAATTTGGCCAATATGGCTCAAATGTGGGCGGACAAGTGCATTTGGGAACACGGGTTTCTGACGTTCGGTAGCCAATATCCATACAGCGTGCCTTTCAAGGGCCAAATAGGTAAATTTATTTCGTACAATTGTGTACATTTCGAGGAAGAACTCTTGGTAAATACACCTTGTACAATTTGTAATAAGTCAAGTTCTACGCCGGTATACGTTCAGGTATGAAATTTATCTGCGACGTAAACCTAAAAACGGGAAAGGAATTTAAAACTCTCCAATTAAAACCGATCAACATAAATTGAATAACTACAAAAGAAAACCAAGACGTTGTGGGGTGGTCACTTCGTTCACATTATGATCTTGAAACTCAAAATTTCGAATTGTTGTGATTTTGTTCGCAGGTCAAAATCTTGCCCAAGAGTATGGCAGGCTTTCGAGCCCAGAGGACCGCGTGAAGAGATGGTACGAAGAATATCAATACTACACATTTAGCAAGTACACAAGCCCGATGGGAGCTTCTTGTAAAAAGACACCTTGTGGACATTACACACAGGTATTTAAAGCTGCTGCGCATATGTAGCTAGTTCACTGGGCAATTAAAAAGTGTAAAGAAAACGGAAGGCTCCAGTCGACAGTAAAGCGAAGTCAAAATCTATCTTTGCTCAATACTTTGTGCGATGCAATCGTTCAATAATGAAAAAGTATGACATTCTAAATTATGAAAATAATTATAATTATTGTAATTATTATAATTATATTATATTATTATTATTATATTATATTATTCTTATATTATAATAATTATTATATTATACTAGAATTATTATTATGATTATTATTTATTATTATTACAAGCTAAGACATTTTAAAAAGGTACAAGCTTAAAAAAAGTGATATTAATTTTTCTTATCAGATTATGTGGGCTAAAGCTATATACCTTGGATGTGGAGTAAATTTCTGTTCAAACTTCAATGGAGGTAACGGAGGAACAATAGTGGTGTGCAACTACAACACGTAAGTACAAACCCTTTATTTTAATTCTATACATATGTTAGCATATGAAGATTCATTGTTTTATTCTTTCCAGGCGATTGTCAAGCTGTGGTCCAGCTTTAGAGCTTTGGACTCAAGCTAATATAAATTTTTGATTTTTACTTGAACTTTAGGGGTAACATTGTAGGTCAATACCCATACAAGACTGGGACCCCCTGCACCAAATGCGCGTCAGGCAAAGGATGGTGCTACAACAACCTGTGTCGTGAGTAAATAGAAACCAATTGAAATAAACAAAACATTTTTTTTTCGGCCCAGTACCGTAAGGTGAAAATGCAAACACGATAGCAAGACAGCAGCAGGACAAGAAGCATAAGAAACCATAAGATCTACGTATGAACGCAGATGTAGGATTGGACAGCGTATTCTGTCGGCAGCATCGAGGCGTTCTTATCTGCTGCTGCTTCAATGACTTGCACGATGGCGAGCGCGCAATGAGTTGCCTACAGCTTGAAGACTTTTCAATTTCATTTCCTTCCCCTCTTTGTCAAGTAGATAATTTTTTCCCTATTTTTCAGCCTTTTCAAATCAAAAAGTTAAAGCTCTAACTGGGTGCGATTCGCTCGCTCTTTAGTGGCTCCACATCACCGACCACCGCAGTCATTTGGCGTTGTTTCAGTCGGTAATACGATCGAAAACTGATTGCAGTATGAACAGTACTAACCATACATTGGGGTGCTGCGAGTTATTGAATAATTTTGTTGCTGTAACCTTAATAATGGTGTGTTTAACCTCTTAGTTCCCATGAGTGACTGAGACAGAATTGCTCCTTAAAACATCAATACAACATCAATCAGAAAAGTGACGAGAATGAATTAAAATACCAGTTTAGTTATTGGACTATCAGTTTATCCAATAGCAAATTCTCCGTATGGAGGAAGATAAGAAAGATTACCAATCAGATCTTGAGATCTTACAAACCGTCAGACTGACGATTCAATGGCGAGAGAAAGACGCATTTCTCTACCTTAAAATAAGAAATAGTCTTTGTGAAACTTTATACACTGAATCTGACGCAAAAAAAGTTAATTTTAGGAAATTGTTCTGACTTCGACAAACACTGCGGCAGCTCTTTGACGACAACAATGTGCTCTTCACACCCAGAGTTAATGGAGAAGAATTGTCCTAAACTATGCAACATGTGTAGTAAGTATGAATTGAGAGCAATCAATAATCTGTCATTTTGTCTTGCCCACAGTTTTCAAGTACAAATAAAACTAAAGAATAAAGGTTTGAAAGTCCGTCAGCTCAAGAGAACTTAGGAATTTTTCTAAAATTCGTTGCTCATTGTAGTCACTAACTCAGTGTAGTGTACTAACTACAGGTAGGATTAGAAGCCTCATTTTTGCTTTTCTCCGGTATGTAAGGTGTATGTCATGAATTCACCAATCTTTTTATCCATTTCTCTTCAGAGTGTCCCTTAAAATGTCAAAACGGAGGGACAGTAAACAAACAGGACTGCGTTTGTTCTTGCCCCTCCGGGTGGAGGGGTATGGACTGTTCAGGTAGGCCACTGGAAGTTACTTGCAAGGGAACGATCTTCACCTTAAGAGGTCTGAGTTCCAGCCTTGATCGAGTCATTGTGCTGTTATCTCCAGCAAGGCACTTTTCTGTTAGTCTCACTCTCCAACTATGAGTATAAATGAGTTACGGGAGGTCATCTGGAAAACTGACGTAATGCCGTGGAATAATCCAAGGAGGATTGGGATCCAATTCGGTGGGAGAAGTTTTACCCCAAGGATCCTCATGACAAGTATTAAAACATGGGCCACTTTTATCATGTGTAGACTTCACCTCTACTTTATGACATATTATCGTCTATTCCAATCCTTTTTCTAGACAAGGCATGTGAACCTGGCTTTTATGGAGAAAATTGCGAAAGTAAGTCAGCGAAATGCTTTTTTTATTCCATGGAACCTACAACTTGTTCATTCCAGGCTTATGCCTTATAACAATTTCCTTAACTTGACTTAACCAACTTTCATTGAATTTTACTTCGTATCAGTGTGCACTGAGTAACTAAGCTCTCCATGAAATCGTTTCAGATCGTTGTTACGACAAGGTTGGGACAGAAACCTGCCAATATCGACTGAAAGTTGGTCACAAATGTTCATCGAAATACATGGAGATAGATTGTGCTTTAACATGCGGATATTGCGGTGAGGAATCTGTGGTGACTTAAAGTTGTCCAGCCGGAATTATCTAGCCGTTAATCAAAACTATAACAAAATTCTCGAACATGATTGGTTATCACCAGCCCGATTTAAGCGCTATTAGGACAGTGTACACGTCATGCTTGTAATTGGACGGTGTAATAGAACAGTTAAAGGGAAAGTCAAGGAGGCTCCATAGGGTTTTTTGCTCAATGCTGACGCGCGCGCCAGCGTATTGTTTTTCTGGAAATTTTTCATGTTTTCGCTTTTCTAGTTCACTAAAAGCCATCAAAAGGTCAATGAGCAAGGTTCGAACTATCGTTTGCAAATAAAGTAAATATTATCAAAATGATTTTTGTTACTGAGCTAAGGTTCCACGAAGGGAGGCGCTCGCCAGTGATAATTTGGCTTTGCCTTTGATTTTCTTCAATTTGCTTCAATGAAATCTCTCAAAATGTTCACAATTTGTGAAATTTGTCCTGCCGATCATTTAAAAGCCGAAAAGGGTTACATGGGCAGTTTGCACGCTATTTGCAATTTTGTGTTTTCATCCTCTATCTCAAATTTGGTCTTATGAATTTTTTTTTATTAACAGACACTAGGAAGGGCACACATATGTTTAACAGTCCAGTAAATCTTAGGAAATCTACCAAAAGAAACACGATAAATCTTGTTCGAAGATCTCTATTTTCTTTGTTCCATAACATTACGTAATGGAATAGAACTTCGCCAAGATCTATGTCTGAGCATGCGTAAACTTTCGAATCTGTCGCGTCATATGTCGCCTTTTGGTAATCTTTTGCACGGTGTTTTCTTTTCGGTTAGCCTCTTTTTCAGGCCTAGAAGGCCTATGAATATTACGGGTGCACCTGCTGGAAAGCTTAGATTCCATCACATAAAAACTGTATTGTGTTAAACTGTTTTTAACACGCCTTTTCAGATAACAATTGAGCAATCGTATCGAGCCGCCATGTTTTGTTTTGCATGTTGTCACTTTTAAAGCTCGCGTTATGTTCATACCCGGATCTCGTGCGGTCAAAAAACCCTGTCCACTTACACAGGCATGTGTAAGTGGACAGAAAGCGTCATATGCGCGCTGTTGTCTCTTTTTTTTGTGAAAACGTATAATCGATGTCTAGTTTCTTTCTCAAATTCTGTCATGGTTTTGATTTATTGATAACAGGACTTCGTGTCGTCCAAGCCTGTCTGTAATCTGTCTGTAATCACACTCGTGATTAACAGATTTTGTTAATCACTTGTATGATTACCGACTGAATTGGACTTCACTCGGTCCTATTGCCATTATTAATCAAGTCAAAACCCTACACTACTTGACTTGATACCCCACAACGGGTATGGAATAAATTATTTAAAAATTTAACTCATACCCCTGAGGGATTTTTGACTAACATCATTATTGTCTGCATTAAATGTGTCTATTACCTGTTTAACAAAGCTTTAATTAACTGTGTTTAAAACTTTTTACGTCTTCCTTCTTTGAAAGAAATAATAGTACTGCATATCTCGCGCTTTAATTGCAGCTTAAAATTAAGGCACAAACTATACGTTGGCCATGTGCAAAAGCTACATCGGCTTGCCCCTGAAATTGTTGATTTAAATCAAATAATGTATGACTATGTGTAAAAGCAAGAGGCAAAAATATTAAAAAAAGAACAGAAGTCTACAATAGAATTTATATTTTACTAAGTAAGAACCGTGCGCGCTGAAGACGCCATTAAGAAACTAGCGGATTACTACACAGTGGAAACCTTCTCGTACGACTCTCGGCTATGTGTCGGGAATGTAAGGTGTATAAGGCTCAAAAAAAGGTGACCAATTACTACACAGCGAAAACCTTCTCGTAAGACTCTCGGCTACGTGTAGTTTGCTTCGGACAATTTTACTGTGTTACTGAACAAATCCTCTTGTTCCTGTTTGACAAAGTTATTGTTCTCGTATCCAGTCCTTGCAGGTGGCCAAAATCAAATTACCGCAACGGTAGCTTCTGTAACAGCTTTGCCAACAACACCTCAACCAGGATCAGTAACATCCCACCCAGTAGGTATGTGTACCCCACGCAAACATTTTGGTGTGGAGTACATGGATAGTGGGCCCATAGTAAAGGTGTGCCGCTGTTCAAGGTGTATGATGTTCAATTTTCTCGAAAGTGGCGGAGAACAAAACACCGGGTTTAAGATACAAAAAGCGCGGGAAAGAAACTTACAAAAGTGAATGTATGCGATTCGATAGATTATTTCCCTCTCTTGTTGTTTATTTACAGTTTCTGCTACCACTCCAAGTTCAGTAACAGTTCCACCCACATCCAAGCCTCAAGGTATGCCTGGAAAAAGACCCTAAACTATTTGGTTGTGTACAATTATTCTAATCAGCTACAGCCGGCTGCACGCAATCATTAACAACTGTCAAGACAGAATTGATTTCCCTAGCACACGTTTTATAACAATTTGGTCCACAACCGTTTCTAAAAATATGTAGTTGACCTCAATGCACCTCTTCGACCGAATAAGAATAAAGAGACAGTGACCACAATTGTCCTTTTTGTTTGGATTGAGCCGGCTCAATTTGTTCCATGGTCTGTCATTAAGAATAGATGTCACAGCTTTCAATTCTCTCTAGAAATTCAATTTGCATTTGTAGATTTTTTTTCTTCCTTTTCTCGTTTCACTGACGATGCTATATTCTAAATTTCTAGCGCTGAAGCCTTAAAATCAAAATAACGATGGCCTCTATCAACAGTTACAAAGTTATAAAAGTCAAACAAAAAGGGTGCTTCTTATGGTCTCGATACATTGTCATAACTGTTTTCTTTTAAACATTCTTATTGAACTTAGCTTCATGACATCATCAGAGCCTCTTTAAAAATTATATTTTGTACCTATTATTTCTCTAATATCAGCCTAATATTACAAATGCTCCTTAATTTTGGCGCGAAATTTCAGCGCTAATTCATAATTTCAGGAGGCTCAGAAATTTTTAAACTTTTGACAAAAACACGCGTATAGTTGTCACCAATTTATTATACATTCCTATTTAACAAATTTTAATTTTGATCACATATTTACGAAGTGTGTACAACCGACCAAAATTCTGGATGTGAGAGATGGGCAGCTGTTGGCGAGTGTGAAAAGAACCCGCTGTGGATGATAACGAATTGTTTCATAAGCTGCAAGCACCATCAGGCACCAAAAGGTAGATGAACGCATGTGATACTAAATCATATCAAAAACATTCGGATTTCCCTTAAGCGATTTCCTAGAACGGGCTGACTCTTATGAAGGTAAGAGAAAAAAAACTAAGGCTCGAATGCGCATCATCTAGCTAATAGCAAGTTAAGGAAGCTTAACAATCAATAAAACTATGAAACATTACACCTGAACTTCGATGGATAGGGGAATAGAAATATCATTATCATGAAGAAGAAGATAATTCTAACAATAATAATGATAATAACAATAATGACAGTAGTGATAATATCAATACTAATAATAATTATAAAATAATAGTAACAAAGATGCTAATTACCATAATAGTAATAATGATGATAATAATGATAATGATGATGATGGCATAGACGTTGACACAATCAATAGTACTGTTGAGAACTGACAAAAAAACAGTTATTTTGCTCAGGAAGAAAGCATGGTGACACTGTGACACAAAAGTGAAATAACAGTTTGCTCAGCAGACTGTTCCGATGCAAACCCAAGCTGCCCAAGGTGGGCTTACGCTGGAGAATGTGAAAACAACAGAGTATGGATGCTTAAAAACTGCAGAAAAAGTTGCAATCAATGCGGAGGTGAGTTGGCTGAGGCGAGGGTCTAAGAGAGCTGCCCCGAAGAGAAAGGAACTAAAAAGTTACAGGAGACGGGGTTGTAGAGCATGACCGGCTAGGAGTAGACAGGATTGCGGAAATTAAACTGGATATGAATTTAGTTCCTGGTAACAAGTGGCGATACCGACTGCAGCGTCACCTTCTTAGTTTTATTGAGAAAATTCTAATAAATTCAGCACCACTAAATTCCAGAGCCCCTTAAGAGGTGGAGCCATTCGTGGAAACTCATAATTATATTTAAAGATTAATTACTCGTTAGGTAGTTTAATTTTTCTGCAAGATTAAATACACCCGGCTGTTTTGATACGTTTACAGATTGCACAGATTCTGACCCCAAATGTCCGTCGTGGGCTTTATCGAACCAATGCAGCTCGGGTGATAAGATAAACGAAAAATGCAGGAGAAGTTGTGGCTTATGCAGAGGTAAAAGGTTTCGATTCTTTCACGCGTATGTCTCTTTGCGTAGCGTGGAAATCTTTCTATACCATAATTTTTTTTACTGTAAAATTTTTCCTTACTACCACAGTGACTCTCTCCTCACCATCAGGGAAACCTGGCAGGATTTTTCAAAGAGGGGTCACACTGTGTCGAACAAAGGACACTCACCAGATTGTCCTCCACGCCGTGTTTAGCTTAATTTGACAAAAAAGAAACTTAGGAAGGGCGGGGGGGGTCACGAGCCCTCACAGGGGAAGGGGGTTTTGCAGCAATACCTCTCGCTACTTAATTCCTGGAGTACGGCAGGGTGGGGTTCTTAGCTGGTGTGCACAATTGACCTCTACTTGACTTTAAATAGTTTTTTAAAAACATAATTAGGATGAAATTCGATGAAAACGTGGCACTTGACAGAATATACACAATTTTGAACATAACATTCTCCACAGTTTACGACAAACACAAAGAATGTCCCGCCTGGTCTGCGATGGACGAATGTAAAAAATCCAATTGGACATGGATGGTGGATCATTGTCCACGAAGCTGTGATGTTCCATGTAAGTGACAGTTCTCTAATAAAAAAGGTTCAGTTGTTTCGCTTGAGACTTGAAACCTGCTTAACAGACGACAGCAAGGTTTGGCGCCATCCAAAGATTTTGCATCTTTACCTTTCGCCTCTATCCTACCTGCACTCTAGGCTCTATTTGTTTTTAAGTACCTTTTGAAATCGCGTATCAACCAGTAGGGAGCCACTTGATTTGTTTTTCAGTTTCAGAAGCCTCGTTTTGTGGTGGAAAAGAAAACGGTAATTATCAGGCCCCCACCACGTGCCAAGCATACATAGCGTGTTCGTATGGCGTCACAAGTCACGTGCAGTGTCCATTTGGAAAGAAATTTGATACACTCAAGAGAATGTGTGTACTAGTGGACCAAGCCGCCTGTACAGTGGTTCTTCCGAGTAAAAAGTCAAAGCCATTTATGATTGTGACGCTGTAAAGAAGAACATTGACGAATTGTATTGTTTATATCCGTAAAAAGGCAAACTGCAACTGGTTTTATATACGTTTTTAATCTCTTCTGTATTTCTAGCGAAGTGATGATTTGGCTCCGAACTGTAACTTGGGCTTTTGATCTGAGAAGTTCAGCTAAATATAAGAGCTCGCCATTTTCATTTTCAAATTATGATTTAGGACACTTGCTGTAAATTGCGGAAAACCCTTTCGAGTCTTCTTAAGAATAGTTTTTAATTATACAATGAATGAACCTTTATTCTTCTCCTTGTTTTCGTTATTATTATCATTATTGCCATCATCATCATTATTATTATTATTATTATTATCGTTATTATTATTATAATTATTTTCAATTTTATTTAAATTGACATGGACACTTCGCTGTAAATTTTGCGGAGTTTTATTTTGGGCGAACTTACTGTTGCGCAAAATTTTTATGGAACTCGGTACTCTAAGTCACATGATGTGACTAAAAAGAATTGTTTCTTGGTCTCGTGTAGGTACTTGGTGACCTTTTAACGGGTACCACAAAAACGATGCTAAATTTCGTTGAGAAATAAGAAGAGGTATAACCAGTTACATGTAAATCAAATAGTGCACAATTTTTCTGGTTACCATTCTTGGAACACAAAAGTATTCGACAGGTAGACAGTATTGGGGAACAGCGGCAAAAACTGACGAGTTCATCTTCACACTCCTTGCGCTGTTGACCCAAAGTAAACATGTAACCTTCCGGGTTATCTAAAGCCAAATTTTTGAACAGGTCGACTAAATAACAACCTAATGAGCCAGTGTAAAGGCATAAATCTAAAATAAGGATCCCTGTCTTTTGACAATAATAATTTCAGTCAGACAGAATCTTGTTATGTTACCTCGGAGTAGGCAAAGAGATGCATTCGGCCATTTCCTTTGTTTGGTCGTTAGCTTCACTGTACAGTTTCGCACAAAGGACAGTGTAACGTCTCTCGCTATGAAGTCGCCAAGCAGTCGGGATTTTAAAACTTGTAGACTTACTGCTGAAGAAAAAGAAAAGTTCCTCGACGAAAATAACAAATTTCGCGGAATGGTGCAACCAACTGCGGCCGATATGGAGTTTTTGGTAAGTGAAAAAAAATGTCAATAGAGATTTTAGGGCCAAATGGAAATCTTCGCACTTTTAGGGCCGGATTATTGAAACGCTGAGACAAAAAACGTTCTGCCTTCGTACTTTCCCGTAAAAGGTTAACTAGGCACACTCCTCTCCACTTGGCAAGCAAGCCAGTTATCTTCCTTGTTTTCGCGTGGGCAGGAACGGCGTAATTCAGGAAGTAAGTGTTTATTTCCATGTCAGTACTTTCTCTTGGGCCACAAGACTAGCTTGGCTATTATATAAAGGTTTGACCTTAATTCAAGAGAGTAGTACCACTTAAAAGATTTGCACTCCAATGTTATGACACTCTTTTTAAATGTATAGTGTATGGCAGCACTACTACGAACTTAAAACGCAATCGTGACTTCAAATGTAAACAACAATGATAATGCAAATCTGGGTAGGTGATTATATGATTCAAAATCAAAAGTAAATGTACATTAAAAAAAAGCATATAATAAGGCGAATTGAGTCGAGTCTCGAGTCCAGGAAGCTCTAGTGGTTGGAGAAAAATGCCGGAGCTTGTTTCACACATGGTCATACACTAACTGTGAGGGAATCGGACTCGGGCTAAGACGGAGATACGAGTAGATGGCATTAGGTCCAGGTCCATTAATGAGACAGAGAAGAAAGCCTCGGAATGAGTCGATTTCACTTCGGTTATTTGTAGATAGTCGTACCTAGACCACCCCATGCATGTGTTGACATGAGAGAGAAACTATCGAAAATTAGGGTTTGAAATCAATGACGGTTACATGGATAAAGCACAGAATAATTAAATTCTCAGACTAACCGAACATTACGAAGCCGTTTTTCTTTGTACAAATGTAGCCGTTCTATTACAAACCTTCATATGCATGCGGCGAGGCATGAGTCAAGTTTTGCTAGATCCGGAAACGAATTTTGTTTAATTGTATACATGTTCATGTCATGCTCTGCTTTTCGATTCGCATATGGCCCTTTGCTCACGGAAAATGGAAAATATCTGTCCTCTTTCGGTGCGCCTTGTTGATGTACTGACGAAAAGCGGTGAGATTGGTTCTTTAATATCAAATTACTTCAGCAATAAGAAACTGCATCAGGAAACCGCTATGCTTCCCACCCCAAGCTAAAAATAATTTTAGTGAAATAAACATTCCCCGGCCAACGTCCTGATTTTTCGTCTCTATTGTATTATTTCCTCGTCCACGTACAATAGCGCGTGAAATAAAGTCAATCTATCAAATAGTCTTTGATGATAGGTGTGGGACGATAATCTTGCAAATATGGCTCAAATGTGGGCAGACAAGTGCATCTGGGACCACGGGTTTGTCATGTTTGGAAGCCAATATCCCTACAGCGTGCCTTTCAAGGGACAAATAGGTAAATATATTTTGTACAATTTAGAAGTCAGGCTGTACATTCAAGTGTAAAGTATGTTTGCGACGTAAACCCAAAAACAGGAGGAGGTTTAAATCCATCGGAACAGAATTATCGATCGAAGGTCAATACGAAGAAGAAATGGCGGAATTGTTTCTCATCAAAATATCCATGAGTTTTTATTATGTATATTCCGTGTTCATGAAGACTGATGAATATTAGCCGTAATCAAGCGAGGGTTTAGTGGATCAATACCAAAAAAAGCTGCTATAAGGACTCAATGCCTTGCTGCCTCCCTTTTGAATTGTTGTTATTTTGTTCCCAGGTCAAAATCTTGCTAGGGAGTATGGAGAGCTTTCAAACCCAGTGGACCGCGTGGTGAGATGGTACAATGAACATAAATACTGGATATTTGGCAAGTACACAAGCCCGATGGGAGCTTCTTGTAGAAAGCCACCTTGTGGACATTACACACAGGTATTTTGGAGCTGCTGCGCATGTGCAGCTTGTTCACAGGGCATTTAAAAGTTGTAAAGAAAACTGAAGGTTCCAGTCGACAGCGATCACTGATTTAAAAACTTTGTGTTTTAGCCGTGACGGAAATGATTAAACCAACAAGCTTTAGGACGCACACAAGGAAGAAAGATAGAAGTTTGAAAATAAGTAAGCTAAGAATTTTAAAAACCAGCGATAAAATCTAACAGTAAAGAAGAAATCAAGCAAAAGCAAAAAGGGACAGAAATAAACACCAATCAAAGGACAACTTAATGAACTGAAGGAGAAGCGCCTATACGGCCCTACAAACGAAAGTAAATAACGGACGATCGAGGGCGCAAACAAAAGCCGGCGGCAGGTAATCAGTTGAATGCATTACATTTGCTTGTCCCTGTGACTTACTAAGATGCTATCATCTTGTACTAAGAAGGATATTTCTATAGAGGTATGAATACAAAAACGTGATTTAAGTTTCCTTTTCAGCTGGCATGGGCTCAAGCGAAGCATCTTGGATGCGCAGTTAACTTCTGTTCGAGCTTTAACGACGGTTTCGAGGGAACAATAGTGGCCTGTGACTATACAACGTAAGCACAAGTCGTTACTTTATATTCTTACGTGTGTTAGCGATAGAAAATTTCTCTTTTCTTTTTCCGTGCGACTGTGGACCTGGTCCAGCTTTACAACGTTGGTCTCAAGTTAATGTACACTTTTGCTTTTTACTTGAACTTTAGAGGTAACATTGGAGGTCAATACCCATACAAGGCTGGGACCCCCTGCACCAAATGCGCATCTGGTAAAGGATGGTGCTACAAAAATCTCTGTCGTAAGTGAAACGAAACCAATTGAAATAAACAAACCATTTTTTAACAAGCCACGGCTGTAACCTTGATAACAGGGTGTTCAGTGTTACGATATAGTAAAAGTCAAACTAACAACTCACAGCAGCTGTAACCTTACTTGTAGTAACAGAGTGTTCAAGGCTACGATGTGATTCTAAACCCACACTAACAATTTACTAGTGAGTCCTGGACGCTCATCTTACTCCAGACTTATCAGTGTTTCTGAATCTTTTTACAATGGAATCAAAATTTAAAAATAAATTTTAGGAAATTGCACTGACTTCGACAAAGATTGCGGAGGTACTTCTTTGACGGCAGCGATGTGTTCTTCACACCCAGAATTAATGGAGAAGAAGTGTCCTAAACTATGCAATATGTGCAGTGAGTATGAATTGAAACCAAATATTAATGTGTAAGTGTGTCTTGTTCTTAAACTCGCTGCTTAGTGTAATGAACAGGAAGAACTAAAGGCGTAATTCTTGCTTGTCTCAGGTCTGAAGATTTTTGTTAAAAACGACGTTATAAAAGTAAACAAATCGTTACGTTATAAAGAAAAAGGCGACTCAGAAGTGATGTGTGTATTCAACACGATGTAGTAAAGAGAGTCGAAATAAAACTTGTTGCATACACTCATTATTTTCAGTAACCCTCTGGTCCGCTGACTTGAAAACATCTTTTACTGGATGCCGTGGATTATCGCCAAATTTTCAAAACTATTTTAAACACTAATCAGGATGCTGAAATCATTTTCAATATTTTTTATATTATCAACTCAATATTGAGAACCTAAAGCGCAAATCTATGTGCAGAAAGGCGCTCGCACTGGTAAAATCTAGCCACAATCTTAACAAGGTTGTCGTTCTTATTTCACAACAAAATTTTATATGCAAGTAATGTTTCACGTGAAAAGCACGTAAAAGGCATCTGCAAAACACGAGGAAAAGTGTTATACCCCTTCAGATAGCGTTTTTACTTGCATTTAAACAAAATCTTGAAATCCACACGTGAAAAACATGCACCCACGCATGTGCTTTAGAATCTCGACAACGATTTGTGATTAATCTGACTGAACAAGAACGATTCCGAATTTTAAATCAGGCCTCTAAGAGGCGCATGAGTAATAAATTTAATTTTCTCGTAAGGCATACCCATAATTTCCCGGATCTTTATATCGCTTTCTTTTTAGAGTGTCCTTTAAAATGTCAAAACGGAGGTACATTAAACGAACAGGGCTGCGTTTGTTCTTGCGCTTCTGGCTGGAGGGGCATGGACTGTTCAGGTAGGCCACAGGAATCGGTAACGTGAAGTAGAACAGTCCTATAAATCTGAAACTTCGTGTTAGGAATTGACTGTCTTGGAAAGGCGACAATATGCTGCGGAGTTAACCTCCCATCCGGTAGAAGTATCAATACCCCAAGGAGCCTTATGACAGCCATTAAAACTAGCGAGCTCCGCCGGTGTGGGCCACTTTGCTTGTGAGAACACCTCGACTGAATAATATATCATTGTTTCTTTCAATCCCTTTTCTAGACAAGGCATGCGAACCTGGCTATTATGGAGAAAACTGTGAAAGTAAGTTATTGACACGCTTAATCTTCTTTATGCCGTAGATTCTACGACTTGTTCATTCCACGCTTATACTATACAACACTGAGTTTCCTTGATTTTATAAACCAAAACGTTCACCTATTCATTTACGAGATCAACTCAAAGTTTCAAAGTAGGATAAGCAACTATCATTGTCCAGATTTGTTGGCAGTTTCCTGGTGAGATATCGATCTATCACTGAAAACCTTTCGGTAGGTGATAAATGATACAAAAAGTGCGCTATTCTTTAATGGGTGCATTTTGAAAATTATCAAAATAGTGCGCAGACAATTCTTTATCACATTGTACGTGCAATAAATCACCAGGCTCCCCTTGAAATCGTTTCAGATCGTTGTTACGACAAGGCTGGGACGGAAACCTGCCAATACCGTGTGAAAGCTGGTTTTGATTGTAAACAGAAATTCATGGAAATAGATTGTGCTTTGACCTGCGGATATTGCGGTAAGGAATCTTAGGTGGCTTTAGGTTGTTCAGTTGCAGTTATGAAGGTTTTAATCAGATCAAGAGCTCACATGATAGCGAAAAACGGGTATGGAATATATATACCCATGACGTTATTCGAACACGAACGCTTGGAAGAGGTTGTGATTTAACATGCATACATTGCAGTTAGGAATCTAACGTGGCTTTAAGTTTTTAATTTTAAAAAATATACGTTGTGAGTAGATCAAAAGAACATGCTACATGACTTGACGGTATAAAACGGAGATTAAAAAATTCTCACGTAATCTTAGACCTCAGGAACTTTTGATTAGCATCATAAATTTGTTAATGATTTTTATTACTTGTTAAACGGAACCCTTAAGTTGCGCTTAGACGATTTTTCGTTTTACCTCATGGAAATAAATCCTAGAGCTGAGTGCTGCATATCTCACGATCTGTTTGCCAAATAGAGTGAAGGCGTAAATTATAAGCTGGTTAACAAAAGGCCATGCGCAAAAGCCATAAAACCCTATAAATTGTTGATATCATCATTCGGTATCCCTATATCATGATCATGCACTATTTTCGTGATGCGCATTTGAAAATTGCTTTATTTGCACATCAGACATTTATGCTGTATTATTATAATTATTATCATCATTATCAATCGTTTAATTGAAAATATTATCAGAACGAGAGAAGTTGTGGAAAAGAAAGGCGTACTTTCTATTAACCTCACTTAAAGCGAATTATGAGATGTAAGTCGTTGCGATGGATATAGTATGTTGTTCGCGCATAAAATGATGGTGGCTTTTCTTATTCAGTCCCTGCAGGTGGCCAAGTTACCACAACAGCAGCTCCTGTCACAGCAATGCCAACAACACCTCAACCCGGAGTAATTACCTCAAAACCAGTAGGTAAATGTACTTCGATCATAAACATTTCAGTGTGGTGTAAATGGGTAAAAGGTTGGTAATAGAGGTGTACCGCTGTTCGAGGTACATGGGGTCTAGTTTTCTCAAAGGTTGCGGAGAACAAAAGAAAGGGTATAAATTAATATATAGATTTAGCCAAGCCTAAAAGCAGAGCTCGCACTTTTTTTTTCCCGCACGTCTCAACGCCTTGCCCTGGCCGGGACTAGAGCCGGGTCGTCCGACTCGGAGCCCAGTGCACTGACCACTGAACTACTAGACAAAGCCGTGGCGTTGGCGTGCCTGCGGTACAGTTGACCACGCATGTTAAAAGTAGCACCTTGTGCGGTCGTACGGTCGTATGGTCGTACATCCATATTTTTCGGCTTGATGGGTTACTGCTATTTTGTATAGTTATGGGGCTATGCAAGCTCCGCTTCATTTATTTAAGAAAAAAAATAAACATCTGAAACTAAAACTCACGCAACGGACATAATTTATGTCAGATATCACTTTCCTCTGCTATTGTCTATTCATAGTTTCTTCCACTGTGACTCCAAATGCTATAGCAGTTCTACCCACACCCAAGCCTGGCTAAAAACCCTACATTCACTGAATATGAACAATTCTTCGAATCAGCTATGGCCGGCTGCGAAAAATTGTTAAATTAGGTTCCTTTGCAAACGTTCTTTAACACTGTAGTGCACAATCATTTCTCAAAATGTTGCCACCTTTAATTTAGTTTGGTTTGTTCAGGCACTAGACAGAATTTTTTTCCCTTGCAAGTGTACTATAGCAGTGTAGTGCACATTCATTGTTACAAAACTTGCTACCTTTGATCTAGATTAGTTTGTTCCGTTACACAAATGAGACGAAATTGAAAATATAATTTGGGCGTATGATTCGATCCATAGTCTGTGATTAGGAAATATGTAACACCTCTCAAATCTATCGAACAATAATTGTGACTTTTTTTTTAATGACGACTTTTTAAAGGTCATTCCCTAGCCATAATCATAATCAATTGTTCAAAGACTACAAATTACTATTTTATCGTGCTTATTGGCACCAAATTGCACTCAGTCATTTTAGTACTAATACATTAATCATGGATCAGCAAAAGTGCGTTATCTGCCCGGAATCGTATGGTTTGTCAATAACGCTTTTTAAAATATTTTTTTCGTACCCAACTGTATGATATCATACCTCTTCGGAAAGAAATGAGTCAATTTACTCTTCAGTACTGTGTTTTCATGTTTGATCTTATATTTCATTGATTCCAAGTGTGTAAAACCGACCAAAATTCTGGTTGCGAGGGATGGGCGGCAGTTGGTGAGTGTGAAAAGAACCCGCTGTGGATGATACCAAATTGTTGCGTCAGCTGCCAGCATCATCAGGCACCAAAAGGTAGATGAGTATAGAAAATCCTAAATCATACCGTAAACATGCGAATGTCCCGTAAGCGATTTGCTAAATCGGCTAAATCGGCTAAAAATCAATAATAAATCAGCTAAATCGGGTTGATTCTGAAAGGGGAAGAAATAAACGAGAGCGCATCATCTAGCTGGTAACAAGCTGAGAAGGCTTCACAATGAAAATCAAACCATGATACATTAAACCTCAAAGCCCATCTATTGGGTATTTAGAAGAGGAATATGACAATAACGATGATGACAATCATACTTATAATAATTACTATTATAACAATCATGAGGAAATCATTAAACTGCTGGCAATCAAGAAAACACCTCTGCTAGGAATAGCGAACATTCTCAGAAAGTTATCATCATCGTCATCATAACGGTAACAATAATTACGATAGCAATAAAAAAAAAACAATAAAAATGCTCATAACAAAAAATACTCGTAATAAGTACAATTTGAGGCAGGGAAACAAGCATAACCAACACTATTGATGAAAAATAGAGGAAACCGTTTTTTTTTGTGCTCAGGAAGAAAATGAATATTGCGACCCTGTAACACCCATAGGTAAAATGATCGTTTCCTCGCAGACTGCACTGATGCAAAGCCAAGCTGCTCAAGGTGGGCTTACGCTGGAGAATGTGAAAACAACAGATTATGGATGCTTAAAAACTGCAGAAAAAGCTGCAATCAATGTGGAGGTGAGCTGGATGGAGTGGGGGCCACTCAACGTTACCCCTGCAGAGAAAGAAATTCAGGGAAAGTTACAGGAGACGAGGGAGAGAGCATGATTGGCTAACAGTAGAAAAGAACGCACAAATTTCATTGAAGATGACTCAGGGTTGTGGTATCGAGTAGCAGTAGCGTCGACTTCCAAAACTGTTTTTTTCTTTTTATAGCGACCCAAATGCGTCACTAAATTCAGAGGACCTAGCTAAGAAGTGAAGCCATTTATGAATAATATTCATAATATATTTTTAAGATTGATTAATTGTTTGGGAGTTTAATTATTCTGCAACAATTTAGTGAAACGTTTTGAAACGTTTACAGATTGCACAGATTCTGACCCAAGATGTCCATCGTTGGCTTTATCAAACCAATGCAACTCAGGTGAAAAGATACACGAAAAATGTCGGAGAAGCTGTGGTTTATGCAAAGGTGAGAGAACTTTCATTTCTATTAAGAGCGATGCGCAAACCCTTTTTTAACTCTACAACTTTCTCAAATCTCAAAATGTGTTTTACCACGATTGGCAGTAATGTCGCAATCTAATTGGTCAATTTGTCGTTTTCGGCAAGAGTACAGACAACACTGCTCACTTCAACGTGTCTCGTCCTGAGACAATCGTTCTATACGACGTCGACACTGTAGTAAAAAACAACAGCGTGGTCTTTATTCTTATCGACAACGGTATTTTTCATCACAGTGGTCAAAATTTGCGGCGGACTCATTCGGCTTCGCCTTGCGAATCCTCAACATTTTGACTACTGTGATGACGATTACCGTTGTCAATAAGAGTACAGTACATGCTAACCAACTGTCGTTTTTTTAACCCTCTCCACCCAGGAATATAGAGAAGCATCCAGTCCAGGGGAATGGGGGATGGGGGTTTTGAAGCAACGCATCTGCTTTTTTCCAATTAACCTCTACTTGACCTGCCAATGTATTGATAGAACACCCGCGCCATATAAACACTTTGAAAACGTGACTTGTTAACAGGATACATAGAACGAATGAGGACCTAAATAGATATATTTAAAATATGATATTTTCTTAAGTGTACGACAGACATAACGAATGTCCAGCTTGGTCTGCGATGGACGAATGTAAAAAATCCAACTGGACATGGATGGTGGATCATTGTCCACGAAGCTGTGATGTTCCATGTAAGTGACAGTTTTCTTATCGAAAAAAGCTCTATTTTATCAGTTGAGAGAATAAGACTTGAAACCTAGTTAAAAACGACATTTGCAGACAAGAAATCAGCAATATTTTGCATTTTTCCCGCGTTGCAATGTTTTGAAATTTTTAGCAATACCTTGGTACGCTGGGAAATTGTGGAAAGAAGTGCACAGTAATCAATATCTACCGCATACCTCATAACGTAAATGTTGTGTTGCATCAATTAATCTTCTCAGATATTTGTACCTTTCGACTCTTCCTTCCTGCACTCTGAGCTCAATTTGTTTTTAATACTTTTTAGAGGAGAAATGGCTGTAAATTCTCCACCAAAATCTGTGAATTATCAACCAGTTGGCACCACCTGACTCTTTTTTTCAGTTTCAGAAGCCTCGTTTTGCGGTGCAAAAGAAAACGGTAATTACCAGGCCCCCACCACGTGCCAAGCATTCATAGCTTGTTCGAATGGCGTTACAAGTCACGTGAAATGTCCCGCAGGAAAGAAATTTGACACAGTTAGAAGGATATGCGTACTAGTGGATCAAGCCGCTTGTACAGTGGTCTTTCCAAGTAAAAAGTCGAAGCCATTTATGATAATGACGCTGTAAAAAAGAACAGAGTTAAACTTCGTTGTTGCCTGTCAAACACGACTTGCACCCGACTATATATACGCGTTGAAACCTTTTTGCGTCGCTAGGGAAATGATGAGTGGGCTCCAAGTGGAAAACTTAACCCGCGGTCTAACAATAATCGTAATAACCACAAAGTTCTAACGTAAAGTTCAGCTAATTATAAAGGGGGGCTCTGTATTTTTCCTTTTTGCTTTAGAATTTTGAGTTTAAATAGTTATCAAAACTTAGAGGTATGGCTTTAAAAGAAGTGTTATAGTGTAGCGGTCGAGACATTCGTCAGAGATATTCCGCAATATCCAAACCTACGTTAACCAGCAAGCCGAAGGTATAAGTATGAAACTTACTTGATTTGATTCTTGCTACTCACTTTGTAAAACTGTTCGGTTTGGTGATTATGGAAGCGAAGCTTATGCAGTGGAAAGGTCCATTTAACCAGGGGAAGACGAGAACCTCGATGGGAAAGCTCTCACTAAGAAACATAAGAGGAAAAGACATTTCAAAAAGTTGGTGCCTGTGAGCGGATAAAAAAAACTCTTTTAAAAATAGCAGGCTAGAAGTCACTACCATAACGTTAGTTTAATAAACCACAATTTTCGCACCAAAATCCTCAAACTAATCACTTATCACTGTCCCTCCTAAATGCGACAATTGAATGCGCTACTTGCTAGGGAGCTTATTTACAAATTTAAAATGTCCGAGTAAGCGACTGCTCATCACGCGCGTCACAGTAGTTCCGTTGTCTTCGTACCATTCACCTACTTAAAGAGGTAAACTGGTAAGTAAGGTAAAGAGGTAAACTGGTAAGTAAGGTAAAGAGGTAAACTGGTAAGTAAGGTAAAGAGGTAAACTGGTAAGTAAGACATATGAAAATTTAAAGCAGAGTAAAAATATCTTTTTTAAAAATTTAAATTTCATACGAACAGAGATCGGTCCATGCAAAAAGTTACCACACATCCATTCAAGTCATACTAAAAACGACCCCAATATTTATACGTTATAAGGTAGTTCTTACACAAACTATTTATCAATTAAAAACAAAGAAAAAAATACTCACATGTGCCAGCTTTCCGTACGGTGTCCTTTCTCTGTGCTAAATAAAGACAACTGGTTCTCGAAACCTCCATTTAGGCTAAGCGACCCAAGAAGTGTTAAGTGTTGGCTACAAAAGTTTAATGTGAAGAGCATCAGGTCAGCGGAACTGTGAGCGTTCTCGTGGTTTCAATCGTTTGTTAAATCCGATAGAGCAGATTGCCTCGTAGCTAGTTAATGTCATTGGCTGAAAAGAAGAATTCAAAGTTACCTTATGGTTATCGTGCCATCCACTGAGACAATTACACGCACAAGCTGTCTTGAGTACCGCTCTCGACCTGTGGCCTCGGGTGGTATCCAAGTCCTCGGGTACAATTTTTTCGCCATACGGATCTGTTCCCAATAAAAACCTTTTCGTCCATGTAACTCAGCCTCCCAAGTTTCGTCAACATGTCCAAAAGCAATAATTCAAACAATTTTCACACAAAAAATTAGGCTAAGAAGGCTTATTTGCATGATCACAAAAGAACAATCATCATCCCCGTCATGAGAGAAGCCCATACAGGTAATTTGAAAAGTAAGAGGTATGGCAGCTTCCTCAATCAGAAAGACCTTTTAACAGGTACCAAACAAAGGAACATAATACGTACCAGTGGCCGTTTCAATAAACGATTGAAAAAACGTCGAGAGCATAAACATGAGATATAAAAAACGAACAATTCCGTAAGTATAAGCACAGTTTACACTACGAACTAAGGACGTAGGACAGCGAGAAACTCAGCTGAGCAAGGGGGAAGGCAACACGTCGTGGTTGTAAATGATGTCATGTGTATAAATCTTTGAGAAAGGAGGGCACTCTGAAAACCGTGCGTCTGTTAAATTTTAAAATATTCTTTGGCACGTTTAAAGGATATAAAAAAAAACAATCAGGTAAACTGGATTGGAAAACGAAACTTTATATGAATTAAACCTAGAACAAACAACAACAACAACGATTTCAAGAGAACAAACAACCACTGGATCGATGTTTCACCTCAAAAAGAGTAACGCACATGATATCTTCAAGCGTCGCTTAATGCCACTTTATGTGATCTTTGGACTTTTGGTGCTCAATGGAAGAGCCTTGGTTTCAGCAACTGGTAAAATAAGACCATCGCATCAAGATTTCGCTATTAGCAAGCTGACCGCGGCGCGAAAAGAAAAATTTTTGGACGAACACAACAAGTTTCGTGGAATGGTTGATCCACCAGCAGCAGATATGGAGTACTTGGTAAGTATTCTTTCTTTTTTCTTATTTAGGTAATTGATGCTCAAGACGTCAACAAGTTCGTCAACGAGTAGTCTTGAAATGTAACACCTGTTCACAAGGTCACCTTTAAAATCGCTAGACGTATGTATCTCTTTGTTCCGGGTGGAGACCTCCTAAACTTTCATAAACGTAATCCGAGCCCTTGTATATGTGATTATGGGTAACTTCCTTAAGGTGTACATGGCGTTAAAGAGTGGGCTATTGTGCAATAGCTTGATGTACGTATGTGAATGGGTCAAGTGCATCTTTTTCCCACCAAATGCGATACAATTTCCTCATTTCGTTACCATTCGAAAATATTCTTTCCTTACAAAGAAAAAGTAAGTGAAATGTATGCTAGTGGAGAAGGATGCTCTACATTTTTTTGCTTGTAGTTTTGGGACGAGGATTTAGCTAATTTGGCCCAGATGTGGTCCAATCAATGTGTGTGGGATCATGGATTTCTCGAATTTGGTGATGAGTATCCTCACCCTGTTTCCTTCAAAGGACATGTAGGTACGTTTTAATAACTTCCTCCAGAGTCCATTCTACAGTTATGGCCTTGCTAAGAGTTATCTTAACATGACAGAGCCGAGAAATTCGTCGGCAAGATAACATAACTTGAAAACCAGAAAAGATTGTAACATTACAAGGAAACCTTAAGCCTCACTCCTACTTAAGGGCTTAGCAACTGAGCACACAATTGTAAAATAGACATTTTAAGTGTCACTGGAGAATTCCGTTCCACTTCCGGATTAATTATCACGAAAAAAAATGATGTTATTGGCTTTACAATGTTTATCATCAGGTTCATTAAGTGGAATTTCGGAAACAAGCCTGTGAATAAACATCAAGTAGATTATCAAATACTGTTAAGCTTTAAATTATTTCCAATGTAACTATAATTAGTCTAGTAGTAAAAGGTAACCCGCGGTTTAAAATCAGGTCAAAATCTGGCAAGAGAATGGGGCACATTACAAAACCCAGAGGATCGTGTGACGCAGTGGTACAAGGAGTACGATTTTTACAAGTATAGCAAGTTTGCGAGTCCAATGACAGCTGCACAGTGTTCCAGACAGCCTTGCGGGCATTACACACAGGTATTCATCACATCATCATTTGTTTCCAGCAACTTTTCCAACCATGAAAACATATATGGCTGTTCCATGTCAGAGAACTTTTTGATAAAGTGCTGTAAAACCAAAACCAATGTAATGACAATGACCAATCACTCGATAGGAAAAGGTCAAGAGCAGCCAAAGAGAACTCAAAGTGAAAAGGTGCAAACTGCCTAAATCCGATTGGTTGAAAAAAAGCGCGTGTTTCTGGACCAATCACGAGATGAAGTAAAGCAAAAAAATAAACAAACAAACAATCCTGGGTTACCACCGATACTCAATTGAAAAGTGATTGAAAACTTTTTGCATATCAAAGCTGTTCGATCGAAAATGATATTTAGACTTTTTAAAGAAACATCATCAAATTTATGGAAGAAACAGAGTCGGTGCACGGCATCATGCATAATTTCTGCATTTAATCCCTCTCTTTTTCTCCTCTCAACTCCTACATTCGACTCCACAGAGAAAACTCTTTGATCAACCTGATTGATTCCCACTAAGTTAAATGTATCAGCAAAAGGCTGATTTTGATGCGACAGCTCAATTATGATATTTGAAGGATCATTCCTAGCTATCTGTTATGCCTAATGCTTTTAACGAGTCAAAAATTTTTTTTTTCGTATTTCATAAGCTTGCGTGGGCAACATCAAGATATGTAGGATGTGGAGTAAATTGGTGTGATAAAGAATTTGGCCCACCACATCCCTGGATTCCTGGAGAGACAATCGTTACTTGCGACTATGGTCCAACGTACGTCACGCAAATTCTTATCTTACCACATAGTGAGAAATGGTGAAAGGACTGAGTGTGTCCAATTCGGACTGTTATCGTGCGAGTGATTTGCAAAATCGGACTACCTCGAGGCAGGAATCCAATTTGTGATTTATGAATAGGATTACTGACAGAGGTGGACGATACGGAGTCTTGTGACCAATTAGTCAAAAGTATGACAAACTTTGAGAGACAAACTAGCCATTGGTTGTACTTTTTCACAACAAAAAAAAGTTAGCTCAGCGAAATGCGAAACAACAGCGCGCGCACATGGCGCGTACACTTTACAACTAACTATAATTGGTAACTAGTATTAGTGTTCAAATCGGGAAAGTGATAACCAATCACGTTCGAGAGTTTTGTAATAGTTTTGATTAACTATCATATTAACTAGAAAAGTGTTTTTTCACCTTTGTATGAAATCAGGAAACACTCAGTGATACAGTCAATCTAAAACAAATTTGACAGCAGAGTTATCTAGAGAAACTATTTGTTTTTTAAGACGAATTAAAAGCAATTAAAATTTTCATTCTTAGAACTTTTAAAAACATCATCCATTAAACTACCCTAAAGTTAATAGTGAGCAGTCGAAAGCGAAAAGTTTAGTTAATACTTAAGATATTATTAACAAGAAACTGTCGGAAAATTAAACTAAAACTGCAAGAACCTGACTGAAGAAACCCCAGAGAAATCTCTAAACTGATCAAAGACAGTTTCGACTTTTAAAATAGACCATGTATGTTTGCAATATACATACCATAAATTTACCAGTCATCCAAAGATCTCACGATTTTTCCAAGATCTAAATCCAAAGATATTACTAAGGCGAATTACATTATTCATGAAACATCGCCGGTATAACAACACATCTAACGCAACCTGTGTTGGTTTCTATGGCTTTAGGGGTAACATAATCGGGCAATACCCGTACAAGACTGGTGCTCCATGCAGCAAATGCTCATCTGGTAAAGGCTTCTGCTACAAGAACCTGTGTCGTAAGTAAAGACTTCGAGCGTCTCTACTGTTGGACGAGAGGCATTATTTGTTGATAAGCACTATCCAAATAGTAAAACAATATCTAGATATCACGATAAGGTTATAAGAACGTGGTTTGACATCAGTGAGTCCACTGTAGTCCTACCCATTTCCCGTGGTAGTCTTTGTAAATATTTTTACCCAACTGTTGTGCGATTCAGATTTCAATGCAACTCAGGAATCATGTGTAAGTCGACTTCGATTCTCACTTTAGCCTCTTCCTTGCCAATCTTAGTGTGAGATTTCATCATACACTGGGTTTATTGTCAAGTGATACGTTTGCTATAACCACTCATGACTTATTTTGCCTCAGCAACCATGAAGAAAACAACTTGAACTAACAAAAACTACTGAAGTTTGATGATTCAGTGTTAAAGTCTATTGAAGCATTTGTTTGTTTTAAAGGGGACTGTGATAACTTTGACAGCGAATGTGGTAAAAGCCTCACACAAGCAATGTGTACTTCCAGTCGTGAATTAATGGCTAAGAAATGCCCAAAGATGTGCAGCTTGTGCGGTAAGTTGGCTTAAGAGGGTGTTGGGAAGTGGGAAGCCAGAAGCGAAGAGTCAGGCGAGGAAAACTAAGGTAGCCGGAATATTTTTCCTTCGTTGTCCGCGATTTGATCTGCATTCTTCATCTTGCTAACTTTTTAAACGTCTGCTACGTGAACGATCTTCAGGATTGAAAGTGTAAGAGCGCTTGTGTCTCGCAAGTAATAAATCACATATGGATAGAAACAAAATCCTTAGCATCTGGAGGCAGCGGAAAAAGGATGGAGGGGATCACTCAATTCTTTGAGTGCCAGCTTTGCTTTCACCTGTTTTGACTTAATTTTAATAATGCTTTTAGTTAGGTGGATTAACAGATACTAAACCGGAAAAATTTTCTCCTAAAACATTTCTGTTATACTTATAGAGTGCCCACTGAAATGTCAACATGGCGGAACAGTGAACCTTCAAAACTGTGTTTGCTCATGTCCTTCCGGCTGGAAGGGCATGGACTGTTCAGGTAAATAACATAAAGGAACTACACGATCGTCACCTCTTGACGGAGTACAAAGAGCCTAGGTTATGACAGTTTTAGATTACAACTTATCACTGGGACAAGACCACTAACCTGGCGCATTTTTTTTTCTGCTTAGGGAAGGTTTGTCCTCCTGGTTTCTACGGTGAAAACTGTGAAAGTAGGTATCATTCAAACAATCAGAGTTTAGAAGCCGGTTAACACAATGGCTTGAAAATGAAAATGAGCTGACATACGCAGACTCTGTATTGAGTCCTTCGTTGATGCATTCTACTTTTTCCTGTTTGTTTGCTTCGTAGCGAACACCAAGGCACCTGTGGTTTGATATCACGTTACTGGGCATGCGCTTACGCTAGTGACACTGCATCTTGAATAGAGGAACAAGATAAATTCTCTTGTTACTGAGTTTAACTAAATGCGGTAATAAATCTGTAGAAAGAATACATCGATCTAAAGCGGTAAAATGTTAAAAATAATAAAATAAATCTGAATGAGCTAGTTGACCAAGAACTATTGAAAATCCGAACATAAAAGCTAAAACAATACAAAAGAACTACATCAGTAACTAAGTCTCTGATAGCAAAGTATTTAACCATACATGACTCGAATGAGCAATGGAGCTCTATAGTTCAAAGCTTACGATGTTTCTCGAAGCTACAAATTCTACCATCAACGGGAATCGAGTTCATATTCAAACGTGAACGAAGGTTTAACAAAGCAGCTTTAGGAGTACATGTAACCTGGCACTTGATATGTTCTCTTTCAACTGATTACTTTAGTCCGCTGTTACGACGCCGTCGGGAAAGACACTTGTGAATGGCGAGTGAGGAATGGGCACAACTGTAAAGTACACTATATGATGGTTGATTGCGCCGCTACATGTGGATACTGTGGTAAGGTTTAAATACATGCTTGATTCATTATTAATGCCAACCGAGTAGGCTAAAGGTCCATCGACTGAACACAATGTTTGTAATTTCCCGAGCTAGAAGCCACTGAGAGTAATACTTATCCCACTACTAAAATGCCAATCTGTAAGATCTCTTACTCGTTCCCTCACAAACGCTACGTCACCATTTAACATATTTCTTTTAAGGGTCAATTAATATCTATGAGGGGAAACAGATATCTTTCAGGAGAGTGCAGCTAATTTGAAACGTCTCATTTGCAAGTTACAGCTCACACGTAAATGTGTTTTCTTTAGTTTTACTTCGTTTTGTTCAGAGAAATAAATAGACTGAGTTACCGAATACAGATTAGCTAAGCTTCGAGGCAAAATGTAGTTCTAAAGTTCAAATCATCACTTCATTTAAGATTACGAGCAACGGCAGTACAAAGGAAACTAAAGCAGAGAGTACCTTGACAATACAAACACAACTGCCCAAAAAAAAGCTAATGCCGAGGCTCTTTCACCACTTAGAGCCATCGTATGACCTTTTCTCACTAGAAATTACCAAATTGCGTCTGAAAAGTCGTCCACTATAATTTCAGATGACGGCAGCAAAATCACCACAACACCCGCCCCAGCGACAACAGCCCCGCCACCAACCACAGCGACAACGAGTAAGTGTCTTTTGCACGCTCATAAACTGAAATCGATGGTTTGTCAAGCAGTTGAACATTAAATTTTAATTTTTCAAACATTGAAGCAAATAAATTCCTAACCATTAGTTGAGAATATAAAAAACCACAAAATATAATGAATTGACGGACTTTGGTGCTTAAGCATACAATACACGAGGGAAATTGCTTATAGCCAAGATAAAAGGAAACCATTCTCTATCGCAAAAAAATTGTAATTTTGGTACTGTACGTGAAACAGAGGACAAAGCTACATCTTAATTTCTGAGTGTCATCATCTTTTCTGTTAATTCACAGTAAATGCTCCAACAGTCACACCTTCATCTGGGGCACAAGGTATGCTGATAGGATATCATTTGGCTTGGAGCTAACAGCTAACTAATGATGATTGTAACAGACCTTCCATTTAAAACATACAAAGTAACTGATATAAGCAGTCCTCTTGTTTTATAAAACTTATTTAAAGTTTGCGTAATCAATGGCTTTGGTATTGGAATCGGTAACAAATCCCTTAGCGTTGTCGCGTAGAACTCTAAGATTACATTCTGTAACGTTCTGTGCTTCTGCCACTGGTTGATTCTATTTGTTCACTTATTAATTTGTTTATCTATTCGTTATCTGTTCATTTTTCCACTATTCATTCATTTATTTATCATCTGGCTATTAGTTAATTTCTTTATTGGCACTCGTGTTATTTGGCGTTATCCGCAAATGTTCGTCTTTTCAGAGTGTCATACCGATCTAAATTCTCATTGTGAAGTTTGGGCGGGAAGAGGCGAGTGTGAAAAAAACCCGCTGTGGATGATACCGAATTGTTGTGTCAGTTGTAAACATCATCAGGCGCCAAAAGGTATCAGGATCGAGTCCGATTATTACTTCTTAATGGGGATAATACCTTTTTTCATTTCGTTATCATTATCATTATTATCATCATCATCGTCATTATTAATATTATTATTATCATCATTATTATTACTATCATCATCACCATCACATCATCAGTATCATCATCATCATCATCATCAGTATCATCATCATCTTCATCATCATCAGTATCATCATCATCATCATCAGTATCATCATCATCATAATTACAATTATCATGTTAATTGTTATTAATTTTATCATTGCCTTTATCATCCTTAGTGATAATGAGAGCAAATATATCCTCTCTTAACTTGCAGTATCAATACAACTGTGTGTACGAAAATCTTGGTGATAAACGTTTGAAACCGATTAACGGGCTACCTTAAAAAGTGATTTAGCACTGGGCATTGTAAAATAGTCCTAAATTATAAGTCATCATCTCATTGCAGACTGTACTGATGTTTCTCCAAGCTGTCCTCACTGGGCGTTTACGGGAGAATGTGAAGTCAATCGAGCATGGATGCTAAAAAACTGCAGAAAAAGTTGCAATCAATGCGGAGGTGAGATAAATTAGTGATGATTAAAGCAATAATTCGATTGTCAAACGAATAAGGGGGTTAGTTTCTAAAGAAACTGTGGTGCTGCGTCGGTAGGAGGGTATAACAGGTAATTTAGAGTTAATAGCTGAGTTAAAAACGTAAATTGGCCACCGTAAAAAGTTTGAAGGCTTGACGTTTCGGGCATTAGCCCTTCGTCACACTGACGAAGGGGCTGACGCTCGAAACGTCAGCCTTCAAACTCTTTACGTTGGCCAATTTACGTTTTCAATTCAATTGTCAGTTGAGTGAGGCGCGGTAAAAGTATGGTAACAGGGTTTTGGCCACTGAAAACGGAGCCAGTTACCCAAGACAACAACACGATTTTAACGTCAAAATATGTTTGCCAAACATCCATCGCACTTCATTCAACTAAAAAGCGTAGCAACAACAATGATATTACTAGCGCAAAGTTTTTTACAAGTGACACTATCAAAAATGCTTTCTACGCTCACCTAAATTCGACTCATAAAACACAGAAAGCGTGACGTCATAATGATGTTTACTAGTTTCCCTATCGACCATTTAGGGTGCGTACTGTCTGAAATTTTTTTATATCATTCGCATTGTATGATAAAGAGCCACGGTCTCTCGTAAGTTTTTAAGTTAGCTCTGAATTGTCTATACTTTGTTTAGAAGCGTGTGGTACGTGAATCTTGTTTCGTTAATCTTTGTGCAACACACTAAACGTGAAAATTTGGTCGATCTCCTCGCAACGATATTTGCCCCCCCGCCCATAAAAAAACTGCCATCGCTTCATTTAAGAGAGACTAAGAGATATTAGTATAGGCAATAACATGATTTCGAGTGCAATTTGGTGTTAACAAGCACGAGTACATTTTTCAAAGAGAACCAGATTGCACAAGCCACTAGGGGAAGTGTGAGTGATTTTGACTCAACAGGATAAAATTTGAACAAGATGAAAGCTATTTAAAAAAAAAAATGTAAACAATCAAATTTAATGTTACCCGTATCGATCTTTATTTGTCGTTTAGAGCTGGGAGATTTCAATGAAAATAATCTCTGTTTTCTGTGCTTAAGATTGTAAAGATACAGACGCAAAGTGCCCATCTTGGGCTTTACTAAAACAATGCAAGTATGGGGACAGAATATTGTGGATGAACACAAACTGTAGGAAGAGCTGTGGCATGTGTAAAGGTAAGGCCTCGCTGCATCAATGGATAAATTTTCAAATGAAATTCTTCCGGGAATTCAATTGTATCGATTACCTCCTAGGTTGAGCAATGTCTTGTTACTAATTCAAATTTTTCGCGACCTAGTTTGTTTTTTTCGCCGTGGTGATTACTTTGGTTGAAATCGAGATGCGACCCCGTGAAGTTGTCAGTGTTTAATTGTATAAGGAACAAGACTCGAACTTGAAGTTTTGGTTAATTTTTTTTCATATTTCTACACGCACTAAGAGCCTGATGCACAAGATCACCTTCTGCCAATCTTCGTTTACCCAGCTACTCAATTCAAACAGAGCTGAGGATACGAAACGAAATTTTGTCTCATTTAAACTCTACGGCTAAGCTTCTGGACTCAAATTTACGATTTTTTCTCTGTCCAGGTTATGACAAACACGATCAATGTCCCGCCTGGTCTGCGATGAACGAATGTAAAAGATCCAACTGGACATGGATGGTAGATCACTGTCCACGAAGCTGTGACGTACCTTGTAAGTCAGGGGTATATCCACTGAATGCAGTCATGTTGCGAACAAACATCTACCCTAATTTTATCGCTTGATAAGCACGTCACGCAAAATTTCCCCTGAACCTTCCGCTTAAGAAGCAGGAATGTTTGTACTGAATTCTTGCTGGCTGAAGTGCGCCCAGGAGACCATTTAATTTTCATCTCCGCCATTAAAAAGTGGGTGCAATTTGAGATTAAAAAGGAGTAACGTAACCTTTCATTGGAATCTAAAAACTCGGTCAGTAGTACAGTTTATCTATAATTTTAACTGGCTTTTTATATGGAGAATTTTTGGGGATATATGGAGCGTTTTTGGGATGAACCTTAAAAGAAGAACCATTAGTACTTACAATACATGGACGTTCTCGGCAGTTAACGAGAAGCTTGACTACAAAAGAACACTGAAGACTATTTATCCTACAAACCCAGTGTATTTCTTAATGTCTTTCTTATTTCAGCCGTCTTTCAGTTTCAGAAGCCTCGTTTTGCGGTGGAAAAGAAAACGGTAATTATCAGGCCCCCACCACGTGCCAAGCCTACATAGCGTGTTCATATGGCGTCACAAGTCACGTGCAGTGCCCCGGAGGAAAGAAATTTGACACTGTAAGGAAAATGTGTGTGGAGGCAGATCGAGCCAGCTGTTCTGTAGTTTGCCCGAAAAGTTTTTTTTTTCAGTTGAACAAACTAACAGAGAGAAAGGGCAAGACTCAAAGGTCAATACCTATCTTAAGTTTATCAAGAAAAGCTTTCACGAGATGCAGTTATCAGCTTTCAGCGGCTGAATGAAATTATTAGTTTCACTGATGAACCACATTTAACTACGGCAAAAATGAAATTTCCGTGTATTCTTCTTTTATTTGAAAGCAGTTTGTATACAGTTAACCCTTGTTATGGCGTAAACCTCATTACGTTTTCCTCTGTTATTTGTCTGATTGTTTATCAATTTTTTAATTCATTAATCTATTTATTTCTATATTAATTTCACAACTTATTCAATGATTTACTTAGTTTTTACAAAAAACACAAAATTTAATAAGGTACAGCACTTAAGTATTTTGATTATCTGAAGACACTCGATTGACAAAAAGTGGGTCTCTCAAAGCACATTTTTAGTAATCAAGATCAATATTAATGTATCAATATGATATTATCAAATATCATACAACAACAGATTTGTCGTTTTAAACGTTCAGTATAATAAAGTTACATGATCACAACTGTCTCAGTCACTTTGGTTTAGTCTTCGTTCACTTCTTGTGACAGTAGAATAAACACGACGTTGTGAAACGGCGAGAATATCAAGATCAATGCAATTTTCGTTTTCTTTGTATAATCCACCTGAAAGTGGAGGAAAAGGGAAGAAAGGAAAATGGTTACTTTATTCGTCTATGTTTAAGCTTCTTTTTAAATTAACCTTCTCTGAATTCAGTGATAGGTGTGAGAGAACTCTTTTGACAACAAGTTAGATATCCATTTTCCTTTTCATAAAACCTTCTCCGTCTTAAGTTAAAAATGTAAACGAAACAAATTATTCCATTAAATATTTCTCTACTTCTACTATAGACATTAAAAAACTGCAGTGGACTGTTTGGTATAGCACAGGTGGTGTTACGTCGACTTGCCCACATAGTTCACGATATAAGCTCGCACACTTCGCTTTGATATATCATTCAGCTTAGAATGAAGATATTTATCGTGTTTGGAGTACTCTTATTACTTAATACGTTTGGCAACTGTCATTGATAGAAAGCCATATTGTGTGATCATGGTACTATTGATATCAGGCCGCTCTTGAACACAGGGCATGGCATAATACCGCAGGAAGGCAAACACGCTTTTTTTACGTTACAGGAAAAATGCAGATGCACCTTCCGTCACCAAGTTGATTAGGAATATAACTCACTCCAACCTTACCTAGACGTTATCCTGCCAAATGGTTCCTTTTCAGAGTGAGATCCTTTTCTTGCAAACACCTAACATTAACAGGCAAATCACAGAACTTCTTCAGGGGATTAAAAAGTGTTCCACTTGGACATAACTTGTGACGAGTGACTCCCCCTAAACAGGATACATATCCCGTGCAAATCTGGGGGATGGGATAGTTGCCATCTTTCACGCTTCCACAAAATTGCACTTCTGAAACTGCGGGTGAAAAAGAGTTATTGCTTAAGAGAAACATCATCACAAATGTAATGATGGCAGTTCCCATTAACCCATCTTTCAGTTCGTAGTATCACATAGCCACACAAAAGTGTTATAAAACGCCACTAGCCCCAGGCCCTGGGAAGTTGGCGAAACTTTGAAAAATATTTAGCCAGGACACGCAAGAAAAATAAGTCTTCCTTGAGAAAACAAGATACTGACGCTGGCTGCGAGTAAACCTAATGTACGATTTTCTCAGTGATCAAAATTGAGAGGCAGTGCTTAATCGTTTGATCAAAATAGCGAGGTCACGAGACACTCACGTGGTATGCTACAACTAAGGGGACAATTGTCTCTCATCCACGTCCAGTTAGATTTCTTGCACTCGCCTTGCGCTGCCCAAGCAGGGCAATAGTCGTATCTGTCATACACTGTAACAGAGAAAAAGAATCAACTCCTGTTGTGACGTTTTATTGGAGGAGAAGCAGCGATTGGCTTCCTTTGATTCTTACTTTCTGGCTTATTTGCCTTAGGTTGCGTGAATAAGAAACCAACGCAGGCATATGTAGTATCCAATGGAACTTACGTGCAATCCGTTACAAGAGAAAAGCATTTAACTATTGGAATCAAGACTTTTTTTTCTGTGATTTGCACAGACAGATCATCCCATGGACAAAAGGAGATGTAGGTCATGTAGAAACCCAACTAATAAAATGCTTCATTCGCTCTGACGAAGGGCTAACGCTCGAAACGTCAGCTTTTTTACCCTCTACGGTGGTCAATTTACGTTTTCAACTCAGTTGTTAACACCAAATTACCTAATAAAATGCTTTTTTCGTTTCATGATTGGTGCGGTCAATATCATAAGATTCAATGCAAATTGGCGTTACAAATCACGTCCTAGACCAGAGTTTCCACTTTCTGTCATTTTTAATCATGATATATTTAAGTTTAGGATCGGACTACTCTCATTCTACCAAATAAAAGTACATGTACCACTAGGAATTAAAGACAACCAACTTTAATCGGTACTACCTTGACAAAGACCGCAGCTTTGAGGACAATCTCTCAACATCACAAGGCGTTTGTCACCTTCTGTGCACTTTCCCAGTAATGCTAAATCAGCACATTTCTGTTCTTTATCCTGGCAAACTGTGGTGGAAAACAAGTCAAGGAAACTTGTAATGACAATGTCGTCTGAAATTGAGCAGTCAGCGTGATCAAATCAAACTCTCTTCGACACAAGCTGAAGACTTAGAAATCTTAATTTTCCATCTACATTGCTAGGAATTTTTCTGTTAATCTTCCGGCGGCTTCCTCGTCACTCGTTTCCTCTCTGTAGTTTCAAAAAGGTAAAGATGAGTACCGACAATGCTGGCGAATCCGACAAAATGCTGAAAATCTCATCTGGGAGGAGCAGTAAAATTCCATCCATTCTAACTGTAGACTTGAACAGGGACCTCAAGGAAGCCTTAACCCTTTAACCACTAAGAGTGACTAGAATTTATTTCCCTCCTTGAAAAAAACATTAACGTCACAAGAATTAAGGAAATGATCACCAACTAAACAAGCTGTGGATCGTTAAACAAATTCCCCTTGTAAGCACCTTGGTAAATGTACAGAGAAGAGTATGGAGAATATGAATGCCGATGTTAGGCTGTAAAGGATTAATACTCACCTCCACACTGATTACAGCTTTTCCTACAATTTCCTTGCATCCATATTCGGTCTCTTGAGCACTCGCCAGCCAAAGCCCAGAAAGGACATTTGATGTTGTTATCTTTGCATGCTAATGACACTAATGGGAAAAATGGACACATAACTAATGTGCGAGGAAACCCTCATTATCAGCGCTTCGGCACGAGCATTTCTTCATCCAACTCAAGTTGGCGAGATGTCTGCAAGAGTTCTTGGGGCAAGCCTTTCCCTGACTCGTCTCCAATAAACATCTGTAAACTTGAATAATGTGGCCTGCACAATCCACGCGTTGGCTTCATCAAATAACAATATACTATGAATATCATTGAAAGTAGATCTAGACAGAAGTAATTCTGAACATAACCTGTGGTGGCAATTGTACCTTTGGGTGCTGGGATATCCATAACTTTCTTGCAAGTTGCACAACAGTGCTTACTCATCAGCCTGCTCATATCTTTACATTTTCCCATGGTTGACCATAGAGTGCATATGGGGTTCTCATTCTTGCAATCTTGGACAAGAAAAAGTGCTTTAGGATAGATAGATAATCTTTATTTACCCACGGACAATTCATCAGCCATAAAAACATTCAAATATATAAATATGCATTAAATGGATAAGATACTATAAAAACTATACTTAAAGCATAAACCTAACTAAGGCTGCTTTCCACGAATGCCGTGCCTGAACGTACTTCTTTAATTAAACGTTTGAATAACCCAAGGGACTCTGCTTGTCTCATGTCACGAGGAAGTATGTTCCAAAGAGTGGCGCCATTAGAGCTAAACTGTTATTTTTGTAATAGTTTGTGCGCGTCAAACGAACGTTAAGCGTATTCTCACGATCAGTCTCCTAGGTTATACGCAGTTTCTCGCCTTTCAAATTTAGAACATAAATAATCTGTAGCTAAACCGTGCAGAGACTTATAGACCATTATGGCTCTTTGTATTTCCTGCCGGGAAGCTAGGTTTTTCCATTTCAGGAGCTCAAACAAGTGACTAGCATCGGCGTCGTAATTTGAACAAGTCAAAACACGGGCTGTTCTGTTTTGTAGCTTCTGTACCTCGTTCTGCAAAGTCATCCCGCAGTTTCCCCAAACAATATTATAATAGTCAAAATGTGGCTGAATCAGAGCCTGATATATTACAAGTAAAGTCGCTTGAGGGACAAGGTGCTCTATTCGTTTTATAGCCCCTATGCCAGAAGAGACTTTCTTTGTTAGTTTATCGATGTGACTGCTCCAATCGAGTTTGTTATCGATGGTCACTCCAAGTGATTTTGCGGTGGTGACCGCAATTGTTTTTTCTTTATTGTTATAAATTGTAATCGTGGGAGAAAATGCAAGAGTACTTAATCTCTGCCTTGAACCGATGAGCATTAACTCGGTTTTACATTAGCATTAACAGGGCTTGCAAGGTTTGAGTAAATTATTTTTGCCCTTGATGCAAGCGCTTTGCTTCTACTTAATCAAGATAAACTATCTCGTATTTTTTCATTTATAGTATTAATACGTAATCACATGATTTTTCTTGTTCTATTTGGAATAAATAAGCACTTGTAAATTTTCTCAAAGACTAATCTGACTCTACCAAAAACAAATATTGAGAAAAAACCCAGCCAATCCACGGCACCTGAACGTTTACATGAGTTATGATAATGATAACGAGGTAGTTATATAGCGCATTCTCTATAAATTATGCATGAATATGCTCTGACTGCACTGAGCACTTTAAAACTTACGAAAGGGAATTTTGCAGGTGCCCCCAGTTAGGGAATTTTTGAAAACAAGGCCACAGCACAACACTGTGAGCTTCTTTCTACCCTGCGAGAAGTTCACGAGTTCATTAACGTCCCCTGCTAACCAGTACAGAGAAAATAAGGGAGACAGGGCCAAAAGTTGTTCTTTCTCGTCTGATTAAGAATAGAACGTCGAACAATTTGTAGATGTCGTAGCAAAGATAATATTTTCCTTTCAGTTATTTTAATACCCTCAAGTCCGTTTAAGCTCGATTTTTAAAGTGTGTTTTCCATGATTTAATTGCACAAAAACATTTCCATTACCAAAAAGATAATACTTACTGGTTTTCGACCTATGTTTGGTCTGTTCATCCAGTAACGTGACGAGTTTATCAATGACTCCTTTCAATTGTTCTGCTCTGCTAACAGTCACGTTTGTGAATTTCCGAGATGGCGCGACTGGCCGAACATTGATCACGTTAGGAGAATCAACGTGGCCAATACTCAAAGTTACGTTGGTACGAATGTTGGATGTCACAACTGACGCCGCAAAAGCCGGTTTTCTCGCAGTAGCATTGGATGATAATGTCACAGTAGAAGTTTTCCCAAGTGGTTTCGCATCTGATGTCGTGACAGGAAGATAGGCGGGATGCGTTGTAGTGGATGCATTTGAAGTTCCAGTCACGAGAGGTTTTGGTGTTGTAAGTAGCTTAGAAGGCTTCAAGGAAGGAGTCATGCAAAAGCCTGGATCAAGAGGAGATGGGAAAGTTACGTTTTCTCTGATCGATCATAAAACAATCACCAAAACTAATAGAAAGTTTTTTGCACATCACTAAAACCAGCGTGAAAAAAAAAAAAAGAAACTAAGCAAAGAACATAGAGTTATTTATCCATTCAAAACGGATAAATGGAAGCAATATTCATCGTGGCAAAACACTGGCGATCAGCCGCTCTCATCTTTTTCGAGTAAGCCTAAGCAATGGAGGGTGCGGCTTTTACCACGTGCGCGAATATCTACGGGAACCGTGCTACACTTAAGCACCGACTGTTGTATATGCTACTCCCGAGATCAAAAAGCGCCTAAGAGGAGGTTCAAACAAACATACCACGAATTCCGCAGGAGGCTGCGCAGTCCTGCTGCATGTATGGTGCACTACACTGATGCCCATTGCTTATTCTCCAGTGACAGACCTCTGGACCGGCCTTGTCGAGACAATGAACTGTGTACGAAAACGATGTTTCAGTTTGTGGAAAGCCATAATTTGAGATTACAACCTTGGGTAGCTATATTGATCAAATGACGAATACAGTCGACCAGTAGGCCCGGGAATGAAGTCTTTATGTTAGAGAAAACAATCATCGTTGATGCTATGGTATTGTAAAGTAATGCTTCAATCTGCTGAGTCTATTAAACCCTTGAGTGCTTTTTTAATCATGAAAACTCCACCGTTGTAAAGATGGTTCTGCCTAGAAAAATAGTTGAATCTCACTAACATTGGCAGTTTTCACCACTGACTTCAGGAGGACAGCTCTTGATTTCTTCTTGGAAAAAAAATTAATGCATCTGTATATGTTTACTTAATCGACCACTACTTCTATAGGGCTTCTCGGGGCCAAATGCTTTATAACCATCTTTAAAGATCAGAGTAAGGGTTATCATCACAAGTAAAACATACAGGTGTGGTGGCGTTGTCAGTGAGTGTGAGGTTGAAACCAATAGTAGAACAATGGAGGCCCCGTACAGAAAAAAAGGTCCCAAATTGGTCCTCCTGGGGCCGACAATTTCGATGGGCAGTTAACATTTTTAGTATCAAAATTTAAACATCATCTAAATATGGGGCAAAGAGAAGGAAAGGAAGAACTGTCCACAAAGCTGTACAACAAAGCACTAATCCAAGAGTAACGGTTTTAAACACTAAATACCTATGTCATGAGAAATATTGAAGGCAAGTGGATATGACTTTCAGAAAGCGTTATCTGAAACCATGAACACAGGAGAAGCTGGCTAACCTGAACAGTCCAAGCCCACGTAACCGGGAAGGCATGCGCATGTGCACATAACAGCATCTAGTTTCCCGCCATTTTGACATTCCAAAGGACATTCTAAGTGGATAAAAGGAAGCGACATGAAAATGTTAATATGCACTCCCATGTGGGGACTGCAAAAACTATTCAGAGATTTACTCATAAACAGATTGAACATTTACCTCTTACCATCTCTATCATGACAACTTGTCAAAAGAGGTCTGTTTTTTAAGGCATACATGATCTTATGTTTCTTAGTTCAGAATCAGCTTATTGAATCGTAAAGTTGATCCAAGGGACATGTCAATTAATTTAAAAGTATAAAAGAATCAAGCAACAATGTTTCCCCGCGTACCACATAAATTGCACATTTTTGGACATTTCTTAGCCATGATATCCTTAAAACCTGTACACATCGCCAAAGTGAGAGATCTGCCACATTCCACGTCAAAATCATCGCAATCCCCTGCAAATAATGAAGTATATTTTGGAAATAGCAGGTTCAATTTCTACCAGGTCTTTGCATTTAACTGGGGAAGTGAGCAAACGCGCTCTGTCGAGAGAAAGGGCAGAATTTCCCAAACCAAGTTTGATCCAAATCTTTCGTTTGAGCGACCGAGATAATGAATTGATGATAAATATTATCGCACCAGTGATTGTGTGCGGAAGGAAAATAATAAGGTGAGAGAGTTGTTTACACAAGGAGATGAAGTTCATGCTAACTTAGTGAACTGGTTTAAATATACTTACTGCACAGATTTTTGTAGCAAAATCCTTTCCCAGAGGCACATTTGGAACAGGGCTTTCCAATTTCGTAAGGAAATTCATCGATAAGGTTGCCTCTGCAAGTGCAATGAGAGTCAGCTAGTTTAAACTCATTACATGTTTTACAGAGATATTCTTTATTTAAAAATTTGTGGATAAGCTTAGAGGGCATAGTTAAAAAATGCCACAAAATACCGCAGTGTATTTAAGAAATCAAGTACTGTTCGAACACGGGTTACGTGACGATGGTGGATACCCCATAGTAGCTTTAAATATCGATGTAAAACTCACATTTTATCAAGAGATAAAGAGAGGTAATCGTGGAAAGATGGAATAATACAAACAGAAAAAAGGTGGTGAAACAAGAGAATAACTGTGCCAGGGGAATATTTGTAGGAAGAATAAGATAAAGGAAAACAGTACGGAGCAAGTTTTAGGAGTTGAAGTGCAGCATGAAGGAGAGAGGTAAGGGAAACACTTAAACTTTTTGCAGCCCTCAGATCGAATTTCATTCAATCCTTTCACACCTTAGAGTGACTAACATCCAATTTCTACTCTCAATATCACCCCTTAAACAAACATTAAGATCACAAGAACGAATGAAATGATCACCAACTAAATAAGCTCTTGATTGTTAAAAAAATTTTCCTTATTAAGAAATAGTTGAAGAACAGTATGGAGAATATACAAAATGGTGTTAGGGTGTAAAGGTTTTTAAAAAAATCAGTTCTTATGATTAACAAGTCATCACGTGGAGTCACGGTTTTCATCAAAAGTAGGGAAACACTTTTACAAAATAACAGCGATACAATTTATTTAAAAAAGACTCTTCTTCAATTTCCTAAAAATCCTTACCCGGGCGCATAGTCGCATACAACTTCAGTGCCGGCTCTGACCCAAGGGTGGGGTACCCCCGCTGATTTCTCACAAAATGAGACACCACATCCCAAGAATCTGGTCGTTGCCCAAACAAGCTGTAAAAAAAGACATTATCACATCTAAAGAAAAATTTTAAAAGCCACAATCCAAGACAAAAAGTATTTGACACTTTGTGTTTGAATAGACCTTTTGATGCGTATAATAACACAACTTTATTTTCTCCTTAGTCTTCTTCGGGCACATTTTTTCTTAAACGGACCTCCCGCCTGATAAATAACGCACATATACTACGGTATAGGAAGGTACCAGAAGTAATAGTCTACCCCGCCTTCTTGACCCCTTTTATAAATGGCAGGCATGATCATTATTTTTTCATGCGTATGTAAATAAGCCTTCTCAAGCTCGCTTTTAAGTGATATTCAATTTTTTTTTCACACGTTGACGCGGCCAGGAGGGCTAATTTACCAGTACAAAAACGAAAATAGTTATAACAACAACTATGAGAATCATAATAATAATAATAATAATAACAATTAGGCAAGCAATTTATGAGAATTTTCCACTGAAAAATTATTTCAAACTTCTAGAGAGTATCAGATGTTGTTTGGATATTTCGAGCGGTTCTAAAAGCTAAAAAGAAAAATCTACGTGATATTGCTGCATGCTAACACTATAGGCTGATTAATTCCAATTTGCCCGTTTCTTTTTTTCTTTTTTCCATGACAAAGTTATTGGAATTAAGTGTATGTTTAACATTAACCATACGTATCATTAAAAAACAACTTTGCCTTTTCTCGAAGTGATCATTTACACTGGTTAATGACTTTCAAAAGAGAGCTTAATATAAAATCAATCCTTTAGTGGAGACAACGTGTCTGCAGCGGTTCACCTGCGAAAACAAGGCCCTGTTGAAAACAAACTAGCCCAAGAATACTAGACTTAATTTTGCTATAATTGAATAGCAGTCCATTTTTAGAAAACAGAATAAAATAATGCAGGTGCTCGGTAAAAGGTACATGCAAATTATATTTTAAAAAATTCAGGCGAAATTCTCTGGTAGAAAGACTTCTGAATTTGAAACTATAATAAAATTCTGATGGTTCCCATGTAAAATTTGTATTTAATTATAAATTTTAGTTTATTAAGAAGAAATTCTTGAAGAAAAACTTCTCTGTGAAAAGCTTTTGACAGATGCAAAAAATTCTTATAATTGACACACGAATTGGAAAAGCGTATAAAAAATAATAGGAATTAGTTAGGACTAAAAAACGAATTTGGGAATTTCGCCTTTTTTCGCAACACGTGCATTAATTGGCGGGTAACGAGAATAAAAAATACCATCACCCAGGCCTATTTAATCATCAAGATTGATTTCCATATTTTCATGGCTAATGTGAAAAATAAAACCGGCAGTGACAAAACGACCCGATGACAATCCTATTTTAAGGTGGTTAAATAGTGGATGCGATATTCTCGAACAAAACCGAAGCGGTGTAAGCAATGCAACTATCTCGACATCGTAACGTAAAGTTATAGACATTGATTAGAAACATAAATGCGTCCATTTGAGCATAAGCTACAGAAATATAAAGAAGATGAGAGGATCATTTCTAAAACTGTCTCCAACTAGAAGACGTGTTTTAAGATGGCGATGGCCATACACTTCAAACACGACTGCCTTTTTGTTCGCACTTATACTTCAACTATATACGACCAAACGGCTACGTATTTTTTCGCACATACCAAATTGGCCTAGAAAAGGTGGATTAGGACACAGCTCTTCATATTCCAAAGGACGTGTTGTAAGATGGCGATGGTTGGAGTGGGAATCTTTCATTCGAATGGAAAAGAAAACCATGCAACGAAATTATTCCGTCTTAGAAAAAAAAATCATCATCCATTTATTTTCATGACTAATGTAAAAAATAAAACCGGCAGCGACAAAACGACCCGACGCTAACAAAAAAGAATGACGTCATTAAGAAGAGTCGGCCTCCTTGATTTTTCAAACAACTAAGAAGGAGCGACGTATTTCCTCAAAAGTATTTTGTTATTTCGCAACACAGTTCATTTCCCCTCGGGTGTAAGAGAGGGAGGGCCAGCAAAAAATTCTCGTAATCGCAAGGCGACGATGTCTTCGCGGCTAAATGACGCCGAATACTTTGGTTTGGGCGCGAGCATGGTCGTGCTTTTGATCGTTGGTTGCGTGTTTCAAGCGTTCACGCTTTTCGTTTTGACGCGTCCGGCTTTTAAGCAATTCGATCTGTCGCCATATTTTCTCAACATCATCATCGCGAACAGTGTTGTGATATTGGTTGATTTTCCACCGATCATCGCGTCTGCTTGGGCACAGAGAAACATGCTTGGAGAGATATATTGTCAGGTGAGAGCTACGCGTAAGTTCACTTCTTGCTAAAGGAAAAACGACCGAAAAATATTTAGTATATGAAATATATTGAAAAGCATACTAAACTAAGAAATAATTATACAAGGAAAAAAAAATCTAAGTTTTGTCTATGTCCTTAAAACCTCGAACCATTTGGAAATTTTTTGCCCATATAATGCACGCTCATTTTTCACTGATTAAAATTGACAGGTTGATATTTTGCAATTCACTCATTTTCCTTGCCCTTAAATCCTTTCTTTTTTCATTCTTTGGTGTTGATGTTCATGGAATAGTTGTTGAAGGAAAGCCCAAGAAACTGCGCTTTTGCGTGGGTTTGAAATTTCCTTCTCTAAGTCTTAAAATAGGAAACATCGAGCTCAGAAACGTTTGTGTGATTACGAGCCTGAAAGTGGTGAAAGCAAAAAATTCAGTAGACTGTTTTGTCAACTAGATACCGAAAAAAGGACCTGTTGTAGGATGACCGCCATGGAAGTTTATGAGGCAAGCGGTTGACTAATCGTCAGGATTTCCTGGTCAATACAACATTGTAACTATAAATTACACTAAACTTAATCCACAGCAAAGAATCTGATATAAAATGAAGTTTCTCCACAAAAAACGTCCAAGTTAGAAAAATGGAAAATAATTTTCGAATAACTACTAAAATATGAAAAATATAAAAAAATTCAGGCCGTTAAGGGATTTGAACTCATGACCCTTACGATACCAGTGCAACACTCTACCAGCTGAGGTAACAAGCCAACTGGAAGCCGACTGCGAAAATCGCTTCCATATTCATTTCTTTATCTACAGTTCACATATATGATTTTCATATATTTACAGTCGTTTATGTAATGGTAAACCGTATGCTGCCACATGTAAAAATAACTTGAAATCTTTACATGGAGCAAATGTCCACCTAGTTGATGCGTAAGACTTTTTTTACGAAGGAGTTCACGTCAATGAGACCGCCTGGTTAAAAGCTGGCTGTGGTTGGACAGTTCCGGTGAAGTGGGAGTGGGGAAGGGGTTGTTACTTAAAAGTTACCGCTCGCAAATTGGAGAAGTGACTGGATATCGAAAGTAATTTCGTGGCCAGCTAGAAAAAATAAGTAAGCAAGTATTACACCAAAATGACGATTTTTATCCCAAGGAGTAAGAACGAAGAGGGTTCTTGTCTGTTGCTTCATGTCTGGACGGTTGAGTTGATTGTGTTGTCTGATCGTCCGGATTTAGGGTGACTGACATTTCGACAAGCTTAGCGGAATTCATCGTCAGAGTAGCATGGAGAGGGGGGGGGGGGTTGAGGTATCAGCCAACTGTCCCTTTAATACTTCATTCAGCATGACTGTTTTTTTCAATTGCAGATCGTAGGTTTCCTGTCGTGGGTCGGATGTATCTCAACCATAGCTACATTCGTATTGACTCTCCTCAAAACTCATCGTAAGTTAAGAGACGACGCCATGGAATTTGAGATAGCATTTGCCGAGCGCTATGCGTGGGAACGTCACAATATCATTAAGACCCTGACAGGAACCTGGTTGTACGGTATCGCAGTGATGTTTCCTCCGATGGTGACATGGGGATCATTCAATTTTGAATCAGGCGATACAGTGTGTGCTCCGAATTGGCAGGAAGAATCCTCGGCCGGACGCATCTATATGGTTCTATTAATCCTTTTAGTGTTCGTAATTCCTCTAGGTTTTTCCGCGGCCTACTTTGGTAAAATATACAACAAGTTATTGCAAGATAGAGGGGATGACGGAATGTCATTGAGAGCAAGGGAGAAGGCGAGGAAAGCGGTCGTTATAATTTGGATTGGCGTGGCAATCTTCATGGTCAGCTGGATGCCCTACTGTGTATGCGCCATGATGGCTTTGTTTGGAGGCTCGAAGATGTTTAATCCGGAGATTTCGTTTATTCCTGGCGTTGTCGCTAAAGCCAGTGCTGTGTTCAACCCCTTATTCTGCTTGCTAGCAAGCACACGGTAAGAAGGGTAAGAATCGTGGGACTTGCAAAATTAATATCGATAAATATTCTTTTTGTATCATTACACAATTTGTTTGCTCCGTCTCTCTTTATCTTTAAATCTTTAGTTACTTGTTGCTAACTTCATTACTCACCAGCAAATTTAGGATGATTCTATTTGCTATTAATTAAAGTGTCTATTTGCGATAATATCACGAATTGCACTGAATCGAATGAATCCTCATGATCAAAACTCTCTCTTCATCTGTATCTCATTATCTAAAAAAAACCGCTTATCTCTCACCAACCCTCTTCTTTTTTCGGGTATTAATCTTGGTTTTATTTCCTATTATTGAACGTCATAGTTCAATTATGATACACTTTCTAATAAATGTAACAGTTTCAATTGATCGTAACTATAAAGACGTATTTTTTTGTCTGTGATTCGGCGTTTGGTAACTGCGGAAGGAGTTTACGGTAGATCACCATATCCACTTTACACTTATTTTTCCCTTTCTCGCAGATTTCGAAACGTCGCTCTAAAGCTTATCTGTATGTGTCGTAAGATAGAAGAAGATGAGGAAGACGAAGAGGAGATTGATGATTTGTCACAAGGAAGACAGTTGCGTCCCTCCGCTCTGATGCAGCGTAGCCTGCAAGAGGAACTGAGCCGTATACGACGCATGCGCCGCTATCAGCAGACTCGGGCAGAAGCGCGGCGCCTACGAATAAACGGGCCTTATATCTCAGTAGATATCCCAGCAGAAAATCTGGAAACGTCAGTTTAGGTAGTCTTTTTGACACAGAAGACTGTTCGACATGTGACCTAGATTTACATAAGTGTGCGACAGATGGGAATTCAAGTATTTTTGGCAAAATACTTCAAATAAACATGCATCTCGAAACGCCTCATTTTGCTCTTTGCAAGCGAATTAGATGAAGCTAGTATAAAAATCAAGGACAGATTTAACTCATCGGGACGAAAAAACTTGAAAACTTAGAAACTACCTGTCACGCATACCTGCGTATATAGCTTGCATGGAGGGTTGGAGCACTGACGAGGTACCATTGGGGAAAAAAACTTGCTGAAGGCGTAGTTACTGCTCTCTTTATACCAAAGCTTTACTCGATCAGCCGGATTTTGAAGCTTTCTCCACTCTCGTGCAAGATTCTGCCCTGAAAAAAAGTGCAAAAAGACGGTTTAACATCTCGCAATGTTTCATGTTCGCATTCAGTTGTTACGCTATTTTTAGGCTACCCCCATGAAACAATGTACAAACTACTAGCCGCGTTACCACAACTATTGCTTTAAGTATGAAAAGAAGAACCTAACCTCCTTCGAACTTTTGCTCCAAATTCTGCGATAGAACGACAATCCTATTCTAGTGTAGTTAGATAGCGGATGCGATATGCTCGAACAAAAACGAAGCGGAATAAGCGATGCAACTATCTCAAAACTGTAACATAAAGTTGTGGAAATTGATTGGAAAAATATATGCGTCCAGCTGCGCAGAAGGAACAGAAATGTAAAGAAGAATATGAGAGAATCATTTCTAAAACTCTCTCCAACTAGAAGACCTGTTGTAAGATGGCGATGGTAGGAATGAGAATGTTTCATTCGAATGGAAAAGAAAACCATGTGACAAAATTATTCCGACTTAGTGAGCGATTGCGTTTGCAATTTACTTCACCAATACACGACAAACACGACTACGTCTTTGTTCACTCTTATACTTCATTTATACAAGACCAAACGACTACGTATTTGCTCGCACATACCAACTTGGCCTCGAAAAGGTGGATTAGGATACAGCTCTCCAAATTCCAGAAAACCGTGATCCCACGTACATTTGTTTGCCCACATTTGGGCAAGATTTCCTAAATCCTCATTCCAAAACTGCGAGAAAAGAAACAATAATGAGAATTTGAAAAAACAACAACAACAACAATAATAACACAGGGCACGCTTACCCCGTCAGTTAACAGAAAAGTAGACTTAAGGCGTGAACTTTTCTCAATTTTTTTTTTTTGTATTCTGACATTAACTCTGTTGGTGTAATGGCTCTCGAGACCTTCCCTTCCCCCCACCCCCGGGCAAACATTGCATGAACTTTACTGTAAAATAAGAGGAGACGAAGGACTACATAAGAGATTTTTGAAATGTATCGTTCAGGTAAGTGCACCAACACTTCATTTCCAAAACACCTGCAACCACATTTGCGAACTCGACTTTTGAATTCAGAAAGACTGCGATGTCCAGTTTTATATTTCATCTTAATATCCTACGGAATTGCCAGAAATGAACTCAGTCCTCGTTTCTTTCCTATAAACGCGACACACCCCACGTTAGTTGGAGCAGGATCTTATAAACTGCAATTTAAAATCTCTCGGTGGGAGATATATACAAGTATTAGTAGTTTACGCGATAAGCACGAAATCAAGGCTATCTGAAATCATATACAGGCGTACTCTGTGTATCCATTTGCGATACGTGGCGTAAGTTATCACAGAAACGGGAAAGAACAAGGCCTTCTCTTACCATATACTCCATATTAGCGGCGGGCGGATTCACCAGACTCCGAAACTTGTTGTGTTCATCAACAAACTGCTCTTGCTGAATTTTACTAAGCCGGGAGACAGCGAACTCGATTGGCATCGGTTTTAGAGGACCCAGAGAGGCAACTGTGGCTACCATGACTACAAAGAAAAAGAGCGTTTGCGCGCTACATTTTAGTAGTTGTTTATCCATTGGGGCGCGAAAAGCTGCCACAGAAGAAGGTAAAATTGCTAGTTTAACGCTGATTAGTTAAGCGGGTTCCATAATCTTCAGGTAAAAAGCATTAAATCAAAATGATAACCAGAAACTTGTGACAGTATTAGCAAATATTTCGCACCTTTAGTGACACGCCACCAACTTCGATTCGAACGTCAAACAGGCACCATTGACATGCTAAGGGTTTCGCGTCCCCAAGATGACTTTTAAGGCAGATATGGTTATCCAGTCTACGTGTACTAATTCCTCTATTAAGCTATTGTTAAAATACAGGTAAATCTGTTTTTCAAGGAAACTGTTATTATGCGGACTGGGACACTAAACTTGAGTAATTTTGCGACCAAAAAGCTGCGTAAGCGAATACTTCAAAATTTCATTATGTTTTATACATATGTATATGTCTATATATATATATATATAAATGTAGATGATACAGTTGGAACAACGAAATGCAAGAGATGAACCACAAAGGTATTTATTAGCATTAACACTCAAATTTCTTTTGAGGGATCCGCCATCAAAGAGCCTACACAAGACAGAAGTAGAGAACGATGTGGCTCAAAAAGTTGTAAAGCAGCGAACAATAAATAACAACAGACCTTAAAATGAAGCTTGACAATACTGCGAAATTTGCAAAGGGAAACTTGTTCAAAGCGGACATTTTCAAGGTCCTGCCACAATATACTGAAAACTAAACTGTACGAATATAAGAAGTTTTTTTTAATTTTTGTAAGTGAAGTCTCTGAATGTTCGTCGACGCTTGCGACATACTAAAAATTGCCGTAAGCAAACACCACAGGCACAAAAAACATCAAGTTTAAAAAGTATTTTCGCGTTTTACGCAAATTTGAAAAGTTCTTCAACTTAGTCGTTCGCATACGTGTTTATCCTCTGCATACTTTGCCATTCTTGATTGTTTTGGCCATAGTTAACGAGTAACTTATGGATGCTTCGTTTACACTGCCATTGGATGGTATCCGATACCTCACATAATTTCCCTCATGCTCTGATTCTATATGTCCAGAAATGTCTGCATTAACGAAAATGGCGAAAATTAGCAAAAATCGTCAAATCCGCCAAGCTGCCGATTTCGCTTTGACGAATTGGACTAAAAATTCGTCAGAATCGTCAATTTTGCCAAGCTGATTTCACTTTGACGAATTGGACTAAAACTCGCCAAAATCGTCAAATCCATGAACATTCACTCGGTTTGACGGAATTTCATAGAAATTTGCCATTTTTTTTACTGCGTACATTTCTAGACCTAAGTGGATTCGCTCGTCTAGTCAATAAAGACACTCGATATCAAGTGTAAGGGTGCAGTGACTCAGAGATAGCTTAAAAGCAATTCCCCGACGGAACCCACAACCTTGAATAATCTTCGCTGTGTGGTTTGACGTACCGGAAAAAAAAAAAATTTGTTCGACTCAAAGCCTGTGGAAGACTTAAGCTTGATTTGACACCATTTACAAAGTTTCGATCTTATTTCTTGACAAACGATTGAAACTATTCAAAGTAGTTAACTCGATATATTTGATTATTATGCATTTAACTTACTATCTCTTCTCTGATTGGCCGAAAGCGTACAGTAAAAATTTCGAAATCAGCGTCTGGGATGTCATCTAACTGCAGATTATACAATAATCATGTCAAGGTCATTCATGGTCACGCGTAACCATGTTACGTAAACGTATGACCATGGTGCATGACATCGAAGGGTAATAATGTCAAGTTCGCGCTTTGTGTTGCTTGCCGTCAATGAAGAAGAAAAAACAGGACTTCTAGATTTGCTTCGTTGACTGAGCAGGACATCGGAAAAAAGTTTAATTTGGCTTTTTACAATCGTTATGTCTCCTTCAGTTAAACTTATTTGCTATTTACTTTCTCAGTCATGCAGCTCTTTTTCAATTTTCATAATATTGTCAAATGCTAAGACTTTTTTGTTAATCGAATTATGTGCCGCTGATTTGTGTATTTTTACACGTCTTGAAATAAATAATCAGTTCCACTTACTTTGGTAACCATATTTTTTTTGTCTAATGTATAATAAAACAATTATTAGATTCGGTTTAATCAATTGTTTATTGTCTATGCTAATGAGTTCGGTTTTGATTTGAGGCTGTTTACAAACTTTCGATTTTTTTCCAGACAAACTATTGAAATTATTTAAGTAATTAACTCGATACATTTGATTATCTATGCTAATGAGTTAGGTTTCGTGTTTGTGTTAGAATGCACAATCACAGATGAGTGGTTGAACAATCAGATGTGAAGGACATTAAAAAAGGTAAGTAGCGCTGGTTTAACTCTAAGCTTCCTATATTAGCATCATTACAACAAATTATATAGGTGTAGATTCTTCTAGATGCCATCAGCTTCATTTAATGCTATGTAAGGGCGATCTTTAAGCGCATAACTTGGCGCATAACTTATAATAGTTTATAAGCTTCAATGGTTTTCAATCTCACACTCGTTTTGTCATTACAGTATGTGCCAGCGTAAAATCCCATACAATCCAGCACAACTATATTTATCTCAACTGTAGACGAGTATACAAAGTTTTTAAGATAACAAGAATAGCCATCAGCAGTATCACAACATGCAAAAGTCAGAACATACGGGTAAAGAAGTTACTTACAGAGGAAAGCGAACGAGGAGAGTACGAGTTAAAACAACTAACATTGTGCAACAAAATAACTGACTGACTGTTAAATTTATACAGCTATAACTAATGTGAACCAACTTGGCTAAAGAACAGTGAATGGTAGACTTATCGGTAGAATATACGAATGCCATTGTTCGATGCAGCCAACCATGCTAAAGATTTCACGATAAAGAATTTTATGGCCTGGAGGACCCCTTGTGAAGTGTTTCTTTGAATTTTTTTTAAACATCCCTCCGGGTGGGATAATCAAACAAACCTTTAATGGATGGTTCTAAGAGGCAGAGATGAAAAATGGGGAGCTGGATAATATACAGTGTAGTTACTCATAAACGGGAACCTTCTGAACTGAAAGAGCAAGAACAAAGATAAAACTCCATTTTTCTCGTACAGGTTAGTTTTCCGTACATTGAGGCGGGACCTTGAAAATGTTCGCTAAGTACAACTTTCCATTTCAAAAGAAGTTCTTGCAAATTTCGCGGATTGTCAAGCTCTATTTCTAGGTCTGTCAATAATTATTGTTCGCTGCTTTTGAACTTTATGAGCCACTTCTGTCTTGTGTACGCTATAAAAATTTCGGGCAGATTCGGTCCGAATAACGAATTCACTACCCCGCCAAGGCAGGTAAAAATTAACGCGAGAATAAAATGGAATGAACATACTTCTTATACTTTAGGAAGCTTCATCCTTGAGTCATAAAAGTAGCTTAAGTTATATCAAGCACAAAGCGATAATAAATTTTAAAACAACAGGATATCACAAGCATTAATCGAAAAACCTTTCAGAGAAAACACAAACCGAACGGAAACGAGATAATGCACGTAAAAAAAGCCTCCATGTTTATAGTCGATAAGAGAGTCTATGTTATGTCGTCTTGTTTGTTTGCATCTACTGCTTCAAAAATAAACTTGCCTGAGGCTAATCGATTTTCAGGGCTCCAGACAGGGAAAAGAAAGAATACCTTGTAAAGTTCAGATTTTTCGGTTGAAAACCCTACGATATTTAAAAAGAAGACTAGTACAGGCTATCCAATAAAAAGGACATTGTTTAGACTACAACGCTACCAAAATTCAACGAATGACAATAGCCTGCAAATGAATAAAGGTGGTAAGTTTTAAAGAAACCGTGGTGCTGCTTCGGAGGAATACAAGTAGACAGTTTAGTTTTATGAACTGAGTTGATAATGTAAATTGGCCACCGTAAAGAGTTTCCAAAGAAGACGTTTCGAGAGTTACGGCTGGCCTATTGGCGCGTCTACGATTGTTCGCTACATTCTCGATACCGAAGCTATAGCGTCACGAGATGAGATCTACAACAAATTATGCCAAAAATGAAATAACGAATTTTCGTCAAGAATTTATGGCAACTGAAGAACGGATCTGTCTTACATCTGATGTCATCTCTTGTCCAGCACTCTCTTACATGATGCGCAAAATTGAAAACCGAAATTGACCCTTGCCAAGTTATCTGGAAAAACAGAAACACAAGGAAACAAACCGCACACGTATTCTAACTGGGCTCTCATTGTTACATGCATGTTCTTGATGTAATATATCCCCTTGCAGTAGTCACAGTGATGGTTCAGATTTTCACGTTTGACTTCTAAACGTACTTTTACTATACTGATAACAGAGTAGTTAGGTATTATGAACTCAGTTGATAATACTAAATTACCCAGTTATACTCTCCTACTGACGCACCACTGCAGTTTCTTTAGAATCTTACTCCCTTTGTTCATTTTACCGTTGACAGCTTTAGTTATTACGCTGAATACAAATCTTTTTTTAATAAAAGCAGCCGCTCATCTAATTCACATATCTCTCGTCGTTGATACTAGGTAGACAGCGTCTGTTTCTCTAAATTATACTCTTCCGTTACTAGTCTAAGTTATTTTACTCTCTTCCATTTCCTGAAGACAATACAATTGTTGAAAGAGTAAATAGTTGCTACGACAACAACAACATTGAACTGTCACCAACAACGTGATATCTACAAATTCTAGCCGCTGTTTTAGCCAGGAGGAGATCCATCATCGCAGAGAACAATTGAAGAAAGAAATGCTGCTCAGCATATTTCAATAAAACCCTATTTAGGGTCAAGTGGTCAGTTTATTCAAACTTGTGGGCGGAAAGATATCGGCGGCAAAACGCTGCAATTTTTTTTGTTCATTTCCGCGGGCGTAACCACGGACTGAGAAAAAAGGTTAACGATTTGTAATATATGCTCGGCATGCAGCGTGTTTGTTTTAAAATACACACAGCACGACTGTCTGGATTTTTTCAGCAAATTCGAATTAAATGTGGTTTGTGTTTCAATCCAAGACTCTTTATTTTTTAACGTATAACGCCCATATTCGTGCTTTTAGCATTAAAAACTTTCCACTAGTCTTTATGTCTGGTGCGCGTGATAAACACGAGTCAAATCGACACTCTTTAAGTCAAAAACAGCTTTTAACTGAGGAAAAGTGCCAAAGGAAGATTACTCGTTAAAATATGATTAAGTACTTATTCAATGTTTCAAATGATATAGGCGCGCCCAGTTCCTGCCTTGTGTTTTAAAATTCATCAAAAGAGCACCATAGTGACATTTATGTCCCACCACAGTAGACAGCGCAAGGTTGGTTACACCAAGATTGCTTTTAATCGTAAAAAGGAAATTTTACAACGGTCAAAAAAACAATTGGCGCAAACTACGTGGTGACACTAATGCAATCATGACAGAAATGTTCCAAACGTGTTCACGAGATAACCTTGAGACAAAGGCGGTGACTTCCTGAACGTTCCAATCTCAAGCGGTAACCACTTAAATGGTGAAAACTAAGCTTTTTGTCATTTCAGCTTGAGAGTGCAGGTGACATTTTAATCTAATAACCTCACTGAACTTATTATGATGCCAAATTCTCGTTTCAGATTTCAACACTGCGGAGCGCCAAATTCAAAACTGTTCAAAAGTGACCATTGTTCCCCAGCGTATATAGGAGCGTGCTCCGCGGCTAGTTCCGTTCACATCGGCGATCGGCTCCATAGAGTACATCACTGCGAGAGCGTAATACAGCCACCCAGATCTCTACAGAAGTTCTCTACAATGGCCCACTTACCAGTTATAGTTTTTCTCTTTGTCTTGGAATGTATAGCCGCAAAATACGGTAGGTAGAGCGATGGTCTTTCATAATTGATGTAAGATTGGGTTTCTGTGCACCGTATTACGCGCTCTTGTCGCCTTACTAAAATTATAACGGTTCTGTGATCGTACAAAAGTTCGAAGTTCCTCTTCATCACTGACTGAAATGTTCTCTTTTCAATACTAATTTATAATTTCTTAACGAAGAGAGCACCAAATCTGTCAATTCTGAAGCGATCAATTCCATCCGCAGTTGATTTTGAGATTACAGTACTTCAAAAATTTTCCGTTGAGCGCGCGCGCAAAACATCATTGATCTCGTATTAAACATGCTGTGGCGAAAATAATCATTCATGAAACAGAAGAGAACGTCATGAAAAGGTTATATTTTACACTCGTTTACTACTGCCAAGGCGTTAGATTTTTAATTGTTATCATTATCTTAGCTTTATGACATCTTTTTATTCGTTAAAGAGTATTGGGTGATAATGGTTGGAATCTTTCATTAATCAAATTTGTCTATTTAAAGACTCTCCGGAAATTGCGCGTAAACGGCTTATACCTTGAAAAAGCAAACAGAAACCACCGAAATCAAAGACATAAAGTTCTTACAATACCTTACTAAGATGCAGGCACGATTTCAAGTCCTTCCTTCCATGAACGCGCAAACTGGAAATAAAAAAGACGAAGGGCTAAACAACTCCTTAAATACAGTAAAGGAAATATTTTTGTTGAGGTAGACTGTTAAATAACAATAATTGCTTTCTAACGTATTTACACTGAAGGAGTCTATTCGATTGTTTTCACTCTTAAGCTCGTGGTGACAACCTGCTAAGAGGCTAAAGATCTACTTCGTTAGTCATCCTCATATTACGGCCCGCTTGGCACGCAGGGATAAAATAACTTGTACAACTAATCTTTTTAAAGAAAATTCTGAAAATGCAAATTGTGGCCAGGGAAGGCGTTGTTTTCCAAGAATGTACTTAGATTCCTAAGATTGAATTTGTCGGTAGAATTTCGGTCAACGTTAACGGGAAAAGTAGAACTATATTTAATTTCAGAAATACATCAACGACCCTGAATTCGATGAATGTGTCGTGCCCACATACTTTTGTGGGTCGGAAACGTGACAGGACCACAACAAATAGTTCGGATGGCAGTGCGGTCTCATAACGCAGTTTCGTAAAGATGAATCACTTGTGTTTGAGCCGTCACGGTTTTCTTTGGTTTACGTTGATGGATTGTTCATTTTTTTCAATCCTTGCATAGTTATTTAACTATGGGTTAAGACCCACCCTAAATGCGCCATTCACGCTTCGTCGGTCTTCGTTAATTCGTGGCTGTCAATAAGATTATTTAAAAAATGACTTCGATCACTGCTTAATAATGACCGTAAAACGAACGCTTGTTTGCGGTCAGGTCATGAAGACATCTGTTCTTTAATGACCATCATTAGGCGACAAGGCTCGTCGTGTACGCCAAGTCACGCAACTATAAAACCAAAACTCCAGAGTAACGCTAATTATAGATAAGGAAGATCTGTCTATTATTGTCGTCTCTGTCTATCAGGCGACAAAGCTTGTCGCGTGCGCAAGTCACGCCACTAAAACCGAGAATCCAAAGTAACGCAACCTACAGATAAAGAGGATCTGTCCATTATTGTCACCTCTGTCTTTAAACTAAAATTGTTCCAGCGACGACTTACCCTTCCTGAAGCTGAAGTAAAGTCCTTGACGTTCATGAGTAGAAATAAAGGGAGATACCTTAAGGAAAAGGGAGGTAAAGTGACTGAATACTTGGAGTGGCACCAATTAATTACCCGACATCGTGGAAAGAAGGGTGGGAAGCTAGTCACTTAAGGACGCCCTCACAGAGATTTAAATATATTTTCGCTGCAGTTTTACCAGATGTTCCATGGTACGCACACGACATTCCCCAGACGGAATTTGGTGAGGGCGAAGTGTTCCCATCTGCCAACTCAGAAAAGCTTATAACAGCGCAAACATCGATGGCTGAGATAAAACGATTGTTCGAAAGTGTAGAGCAGATGTCTGTCCGATCGGACGAGTCTACAGATGAATCTGAGGGTCCAAGGGCTTGGTACAAACCACAGCAGGACGAGACACTTCATGATGAAAGGAGTAAGTTGGAAAACGATTCATTTAAACTTGAAAAATCCGTAGGCGTTGTTAAATGCAAAATGACCAAACTTGATTTCAGAGGTATGCTAAACGCTTTTGTGGGAAAAATGCATCGTACCTGTTCTCTCCCGTACGTCGGTTCATCACCCTAATCGCGCTTAATTTTTTGATTACGATAAAGATATATTTTAGGGCTCAAGCTTGCCCAGATGCAATTCCCTTCAAAAATGTCCTTGCTTACATACCTTCACTATTTTGCGATGTTTTGAATAAGTTCTTCGACAATTGGTTAATTTTTCTGGCCACATGGCCAAATGAACTACTCCACAGCTCCACCCCACGCACAACATTTACAATTCTCTTACTTGTCTCTAAGGCAGTCCTTAGAGTCAGTCACTGGTTCACTGTTTATATTTATCTCTAAACTTACTGTCATGCAGAGTGCATCGACGAGTTTCCCGACTGTCAACAGTATGCGGACAACTATATGTGCTATGAAAAAGTGTACGAAGCATGGATGAAAGGGAGGTGCAGGAAAACTTGCAAATTCTGTAGTAAGTTCCCTCGTTTTTGATTCGATTCAAACCGCGGCGAACAACTTAAACGAAAACATTCTAGAAATGGCCATGCATTTGTGAACTTCGCAAAACCTCTATTTCAAAACAGGGGCAGGCGCTAAGTCGTTGGTAGGAAAATTTTCTTTTTTTAGAATGTGTGTTTTCGCACTAGAGAGGTTTTGCAGATAGCCAAAAAAAAAGTGGATATCGAAAATCAGAATTGACCTACTTATAGCACACTTTGAGGCTCGCCCAAATTCATTTCAACGCCAGGAAACGCGTCTTTAGCTTACACGAAATGCACATCGATTTGACAAGTTGACGCTGTCATCTTTCCTGTCTTCAACAGAGGAAAACTGCTGGGAAACTCAGTATGGTTGTTGTCCAGATCAAAAAACTGCTGCTGAGGGGCCTTCACAGGCCGGTTGTGGAGGTAAACTTATAAGCGCACGAGTGACATTCCCTTTGTTAAATATGTAGTGGACTATACAGTTCAGCCCTTCCTCTCCCCCCTGCAATCTCTTCTCCAGGAAAATTGTGCCTATTGTAAGGATGATCTTCAATTGACTCAGAAGAAGTGCACTAGAGTGAACTTAGTAAAAACGTCATTTCAGAATTTGACCACATAACTGACAATGTACATATATCACACCTAATGTAGAGGAAAGACCAACATGCACATCCTATTTAGGTAGGTGGGGTTCATATACATACATTCAAAGCTGTACACATTTAAATAATATCAACAGTTATACCTCTTGTTTACCCTTATTCCCTTAAGAGTGACTTACATCTAATTTCTCCTTACAATATCACCCATGAATCACATATCAAGGTCATGAGAATAAACGAAATGATCACCAACCAAAGAAGCTCTTGACTGACCAACACTGAATTCTCCATGTCCATGCCAGTGTTGGTCAACATTGACCAACACTGAATTCTCCATGTCAGCACCTTTAGAACGTATGGGAAACAGTATGGAAAATATGCATACTCATGTAGGGGTGTAAAGGGTTAAGATCAGATGTAAGAGACGGTCAAATAACAGTTATCTTATTGGAAAAGATGAGTAGGAGAAAAGTTCGCTTCACTCTTTTTTGCAGTTGAAAATGAGAACTATTTCTCTTAGTATAGTCAATTCCTGAACGTCTTGTTTCGTTCATTACTTACTCATTTGTTTGCTTATTTCCTTGTTGTGCTTTTTGTAGTTAAGTTGTGCATCGACCTGAGGGACTGTAACAAATATAAAGACCAATGTGACGACGATTCTGTATCCAGTTACAGAAAGAAATTTCTCAGAAATAACTGCGCTTACACTTGCAAGCGATGCAGTAAGTACTAATGAATTGATTTTTATACCTGAGTTTTCCTAAACTTGTGAGCGTTAGATGGTGAGGCAGTGTAGCCGAGTGGTTAGCCTAACCACACGGTTTCAGATTTCGAGCTCAGCGGCGCTGAGCTTGAAATATGTTAGTCCCGTTTTCAAGCTCTCCACCCTGCAACTCGCAGGATTTTTTCACATTTAAGTTCAACTCCGTGGATGTACTATCGACACAAAGGTTAAACTCTTCTTTTTGGAGTTTTTAAAAACTCTATGCTTATTTAATATTTCTCGAAGATACTTAGCTACACTGTAAATTCGAAACCAAATAAAGCCACAGTTCTTTTTGCTTTGTTTTGTTTTTTTCTTCTACCATTCCGAGTTACTAATCTGGCTATCACCATCAAACTCGAACATAGAAGAAAAATAAAAAGTATTCGTAACAAGCGCAACTTTCCCAGAAACACATTATCGTTCCGAAAATTTTTCATAAAATCGAGTGAAGTGCCATGAAGAGAATAGTTATACCTTCCACCTAATCTCTCGTGTGGTTAAAAGTTGTCTTCGTAACTAAAGGTTTGAATTCTTCACGACAGAGGCACCGAGTCCTACCGCAGATTGTGAGGCTCGCAATTCAAGGTATGGATGTTGTTGGAATGGACAAGAAGCATTGGGTCCGCATGAAAAAGGATGCTTACGTAAGTGCTAATTTCGCCGCCTCATCGTTTTTTAAATAGCGGCGCCCAAGGTTAAAATTCTACGCATTTAAACACGATTCTTCAGCGGCAAGTTTTCTCTTAGTAATCGGAAAACACGGTGGGTAGTTAACCCTTTTAAACCCTAAGGGTGACCAGAATGTAAATTCCCCTTACAGTAATACCACTGAATCATTAATTAAGATCAAGGAAAGAAAGGAAATGATAACCATCCTAAGAAGCTTTGATCGTTAAACGAATTCTTCTCGTCGGTACTAAAAGGAAATGTATAAAGATGACTGTAGAGGATATGGATACCAATTTTATGGTATAAAAGGTTCATATTTATGGCGACGATATATAAATTTTAAAGTTTTATTAACTAATTATGTTGTTTTCTGCTTGTGATAGCTTGTGAGGACACTTATCCACGAGCTTGTCGGCTGTTTAAGACCTGCAATTCTCCGTTCTATAACGCTAGAACCTTTGGAGAAACTCACTGTCCGAAGAAATGTGGAAAGTGTGGTAAGTAGCATACAGCTTTACTGCCTAGTCTTCAGAATAAGTAAAGGTAATACGACGGACAGGAGTCTCATTCATTAGTGACTAAACGATATCCGCTTACCATTTAATCAAAACTATGACAAAAGCTTGCGAAACAAACGAGCCAATGGTTATACGTTTTCCCAAAAGGCATCGGTTGACTCGGCGAGAGGCGCGGTGACAGCATATGCATTCGTACATGACGCGTAGTGTCCAATTACAAGCATGACGCGTACACTTTCCTACCAGTTCTCAAATAGGGCTGGTGATAACCAGTCATCTTCCAGAATATTTTTATAGTTTTGATCCATAATGGTAATAGGAACGAGTGGAATCAAATTCGGTCGGTAATCATACGAGTGATTTCAAAATCGGACGACCACAAAGTGGGTGTCTGATTTGTAAATTACGAGTCAATCACGAGTAATCATTACCATAACAATTTCCGAAAAAAAAATTATTTGTCTGAAAAATTCTTCCATTAGGGAAATTCCCCAGTTCTGTAGGGTAAGTGATTGTTGCGATGGTAACTATAATTCTGTGATTGGCATTTTTGACAGAGTGGACAGAGCATAATTTGCTGCTTTACTGTCCGATTACAGGCAACTGTGCGATTACAACTCTACAGAGTGATTAGTAAAAAATAAAGCAGCCAATGCACCAATCACATTTGACAAAATTGAAATGGTTATAATTGTTTCAGTTATAAATAATCAATATAATGAGCTCAATTACTCACAATGATTACCTCTTACTTGTGATCTATCGGAGTACAGACGGATGATAGATTTTTTGTCTCTTTATTACATAAAACCAATATATTTTATTTCGCCGTTAGTCTGCACTGAACAGATCACTGATCACCGGTAAGAACACCAGTGACGCACTCAGCTGCGCCTCGTGTGCCACCTTTTCTTTTTTTTCTTTTTTTTTCTTCACTGAACAGACGCACTGCAACAGGGAATCTATTTGTTACGTAGAAATTTTATATCTAAGGACGGAGCAATTAGCGACGGGGAGATCTGTCGTCAGTAACACCAAATGGATTTTTAAATCGCGTCAATAGCGTTTTAACAATCTATGTCTCGTGTAGGAAAGTGCTTTGATGAAAGAATGACCTCCAATTGCGAAAACTGGGCAGGAAGAGGCTTGTGTACGGGTAAAAGGGGATGGAAAGCTTATATGGAAGAGAACTGTAGAAAGACATGTGGTTTCTGCAAATCCAGCGGTGAGTCACTTTTCCTTCAATTTGAAGTTCATATGAGCGTTCGAGGAATGGTCCCCGAACATTTTCAGCAGCCTGCTAGCGGGCATTGCGTTGAGTTTGGAAAACTCTTGGTACAAGGGTACGTCCCTATCAAAACTAGGAATCTAAAACACTTTTCTCAATCTGTAGCAAATAGAACACTGTGCTAGCCTCCATAAAATATGTAAATAAAAACATTTTCTACTGGGATTTGGTCTTATCCCAACGGAATGAGGAAACTATTTTAGCACGGCAATGTTTCTGGGAAAATATTGCTCATGAAATTCGAGCACGAACACTTTGCCTATGCTTGCACCGTGTCTATGCTTGCGTCGAAGAGAAATCCTGCTACGCCTTCTTGTTCTATGTTAAACTTAAACTAACGTATTGCTCCCTTTTCTCATTTTCCAGAAAGTGCTGTTAGTGTGAGGACCCTCCTTGGGATATGACTAGGGTGATTGGGGCCCTCTACTTGCTACAAAGAAATAAAGCTTTTGTTTGTAATCAACTCTACAAGAAAAAAATTCAGTTTAGAAACTAAAAAGAAACATCTTCGTAATAGATTTTTAAAAAACTTGCTTGTAGATAGTTGCTATAGATTGTTGTGTAGTTGCCAACTGTCTGAGGCGCCGGCGGTGAAAGCGTCTCAAATCGTTACAATTCCAAGGATATGAATTTGAGGGTATTATCGAATGTTGCTGTTTGTCTTGTGTTAAAACTATAAAAAAAAAACATTATAATACACATGTAGGAAAGGCAATCAAATGAGAAAACGCGTGACCTTTACGTAAAGCGCTTAGGGGTGCGAGCAGTCAAAGAGCTCTCCTTTTTTTCCTATGTCACTGCCTTTGCCCGCACTTTATCGTGTTCCGTAACACCAGAACGAAACTCACGCGCCGACTTATTACAACAAAAGAAAATATAATAACGATCCACGAAAAAGAAAAATCAAGTAACAGGTTTGCTAAAACCATTTTTGAGAAACCGGATTGTGATACAAGGTATCCGGTACAATGTCATGCTTCCAGGCTGAAAATTGAGCCCGAAGCACTCGGAATAGCCGGCGCGTTTTTCAGAGTGGACGGTGAAATGCGCCGGTGGCTGGCTCCATTTTGACAACCTTTCCAAGCCTATAACTTCGGTTTTAATCCTTTACACCCTTACATCAGTATGCACCTTCTCCAAACTTTTTTTAAAATTCTCATGAAAGGAGAATTCTCTTAACAGTCAACAGCTTCTTTAGTAAGTGATCATTTCCTTTATTCTCGTGACCGTCATGTTTGATTCAGGGATGATATTGTAAGGAGGAACAAGATGCTAGTCACTCTGAGGGGTTAAAAGGGTTAATAGTTAAAAAATGCGCGTGATGGAGTGGCGATTGGGTTTATTCTTAAAGTGATCGGTTAAGAGAGTAGCGCCAATTACATGGAGAAAACGCAACATCGACGCAATCCTGGGTTATTTCTGATAGTCAGTTTCAATTTTTGATAATCGATTACTTAAACTGGTGGTGTTTTCAATTCGAAAACTTTCCTTTTGGCATTGACAGCTGCGTATCTTAAGCAGAAAAGTCATTCAGCTTTTCTTGGCAAAGGAGCCACAGCTGAAGATTAAAGGACAATCCCCTCTTGGCGAATTACAATTTTCCGTAATCAGGAGATTAAAGAGAAGGTATTAACCATTTTGTCACGAACCTGTAACAAAGATAAAATCTGAGTCCTTTGCAACAATTCGAGTCCCAAATCCTCCGGATGGTCTATTATCTGAATTTCAGATGAGTCATTGTTAAGATAGGCCAAACAATAACGGCAGGCGCTTGCGTAACAATCGTCCTTGATACCGCTGGAATCAGCATTTGACACAAACTTAGTAAATCTGAGTTGCAAGTGATGACTTAGAGAGATTGCACGAGATTGCATGATTACTGTTTAATTCCATGATTATCGAAAGCCGATCAGGTGTAGTCGATACGTCGTTCCCGCCCAACCTCATGTCAGACAGGCGGAACACGAGGGCCAAACATGCCAAAGGACACACGGATAGAATTCTTTGGTTCATGTTTGATACTTTCTTCATTTACTTAGAAATCGAGTATATAATTAAAAAAACACTAAGCTCGATCATAGAGGGAGGAATAGCGATGAACATAACATCTATTGGTGATTCGTGTGTATGCAAGCCAAAGAGAGCAGCACTGAGCCGATCTGCAAGTTAAAGAAGGAAGAATACGACATTATAGCGAATATGCGCACATTTGACAAGGATTAACATCATTCTTCACTATTAGCGGTGGCTTCCACAAATAGGTAACACTCTTACCAACCCTTTTGGGAAACACCTCATTAGTAGACCTCTCGCCAATCAGTTAAATGGGTCATTAAGGAAAAAGGGCCACAAGACTTCTGCAGATTAAAACCGGAAAATTAACACGGTGTTTCAAAGATTGATTGCTTTTTAAAAACACTTTAATTGGCAGGGTTTAGCACGTTGATTCCCTCTAGTTCTGGATCGTTTATTTTTTAAACTACTTTAAAGTTTGATGTTATGTTGCTACTTCAAGGCGCTTAATTTCACGCGCGCAAACCTTTTGCTTATTGTATGCAAATTCTCTATACTGTACTCCATACATTTCCTATGGTACTGACGAGGAGAATTTGTTTAACAATCAAGAGCTTCATTGGTCGGCGATTTCATGTTCCTTTATTCTCATGAGCCTAGTGTTTGCATGATACGGCAATAATACTATACGGAAAATTAGATGCAAGTCAAAATCAGGAATGAAAGGTTTAATAGAATTCCTGAGTTTTCGTCATCGTCAGAGCTTGCCAAAGTGGAAAAAATTGTCATTTTCTCGTATCGTCTTTCATTTCATAAAATAGACAAACGTCCAGAACAAGACAAGAAAAAAATCGTGGACGCGGCATGAAGCTATCAAGTTCTCATACACATGTATTTAGGATGATTTTAGTCGGGGAATTATTGGACATAAACAAGGTACTCCTACCTCAGTCTATAAGAGTATGAGACTCCTCTTTCAATTCAAATCATACTATTGTGTTGACTCAAACAAAATCTAAGAAAGAGATAAGCGTACGATATTGATTGCATATTGTTTAAGTTCCATCGAAAGTTACATTTATGCAAGCTGCTCAGATCAAGAAAAAGAAACTTTTCAAAATGCGATTGAAGAAACCGAACGCAAAACCGAAATTTTGGCTGTTTGAGTACATCTGCGTATTCTACTTTTTCAATCAATCATTTTACCGACCACTAAGATCACCACAGGCAGATAAACCCAATTCAAAACTAAACTTATTTTTTTGTGACCTACAAGAGAAGCCAAACACGCAAAGCTCTGGTAGAATTTTAAGTCTTTCTAATTATGAACTCAAATTCAAAAGAAAGCATAAAAGATTAATGAGATTTCTTCATCCTTTATTATTTTCATCTGATATCTCTCGCTGACAACACGAAGGTCTCCCTGTCGTTCTTGTGTCTGTCACTACATGGAGGTCAGATATGTGGCCTGCAATGAAGGGATCGTTACGTTGTTTTACAGTACTTCATAGAAATAAAGAGGGACGGTTTCCAGTAAATAGATATTTTTGCGAGATAGCTCTCTTTTATTCGAGTTTATCATGACTCCTAAAAACGTGAAAATACCGATAAAAGTTTTATTAAAACGGTTGCATGATCAGCCAAAAACTCCGAAACTTAAAAACATGTATTTACGATCTTTTTGATCTGAGAAAAATACAAAAGCCAAAGAAATCATTGAGAAAACACAGACACAGGGGTCCTACGGGACGAAAACCACCAACTCTTTGTCTGGATTGATCTGTAGCAAGTACAAAACAGGTTAACTATCGCACAGGCGATCAAAACCCACGAACTGGATACTAGAAAAGACCTGCCACGTCCCTCACAGAGCCTACAGTTTGGCACTTGTATCAGTGCAAGAGTTATATTAGCCATGGAGTATCAGAGGAACTTCAAATTATTGGCCGGAGTATTTATTGTCTTTCTCTCGTGTACAAATGTGATAAATGGAGTTTATAACGGTAAGTGTATTTTACTACTTAAATGGGCAGATGAAATCCACATCTGATGATTATAAACTGAAGAAGATGATGGTCATGTAATTATTACAGCAAACTAAAAGGAATTGTTCATCCAAAAGCTACTCAAAACCAGATGTCTCAATTGGAGGTATATGCAGAATTTGCTCAGGAAGTAAGGAGTTGGGTACTTCCGACACTGGTCAAGTTTAACAGCAATTTAACATAACCGTCATTTGCATCAATTTAGAGATAAGACTCGCTCGTTAGCTCAATTTTTTTTCCGCAAGAGCTTCAGCAATAGGTGCCTTTTCTCAACGTTACAGGTATTTCATGATCTATAGGGAAGGTAGTGAAACCCGCGCTTTCAAAGAATAACATGAAAAATTACATGAAAAATAATTTTGTCTCCATTTCTTAAATGTAATGTTTGTTTGAATTATGTTGTGTTTGCACTTTGTTGCTCGCTGCTACTTCTGAGTACATCATAAAGCTGCAAAAAAATACATAAAAGGATGGCAAAAGCGTGTACGAGACACAGTAAGCCCTCTGACACAATAAAGCACCTTCATCAACAGCTCGATTAATTATAAATTATTTTGTACGTGGTCGAAAATAATACCGAAAATTCTATTCTCAAAGCTACTTGAAAACATCGCGCCCTCGGGGATTTCTTTTTGTACCAGGATAAGCTGCTTCAGTCTTCAAAATACGACTGAATTCTTAATGACCGAAAATAAGACCAAAACGGAACCAGTGAGAGACATATACCAATCGAATTCTCAACTTTTTTCAATCTTAACACCGTTTAAGACTCGACATTAAGGCTGTTAATATGTAATCCAGTTCTTAATAATCACAATTGAATTCATAGCAGAAACTAGCCATTGTTTTAGGAGATCGTAAAGGTTGCTTTTAACACCATATTCAGTGTTTCTAACCTGAATAATCCTATTTCATCAAATGTTTCTTAATACACAAGACCCCCCTCCCTCGAACTCTTCACGCCATCTGCCATGATTCCAAATATTTGTCGAAATTATCATGATCGGCTTCCCTGGGAAATGTTCCTTATAAATGTCTTCATCTTGATCACGATGTTCGGCGCCACAATATTTAAAACATCGTAAAGAGATGATAGTCGCGATGCACTACCGAACAACTGGTCAATGTCAATTTCACGAACAGTTTGTTGACTATCGTGACGATTATTGGCCATAAACTAACCGACCATACTTCAGGGACAATTACCGCGTTGTAATAAAAAACGCAGCAAGAGTCAGATATAGATGGGGGATGTTTTTCAACATAAGAAAAAGAAGAATGATACAAGGGATTTTAACTAAAATGGCCGAATATTGAACTACACATTGTAGTTTCATAGCAAAAGAATTCAAGGATTAAATATGTTATTACACATCCAAGTTCTAACAAATAGTTTATCAGAGAGGAGAATTTACAATCATATATAGGATGAGTGGCCTTCATACACCATCAAAGCAGTAAAGAGACGCTATATGTGGTTATATTTGGCCTTTAACTTGCTCACATTGAAAGTATACACCATCAAAGTTTAGCTCTCTTCATTGTATTAATGGAGCTAAAGAAAAATAGATGCCAAAACACACTCTTGAATCTTGAAAACATTTTCCAGCCGTAACTTTAATCATCAATTCAGCTGCTCATTGAAACTCAACTTGAGTTTAAAAAAAGAGATCTTTTCCGTTCCCCAATATCCCACTCAACTGAAATTAACAGCTGGCAGGACCCTGACAATGACAATTTACAAGTGAATCGTTCCATGCCAGCAGCAGGGCTCGTTCACACAGTGCAATTGTAGTGTGAACAAATTGGAAAACAATCGTGAACAGATCATTAAAAAGTTAGCTGGCACGAAACGATCATAAGTTATCGCGTAAATACAGGATAAAACCATGCAAATGTGACAACGCAAATTATCAAACTGTGATCTTGCCACGCAAATTCTTACACATCTGACAATTTTGGGGGGCTCTTGGGGTGAAATCGTTCCCGAGCAAAAATTTAAAATAGGCCGAGTTTTGTAAAGATTTCAGTGGAAATTTCCCAATTTGGGTTAGTACATAGACGTTGCTTGAGTAAAACAATATCAAATTAAAGCGTAGGGCTGAAAGGTAAACTCGATCAACTTAACAGCTACAGTTTTTCAAAAGTAACGCGAATTAACGGTTTAGGAAACTTCGTAAAATCCATGTTAACAGCATGAAACCATTTTCAAATTAGTACGACTTGATTCACTGTGGATTTCGATCGGCGCGAGTTCCTGGAGGTTTACATAACTTTTATTTCAATTAAAAGGAAAGCTTGCGAATCAGCGTCATCAAATTCTGGTTTATTATTACTTGAACTCACAAGGGACTCTTTTAAATTTTACCGTGTATCAACAAAAAGCTCTGTATTTTGTAAAGAACTGTATTAAACCGAGCAAACAGCAGATCAAAAATTAATGAAAACGAAGAATTTCTCCCCTTAAACGTTTTGATAGGGCTTGCCTTTTCAGGTGGTCACCGGTAAAGGTTACCACTTGTAGTACCTATTATTACTGCCTAAAATTGCTTGGATTTCTTGAAAAGTTAGCAGGTAAAGGGATTGTCCAACCGGTTTGAAGATTTGTGTTACCTCTCGTGCTGTTCGTAACCTCAAAATTGATGTTATTGGAAACAGCTATACTAGAAGCAAGCAGTGCAAAGATGTAGAAAACTTTAGGCCGGAGAAATCAAGCTATTGTTCTCAGTATTCTTTTTTTCTTAAAGGTTATTGAATCCGGCTATTTCTGACATATATAATCCTTTATAACGATTCTTCTCTAGATTGGTGCCAGGACTTGAACACAAAATGTAACGCGTGGAAGTCAAGAGGACTTTGCACATCATTATCTCGCAGAGCCCAGAGAATGATGAGGAAACTTTGCCCTGAAACTTGCAACTTCTGCGGTAAGCTCCACGTTTGCAAACCTTTAACTTTCAGGGAGAGTTCAGTACTTGGATTCCCTTTACACTTTTAGCCCAGTGAGACATCGAAAGATCGCGAGAATCTAACGAATTATGAATTAGATGATTATAATAAAACAAATTCTCATGATAATCCAAAGAAGAAATTTTTCTTCCCTTGTTAAAATTAGACTCTATGCTTTAACTACTAAGAAAGATTTCCATTAACCATATCATTTCAAAAGAAACCAAAATTTCATGGTAATCTCCAAGTTATTTCAAGCCTCGAAATGCTACTTGTTCTCTGTATTGAACTTGGGTAACCGGACGTTCGAATAAGAAGTTAACCAAAATGTTTTTTTAAAACATATTTTTGGTTCTAGAGCCTCCGTCGCCTGAGGTGTGTTACGATGGAAAACAAATATCCAAATACGGTTGTTGCTGGGACGGTATTACCGCTGCCACTGGTCCGAACGGACAGGGATGCCCTGGTACCGAATTACTCTTTCTACATTTTAAATTTCATTTACATATTATCGTTTTACAAACCTTTCCTTCAAATGATCATAAATTGACCAACTATGATGGAAGAAAATAAATCCGCGACTACAGGCAGCTTTAACCAGCCATAGGAAATCCCTGAATTAAAGCAAGTCCCCTTTGAAAGGGAAACACCAACGAGACATTTTAGTTCAAAACTGGCACAACTAATAGTTATAAAAAGACCATTACAGAAACAAAATCATAGAAAAACAAATCCTATCTGTTTTTCTCGGCTATAATCTTTCAGTTAAGTGATTTCAAGCTCCCTTACCCTCCAAATAATGGAAGACATCGAAGCTTTACCCCCTCATCTCATTTTCCTCTCTGACTGCGATCGCAGATCTTGTACATGTAATTCATCTTGAAAAAAGAACACAACCTATACGATCCGAACTGCTTTTCCTCAAACTATTTTTTTCGTGCATTCATTATAAATTAATGATATCAGTGTAAAAGGGATACGCTGCACTCGTCTCAGAGAGAATGACACGCAGTTTATCCTCGTTGGCAAGTTCCGACCATAGTATAGGCCACCGATGATGTGCGCGCGCAACTCACGAGTAAAAAATTTTAAGCATAAATGATTCGCGATGAAATACCACAGATGTGTTTTTAAAAACCTTCAACTAGTATTTAGCGGTAGCATGTATGCATTAATTGCTCGCATTGCGCAAAATTCACCAGTGCTACCACAAGGTACAGCAAAAAATTGTACATCTTTAACTAATTCCTACTTGGTGTTTCTTACAGATTGCGAAAACAAGAAGAGTGGAAGATTTTGTTCGATGAGGAAATACTTGTGCTTCACGAAGAGAAACCATAAATTTCTCAGAGAGAACTGCCCAGAGACATGTGGCTACTGCAAAAGTAAGTTTAGTTTTTTTAATCAGGAAAAAAAACTTAATGGGGTGTTTACTGTTGATGTTTAGCATATCCTCTCCCTAGTCGTGAAAAAAGGCCATATGATTAGAGAATGACACCGAATTAAACGGTGTAACGAATGGTATTTTTACAGTTTTGGCAGAGTCTTAAATTGCAGACAATAATCTTTCCTAGCAAATCACAAGCACAAAAAAATCAACTCGATAATTGTTTACCTTTGCAACGGCGCTTTCGCACAAATTCAAAGCTAACTGAGAGCGGTCAAGTCGTCATTGGTATAAGCTATAGCTCATTTGGTAACAGTTATTCAATACTAAGAAAGCATTACTAATTAAGCGCTAAAGAATGTGTGCGACACTTGAAGTTTAAAACTTTTGATTGTAATTTTCAGAGGCGTCATATTCTTGCATGGAGGATTCTGGAGTTTGCGAAAGTGAGTGAGATGTTTTTCTCTTTTTTACTCAATTTGTTCATGAGTATGTAAGCTATACATGATTGAACCTTAATTTGCTTTTCGTTTGTAGATGACTGTTACGATGTTGAGCCTCAACAGCTGTGCGAACGACGCAAGAACAAAGGGTACTGTACAGTGGAGGAATGGAAGAACTACCTGCTGAAAAACTGTCCATTTACATGTGGCTTTTGTGGTAAGAACAAGAAACGATGGACCTCTCTGCAAAATGGCTCCCAAAACTGACAATGCATCCTTATAGCAGCTAGGATGCATTTCATCAGGGTTAGGTTCAGAAGCCAAATTCAGCACAGCGCAAAAACAAAGAAAAAGCAAAAAGTAAAGTGTTGAGGGGCTGGTGTGGTCACATCCCACACTTAGAGAAATATAACGTTGAGTTTTTTGAGTGATCTCGTACTTGTCTTGTTATTTTTCCTTTCTCTTTCCAGATGAAGACAATCAAGGAATGGTCGCTAGAATGCTCTACACTGATTGAAGACACCAAATTTAAAAAAGACTCAGCCAACTTAAAACCCTCTCTTAAACATTGTGGCTGTTGTCATAAGTTTTCTGTCTTAGATGTTGCTAACAAGCCTGTCTAGGGCTGCACAGCTAAACCATGTCACATCTTCTTAATTTATCTGTTAGGAGATTGCAATCTCAAAACCACTTTTCCACCCTTTCAAGTATGAAGTAATAAACTATCAGATGGAATTGTGTATGTGTTTGTATTGCACTGATTACTACTCCAAAGTTAAAAACTACTGCTGAGTTTAGGTCCTGCGTTTTATTGTCACTCAGATGTATGCGGGATATTGAAGTAAATGACAAGTCAAACACAGTGTTACCCTGTGAGTCGAAAGCTTGTCAAAACACATATAGACTTAAGTAGCAAGAATCTAATTAAAAAAAATTAGGTAGCAGGAGAAAAGTGTGAATGACAGGAGAGTATACATGAAGTGCACAAAGGTTCCATGTATGAATAAAAAAAAAACAGCTCATGCCATAATATGTTGGGCAGGAGAGTTCTCTGCTCTCCATCATCTAACAAAGCAACCCTCTGCTGAGAATAATGGTCACAATCTATATTAAGATTTCATTCACAGCACTTAATTATTACTTCACCTAGCCAGGCATTCCCAGACTTTCACCGCAGCAAACCAAAGCAGAAAATAAGTGAGAACAAGACCAGTTTCTTGGCATGAGAAATCTTGCCATTTAAAAGCAGAGAGGCAAAAATACATAAAAAACCAAGCACAATGAAACATGAAAAACCCCAATAAGAAGGTGTGACTACCATTTTTTCACTTGTTTTCCACTGATGACTGCTAGCAATATAATGTAATTAAGGTAATTAATGACTATGAAACAAAGGTAAAAGACTCTACAGATTATATTGAACTCATTTGGTCCAACGAACACATTTAAAACTCGACTAAATCCCATCAACTTATGCCAAGGAATATTAATTAACCAGTGGTGATTTGCTGCATTTACGCCTATAAGTGTAAACGGTTTATTTGGGAAATAAACACATGCAGCACATCAAAGTTGAAATAGGGACCCTTTAACTGAAATCCTTACATAGTTCGGGTTAAATGGCTTGTGGTATGCACAGCATTATGTTTGAATTTCGTACGCAAGTTGCAAAATGACAACGTTGAGGATTTGCCCTATTGAAATGGGAGAACACGCGACGCCCACTAACTCGTAGATTTGCTACGTATCATTTCTGCACATTCGAAGTGATAAAGAATGAGTTTTGCTTCACTAACTGAGATGGAAATCGTTAGAAATCAGCAGAAGAATGAAAGCTGTTTGCTAAACTCGCGATCGTACAATAAATGTTACAATTATCATAATATCAAATTAAATTTTCATCGTTTCATATTTGTCCCTAAAGATAATATAGAAGCTTCTCCTTCTCACCATTAAATGTCATAGATGATCGCATTCGTTGCAAAGAATTCTTCCATTTCAAAAGCATCAGAATTTGTCTTAGTAAAACAACACGGCGGAAATGTTGTCATCTGCAAGTACAAATCGGAAAATCCAATGTATTTTGCTTGGATATTGATCGATTTTTCGCTCACGAAAGTTTATCTTTGTTAAATACCATTTAGTTAACTTTACCATGACGTGAAACAGTACAAATCTACTGGATGAATGGAACTCTGTCAAGTATTAAAAGCAGAAAGCTTTCACTTGTAACACTCATACTCGACTCATACGGCCATGTTTGAATGTTTAATGTTTTAAAAACAGCGGGAAACCTCGTTTTCATGCTCTCGGCCCAGTTCCTTGATTTGGAACATGTCGAGCTGAGGGTCGGGGGCTAAGGTGTTCTCAATACATTTCAAAGCAATTTTTCATCTAGTCTTTTTGCATATCTGGTTCATGAATGTAACTTAATACCCAAGCCGAAAAGGCAAATTTTACCTTCCTACTACGGAAACACGAAAAACAGTTCGATCTCCTTGATTATAACATTTCAAGTCAGAACTGAGAGTGCACGATTGAGATTAATTTTCGGTTCACTGATTTCTTCAGTTCTTCAAGGAACTCTTCTTTGAAAGACTCGAGACGGCAATAGTCATAGCAACGTAAATTATGCTTTTTCTGAGAGAGATGACGTAGTAGACGAGTAGACGCTGGTAATTACGACAATTACGCTGGGGTAATATAAAAAAATGTGTAAAGAGTGAGAAAATGCTTTTGATGGAGATGCCAGTCCTAACAAAACCTCTGTCGTTTCCAACATTTTCAAATTATCGAGGTGGTTCCAAGATGTGGCATTGAATAACAATTGAGGAACCAAAATAAGTCAGCGATTACTGACATCTTTAATTTCCACTGGTAATAAATACAAAGGAACTGACAACAAGTTTTAACTGAATTAAAGATCTTTCAAGTGCCGCAAATCCATCTGATCTTACAGTCTCTTCGCAGTGTTTATCGATTACTTTCCAACATCGTTCCACCAACCTTTTCTTATCGAACTGATGAGCATTGGGCAAAATGCTAAAAGCATTTGACACATCCAGCTTATCTTGTAGATAATCGGTGCATTTATCAGCTAATGAAGGCACGATGTATTTCTTCGCCAAATACAACACTCCCATCACATAACTTCCGTTCAAATTTACTTCATCGCTGTACATGTAACGAAACAACTCCAGCAGACTTTCCTACTCACAGTCAGGCAGTTCAATAGAGTCTTTAGTCTCCGCCAACTCACCGTAAAACATCACTTCAAACACAGGACTGCTGATCGACAGAACAAACTTGTAAGCAGGAATTACATATTTACTTTCGCTTTGACTATCCATCTTCCTAACAACGAACTTTACATCGCTGAAGCACTCGTTGTTGAACATGAACTTGGCTCTTTCCCTGATGGTTGGTCGCGTTGTTTGCCATTTTATCTTCGGCGAGAGACATGATTCCTGACCGTGGAGCTAAAAGCAGAGACAGTTCACTTGAGATTGCGCGGGAGTGCAATATATAAGCGGGTGGCAGCTCGAGACACCGGTAGCTTAAGACATTTGAATATGCGATTACATTCCAAATTTTTGAACTTGTCACCCACTTTGGTTTCATTACCCAGTTTCTTCTACGGGTAAGTCTCCCTTTGTAGCGTTAAGAGTAATTCTTTTGGAACCTTGTAAAAAATTTTTAAAAACGTTTCATTTAAAAAGGTTTTAATAAGTATGAATAATATATGGTTCTGATCGAGTAGGTATTTAAGTCTAGTGTCAATACTAATGACCATGGGTAGGTTAAAGATAATTATTAACTTCCTGATTGTCACAAAGGAGAATGGAGCTTGGGCACTACAATCTCGCAACCAGACCTCTCGTGATTTCCTTGATTATAACATTTCGAGTAAAAGCTGAGAAAGATTGGGGTTAATTTTGAGCACTGATTCCTTCGACATACACTCTTCACTGAGTTCTTCAAGGAACTGCTCTTTAAAAGACTCCAGATTCAACTATATACTTTCTAAGAGAGATGAAAGCTTTAGTATGGAGTGGACGCATGAAGTAGACGCTAGTAATTACGCCAAAACGCTAACTTTATAGAAAAAGTTTTGAGGCCATGATACAAAATAGATTATCACGACATTGATAATCTGTTTCGAGCTCTTTTTGAGCAAAAGGAAGTGTGCTGAAGACATTAGTAGCATCTAAATTTTCTCCTAAAAATTGCCTGAACCTATTAACCTTTCTTATATATCGGGATTTTTCAGCAAAATCATCCTGATATTGTTCTTAGTGTGTTCTTAAAATTGCCTCTAAAAAAATTTAATACTGTATTAACTACCAACATATGAAATCAGTGCGCAAGTACAACATTTTAATTAATTAATGGATGGAACTAACTTTAACTGCATTAATCAAGGCAATAATATTACATTAGGGGAAGGGTAGCAGGTCCCGAAACTCAGCAAAAGTCAAGCAAATTCAAAATGCACCAGTTCCCCCTCCCCCTTTCCAGTGATGTACCCTAGTACTGCACCCTAGTGGGTTATTCTAATCTGACTGGCAGCCAAATTTTTTTTTTTTATATAAGAACAATTTTCATTTTTCAGATTGAATGTGTTCTTGAGTGTATACCGGGTACATTTTATACCAAATTTCAGCCTTTTTAATCCAGTTGTCCTCTTATGTGGGTTTTTACTGCAGTGCAAGTAGATCCAACTGCAACCCAAGTGGGGCTGGGTCGCAAAAAAAAAAAAGCAAAACAAAACAAAGCAATCCTTCTTTTCAAAGAAGATTAATGTAACCTACTAAGGTTATGGAAAGAAAATAAAATCCAGACAAAGAAGAAAACGTAACGCAATCCCGCAGTAAGCTTTAGATATCAAGTGTAAAACCGGTGAGGTTCCATATAATGAATGGAGTGTTTGTGGATGCTCTCTTCTTGTCGATCTCAAGTGATCTAGATGAAACGATCACTTGGGTAAGGAAAACTGATGCTTTTATAACATAAGTGTATTTTGCAGATTAATGTGAGTCGCGAAAACAATGTAAACAATATAACTGGAACTAGTGGCAACGTGGCCACGAGCTACAAGCTACAGGCTAAGATTTCTTGACCAAAGATTTTACAAAAATTTACAACCAATACTACTTCTTCTACGAGTTACTTGATTATTACTCTAATTGGTCAGAAAAAATGCAAATTAATTTATCTATCTTTTCACGCCATTTCTTTAGAAATTTCAATCATTAAACTCATTGCAATTCATATCCATTCATTGAAGCAGTAATGATTTCTGTGAAAGGTCAGAATCAATTTGGCATAAATTAAGCGTCGGACTATCCAGATCAAGGCTTACGTATTTAACTACAGGCAAAGGGGCTGATTAAATTTCCTTTATGTCATTATTTACAATATCTAAGTATCACCAAGAGATTATAAACAGTTTATAGTCTCTAGGTTTCATCTACCTTAAGTTTGTAACGAATTAGCTGTTTCTAGAATGTCAGAAAAACAAATCTATGCCATTCCATATTTTTTAAAGGGGTCATTCGTGGTCATCTGCAGTTCAATTCAGGGATTATTTGTAGTCTGTCGTCGTTAACGGAGCTGTACAATATTTGCAATACCTAGTTATGTATCATAATACTTGATGAGGCTATTCTTCGGGAAGGAAACTTCTGGAAATGTTTGCTCTCAGATGCGGTGCTTCAGGACACGAGTGCCGCGCGTAATCAGGGGAAGCGCTCAATCGAGAAGATACAACAGTTACATTGTTTGAAATAGGAGTTCCGGAAATTGCCCTTGCTCAACTCCAGTTCCACTGCTGTTATTAGAACTGCCTTTAAAACTAAAGTTGATCCCAGAACAAGCCACAATCTTTTGACCATTTCGACCAAAACAGGAATTGGCACCAGAAATAGAAGCTTCGATACGATATCTTATTCCCTTTTCAATGACAATTGGATGGTTAAAGAGAATTCTGAAGCCATAAAAGGAATGCGGTTCTTCTTCAATGAGAACAGAGAGAAATTTCCCGGATACAGAATCAAGACATGCACCGTCTTGTTTCTTTATGCGTATAGTCACAGAATATTCACTGTTTTCACTCCCGCATAACGTTACTCCAAGTAACGAAATGTTTTTGTCAACTGAGAAACTAAGACAGTCTTGTTTACCAAAAGAATAAGAATAGCTTGAGTCAACATTGTCCAAATTTTCAAATCTGCAACAAGCAAAAGCACATAGCCTTTTCTTTAACGGAAATCTTACTGGGGAGCTTAGCACTGAATTCAAATACTTCACAACATCATAGACTTCCTCTGGTGTGAGTATCTTGGTGTCAAGAACAACACCAGCGAAGTCCTGTTGCTTCATGGCTGGGAAACGGATTGCTTTTACGATATTCTCTCCAAGAATTATCCTTTTTACACTGCCATCTGCAGTCAAGCCTTCTTCTTTGCATTTCTTTGTAGCCCACGAGTCCACAGCTTTGAACAACTCTACTTCTTCAATATTCAGTGTGTCGCGTTTGACTACTTCTTCAATTAAAGATCTTTCAAGTGCCGCAAATCCATCTGATTTTAAAGCCTATTCGCAGTGTTCATCGATTACTTTCCAACATCGTTTCACCAGCTTTTTCTCATCGAACTGATGAGCTTTAGGTAAAATACTAAAAGCATTTGACGCATCCAGCTTATCTTGTAGATAATCGGTGCATTTATCAGCCAGTGAAGGCACGAAGTATTTCTTCGCCAAATACAACACCCCCATCACATTACTTCCGCTCAAGTTCACTTCATCGCTGTACATGAAACGAAACAACTCCAGTAGACTTTCGTACTCACAGTCAGGCAGTTCAATAGAGTCTTTAGTCTCTGCCAACTCACCGTAAAACATGGCTTCAAACACAGGGCTGCTGATCGACAGAACAAACTTGTGAGCAGGAATTACGTATTTACTTTCGCTTTCACCATCCATCTTCCTAACAACGAACTTCACATCGCTGAAGCGGTCAGTGTTGAACATGAACTTGGCTCTTTCCCTGATGGTTGGTCGCGTTGTTTGCCAGTTTTCTTCGACGAGAGACATGATTCCTGACCGTACGTGATGCTAAAGGTAGAAACAGTTAACTTTAGATTGCAATGGAGTGCAACATAAGCTCAAGTAGTTTAGGGCCTGGGTTTTATCTTGATTCGAGACCCCCAGCAGAGTTTCAGGAGATTGAAATACGAGTGGTCAGCGGGAAACAAATTTAATACGTCATATAGAGACATATCAGTTGTATTTGCAAAAAACAATAGTGTTGTAAAGCCGAAATGTTAGCAGTATACTTCGCTAAATAAAATGTTAAGCAATTTTTCAAAGTATTGATGGCACGTATATCTTTTACTGCTGTAATAAACAATGGAGGCATCGGAAAAGGCATCCGTGGCATCCGGAAAGGCACCGAGAAGAATTATATTTACGTTTTGTAACTTGCTGCGTGACGTGCGTGACGAAAAAAGAAAACCAAATCCGTGGTCCCCAAATGAATTCTCCTACCTTGTCCCAAGAAATTTTCAAATTTTTCGCAACTTCACCTGTTCCTATTCGTAGGTCCGGCCAAGCCTTTATGGTCATTGGCCCCGGTATAGCCGCTAACTATGTATAATTAGTGGCTGTACGCGTTAGTGAATTCGCAACTACAGAAAAATAGAGCTAATTTCTTGAAATCAACACAAAACCAACACTCACCTCAGCTGTAGACCTGACATCTGCGAAAAAACTAGCGTCTTCTGTAAAATTTAGGCTATAAATCGATCTTAACTTCCTCGAAAACGTGCACGCTCTAATCGAGAATCGGCCGCCATGTTACAACTCTTTGATTGGCCACTCGTATTTTGGTCTCTTCTTCTTCCCTCACTCGTCGCTCGTGATGTAGTAACTCCCCATTCAATTGGTGAACACACCAATAGATTATTCATCTCGGTACAGTTTCGGTCATTTTTGTTGTCGGGTAAAACAGGGAAAACATTTATCTGAATTTCTCCAAAAGTACAACGATTCTGGAACTGAAACTACCCACCTAGCTGGTTATAATATTCTAGTTTTTAAATAAGTAAAAATATCTGCGGGCCTGCCTCTACTTTCCATAGGGGACTCTTCACTAGTTCTTCACAAAACTTGTCAGCCTGGAAATCAGTGCAATGTTTGCAAGCAAGGGGGACTAAGTTTTATTAATTTTGCCACAATGGTGAAATCGTTATGCTTAGCATGGATAAGTAGGTTACTCAGTGGGTGATTCCGACGACTTATGGAAAGTAATCCCGAATTCCTATATTTCAGAGCACGTCAGCCTCCATTTTCTTCGCAAATGCAACTATAGTGCTGAATCCATAAACAAATGTTTACCTAATTTTTATCTAGAACTGCTACAATATTTCCAAGAAATTAAAAACAAGTTCAATGTATTTCCATATAGCGAATATTGACTTTGGAACAATAAGGCTATTATCATTGAAAATTATACCGTTTTTTGGAGATCCTGGTTCAAACGGAAAATTCTTTACGTACAAGATGTTTTAAATGCCAATGGGAATTTTTTAATGATTGAAGAATTTCAAACCAAGTTCAAAATCAAAACTTTCTTCACCACCTTCAATTAATTGCTGCTATTCCATCGGACTTAAAAAAGAAAGCTGCCGCAATTGAAGTACCCTCGTAAGAATTGTTAAACACAACTAAAATATCTTCTTCAATGATTCCTACTCTAGATTTAACTGAAATGCGCTGCAAAAACTACTATAAAATTATCAGTGGAAACTATCAATGAGCCGACTGGCATTCAAAACTGCAAAAACAAATTCCCTGATTTTTTCACAGATTGGGGAAAAAAATTTTCGTTTATAAATAAATCCACTATATCAATCAAGGCAAGAGAAACATTTGGGATTTTTTATGTTAAAGATATCGATTATTTGAATCCATAGGAAACTACAAGCCATGCAACGCGTAGTAACCCCTTAAATATCATCATCGACATAACGTTTCCAGAAAAAGGGTTTAACCGGTGAAGTGGCTAAGACCCTTTGTTCTACGTCTTCCATTACCATGTTGGCAATGACAACAGAGACGGGCGAACCCATAGCTGTACCAAAAACCCGTTGATAGCAGGTGCCGTTGTATGCAAATTGCGTAGTTTTGAGGCAAAAAGACAGCAGATGAAGAATGTCCTAGGGAGGCATCTTCTCTGAGTCTCTCCTCCGCAACCTTAACGGCAAGATCAACTTAGCCACTTCACCGGTTAAACCCTTTTTCTGGAAACGTTATGTCGATGATGTTATTTCTGCGGTATCTGGAAATGAAGCGAAGCGTCTCCTAACGCATTTGAATTCAATTTATTCCAAACGTAGATGGCTTGCATTTTTTGCTGGGTATTTGTTTCATTCATTGGTCATTGACGAATGTGTGTAAATCTTACCACTTCCGACAAAAACTGATTAAATAGCGTTTTGATCACGTGTCCCGACACGTAACCTTCGTCGTCGTTATTGTCTCCCTAAGGTAAAAGTTCGTACGGATAACTATCGCCTACGAAAGTTTCAGCGCAATCGGCTGTATAATTGCGGAGATATAGCTGCTTATTTTTCTAAGTCAATTTACTCTCCTGACCCAGACCTTAAACTGCTTGAGTAAGCGGGTGGTAGCTGGAGATAGCTTTAACTTAAGACATTTGAATATGCGATTACATTTAAAATTTTTGAACTTGTCACCCACTTTGGTTTCGTGACCCAGTTCCTTTTACGGGTAAGTCTCCCGTTGTGGCGTTAAGAGTAATTTTTTTGGCACCTTGTAAAAAAAAGTTTTTAAAAAAATTAAGGTTTCATTAACTATGAAAAATAAATGGTTCTGATCGAGTAGGTATTTAAGTCTAGTGTCAATACTAATGACCATGGGTACGTTAAGGATAATTATGAACTTCCTGACTGTCACGAAGGAGAATGGAGCTTGGGCACTACAATCTCGCAACCAGATCTATAGCGATTTCCTTGATTATAACAGAACTGAGAAAGACTGGGGTTAATTTTGAACACTGGTTCCTTCGACATAAACTCTTCACTGAGTTCTTCAAGTAACTACTCCTTAATTGACTCCAAATTCAATCATATACTTTCTAAGAGAGATGAAAGCTATAGCATGAAGTAGACACACGAAGTAGACGCTAGTAATTACGCCGAAGCACGTGACATAAAAAAATTAAACGAGCAAGGAGTGAGAAAAAGCCTTTGATGGAGATGTCAGTCAACTAAACTGTGTCGTTTTTAAATTTACGCGGTTTATTTCAAAGTATTGGAGTGCTTTCCAAGATGAGCCATTGAATAGCAACTAAGAAATCAAAATGAGTCATTAATTACTGACATCTTTAATTTCCACTGGTGATAATGCGAGGGAGCCCTTAAAAAACTCTCCAAACATAACTTTTAAAAAAAATGATGTAGTTGATCAACTAAACCATCATAAGCACTGTTATTTCTCACTGGTTTCCCCATGATAGTTCCTTCAATGTCATAAATAGCGACTCGTACATAATTAACGGTATCTTACATCCCTTAAAGGAAAAAAAAATTTTTAATTTCAAATTCAAAACGCAAGCAGCCGTAACAGTGATTATGTCACTCTTCGTACATTTGAAGCGCCAACTGTATAGCAAAGTTTTTGACGCCATGATATAAAATAGATTATCACGACATTGATAACCTGTTTTGAGCGCCTTTTGAGCGAAAGGAAGTATGCTGAAGACATTAGTAGCATCTAAATTTTCTCCTAAAAATTGCCCGCAACTATCAACCAGTGAAGGCACCAAGTACGTATTTCTTCGCCAGATACAACACTCCCATTACATTTCTTCCGCTGAATTCATCGCTGTACATGTAACAAAACAACTCTAAGAGACTCTCGTACTCACAGTCAGACAGTTCAATAGAGTCTTTAGTCTCCGCCAACTCACCGTAAAACATAGCTTCAACTTGAGGCTATGTTGAACACAGGACTAACATTAATCACTTAACAGGGGATAGAAATTCTGGAAATTGCCCTCTTTCTACTGTCGTCCCATTGCTACTCTCAGAACTGTTATCAAATATAAAACTAATATCCGAGTGAAAAACAACAGCCTCTCTATCCTTTTGACCGGAAAAAGAATTAGCCCCAGAAATAGAAGCTTCAACACGGTGTAATTTCTGCTTCGGAATAGCGATTGGATTAGAAAACCAACTTCAAAACCATGGTAAGGACTAGAAAGTGTTTCAGTCTTCTCTGATTTGAAAGCGATGATTTTAAAAATCACTATTCGGGGGGTTTCGTATCAGCTGCTAAAAACTTACTGGATGAAATTCCGAAAGTATTCCCAAAACTCACCTTAGACCTAACCTTGCAATAGTTGAAATAACGCGTGCTCGAAAAATCATTTCGGTTTTGTGGAACTCTCTGCCAGATGCGACTCGGATGCTGCTCTTTATCTTATATTTTTGCTGTCGTAGATAGGCAACGAAAGAAGCAGTAATGAATACAGTGAAACCCGCATAACACGTGTTTTGGTGGCTCAGGCTGATTTTGTTCTTATATGTCGGGACTTTTCAGCAAAATCAGCCTGATATTATTCTTAAGTGTGTTCTTAAAATTACTTCTTAAAATTGAATACTACATAGACTACCAACATAAAAAATCAATGTGCAAGCACCACATTTTAATTAATTAATGGTTGGAACTAACCTCAACTGCATTAATCAAGATAATGAGATTACTTCGGGGGAGGGGTAGCAGTTCTGATTATAAACAACCCGAAACTCAGCAAAGTCAAGCAAATTCAAAATGCACCAGCTCCCCCTCCCCCTTTCCAGTAATGTACCCTGGTACTGCACCCTTGTAGGTTATTCTAATCTAACTGACAGTCAATTATTTATTACGAGAACAATTTTCACTTTTAGGTTGATTGTGCTCCAGTTGTTCTGTCACATAGATTTTTACTGTAGAACAAGTAGAACCAACTGCAACCCAAGTGGGGCTGGTCGCAAAAAAAAAAACAACAAAACAAAACAAAACAAAACAAAACAAACCAACCCCCTTCAGAGAAGAAGATTAATGTGACCTACTTATATTATGGAAAGAAAGTAAATATAGACAAAGCAAAAAAAGTAACGCAATCCCGCAGTAAGCTTTAGGTATCAAGTGTAAAACTGGTGAGGTTCCATATAATGAATGGACTGTTCGTGGATGCTCTCTTCATGTCGATCTCTAGTGATCTAGATGACACGATCACTTAGGCAAGGAAAACTGATGCTTTTATAACATAAGTGTATTTTGCAGATTCCTTTGAGTCGCGAGAGCATGTGGCCACGAGTTACGAGCTCGTTCATTCAATTACTACAAGTTACCTGGTTATCCTGTAATTGGTCAGAAAAAAATGCAAATTAATTTATCCATCTTCTCAAGCCACTTCTTTAGAAATTTCATACATTAAACCAACTGCAATTCATATCCATTTATTGACGCAGTAAAATAATGATTTTTGTGAAAGGTCAAAACTCAATTTGGCATAACTTAAGTGCCAGACTATCTAGATTAAGGCTTAAGTAAAACCACAGGCAAAGGGGCTGATTACATTTCCTTCATGTCATTACTAATAATATCTAAGTATCACCAAGAGATTATAAACAGTTTATAGTCTTTAAGTATCAAGTTAGCTGTTTCTAGAATGTCAGAAAAACAAATCTATGCCATTCCATATTTTTTAACGGAGTCATTCATGGTCATTTGCAGTTCAATTCAGAGATTATTTGTGGTCTTTCATCGTTAACAAAGCTGTAAAATATTTGCAATACCTAGTTATGCATCATAACACTTGATGAGGCTCCTCTTCGGGAAGGAAGCTTCTGCAAATGTTTGCTCTTAGATGCGGTGCTTCAGGACACGAGTGCGGCGATAATCAGGGGCAGCGATCAATCGAGAAGATGCAACAGTTACATTGTTTGAAATAGGAGTTCCGGAAACAGTTGCCCTTGTTCAACTCCAGTCCCACTGCTGTTATTAGAACTGCCTTTAAAACTAAAGTTGATCCCAGAACAAGCCACAATCTTTTGACCGTTTCGACCAAAACAGGAATTGGCACCAGAAATAGAAGCTTCGATACGATATCCCGTTCCCCTTTTAATGACGATTGGATGGTTAAAGAGAATTCTGAAGCCATAAAAGGAATGCAATTCTTCTTCAATGAGCACAGATAGAAATTTCCCGAATACAGAATCAAGACATACACCGTCAAGTTTCTTTATGCAGATAGCCACAGAATAATCATTGTTTTCACTTCCGCATAACGTTACTCCAAGTAACGAAATGTTTTTGTCAACTGAGAAAATAAGACAGTCTTGTATACCAGAAGAATAAGAATAGCTTGAGTCAACATTCTCCAAATTTTCAAATCTGCAACAAGCAAAAGTAAATAGCCTTTTCTTTACCGGAAATCCTACTGGAGAGCTTAGTACTGAATTAAAATACTTCACGACATCAAAGACTTCGTCTCGTGTGAGTATCTTGGTGTCGAGAACAACACCAGCGAAGTCCTGTTGCTTCATGACTGGGAAACGGATTGCTTTTACGATCCTCTCTCCAAGAATTTTCCTTTTTACATTGCCGTCTACAGTCAAGCCTTCTTCTTTGCATTTCTTTGTAGCCCACGAGTCCACAGCTTTGAACAACTCTACCTCTTCAATATTCAGTGTGTCGCGTTTGATTACTTCTTCGATTAAAGATCTTTCAAGTGTCGCAAATCCATCTGATTTTATAGCCTCTTCGGAGTGTTCATCGATTACTTTCCAACATCGTTTCACCAGCTTTTTCTCATCGAACTGATAAGCTTTAGGCAAAATACTAAAAGCATTTGACGCATCGAGCTTATCTTGTAGATAATCGGTGCATTTATCAGCGAGTGAAGGCACCATATACTTCTTCGCCAAATACAACACCCCCATCACATTACTTCCGTTCAAATTTACTTCATCGCTGTACATGTAACGAAACAACTCCAGCAGACTTTCGTACTCACAGTCAGGCAGTTCAATAGAGTCTTTAGTCTCTGCCAACTCACCGTAAAACATGGCTTCAAACACAGGGCTGCTGATCGACAGAACAAACTTGTGAGCAGGAATTACATATTTACTTTCGCTTTCGCCATCCATCTTCCTAACAACGAACTTCACATCGCTGAAGCGGTCGTTGTTGAACATGAACTTGGCTCTTTCTCTGATGGTTGGTCGCGTTGTTTGCCAGTTTTCTTCGACAAGAGACATGATTCCTGACCGTAAAGCAGAGACAGTTAACTTGAGATTGCGAGGGAGTGCAATATATAAGCGGTTGGCAGCTCGAGACAGCGGTAACTTAAGACATTTGAAATTTTTGAACTTGTCACCCACTTTGGTTGCGTGACGCAGTTTCCGTTACGGGTAAGTCTCCCTTTGTGGCGTTAAGAGTACTTTTTGGAACCTTGTGAAAAAAGTTTTCAAAAACGTTTCATCTAAAAAGGTTTCATTGAGTATGAATAATATATGTTTTTGATGGAGTAGGTATTTAAGTCTGGTGTCAATACTAATGACCGCGGGTACTTTAAGGATAATTACTAACTTCCAGACTGTCACGAAGGAGAATAGAGCTTGGCTACTACAATCTCGCAACCAGACCTCTAGCGACTCCTTGATTATAACATTTCGAGTTAAAACTGAGAAAGATTGGGGTTAATTTTGAACACTGATCCCTTCGACATACACTCTTCACTGGGTTCTTCAAGGAACTGCTCTTCAAAAGACTCTAAATTCAATCATATACTTTCTAAGAGATATGAGAGCTATAGCATGAAGTAGACACAGGAAGTAGACGCTAGTAATTACGCCGAAGCAAATGACATAGAAAAATTAAACGAGAAAGGAGTGAGAAAAAGCCTTTGATGGAGATGCCAGTCAACTAAAGTGGGTCGTTTTTAAATTAACGCGGTTTATTTCAAAGTATTGGAGTGCTTTCCAAGATGAGCCATTGAATAGCAACTAACAAATCAAAGTGAGTCATTAATTACTGACATCTTTAATTTCCACTGGTGATAATGCGAGGGAGCCCTTAAAAAACTCTTCAAACACAACTTTAAAAAAAATGACGTAGTTGATCAACTGAACTAAACCATCATAAATAGCGACTCGTGGTACATAATTAACGGTATCTTGCATCCCTTAAAGGAAAAAAAATATTTTAATTTCAAATTCAAAACTCAAGCAGCCGTAACAGTGATTATGTCACTCTTCATACATTTGAAGCGCCAATTGTATAGCAAAGTTTTCGACGCCATGATATAAAATAGATTATCACGACATTGATAATCTGTTTCGAGCTCTTTTTGAGCGAAAGGAAGTATGATGAAGACATTAGTAGCATCTAAATTTTCTCCAAAAAATTGCCCGCACCTATCGACCAGTGCAGGCACCAAGTACATATTTCTTCGCCAGATACAACACTCTCATCGCATTTATTCCGCTGAATTCATCGCTGTACATGCAACAAAACAACTCTAGCAAACTCGTACTCACAGTCAGGCAGTTCAATAGAGTCTTTAGTCTCCGCCAACTCACCGTAAAACATAGCTTCAACTTGAGGCTATGTTGAACACAGGACTAACATTAATCACTTAACAGTGAATAGAAATTCTGGAAATTGCCCTCTTTCTACCGTCGTCCCATTGCTACTCTCAGAACTGTTATCAAATATAAAACTAATATCCGAGTGAAAAACAACAGCCTCTCTATCCTTTTGACCGGAGAAAGAATTAGCCCCAGAAATAGAAGCTTCAACACGGTGTAATTTCTGCTTCGGAGTAACGATAAACCGGAGTAAACCAACTTCAAAACCATAGTAAGGATTAGAAAGTGTTTCAGTCCTCTCTGGTGCTGAAAGTGATGAATTTAAAAATCACTATTTAGGGGTTTTCGTAACTTATGGAATGAAATTCCGAAAGTATTTCCAAAGCTCACCTTAGACCTAACCTTGCAATAGTTGAAATAACACATGCTCGAAAAATCATTTCAGTTTTGCGGAACTCTCTGCTAGGTGCGACTCGAATGCTGTTCTTCGTCTCATAGTTTTGCTGTCGTAGATAGGCAACGAAAGAAGCAGTAATGAATACAGGGAAAACCCGCGTAAAAAACACGTGTTTTGGTGACTCAGGCTGATTTTGTTCTTACATATCGAGACTTTTCAGAAAAATCAACCTGATATTGTTCTTAAGCGTGTTCTTTAAATTGCTTCTAAAAATTTAATACTGCAGAGACTACCAGCATATGAAATCAGCGTGCAAGCACAACATTTCAATTAATTAATGGATGGACCTAACCTTAACTGCATTAATCAAGGCAATAATATTACATTGGGGGAGGGGTAGCAGTTCTGGTGATAAATAACTCGAAACTCAACAAAAGTCAAGCAAATTCAAAACGCACCAGCTCCTCCTCCCCCTTTCCAGTACTGTACCCTTGTACTGCACCCTAGTAGGTTATTCTAATCAAACTAGCAGCCAGTTTTCTCTTTTTGTGGGAACAATTTTGATTTTTTAGGTTGATTGTGTTCTTAGGTGTATGGTACTTTTTACTCGGCTTCGCAGAATGCCCGAATTATAAATTGGGCTCTCTTTTTAGTGTTGTTCAGTCACAAATCGCCGTCTCGCTAAAGCGCAAGCGTGAGGGTACGTGCTGAAGCGCATGCGTAGTCAGCATAGAATGCGCACATGGTTGAGCAGTGGCGGATTTATCGAAAGTGTTGTCACTGAACCAAGAAAGAGCGAATAGTATGGAGTCTAAGACGCTAAAAACACGTACAAAGGTAAACACAGTTCGGGGTAGACCCGCGCTCCGCGAACTTTATGAGAGATCAATTTATGAGCGAACTATTATGAGTGAACGTTCTATCGAGGGTTATGCAATATCAAATCAGCTATTTACTGTTAAGCTACGTAGACTGGTCTGGTCGCAAAAAAAAAAACAACAACAATCCTTCTTTTCAAAGAAGAAGATCAGTGTAACCTACTAATGTGATGGAAAGAAAATAAAATCCAGACAAAGAAGAAAACGTAACGCAATCCCGCAGTAAGCTTTTGGTATCAAGTGTAAAACTAGTGAGTTCCATATGATAAATGGAGTGTCCGTGGATGCTCCCTTCTTGTCGATCGATCTCAAGTGATCTAGATGAAACGATCACTTAGGTGACGAAAACTGATGCTTATATAACATAAGTGTATTTTGCAGATTCATGTGAGTCACGAAAACAATATAAACAATATAACTGGAACTAGTGGAAACGTGGCCACGAGCAACGAGCTACAGGACCAAAGATTTTACAAAAATTCACCGCAAATACTACCAACTACAAGTTACCTGGTTATTACTGTAATTGGTCAGGAAAAATGCAAATTAATTTATCTATCTTTTCACGCCATTTCTTTAAAAATTTTAAACAATTAACTCACTGCAATTCATATCCATTTATTGAAGCTGTAAAATAATGATTACTGGAAAAAGGTCAGAATCAGTTTGGCATAAATTAAGTGCCAGACTATCCAGATCAAGGCTCACGTAAAACCATAAGCAAAGGGGCTGATTCAATTTCCTTAATTTTATTATTTACACTATCTAAATATCACAAAAAGTTTATAAACAGTTTATAGTCCCTAGGTATCATCTACCTTAAGTTTGTAACGAATTAGCTGTTTCTAGAAAGTCAGAAAAACAAATCTATGCCATTCCATATTTTTTAAAGGGGTCCTTCATGATCATTTGCAGTTCAATTCAGGAATCATATGTGGTCTGTCATCATTGACGGAGCTGTGCAATATTAGCACCACCTAGTTATGCATCATAATACTTGATGAGGCTCTTCTTCGGGAAGGAAGCTTCTGGAAATGTTTGCTCTCAGATGCGATGCTTTAGGACACGACTGCGGCGCATAATCGGAGGCTGCGCTCAATCGAGAAGGTGCAACAGTTACATCGTTTGAAAAAGGAGTTCTGGAAATTGCCCTTGTGCAACTCCAGTTCCATTTCTGTCCTCAGAACTTTCTGCAAAACTAAATTTGATCCCAGAACAAGCCACAACCTTTTGACCATTTCGACCAAAACAGGAATTCGCACCACAAATAGAAGCTTCGATACGATGTTTTATTCCCTGTTTAATAACTATTGGATCGTCAAAGAAAATTCTGATGCCATGAAAGGAATGCAATTCTTCTACAATGAGCAGGGATGGAAATTTCCCGGATACAGAATTAAGATATACACCGCTAACGTCAAGTTTCTTTATGCGGATATTCACAAAATATTCATTGTTTTCACTTCCGCATAACGTTATTCCAAGTAACAAAATGTTTTCGTCAACTGTGAAAATAAGACAGTCTTGCTTACCAGGAAAATAAGAATAGCTTGAGTCAACATTGTTCAAATTTCCAAATCTGCAGCAAGCAAAAGAAGATAGCCTTTTATTTACAGGAAATCCTACTGGAGAGCTTAGCTCTGAATTCAAATACTTCACAACATCACAGACTTCGTCTTGTGTGAGTATCTTGGTGTCAAGAACAACAACAGCGAATTCCTGTTGATTCATGATTGGGAAACGGATTGCTTTTACGATATTCTCTCCAAGAATTTTCCTTTTTACGCTGCCATCTGCAGTCAAGCCTTCTTCTTTGCATTTCTTTGTTGCCCACAAATCCAGAGCTTTGAACAACTCTACCTCTTTAATATTCAGTGTGTCGCGTTTGATTACTTCTTCAATTAAAGATCTTTCAAGTGTCGCAAATCTATCTGATTTAAAAGCCTCTTCGCAGTGTTCATCGATTACTTTCCAACATCGTTTCACCAGCTTTTTCTCATCGAACTGATGAGCTATAGGCAAAATGCTAAAAACATTTGACGCATCCAGCTTATCTTGTAGATAATCGGTGCATTTATCAGCCAGTGAAGGCACCATATACTTCTTCGCCAAATACAACACTCCCATCACATTACTTCCGTTCAAATTTACTTCATCGCTGTACATGTAACGAAACAACTCCAACAGACTCTCGTAGTCACAGTCAGGCAGTTCAATAGAGTCTTTAGTCTCCGCCAACTCACCGTAAAACATGACTTCAAACACAGGACTGCTGATCGACAGAACAAACTTGTGAGCAGGAATTACACATTTACTTTCGCTTTCACCGTCCATCTTCCTAACAACGAACTTCACATCGCTGAAGCGGTCGTTGTTGAACATGAACTTGGCTCTTTCCCTGATGGTTGGTCGTGTTGTTTGCCAATCTTCTTCGACGAGAGACATGAATTCTGACTGTACGTGGTACTAAAAGCAGAGACAGTTAACTTCAGACTGCGAGGGCGTGCAACTGATAAGCTACTGATAAATAAGCGGCAGATATATAAGACATTTGAATGTGCGATTACATTTCACATTTTTGAACTTGTCACCCACTTTGGTTTCGTGACCCAGTTTCTCTTTTACGGGTAAGTCTCCCTTTAAGGCTTTAAGAGTAATTTTTTAGAACCTTGTTAAAAAAAATTTCAGAAAACGTTCCACCTAAAAGGATTTCATTAAGTGTAAATAACAAATGGTTCTGATCGAGTAGGTATGTAAGTCTAATATCAGTATTATGACCATGACTGTCACGAAGGGGAATGGGACATGTGCATGATTACAATATCTCGTGTTAAAAGCGAGAGTGATTGATTTTAATTTTGAACATTGATTCCTTCGACATAAACTCTTCGCTGAGTTCTTCAAGGAACTGTTTTTTTGAAAACACCAAATTTAATAACATATTTTCTAAGAGAGATGAAAGTTAAAGCATGAAGTAGACGCTAGTGACTACGCCGAAGTAAACAAATAAAATGAGCAAGAAGTGAGAAAAAGCTTTTGATGGAAATCCCAGTCAACTAAATTCTGTCGTTTTTAAATGAACAGTTTATTTCAAAGTACTGGGGTGCTTTCCAAGATGAGACATTGAATAGCAACCTGGTAACTGATTAATTAAACAAAACGAGTCGGCAATTACTGACATCTTTTATTTCCACTGGTAATAATGAGAAGGAACAATAAAAAGACATAACAAGCCAACTGAGAACTGGTCATTATTTTGGGTCCAAATAAACCATCCAAGTGATGAATAATGATTGAAGGTATATAAAAATCAGTTGGCTTGTTAGCTCAGTTGGTAGAGCGCTGCACCGGTATCGCAGAGGTCATGGGTTCAAATCCCGTACGGGCCTGAATTTTTTTCAACTACTAGTTCAGTGGTGTTCATAGCTGCGAGGATCTCTTACATTCGTAGATTATCACGACATTGATAATATGTTTCGAGCTCTTTTTGAGCGAAAGTGAGTATGCTGAAGACATTAATAGCATCTAAATTTTCTCATAAAAATTGCCCGCACCCATCAACCAGTAAGGGCACCATCTATTTCTTCGCTAAATACAACACTCCCATCACATTACTTCCGCTCATGATCAAGTCCACTTCATCGCTGTACGTGTAACGAAACAACTCCAACAGACTCTCGTACTCACAGTCAGGCAGTTCAGCAGAACTTTTGTCTCCGTCAACTCACCGTAAAACATAGTTTCAACTTGAGGCTATGTTGAACACAGGACTAACATTAATCACTTTACAGTGAATAGAAATAGAAATTCTGGAAATTATCCTCTTTCTACTCTCGTTCCAGTGCTACTCTCAGAACTGTTATCAAATATAAAACTAACATCCGAGTGAAAAACGACAGCCTCTCTACCCTTTTGACCGGCATAAGAATTAGCCCCAGAAACAGAAGCTTCAACACGGTGTAATTGCTGCTTTGGAATAACGATTGGATTAGAAAATAAAACTTCAAAACCTAACCGAATGAAATTCCGAAAGTATCCCTAAGACTCACTTTGTTTATCAGGAAAAATAGGAATCATTCATTCAAGCTGAGCTTGAGTCAACATTGTCCAAATTTCCAAATCTGCAACGAGCAAAAGTGCACAGCCTTTTATTGACAGGAAATCCTACTGGAGAGCCTAGCACTGAATTCAAATACTTCACAACATCACAGACTTCGTCTTGGTTCTCGTGAATTAAACGTGAAGACTGAAAGTGATCGAGGTTCTTGACTATACAGCATTCCTTCTGCGGGTCAGTAACACGCAGCTTGGAATGAGTTAGAAGCGCAAGTCATATACTACAAATTTACATATCACTTCAACGAAAAAAATGCGTGACAAGGCAATCACAAGAATTGAACCCTCCCATTGGGTTCTGTTTTAGTTTCTTCTGCCGAGCTTTGAATGACTGACGCTTGTTCAGATGACAGAGGGTGAGGAAGATTTCGTGATCACAGGTTATGAGAAGCATTTATGATAAATAAGATATGGTTCTGCATGATCGAGGAGGTCTCCAAGTCTAAAGTCATTTCCGCGCCGGCATGTTAACTCTCTGACCGTCACGAGAAGAAGAGGGAATGCATTGGGCATGTACAAGACAGTCTCGCAACCAGACCTCTAGCAAGGTAGTGCAACTGTAGGTGTTTGGGACAAGACTATTTCAGACAAGACGCATTTTCGAAATATGTTAAGATACGTTGCATAGAGATAAACCCTCCGTCAAATAGTGTTTACTTACTTGCTTGAATTTTAACTTCCTAAATAATTGGAACCATGCAGAGTCACTAAGACACATGGGCTGTTCAACAGATCATTTGGCAAACGCAGCGGAGAGAATTCTAGGCCGACACTAAAGATCAAAGAAGCGACAAGAGCCGTAGATACAAGCAAAGAATACACATCACTCAAGGAAAAATTATCTGAGAAGGTATATTTTTGCGGGAGTCGATGAAGTGGAATAATGTTTCAAGACCGTGACTTTCGCGAGAACCCTCTAAGCTCAGAGAAAAAATCTGTTGATATTCTTCAACTTTCTCAAAGTATTAATATTTGTTAACTTAGATATTTTGGAGGTGTCTCCAACAATACCTGAATAGTTGAGGAAAGGCCTAAGCAACTGAAGAACAAAGAGTAAAGCTTGAGATTAGAAACGTCATGATAAGTGAAGAGGAGAAAAGCTACCTGAAAGTACAAAAATGGGATCAATATCAGTATCTGGGCAACTGCCCACCTACCCCTCCCCTAACCCAACATTAACCCTAAATTGTTGTCAATTGACTGTTGTTGGGTTAGGGGAGGGGTAGGTGGGCAGTTGCCCAGATACCGATATTGATCCCAAAAATGTATCACTCGAACACCAAAACATCCTTTAGTATGGCCGGATTAAGATATTTCAGGGGTAAAAATTATTTCACCACAAACCATTTTGTTTTTTTTATTTACAGTGTTCTCTCTGTACACCAATTACAATCTATAATCAAGAAAAAACCGCAAATTGGCAACTGACAAAATGTGAACTGGTAAAATTTGAGTGGACGTTCTGTTGGGATTTTGGCGGTGAAATCAAGGATAAAAGAATTAGAAGTCACTGCCTCTTTCACGGACAGTTTTCAATTGCTCCTTGAAGAAAATATCTAAATCATGCGATTGGATGCGCTAAAATCGATTTCCTATCCACCACACCCTCTGCATTAAGGAGCTCCTGTCATTACAGCTGGATTTCTTATGGTACATAAATTTCTTATGATTAATTTACTCATCCTGTCATTTGCTGACTTAATAACAAGCGAGAGTTTTGTTCATCATTTGAAGTTTCTAGTTTGAGCCAATCGAGGGCCTTATTTAAAATGACAATCTTAACCAGTATCGCATCAGGGAGTTTAACATGAACATATCAGAGAGCCTCAGTTAATGGCATCTCCTCTCCTCATTTGATATGAGATACCCCACTTCTGTTTCTATCTGAGCCAATAATATTGATGGAAGACAAGAGGATTGGTAAAATATTTCTACCTATGTTTTTTAATTAAATTCTTTTAAACTTTCTTCATTTGAACCTATACTCGCTTTCTTCTAATCCATTCCGAACAAAGAGAAAGATTCCCCTCTTAGATTAGCCTTTTTCAAGAGGGCATTGACAAAAATGTTAATGATCTACCTCACAAAACTAATCCTAGAGCCGGCAATTCTTCATGCGTATACGTTTCGACGAACGCCGCTGAAGTTTCCTCGTTGTGTAGCAGGACAGCGATCCCCCATCACCGATAGAAATATCGTCTAATTTACAAGATCAAGTCTTTTAAAAACCCTACGTTTGTTTTTTTGCTTTGTTTTTCCTCGCCAAAGTTGTTCAGTCCGTACCAACGCGTGTAGCCCTGTTTACTGGCTGAGTTCAGGTAACACCCGAATCCTCTTGTATTCTGTTCCTAATTCATTGTCCGTGGACTTCGTGCATGTGTTCAGCGAACCTGTACAACAGAGGAAAAAGTAAAAGAGGTCAAGTTTTAGGTAAAGCGCAGTTTTGTAAATGAATTCAAGTAGTAGTTTTGTAAATGACTTCTTGTAAATGATGTTCAGGAGTGCATCTTTAAGAATTTTTTCGTGATTTCTAACAACTTTTCATTTCCTTCGAAAGTTCAGCGAGCTAAGGCAGCGCTGAGCATAACTTGTCCTTAGCGTTCTTCTTGCGTTTGCCTCGCATTTTTTCGCGATTATCTCGCGTTTGACTCGCGATTGTCTCGCGCTTACCTCAGCTCGCCCGAATACGCACATTTGTTTTGACTAAACTCGAACCTGTCCTACAGGTTCCGCAAACTGATGTTACTTACCTTTTGGCACACTCAGAAGCAATGTCACGCTTACAAGATTCTGTGTACGCAAGCTTGTAAAGAACCTGATTAAGAGAAATAAATTAAAGTTTGTATCTCAACTAAATTAATAGCTTTATGGACAATTTTTACGAAAGAATTTCTGAGCGTTCGTCTGCATATCAGGTCAAGGTGGAGGAAACCAAAAGGGTAAGATTGTACTCGTTCGGAATTAATACGGTTAAGATTGGAGGGATTTACAGAGGAACTTGACGAAAGACTTTTTTCCACAGAAACAAAAACAGACCAAAAGCTCTTGAAAAGTTTACTCACTGTAGGCTGCACTACTTACCAGAAATATCATTAAGTGTACAAGCAATGTGTAGAAAAATACGAAGGTTCTGGCAAATTTGTTTGACATGATAAACCGACCCTGGAAAATGAATAAAAGTATTTTAGAAAGCTAAGTGCACTTTGCTAGGAGATGAAAACACAACTGCGGGGAAGGAGAAACCTAAAAAACAGAAAACAAAAAACAGCGAAGGAGACGGCCATGGGAGAGATTGCAGCGCTGTATTAAAGGGTTCTCAAAGAAGGCTTCGATAACTCCTTCCTTATCGGAAGGAGCAAGGGAACTGTGTTTCCCATTAAATGAAGAATCAAAGGAGTTCTCAGCGTCAATCAGACTTAATGGGTGTCTTGCATAAAGTGCCGCACAATAATAATTTCATAGACACCCTCTTGTTGACAACACGCTAGACTCCACTTAGACACCTAGGGGAAGGTAGGCATTGACAGAGAAAAAAGATGCCGACCGAGAACATGAGACAAATGGTTGAATTTAAAAATAATTTTCCACTTACCAGGTTAAGAGTAACTTTTTCATGCGGACTAAGTCCCAGGTATCGCTGTTGTTTCTCCTAAATGGAATTAAACAGGCCCTCTTAATCAGTTTTTTAAATAAAACACCAAATTTAGGAAATGCTTAGAAGTTTAAAGTATAAGAAACTAAAAATAATTTCACACAAAACTACGGATCCACAAAATACGCAACATCAGTTTAAACCAGGTCTCCGGTTGAAGTATCGTTTCATGATAAAGTATTACATATAGCATGACCTAAGCCAACACGATATGTGGCTTCTGTCACGCAACTCCGCACCAGAAACATCGTTTCCATTTAAGAAGCACTGGGTGGCAGAAAAGGTGCTATACAGCGTTTAACCAAAGCTGCTATTAAAACCAGTTACCGTGCAACTTACCCGTTGATTAAAGGCTGAAAATGGATCCAATCTTTGTTCATATTGTGACGAGTATCTACTGACTGTTGCTTCTTCTTCTCGGCCCCCTGAGCTCTAACGAAAAGCATAACCAAAAAACGATCATACACCTGAAAACAGGGTTGTGCTCAAGCCGAGCACTTATTACTTAACTGGTGCAAAGTGCCCCACTGGAAAGAGAAGGGCACTCCATATTTGTGTGACAAGATTCTTTAAGCAACCAGTGATTTGTTTGCGAGCAAGATTTTGGAAAGCTCGCAACAAATAAATCTTCTTGTTCTCTGCATGCTTTAAAAACCACGCATAAGGAAAGCAAAATCCAAGAACAGCGTGCCGATCTGCTATAGACCCAAAGAGAAATTAGGGAGCAAGTCATACCTTGTTTGAAATGAAACGAGAAGTGTCGAGTGTTCTCAAGGATTACCGGCTCTCGAAGGGCACATTTGGATGGGGCTCACAAGACAAATGCTTGGTTTGAGTTTAGTATCAATCGAAGTAACAAGGTTACCTTCGTTGGGTAGCTTTGAAGGAACTTGATTTTCTCGTACAACTTCACGTTATCTGACCTCAAGGTGTCCACTTCATTTTGCAACACACTGATCTGTTGCTGGTTATGGCGTAGTTGCTGAAAGACCAGACGGAAACTTTTGTTAATAATTTTGTACAGCTAATTCAAGGATTTGGTTTAGGTTTCGTGCAAAAAATATTAAAGATGGGAGTTAGCTATCAAAATATAAACAGCAACGCCTCTGTCGCGCCGATCGTGAACGAAGAGATGGTGATAGCTTAACCCTTTACACCCTCACATCAGTATGTATATTCTCCATACCCTATTCTATACATTTCCTACGGTTCTGACAAGGAGAATTTGTTCCACAATCAAGAGCTTCTTCAACCGCTGATCATCCACTTTATTCTCATGACCTTAATGTGTGATTTGTGGGTGATATTGTGAGGAGAAATTAGATGCTAATCACTCTTAGGAGCTAAAAGATTAACAAAAGCCATATGATCAACAACAACAACAACAACAACAGCAAAGACGTTTACATTTCCTAATAGCTCACCGCTTCTAGTTCCATATTACGGATTTTAAATCTCTCTCTTTGGCTGGCCACGATAGGAAGAAGGGATTCCGTTGCTACATTCTCACTGGTTACACCTACGATGAAAATAAATAAACAAAAAAATAAAAATAAACGAACTATGAAATTTAGATCAATCCTTTGTACTTGAATGTAGACTTATAATTTAATAAGCAGGTCCGAGATGCCTTCATTCTACTTCAACAACAGCAACACTGACAACAAACAAAGCAACAATAAGAACACTGGTTTTCAGATTTATAAATCCTTCTAAAGTACCTAAAGAAAAACACTTCATGTTCACCATTTTCAGGTGCAAAAATAAACAAAACTAAACTGATCACGAGCTTTCGCGAACCTGCTTTCTTAATTGCCGTTTAGAACTACGTTTGCATAATAAAACTTTATTCTCAAAGTGAAGCAAAACATGATACCTGCCGGTGCTACAGCCTGCTGAACTGCATTAGATACAAGTTCTGTCTCAGTAGGAGGCCCTGCCTCACCCTGTAAATCACATAACGACAATTACGAAATATAAGTATGGTACAAATGAGGGGTGAGAACCTACAGTGCAGACTTCTTATTTATTACAAGCTCACGATAGTTTATTCTACTGACCATGTTTGATTTAGTGTTAGAGTGGACGGTGGGGGGAGGGGGCAGGAAATGCGAGAAGCAATTTCTATTGCTCCACCCCTCCCATCTCCTTCCTTTTGCCTACCCCCTTGGTGCTGAGTTCTTCTTCTACCCAGCCTTCCACTGTTGGAAAAATCAAGATGGCAACTATGATTTTCACCGAAGAAACTATTGAGCATTCGCTCATCAAAAGATACACCTGTTCTGCAAGCTTCTGATATGATAAATGTTACCATAGATTTACAGTTTGTACCTATGCCACAGAATCCGCATAAAGGCAAAACCTTGTCATATGACTAAGTTTTCACTCCAAAATAAGAAATAAAAAGTCATCTATCACGCCAGCTGCTATGATAATCTCTTCCAGTTTCATCACGTCTCTATCACACTTGCTTCTTGGTAGTTCTTTAAGCTAAGCCAGGTAAAGTTTTTTTTCTCACATTTAATGTTTGCTCTTACCTCTCCCTGACCACGGAATGCTGATGGAAGAGCGTTCACACTAAGGAGATCTGTTTCTAGCTGAGTAATGAGTTCCTTCTGTTCCTTCACTGTGTTCACCGCTTCGTTGTATTGTACATGAAGTTCAGAATAACGACCTGAGAAGGAAAACATGCAAAAATAGAAATTAGGCCCTGAACCCAACTCTACAAAGCTGAGAGCAGTATGTAACTGCTTGTCGATGAGTAGATCTGCGTTTGCTTTATTCCTCCCAGTACAGACTACGAGTGGAACGAGGTAAAGACCTCCCAAATCACCCCCCAAAAAAGAAACAGCAGTACAAATCACTTTTTTCAAACATGTGATAATTAAATAAATCTTGATTTTCCCTTTCTCTTGGATTAACGTATTGCAGATAGCCTTTGACCAACCGTTGATAAGAGAGATGAGGAAAGGGAACTGAGTCAGGAAAGGCAATGCTTCAGTTATTAAATGCATGTAATGTTAAAACATACCTGTCAAATCGACGTTTTCAACCTTTAAACTTGTGTTTTCAGACTGAAGTCCTGACAACGACAATGAGGGTAGGATTAATACAAAGTGTGAACTTCAACTCAATTAATCATGAGTGCCTATCAACTGTTAACTGATAACAGTTAATCTTTAAGAGAAATGTAAAAGTATAATGACAGAGCAAAAATATTTTTTTCAATTGTGCAAGCAGTTACATACTTTTATTCTTATCAAGAAGAAGCATTTCTAGAGATTTCGGAGCGGAGTCCTGAAACAAACAAATTAATAATTGTGTGGTGAGTACTTGCAGAAATAGCATCCACAAGACAATTAATACCTATTTTAAGAGTTTGGCTCCAATAGTATGTGAACCTTTTCAATGCCACATATAGCGAGGAACTGAATTCTCGTTATGACAACATTTTACAGCGCAGCAACTAGGTAAAGAAATCAAAGCAGCATGTTGAAAGTGTTTGAGTGGAAAGGTCTACTTTTAACAGAATCACAACAAAAAAAAGTGAGACAGATAAGTCATGTTGCAAGATCCATGCAAAATTAGTTCTAACATGAAGATATTTGGTTCTGGTAACACAAGAGATCGCAAACAAACCATCTTTTCCGCATCTCTGCTCTCCTCGCTTGTTGAGAACTCAACTGATTTCAAAATGCTGAATAAACAAAACAATTAAAATGCATCAGCACACACAAAAGTCAAAACAACAGTAAATATTTTTGTACTGATAAACTGTCATTGCTATACAGCACTGTTTTCAAGGGATTCCGCTGGAAAGAAAAAATCATCTTTATGTAACATCTTTAGAAAGTGGTGGGTAACATCTTCTGCTCCAGCCTGAGAAGCTTGGGGGTAACTCCAACACTAGGAGGAAAAATTGGAGGCATTGACATGTCGCAAATCTTACATCACACAACTTACTTCAGTTCTCTCTTGATCTCTTCATAGTTACCCTGTTCATCAAGTTTTTCCTCCTGGAAACAATGTAATATCAAGTTAGCAGAACAATGCCATGTTAATCCCGTTCAGAATCAATTATAATCAGTGGCTTTTTTAACCCTTGTTTATTCATCTTAAAACAACGTGTACCTTGCACTCAAATCTAATAGATGAAGTTTTTCTAGTACAGTGTATTTCCCCCTTTTTCTGTTAGGAGTCAGAGAACATTCAAAGTAATCATCGTTATTCATACCAATTGTTGGAGGGCTTTCGTCTTGCTAGCAAGTTGGTCTTCTAGTCTGGCAATCTGTAGAGAAAAAAAGAATTGCACAAAAAGATGAAGCCATGATACAAACAACAAGAACAATACACAATACAACTGCTTGTACTTACCAGAACCAGTCCTTTGTAAAATTACTTTCATTAGAATATAATGCAAGCAGTGGCGGTATATCAATAAAACCACTTTAACTCTTTGCATTACTGCAGGCTAGTAGGAAAAGGCCTATAGATGTTGGTAAAACTTACCTCATTTGCAGTTGATTCTTTTAATCTGTTCTGTATCACTTGTGATTGTTGTACATCACTCACTAACTGAGATATCTGCAGAGGAGATAATACAATTTAGAAGGTGCATATTTACATTTACTTCCACTGAATTTTGTATTAAGTTTTAGGAATGAAGTTTCATGGCTTTTTTTGCCTCAGTCTGTATTTATTGCTATTTTCCATTCCCATGTTTCCATATTAAATTTTACAGATGATTACTAAATAATTGAGTACCTGTCTCTCCTTGGCTACTAACTCATGTTCCAAGCTTGAACGTGAAATTGCATCAATGGTCTCAGACTGCAGTTTTTGAAGTAAACAGAAGAGAAATGAAAAGAAGGCTCGCTGACAACCGGCATATATGTTGCAAATACAGTTTTATTACATAACTGTATACTGAACAAATGACTGTGAAAATACATTGTTTGTCCAATAAGAGATAAGAACAATAGTTAACTTCATAATGGAGGGCAACAAATGGCTTCCAATCTTTGAAATGTGTCAGTCAGTAAATCGAAGTATGTATGGAATAAAAACATACCTAGGAAAGTGCTTGAACAATAGCATTTTTATTCACTCATTGAGATGCATCAGTAAACTCACTCATTCATTTTTTTATGCATGGTAACTCATGAATAAATCATTCATGTGCACACATCATTTCGTGTGTACTTTCCTTGGAATAATCTCTATTTAATGTAGCTTCTTGTTAATTCACAAGTTATGTACCAGTAACATAATACTTTTTTTTTTTTTTTCAGAAAAAAAAAAATGGAAAAAGTGAAGAAACATAATAACTCACCATGTTTGGCCTTTGTTCATTGCCTGAATTCTAAAATACAAATATCATCAGGGTAAAAGTAATTTAGAAATTGTCTTCTCATAATACATAGATTATTTCTTAAATTTTAGTTTGAGGATGAAAAAGTTTTACAAATTTAAACATTTTTACCATTATATTTAACATAGATTTATCATAGATTATTATTGTCCTTTTAAAAGTTGTAAAAGTTACTTAGTTCAGCCTTCAGGCTGTGATGTGATTTAAATAAACCATCTATCTATCCATCTATCCAAACCCTTTTAACTAAGGATGAATCATACAGTGGTGTCTAATAGATAAACTCTGTTAAAAGGAATTACAATAAGAAATGGTCACACATCCCAACAAACCTGTAGGGCATTCTGTGCTGCTATAAGCTCTTCTCGTAGAGATTCAACTTGCCTCTCAGCACTCAATGCTCTCTAGAAAAAAAGTAAGAAAAACGAGTAGAAGTACTCTTTGATCCTTTAAACCCTAAGAGTGACCAACATCTAATTTCTCCTTACAGTAATATTGCCAAACCATTCATTAAGAGAATAAAGGAAATGATTGCCAACCTAAGAAGCATTGATCTTCAAATGAATTCTCCTTGTCAGTACCAAAAGAAACATATGGTGAAGAGAACGGAGAATATGGATACTGATGTTAGGGTGTAAAGGGTTAAATTACTGGGTAACACTTTTCTTTCATCAAAAAAAAAAATGAAAATGGAGAAGAAAAAAGTTGTTTAAAAGGGGAAGGTTTGTATTGGCTATTTAAATGAAAGTAAATTTGTTGGAAGCACAATTACCTGACTGTACCACTATATTCAGGATTTGGAAGGATAAAAAAATGTAACAGATGTTATAATTTTTTAAGTAACACAGGATAAAATTAATGCTTGTCAGCCTTCAAGCAACTTAACCCAGGAGTACAGTTCAGCACACATTATCAATCAAGCTCTCTTCATACCATTTCATAAGACACATACAATATTTCATTGTCCAGAGATGAACAAATGTATGCTAAATTCAATGTGATAAAATACAATTTTGCAATCATTTGTGTGGCAAACCTTTATTTTTTAATTCAAAACATCAAGACCTTAAATAGGTACATGTCTAATTAAGGATAAAGTGGTACCTGATTTGCTCTTTCTACATCAGCTTCTAGTATTTCAATTTCTGAAGACCTTGTTGGGGAAAGAGACCTGTGTTAATGAAATCTTTTTCACTGGACGGACTGAGTGACTGACTATCTGACTGACTGTCTACCTGATTCTTAAGAAACTGTGCTGCATCAGTGAGGGAGTGCCACAAGATCAACAGAGTTGGCATTGTAAATTGGCCACAGAAAAGAGTTTCTAAGCTGACATTTTGTCAAAACATCAGGATAGAAACTCTTGACTGTGGCCAATTTACAGTTGTATCAACTCAGTGATTATCTTAGAACTGAATGACTCACTCTTACCGACTGATTGACTTACCAAAACAATGAGAGCTCAAGCTTCAAAAACATACCAAGATAAAAACCAAATTGAGACAAAAATGTGGTATCATGTTGGTGTCTCTTTTATGAGCAAAACTATAGTTCAGGATCCTAATACTCAAACCTATATACCACACAGGTGAATGGTGTTTTTCACAAACACGGATTGGCTGGTTTGAAAGTGATTAGCAAGTACCATAATTATTTAAACTTGTGTATAAGCTGTACCCCCTACTTTCAAGCATTTTTTGGAAAAAAAAACTCCAAAAAGCACTCTAAGCCTTATAAGAAAAGTTGGTCATTTGTTCACAGATGTTCACAATAAACTTCACAAAATCTAATGTTGTGTATTTGGTGCCACATTAATAAGTTAATCAACTTTGAAAATAGTCCTTTTAAAAGCTTTTCTTTAATCAATTTCTCTATTCCCAGTGACTGACGACAGTTGTCTTCATTGCCAAAGCCCACAACTCAAATGAAAATGATGGAATTTGAACAAAAAAAAAAGCACAGAAGGACAATGCAAAACATTTGCTCAGTGACCATGTGGGAAGTCTGGACACGAGAGACAAATTATGGTCTCATGTATAAGCCACGCCCACGATTTTTGGCCCAAAAATTTAGCAATGTAGCTTATACATGAGTCTTTATGGTACCATTCACCTCTGAGCAGCCGAAAAGACAAAATCACATTTCATCCAATCAATTTCTGACCATTTTTAGGTATATTGACAAAAATATCTTTTTGGTTTCTGTGTGGTACATACAAAAACAAGTATTCCCCTCAGTGTCCATGAAAGTGATTGATATCTAAGTGTACCTCACCACTTCGCAACTCAGAAATATCCACCACTATTCACCTCCACTTCAATGAATTGTTCTTCACTTTAACAAAAATTGTAAGCCATTTATCAACAATTCTTATATAATTTACAAAAAAATTTCCTACCACATTTTTAGTGACTTTTTGAAAAAGACTGAAAGCCAAAATTTATGTCAGGTCTAAAATAGATTACCTTGCAGCAGCAACTTCGTCAAACTTGGCTTTCACATCAAACAGTTCTGACTGAGTACTATCCAATGCTACAAGAAAGTTATTAACAGATCACCATTTCAACTGGTGTGATTTATCTTCGTAGGGTTTTGCCGTCTGGTTTACATTGTAGAAGACCAAGAGAGGAGACCTTTTTCTGAACCAACACCAAGAGATTACTTACCAGCCTGGAGAGTTGCAGCTTTATGCTCAGCTTCACCAAGTTTCTTTGCAACAGAAACCTGAGTTTCTTGCAAGGTCCTTTCTTTGTCAGAAAACATCTTCTGCATGTCTTTTTCCTTCTCCTTAGCTCTTGCCTGCACACCAAAAACAATTTGTATTATAATTTAACTTTGGAGCTCTGTAATTCTTAACGTTAAGTATGAATTGACTGACAAAACTGACAAAACTAACAAAAATGTCAAATAGAGACACAATAGTACTAAACAAATGAAAATCATTTAATTTTTTAAACCTGAACTCTTTCTTCCATCTTGTCCTCATACTCTCGCAGTTTTTCCTTTAGTCTGTTTATAGTTACCTCTGAAAAGCAAACAAAAGCAAACAAGAAAATCAAACAAAATGTGCAAAAAATAGTTCTCAGTCAGAAAGGTGACATGACTACATGTGCAAAGTAGAAATACCTTGATTTTTCACTTCTGCAAATTCTGAGTTATATTCTTCGAGGGTTTCCCTGAGTTGTTTATTTTCAATTTCATAATCCTGAAAATGAGATTAGTTACATAAATAACTGTTTTACACAATCACATGAATCAAATTGTGTAGATTCTGGTTACTCAGAGGCAAAGCAAGTAGTGGCCATTTCTTTATGAAAAGCACTAAAACAAAAAACAAGTTGACTTAATTAACACGTAAAAAAAAAAATTCCCAGATTAGATAGTTCAAGACATTTTGAATCCGTTCCTTTGTTAGCTACCTGTGACTAATGGTTTTTTGAATGGATTTAATTGGCATCAAACCAATATCAGAACTAGTTTTACCTGAAGTTTGGATACTTTTTGTTGCTGAATAACAGCCTGTTCAAGTATTGGTAAAGGATCTGCAAAGAAAAATTATTTAATGTTACTGACACCAAATACAACCACACTATTAGATATTTGTAACATACACATGGACACAGAAAGTTCTCATCAACTTACTTCAATGGTTGCAGAAAATTCTTATCCATACTTAAAATGGTTACAGAAATTTAGTATCCAGTTACTTCTAACTTATAAATATTTCCACTAATAGTTCCTACCTGGGACATCCACAAGTTTCTTGTAGATTGAGAGAAAAGCAGTTTCTGATGCTTTGCTTCTTTTTGAAAGAGCATCAATCTGAAAGAACAGTTATGTGGTACAAAATAAATTGTTAATAATTGTTTAAGTAAATCTGGACAGTGTGCCAAATGACTTGAACATTGCAATACCATTGACGTCAAATTTCTGTCAAGAGTTAATACTATTACTCTATAAAAATCTGTAGTTTTGAATTGTCAAATAGTTACATCTTCACCAGTAACAGGCCAGCCCCCTTCACATTATCAGTCCATTGCCAAAACTGATAACTATTGTATTGCCTGCTTTAAATGAATTTAATGAAACTTTCTTGTTTCAAGAACAAGGTTTTTGTCAAATTTTCCAGTGCAACAAGTGGGGTGTAACATAACCTTTTCATTACAAAATTATTTTACTTCTCCAACACCTTTCCTCACTTCTTTTAAATAATTACATCTAATATCAAAATATTGTTCTATTGAAGAATTTGAGCCAAAGAAATTAGGATAATTCATGCAAAACTAAAGTGAATTCAGAATAAAAATAACAACCTCAGCTTGAAAGCTCTTCAAGAGTGGTGCCATCTTTTTCCTGGTATCCTAAAAAGATAAAAATCACAGATCAATAATCTATTGAAACAGATAGTTCCATATCTCATCAGTGATCTCATGAATGGTAGTAAGAAAGATATGATTTTTTCATATTTCACTGAGCACTATATTCTTAACCGTAATCAGAGTTCTTGTTCCAGTTGCACATTTAGCATTTTGTTCGGGAAAGATTCCCGCTTAACCCTAGAGTATTCTAGAATAAAGCCCTAGTCTCAAAACCAATCTCAGCTTGCTTCTTGGTGTTCTTTTCTTTATCCAAGAACCATATGCAAAATGAACTATGAGGCTGTACAGAAATCTTTTTTTCTATTTCCCCATTTCTCGTGATCACTTAATTTACCATCGTGTCAAATAAATTTTTTGTGAGGTCATTGTCAGGTTTCCTTGTAAAAAAGTTGGAATCATAATTTTATATGGCGTGTAAATTAAAGTACATCACCACGAACAAAATCTCCTCGTTTCACGCATGAGAACACATGCATTGTTTGATTACGAAAAAATCTATTACCAGCTCAATAAAAAGTAAACAGGTATATTATCACTCGACATGTACATGCAGTTTAATTTCAATTAAAAAGCAAACATTTAACGATGTGTTCATGCAATCATTACCTCCGGAGTATTCTTTTTAAAATCACGACTGAGTTCAACGAGCTTTTTTCTCGATGTGTCTGATTCATCTTGGCGATCTGCTAGCTCTGCTGCAGTTGTGTCTAAGGATTTCTAACAACATAGGACATTTCCATGTAATTGAACCTTCAAAAGTTTATTTACAAGAAACGAATTACAAATAGCATACGCGTTGATTACAACAACAGAGAAACACTAATACAATTTAGAAGAAATTGGTTTAAATAGTTATTCTCTTTCATTCTCACCTGAAGATCTGGAAGAGAAAATTCTTTCCAAAAATTTCTCATAGACTGGAACGAAGAAGCCGCCATGTTTGTTTATCGCCAACTTGGCGTCATGCGCAATGCGGAAAACTTCTAAAAATAAAACCGGACCTGCAATTGGTTTATAAGGTGAACCAATCAGGAAGAATCTCTCATTCGTGGTGATCATTCGCGGGAAGAAGAAATATGGCGGCAATGGCAGATTATTTTCCGAAAAGCCCAGATCCAATGTTTCGACACCGTTCGCAATACAAGTGTAGCACACCGCCCTGGAAAGAACAGTATAGAAAGGTACGATGATATTTACGTCTTCCAATGACGATGTTTGTGATATTTTCAAGCCAGTTTTCACTTCTTTTCGATTTCATATCCCCGGTGCGTGACTTCAATAAACGTCCCTTAGTTTTTAGAGTTAGTTTTTATCGGTTTTCACTCTTGTGATCGTAGCGCACGAAAACTTAGTTCTTTTTTTATAATCTTCAGCAACGTTACTTAAGTTATATTAGTGTCGCCACAGTTTTATGAGTTCACACTGGTTTGGAGAGGACCACTTAGCAAAACACAGAAGTTCGATAAAGAAGCGGGTGGGGTGGGGTGGGGGGAGGGTGAATAGGAGTGCTTTGAGGGCCTCAAAAAGCTGAGAGATTCAATTATTTAAATTCCAATCCTCCCCTTAAGATGGCAGAAAAGCAAACTTTTATTGGTGTGTTCTGAAAAGTGAATGTGTGAGGTTGAATTTTTAGTCTGTCCTTATGAAAATATATCTGAAGTGTCCAACTTTTGTCACCCTCTTCTTTTGATAGATACTTAGCACTTTAACTCCCAAGATCTCTTTAGTAATTCTCCTTACTGTCTGCTATACAATTCTTCTGATGTAACTTCTGAGAATTTGGTATTGGATCAGCTAATAATCCCCTAATTGTTAACTTTCTTAGTTCTCATCACTTGTCTTCCTGATTTTGTGTTGACATTGTAAGGAAAAATTCTGTCCTAGTCACTCATGGGAGTAACAGGATTAAATGACAAGAATTCTACTAGCAACTCTATATGTCCTGTGTCTGTGTTACATCTGGATTCTTACCAGCATTATGAATGTGCTAAAATCCATTGTTAGTTCAAACCTTTATTTAGATCTTTGTGTTTCACTTTTGGTTAAACTGGCATCTCTACTTGTTTTTAAAATCTCTTTAGAGGTGCTTGGACAGGCTCAAAAATGGGAGGCAGAAATTTGTGGAGAGATTTAGGCAAGCCAGTTGTGAGACAAATGACTCCTCTTTTGTCAACGAAGTGATGGATGAAGAATGGCGTAGGCTTAGTGAAGAAAATCAAGAACTTTCACCATGGCGTCCAACCAGAAGGTCATGCACACCATTTAAAGGGGTTAGTAAAACTAGTGCTAGGGAGATGTAATGGCTCAGTGGTACATGTTGGTCCAGTGCTACATGTTGGTCCAATGGTGCATGTTGGCCCAATAGTGCAGTTGGCCCAATGTGACATGTTGGCCCAATGGTGCATGTTGGTGCAATAGTATATTGGCCCAATGGTGCTTGTTGGCCCAATCAAGCATGTTGGCCCAATCAGGTGTGTTGTTCCAATGGAGCATTTTGTGTTAAGAGGTTGGCATTCAAGACCTGGCTTGACCTTTGGCAAAACCCTTTCACAGTGTTTCTCTCCAACCAGGAGTATACTGGCTTAGAGCATTGAACAGTCCACAAGTTTCATACATAAATGATGTGCTTTTAATACTTATGAGAACTTTTCAGTCAATATAGAAATTAGTTTAAACATGCTGGAGATATATCAATTAACTTGTATCATTTTTTCAGCTTTACTTAAATTTTGAATCATTCATTCTCTCTCTCTCTATAAGATTGAGTTAGATTGTTCAGAGGATACTTCACTTGACGAGGTTCTGTCTTTACTGGATGAAATTCAAAAGGAACTGATGGATGAAGAAAGAAACATTCTTGCCCAGTATGAGGAAAATCTGAAGTTTGAGGAATCTTCTCTATGTGCAGCTATTGAAAGTCTTGGAACAGAGGATTCTGTCATTTGCCCAGTCTGCAAAAGGTTGGTGAACCCTTACCATACTTAATCGTTGGGTGACTAGTATCTAATTTCTCCTGACAATATCAATCCTGAATCAAACATTAATGTCACAAGAATAAAGGAAATAATCACCAACTAAAGAAGCTCTTGATTGTTGAGCAAATTCTCTTTGTCAGCACTCTAGCACTGATGTTAGGGTGTAAAGCTTGAATTCAGGAAATGGAATGAGATTTAAGGATTAAAAACAACAAGATGCCTTGCAAAAGTATTGTTGTCCTTCATGGGGGTTAAACTAAAGGTTAAAAGCTTGTAAGTGAGTATTCTCCATATTGTTTTGTCCCCCCCCCCATCCTCTACCCCCACTCCATTACCCACCCAAGCTCTTTTATTTCGTTTTAGAAGAGCCATATTGCTATGCCTTTATTTCTCTGTCCCTTCCCAGTACTTCTTGAACCAATTTTCCATGATGGGAGCTTTGTTAATGAGAGCCCTCATTTTCTATGATTTTTTTGTTAGATTATCTTTCTTTTCTATCTTGGTAACAGAAATCCATTACATCAGAACAAACAGGTCGTCTTCTGTGCTTGTGGAATCAGAATTGATACTGAGGTGGGATTTCTGTGATTTTTGAAGTTTGTTAAATTTTAACCCTTTCACTCCTATGAATGACTAGCATCTGATTTCTCCCTTCCTCCAAAAGATCTCGCCTTTTTACAGATTGAATGAATCCAAACTTAGTCATTACGCTTTTGGCAGTTCTACATGCTCCTGAAGTGAATACCCTAAGGAATAGTGGAATAAATTGAGCCTTCTGTGCACAAAATCCAGCGGTAACACCCATTTCTGAATGACATGCTTAAATTGACATGAAGTTGTAATGCAATACCACCCCTGAATCTCAAATTAAGCAAGGTCATGAGAACAAAGGAAATAATCACCAATGAAAGAAGCTTTTGATTGTTGAACTAATTGCCTGGTGAGATATTAAAGAAAAATAGATTTCATGTTGCCATGTTTCTGTTCAGTGATAAAACTTAGATGACATCAAACTGTTGTTAGTACAAAGTGGTGGCACACAAGGTGCGTTGCTGATTTTCTTACCATATTCTGGTGTCTTCAGTGATCTATAATTGTATAGATCCACTGCATGGTGAACTCTATTTGTTTATATAATAGAAAAGCAAAATGTTTATAATGGTAACATCATCTATGCATCTGATCTCCATATATCATCAGTAAGAACCAAACATAATTTTGCTTATCATACATAAGGAATTTTTCTTTGTGATCCTTTAGCATGATGCACTGAACTTGAACTATCTCAGAAACCAGATTGATGGGGCATTAACAATCCATGGGTAAGTTTTCAACTTGTGAGTTGTTCCATAGGAAACAATTTGCTACCTTACTTTACCAACTAAATGTTGCAGTGGGCCAGCATCTCTTCCAAGGGGGATTAGCGTAGCTCCTGATTGCTTCATGCTACAGAAATTGGAATAAGCTCTAACTGGATGCACCAATACACCATTTCCAAATTACCTTTGGTTTCTTTTTCAAAATGTTTTCTGGTGCTCATCCTTTTATATGATTAAAAGTTTTCATTCACATGCAAATGAAATTCATTTTCATATGAATAGTTGAGCGCCAAGCCTAGTTTTGAAAAGGAGGACAAAGGTAATTTGGAAATGGCCCTTGCAGATAATACTTTACTATTGCTGGTTTTGGAGAAGACAAATAGAGATAAATTCAGTTTTAGTTAATTATCATGAAAAGAAAAAAAATGAAGAAAGAGTGAAAAGAAAGTCGACACTATTTTGGAGCGGTTTTTGTGCAGACTTTAAGGCGTTCCCATGAGCATGCCTTTGGTTAGGTGCAAGAATTAAGTATGTTTGTCACTTTTTTCCTGGCCTATTTTATTTTTCACTAATATCCTGCTCTCTATGATTTTCTGTTTTTTTGGCAGAGAACAAGGTTGCACAATGGAACCAGAATTTTGCGTATCAGTTTTACAAGAGGTGGCAGTAAGCAATCTTGTTGCTCTGTGTAAGGTGAGAAGAAAGATGGATTTTCTATAACCAAAGAGCATAGCATTTAATTTCTTTCACGGGTTTTGCACAGTTTGTCTTTTTTTCTTAATTTATGTAGTGACAAATCGATGCTAATACGGTTAATAGTGCGAGCCTTGTTGTAAAAGACGATGGCGTTGTGTAAACCTTTGTGTGATGTTGTTCTGAAGAGAACGGCTGTAGAATTGGAATTTCATTTTTTCACTGTATTAACAAGACCACATTCCGGACCATAACAGACCGACCCAATCTTATCGCAGGATCTAAACTGATTATTCACAACATATGATTATAACCGTTACCTGCGTTTGTCAGCCATTAACCCATAAAACCCTAATACCATTAGGAATTCTTATCTATGCATTTCCTAGCCTGCGTCTAACGGACTAGTCTGCGTGAAGGGGTTTTCTTGCTTTTTTTTTACATAAGAATAGGCAAGTAGGAGGCAAGTGTGACGGACGAAACTCGCGCGAGAGGAGGAGCTAAATAATACAACAATAAAAAACTCCATAAAATAAACGATGCCTCTTTTGACGGACTGGAATTGTCGTAATTGTTTTTCATCTGCACACGATGGCTGGGAAGGAACATCGACTTCCGTGCCTTTCTCTTGTTCCCGCTACTGATTTTGTTTCCTCCCGCGACTTCCTTGTTTATTCCGCGAGTTCTTTTTTCCATTCACACCTTCTGCTCTGCATCCTTTCCCTTTATTTCTACCCGGACGTTCTTTTTATGTTCATTAACGACTTCTTTTTCCATCGGCGACTTCTTTTTACTTGAAAACCCACGCCTTATTCTCGATCTGCGACGTGAAATTGGCTATTCCTTGGCTTTACACCCTAACATCAGTAAGCATATTCTCCATACTATTCAGTACATTTCTTCAGGTTTTGAAAAGGAGAATTTGTCTAACAATCAAGAGCTTCTTTCTTTGTTGATGATTTCCCTTATTCTCGTGACCTTAATGTTTTATTCAGGGATGATTTCGTAAGGAGAAATTAGATGCTAGTCACTCTTAGGGGTTAAGGGGTTAAGAACAACGTAGGACGGTTTCAAAAGCTATGTAAGTTTACATCAAAAAAGTTCAAGGTGGATCTCAAATCCGCGGTGTCACCGCCCTCTGCGTGGTTGCAGTCAACTTGCTGCTCAGCAGACATTCAGAAATCGTGTGCGTTTCAACAAAAAGTCACGCAAAAAATACTTAAAGACATCCCGTTTTTGCTCGTCTCCGTATTCTTTCACGTTTTCGAACCACAATAGTAGCTTATGATTGTCTAAAGTAATTAAAGTAATAATCCATTCTCAGTCAGCGTTGTACACAGGACACTATGACATCAATATCGGAAAGGCCTCTCCACCCCCCCCTCCCCCCACCCCTCTTGACCACCAAAGGGAAAGCGCAAACTACTTAAAATAGCCAGTGTTTCATGCCAAGGCAAACCGGTGGTTCTTAGTCTTAAAAGGCTTAAAAGAACATACTAATCCGTTTTCTCTTGATGTTTTTAAATTTGGTATCTATATAGGAAAACGCATTTTCTTATTACTTAAGGTAGAATTTTTTCTCTAACCACCTCAATCCTTTCTATCTCTGTTTCAGGCGTGCGATTTCTTGTTCATCGTTCTTTGACGCAAAAAATGTAGGAGAAGAATTTTCCTCAAGGAAAGAGGAAGTTAAAGAGTTCAGTAATTGCGAAATTTAATCTCAGTGAACGAGATATGTACTAAAATTATCATTTAGTCGTGTACAGAATTTGTAATAGATCCTTATTAGTTGAGTGTAAATAAAGTTTTTGGCTCTACTTGAAGAGTTATTGTGGTTTCATAATGATTTATAGTAAATTTTAATTATCCGGTGTTTCAGTTTTTTGGCTGATAACCAATCAAATGTTGGGCCTCATGAGAACCGGAAACTGCATAGGCACGGACACGTAGTTGTGACTTCCGGAATACCATTTACTTTTCTTTCGATCATTAGATCTATAAGAGTGCTGATAACTTTATTTTCAGTTAAGAAAGGAAAGAAAATCCAACTTATACCCGATAAGAAAATAGCAACCGAAACTGTCCGATAATTTCCTGAAGGATTAGAGAGACAACAGAACGGCGCAGCTCTCTACAGGATATCGCGCATCTTGTTTTGAAGTCTTCCGCAAATTCAGAACTTGAGTAAAGAGCCATTAGAAATGGTGGCAAATGGTCATCCTATGGGGCCTGTGTCAGAAATGTTGTCCTTCCATTCCGAACTGTCATCGTAGAATGGCTAGGTAACATCACGTTGCTTTCATGGCTTGTTACAATGGCGAGGTCGGCACAAAATTTCCAACGGGGCGATGGGAAGAGTTTTGTAAAGACCGGGGCGAAGTAGCGGCGATCAATTTCGCCAATGAATTCCTTCAATTTGTAAGAGACAACCCAGTTTTTGATGTATCGGGAGCATCTGGTACATTTTCTAAGCGTTTCGTCGAGCATTTCCTTCAAGCATTTGACGTAGAGGTGCATAAACAAGACGGATTTCTGGACCTCGAGGCCCCCGACTCGCCGACCGATGTGTTCGGTCCAGACGATTGGGGTTCAAGCGTTCATCTCACGGGCACATTTAAAGCTCCAGAGAAGAAAACAAGTGAATCCAGCTTCAAATTCCTTGAGAAATTAAAGGACGTGAAAGGATTTTTCAAACGCAATGCGAACGAAGAGTTACCTCCTGCCAAACAGGCGGAAACGAGGAGAGATCTGGAAGATCAAAGAGCTCAATTTCTGGAGACGAAACTGACAACTTCTGTCAAACGCGAAGGAATCATGAATTATTTAATGAACTTGGAAAGTGGAATGAATACAGAGGACTTCTTTTGGCAGAAATGTCGAGTGGTTCTGTTCAAAGCACCTGGAGGGTTTATGTTGGAGTTTTATACACCTCCAAAGGTAATTCAACAGAGATCGAAATTTCTAACTTAAGGAACAGGTTTTATGTTTTGATCTCTTTGCTTTCTAGTCAACCGACCACCTGGTTGGTCATTTTCCCTTATCGCTCCATTAACTCACAATGTTGCCTATGTATTTGTATTGTCTCTTGAGGTTTTTAAGGGTGTTAATACTTAATCAAAACATGAATGGACTCGGTGTGAAACTTTTCTTCTTGTTTACAGCTTATCGCCAGGATGAATGTTAAGTCAAAATTTTTCACCGATCGAAAGTTGACCGTGATCACCTGTTTAGCTTAAAGCACATAGATGTAGCGGCCCATTATGATGTTCTTCCTTTTTTTCCATTCTGCTATATACGGTTTAAGTCTGATTATCACTTCCTTGATCTACGCGATATATTTGTTATTTTTGGATCAGATCGGATTAAAATTGGATCTAGGAAGGAATTATGTTTTTTTTCATGTCAGTGAAATTCAATTTATTTGTTTCTTTGGGAAATAAGAGGGTTTTTAAATGATATGTTTGATATTTAAACATTGAAGTGTCGGTTTTTTTCATAGGTATTTGTAATCAATAAGTGTGTATTTGGAATGAGCTTGTTGGGTAGATATATCGTGTATTTACCTGTAGGTCAATTTTTTTTCCTTTCATTTTCTTAATGTTTTAAGTGTGGGTTGCACACAAGATTCATCTAATGCATTGAGCAAAGAGAAAATGAAAAAAATTGAATGCCATCAAGAACAAGACACATTAGAGTTAGCTGCAAACTCATATTCATGGATCTGCAAGGGAGGACAAACAGACCATATCAGTGGCCAAGTCATAGGGAACTGTGACATGAAAAAGTCTGGTCATTCTTCTTTCCTCCCTTTCCTCAAAAAAGAAAAACTAATCAGCGAAAAGAAATGATACAGTTTTGTCTCTTCTCCTATTGAGTGGGATTAAGGTCTAGGTGGTTCAGTATTGGCTCAGCTTTTTTTCAGTTTTTGGGTTTAACAAATTTAAGAGCAAAATGAAGCTGAAGTCCATGAAAATGTTGCAAAGAAAAGGCATATATTGCAACCTTGAGTGAGCAAGACTGATGTATATACGATTTGTTATTGAAGAACGATCACTGGGTCAAGAAACACATTTAAAGTTGAGGAGAAAATAGAGCTTGCCATTTGACCAACTGAGCTTTCAAACAAACTGGGAGCTGGCCTGATAATTCTTAAGGCAACACTGCAAATTTTCATGTTTCTCTTTTAAAGATTTATTGCATAGCAAAAGTCAGACACAAGCATTTTTATTTTAGATAAGAAGGAATATATCACCCAAAGGCCAATCAAACATAATTTATCTTGTTTATTCAAGAAGCTAACCATTAATACCATATACCATTTCCACCCTGTTTTCATGGACTATGTAAACTCAGGGCTGGTTCAGTGTTTCAAGACCTCACTTTGCACATCAATCTTCTTATAATAATAGTGTTATTCAATTCATAGAGGAGAAGTAGGGTTGTTTTATTTCTTGGTTATGGAAATCTTGGTTTTGCAACCAAGATCTTGATAAACAGGCTAGAAATAATTTCCATTTTAACCACTCCTGCAAGGTATAAGTTTAACCATGTTTATTTGGCCAGTCCCAATAAATGGGTTCGTATATATCATCCAGTGTTACAACATCTACCTCATCCTCTTTTTCTCAAGAGAAAAGAGGAATAATTTTGTATGGGAATCTAACAGTCTATCAGAAATCACCTAGGACTTTATGTAGTGCTTCCCTACAATTGAACCTGTTTGATTAACCAATTAAGCAAATTCAACTGGACTTTTGTTGTAGAGGTGTTTTTTCTTTCATTCTATAGTCACCTAAACCAAAGACAGGAATATTCTGCTTCCTCATTCATGAAGCAAGGCCTGCAACAGAGTTGGAGCTGCCAGGAGGAGAGAATGTGTTTGTCATCAAGGTTTGCAATGAATTATAACATATACTATCTTTACTGACACATTATGGGATACACATCTTCACAATAAGGATCAGCAATATTTAAAGCTTTCCTTATGAAGAAATATGCTTAATTAAGCAAAGGTCAGAAAATCTTATTTATGACAGATGACAAATTCTTTGCTCAGATTCCTAAAAGGGACTCAGAATTTTTCTTTGTCTTGCATTTTTTGGTACTAAGACCTAATAAGCATCTCTCTATGTTAAAAATGTAATGTTCCATGAGGTGTAACCTAATGCTAGCAGACCTTCACAAATCCAATAGCACCAAGTTTAACTCCTAAGACATCTACATTTAACTTTCTCTTAGACACCTTGATGTATTAGTTTTGTTTACAGTGGATCTGTTAATTTTTTTCTACAGGCTGTAAACAAGAGAGAATACATGCTAGCAGCTAATCACAAGGAGGAAATGGATGAGTGGCTGGCTGAGATAAGAAAATGCATGGAAGAAGATCAGGGGTCAACCAGTCAAAGGTGAAGGGCTGAATAAATTGTTTTTCTGTTGTTGTTATTAAATTGGAGAGTGCAGTATTACTCTGTGAGAAAGGTTTCCTTTAACTTTTCTTGGGCAATATTGGGCTTTAGCTTTTAATGGGCTGACATCACATTTTTTCTGTTTGATAGCCAGCGTGAAGAGTTCCTAAGCTGATGTCTTAGGAGTTAGCCCTTTGTCAGTGCAAGTGACGTCACACTTCTTTTGTCTTTAGTTCGTTACTGAACTGTTTGTAACAGGAACACATAGAATCATTCTGAATGGTGTTTGGTCTACATCTTCAGCTAGGGGTCAGTTTCCAACAGCAGCCAGCTGACAGATAGATCTCCCTGTTTTTAACCATTTAATTCCTAGAAGTGATGAACATGTAACTTCTCCCTCTAGTGTCCATACATTATCCAGCAAACAGGTAGTGAGATTACTCAAACTTATCAGGTACAAGATACTATTTTGATTGAACACCAAATTCTTGTAAACAATTAAAAAAAGGAAATGTGTAGCAGGTAGAATAGAGAATTAACAATCAGATCTTGGGAGGTAGAGGGTTAATACAGTTGTACTCATCCATACAATGGTTTATGGAAACCACTTTTAACACTGTGGGCATCACAGAAGTACTAATCAAAACTTTATGTATGAAAACGCTCAAATTATAATATTAGGGCTGTGGTTTGTCCCTCTATGCTCATTTGTCACTCTGTTATTTCTTGCTGTCTGCAGTGGTCCATCGATATCTGGTTCTGATGAGAGAGGTGCAGAGGCAGCCCTTCCCCCAAGTACCCCAGCAAATGCAGTGGCTGTATCAAACTCAGTAGTGGGAGCTAAACTTGGAGATGGTCAAGCACTAAGAGTCAGACTGGACAGTTACCCTGCAGGCAAGTGATATTTATTCCATTTTTGCATTAAAAATTGGATATTGAGTTCAAAGCATTTTTGCAGAATAAGAACAAAACAAGACTTGAATACTAGCTGAACTGAAGGAAATAAACATTTTGCTCTTGCAAGACACTCCCCCATTCCCTTATGAAATCCTTGCTCTTTACCAAAGTCAACCATTTCTGGGAAATATTTCTGTTTTGCATGTTTTCTATTTTGCGTGTTTTCTACTTGAACAATGTTATTGCCAATGTGACCCCCCTTACCCCTCCCCCCCCCTCCTTTACCCCTACTGAGCAATTTCGCAGGAAAAACATGGATCTATCTGTCAGGGACTTCAATTGGTTGAATATTCATCCAATCGGACTCTTGCTTATATAGGAGTAGCAAAGAAGAAAGTCTCTTATTTTTGTTTGCAACGAACAACATGCATCACACAAGAAATGAAGCCAGAAACCTTAACACAAGCATAAGAAGCCAGATGATTTTTTGGAATTTTGGAACATATGAAGCTTAAATCTTAGTTTTTTTGTGGGCAACTGATCCAAACTTCCTTTTATCCAGGAGTTTTGGTCACCTGTACGGGAGAGCAGAAGATTGGCTCTGTATCTGGGAGACTCCTGGATAATCCGGGGTAGTTGGCATATATGTATAAGAATGAAGTCACCTATGTGTAGATATTTCAGGTTTCTTTTATGATCCTAGAGAAATTTTTCTTTAGGATGACCAAACATTTACTAGTAACTGGAAGTGGTCAAGAGTTAGATGATCACTGGCCATGGGGCTGCTGTGACCTTTATTTTTTTGAGAAAGCAATGCTAAGGCTAATTTTGAAGTGAAACAGAGAAAAGGCTTGTTATCAACCCCAGGCAAACTACCTTTCCCCTGCTTAAAGGCATGTTGGGAACATAGCACACGACTGTAAATGTATTTAATTTAATATATATTGATTGTCACTTTCAGTTTAATAACTGTAAACTCTGGCTTTTGTCATTGTCCAGATAAAAAATCCACAGAGGCCGTGTCCAATTTAGCAAAAAGACGGAATGTTTACACTCCTTCGTCACTTCAAATACAGAACAGATCCACAGGATCATTTTCTTCACCTCATGGTCCTCAGACCCCCACATACCAAGGTCTGTTGATAGAAGAGTGTTGTTGTCAAACTTAGCATTATTTTTTAAATATATTTCATTATAATATGGTCGTTGTTGGTTGTGATTCAGTTCCAAATGTGGTTCAAAATTTTAATTTGGACCTTTTGTTTTTTGGATGTGGCAATGTGCGATAATGGTGATTATGTGAAAGATGCATATATTGTGAATGTGTTTGCTCTTCTGTGAGCGTTACAAAAAAAATTGTTGTACTTAATGTTAACATTACAGATGATCTACCCCATGGCCGTCCTCCTCCGGAACTTCCTCCAAGATCTCCAACCAGCAGTGAGGTGACACCCTCTCTTCCCCCTAATCAGCCTGATCTGTTGCGGCAGATTTCTGCTCAAGGAGCACCACAATCAACTAATGAAGGTAGAATTCTTTATCATATTATTTTGTATATCAATCATTCAGTAGTGCAATAGTATTGTTTTTGGAGGTTGTTTAAACTTTAGAAGTCTGGGAGATTACGTGGACTTCGTATAATTTAAATGACTTTCTCAATATGGTGACAAGGTTAGACAATTCTGTTTATAATTATGGAATGATTAGGAAAGTGGTAGATACACTGAAAGATAAGACACAGAATTTTTTATTTTCTAAGGAATGCCACAACAGTTCTAAGGTCTTCTGTTCAAAATCAGAGAGTTGAACTGTGATTTTACACAAAATGGTAGTTGTTCTTGATAACTAAAGGAAGCATAACTAAGTATGATTAGAAAGAAAGATTTAAATTGGCTTGATCCATTTCATGACTTAATGTGGGTTACTCCCTTGAATAATTTAAATTACTTTAAATTCTTTGAGCTGAAGCTCTGAAACTCAGTGGCCCCTTCATCAAGACTTTTTCTTGAAATGGTAAAGATATTTTATCTTTATTATTATTTTCTTTCAGAAAACACAGTGTGGGTTACAGCTTCTATGGAAAATCACCCTCTTGCAAATTACCCATGGTTCCATGGAACCCTGCCAAGAATAGAGGCCTCTCATCTGGTGTCACAGGGAGGCCAGCAGTGGCATGGGATATTCCTAATAAGGCAAAGTGAGACAAGGAGAGGGGAATATGTGTTAACATTTAATTACCAAGGGAGAGCAAAGGTAAATATCCATTGTTTTGGTTGTTTCTTTGGGAAAAGAAAGGTTTTAAGCTTTCAATGCATAGAAAGACTTGTTAAAATTGTGGCTTGGAAGGTGGATGCCTTTTGCTTTCATTATTTTACAGGTCATGGGAAACCTGAAAGTCATAGAAGTGTAAATTGTATGAACCTGTCTAGAGAAAACTGTCTCATATTAAGTGAAAAATTCAGCAATGTTGGAGCACTTCCAAAATTTACTGAAAAATTGAAGGGACTATTGTCTTTGCCTCTAGCCTTTCAGCTGTGTTCTGACTTATAGTTATCAATTTAAATTTGATTTTTTATGTAATTAACGGCTTATTTAGTCAATGCTCAATTTGAAATTATCCAAATTTCAGCATCTCAGACTTGCCTTGAACGTGGAGGGCCAATGTCGTGTCCAGCATCTCTGGTTTCAGAGCATTTTTGAAATGCTGGAGCACTTTCGAGCTAATCCAATTCCGCTAGAGAGTGGTGGACCTTCTGATGTAATGCTCACAAATTTTGTGGTTTACACAAGTTCTGGTTCACCCCAACCTGGAAGCTCCTTGCAGCGCACCCATGTAGGCCATGGAGGTGAAGGTGGTCTGCGCCGTTCTCACAGCCTTCATGTAAACAGGATAACTAGAGCAGCAACCATCCAAGGTGGCTCTGTTCGAATTGCATCAAATACGGCCAATGGCCAGGTGCATTCAAGGGCAGTTGAAAATCAGTATGCCTTTGTTTGAATTTGAAGGCTAAATTTCAAAAGTTGTATGCTCTTCTGTTAAATTTTTTATATAAAATCAATGTTTACAGTATTTAAAGTGAGACTGATTTAAGTCTCACGGTGATCTAGACAGAAGTAACTACCATTCTGAAAGCCTCTACAGGTCATAAAATGGAGAAGTAACTTAGCCTGTTCCAGGCTTTCATTTGGCAAAGAGAGTAATGATAACAACAATGCCACAAAATGAAGCAATGTGAGAGTACGTACATGTAGAATGCTTGGAACAGAGGTAAACTGGAACAGATTGTTCCCCAAGTAAATGGTCTGAATGCTCTTTTGCTCATTTCAAATGCTTTCTTCATTCGCCAGATCCTGATAATTACCAAGCAGTCATACCTAGAACAGTTATTGTCTTTTGTACTGTAAACAAAAAATATGAGGTTTTTTCTTGAATCCTTTCTAGCCTAATAAATTGTCATGCATTAGTTCCCTTTGTTTGGCTATGGTAACGTAAATCTTCAGTGAAGTGTGATCAGTAGCACTTGGCCCAACAATCTGATAATATTTTTGTATTTATTTATGCTTTGTAATTTGAATACGTAAGACAGAAAGCCTCATAGTGCAATTAGATTTGCTTTCTCTTTCTTAAGTTTGTGATTTTTAATATACATGCCAAAATTTCAGCATGCCCATTGGCTGAGAGTATGCCCCAAACAATGCATAAAGCTTAAATTGCATGCTGAAAGACAAAAGTGAGTGTAAATTATTAACAATTAATCAAATATTATCACTTGAAAAAAACAATTAATAGGGGCAATTTACAGTTGTGTACTTAGCTGCCAAGCCTTTGATTTGGAGTGAGGCTGAAGGTGACCTTGTTGTGATAGAAACCAGTATGTAGTGAACATGATAGCAAAGCAATTAACATTTGAAAGGTAGCAAGGTTTTAGTGTGTTGTAACAAGGTCACCCTTAGCCTCACTCCTGTTCAAAGGCTTGGCAACCAAGCACGCAACTGTAAAATGGACCATTGTACAATTCAACATGAACATGAAAACATTTGATTACCTAAGTATGCAATTGCCACTATGAGGTCTAAATAATGAAGTTTTTATTTTATATTATTTTATACCTAGTTACTTTAATTCGTATGGGAACTATTTTAAGATTCTATTAGAATTAGTCCATTTTACAGTTGTGTGCTTGGTTGCCAAGCCTTTCCACAGGAGTGAGGCTAAGGTTGACCTTGTTATGAGACAAACCTTGTTGCTTTTCAAATGCAAATTACTTTGTTAGCATGCTAACTAAATACTGGTCTCTATCACAACAAGGTCACCTTCAGCCTCACTCCCAATCAAAGGCTTGGCAACTAACTACACAACTGAAAAATGGCCTATTGCCCAAACACTCAACTCTTGCACCAGAAATTATTGTATTTTTGTCTCTTACTTTTAATTCTTCCTTTTTGATATTTAATTTATCATATTTCATTACCTGATATGTTCCAGCTATGTTGTTGTTGCAAATATATAAGAATTTTGTAAGAAAGAAACATTTCACATGAAAGGATAAATGATTTTTAACAGTATGTTGGAACAATAATTGTTATGTTATTAGTCAATAATTCTTTGCATCTTTATTGAAAGTAATGGTTGGATTATGCTGATGTAGTTCAACAGGTCTCTACTTATTGTTCCTAAAAATTTCAGGTAAAAACACAGGGAATTATGTTCCAAATATTTTCATGAGTAGATTGCAATAACATCCTGTTAATGATAAAATTTGAGAAGTGGAAACACGAGGAGTTTTTGGGTGAAAGTGAACCTGAAGTTTCCATTATGAAGTACAGTGATTCAGGTTTTTTTTTTAATTTTTAGAGGTGATTATAGGGAAATTTTATCATGGGCTGTATGACACACTTGTAAAGATTCTGCTACATTCCATCATCCCCACAGGATTCAAATGTCAAATTTAGAAAATTTTTTAGCTTACAAAACTGGTGCTCAGGTTGGCATACCCAAGAGAGTGCTGTAAAGTGTCTCTAAATCTCATGCCTGAGTACTGATTACATTACTGAAAGCATATTGATAAGTATTATTTTGAACTTTTGATACAGCTGAACTTTTAGCAATGAATTAAAGTGTCTTTTTAATGAAGCTATGGGAATGCATTCTTGTGTTAACCCTTTACACCTTATTGGGACCAAAATCACTTGTCCATGCACACTCTTTAACCCTTTAACTCCCATGAGTGACCAAGACAGAATTTCTCCTCACAATATCAATATGATATCAAGCAGACAGGTGATGAGATTAAAGAAAAATATCAATTAGGGGATTATAAGTTGATCCAATCCCAAATTCTCCAAACTGACATCACAAGAACAGTATGGCAGACAGTAAAGAGAATTACTAATGAGATCTTGGAAGTTAAAGGGTTGATATTCTTCAACAAATGAAATAAACTGAAGTGTTGAAGTGAAGATAACAACTGGAGCGGACTAAACATTTGAAGCAGTTGCCAAAATGGGATTAACAAATAACAAGTTACTACAATTATAAGTTTAAAAAAAACTGACAAATGAGAAAATTATAAGATAAAAGACAACAAAAAGACCCTTACAAACATTGTACGAGATCCTGGCTGGTTAAAGATGATGTAAAACATGAAGAAAACAATGGCACAGTGCAAGTTAAAGGATTAAAGCTGAATTAATAAAATCTAAGGTAAAGAACTTATATGCATAACACAAACAAAGAAAACTTATTCTAAAAAAGGTAACAATATGAAAATGAAAGAACTTATAGCAATATGAAAATGAAAGAACTAATAACAATATGAAAATGAAAGAACTTATAACAATATGAAAATGAAAGAACTAAATTGAAAAGTGACAAAGGCAAGAAAAAAAAAGAGTAATGTCAAAAGAAATAAACACCCAATAATTTTGGTGGCAACAACATCCTAACATCAGTTTACATGTTCCCCATGCTGTTCTAAACACTTTTCCTGAAGTCCCTGAAGGCTCACAATCAAGAGCTTCTTTGGTTGATAATCATTTCCTCTATTCTTGTGACCTAAATGTTTGATTCAAGGGTGTTATTGTTGGGAAAAATAAGATGCTAGCCACTCCTAGGAGTTGAAGGTGTAGGGGACTTAGAAGATAAAAGCTATTTTTAACCCTTTCACTCCCAAGATCTCATCAGTAATTTTCCGTACTGTCTGCTATACAATTCTTATGATGTTAGTTCTGAGAATTTGGTAGTGGGTCAACTAAAAATCCTCTTCTTGATATATTTCTTTGTTCTCATCACTTGTCTGCTTGATATTGTATTGACATTGCAAGGAGAAATTCTGTCTTGATCACTCATGGGAGTTAAAGGTTTAAGAGTTCCCATATGCTCAGCTACTTTCTGCTTGATCTTAATTCAATTTTGACCCTTACAAACCATGTAACAGTATGAATTTTCTACTTCTTCTTCCTTCTGTGATACTGAGATTATGCATATGATCAAAAGGATGTTTAGTTTCTGATTATTTTCTTTATTCTCGTGATCTTACTGTTTGATTCAGAGGTGATACTTCACAAGAAATTGAATGCTTGTCACTAAGTGACCTGGAATTATTGGTGCTTCCTACTAGTTCATCCCAGGTTACTTGTCCAAGTTTCAAGTACAGTTTGAAAATATTTCATTCAACTCCTAGATAGGTCATACTCCTTATCCCCAAATGCAAAATAAAAGAGTGAATATACAAAATACTTCATCTGTGTTTTATCCAGTATAAAACGGAACTAGAAACAAGCTGTATTTGTGTTACCCATGACTGGCTGGGAAACTTGAAAGCACTTGTTTGCATTTAACGCTACACTACTCAAACCTTCAACAAATATATATATATATATATATATAAATATTATGAGAGGAAAAAAACGACGCAACTACATATCCCGACAAGCCTGCTTCGTGAATCGCTTCACTCTTCAGGGGTTTAAAATTAAAGGGATTAAACCCCTGAAGAGTGAAGCGATTCACGAAGCAGGCTTGTCGGGATATGTAGTTGCGTCGTTTTTTTCCTCTCATAATATTTATTCTGCTCTACTTCAACGTATTGAGCACTCTTCCTCGCGAAAATCGACCTGCAGACTTCCTATATATATATATATATATTCCTACAAAGGAACATTATTTATCTTCAGACAACGGACCTCAGCTATGAAAACCAAAAAATTTAATTATTGAGTTTGTGAGGTTCATAGAAACTTGTAGTGATCTCAAAAATAATTGGAACTTATTTAGAGTTTAATGAAAGTTTTTTCAACTCAGGCTCATTTTGTGATTATATTTTGAATCCTGTTCAGTATAATTAATCATCTAAACCTTCCCCCTTCACTGAATTTTCGATGACCGATCACAGATCAATGCTAGGAATGGTCTTCAGCAAATCGATTAAACGGAATATTTGATTTAAGTCAGTTACTTCCTTAAGATCCGTCTAACTTTTTTATCTGATTCCTCAACCGTTTTGTGAGCTAAATCTGTTTTTATTAAAATTCCGTCCAGCTGTTCATTTTGCCGTTCGATCTCGCCACCAAGTATCAATGCATCTTCTTTCAAGCGGCCTAAGCCTCGTGACATAAGGTCCAGATTTGCGTCGATTTCCCTTTCGTACGGGTCACGCAATGAGAAGCTACTTCTTTGAAATTGACCACCTTCTCCTGTCCATGCTCCGTACTCTTTGCTATCCCTTCCGTGGTCTCTACTGGGATAATACAGAGAAGAGTCCTCTTCTAAGCCTGACAAACCACTTCTGGTATTACTCGAAGGTAGTCGAGTGTTTTCTTTCGGTTGAGGTGCTTTCTTGAAATAATTCCCTATGGCTCCCCAAATGCTGTTCACCGATTTAATGTGTCTGTTTGCAATTTTCATGTCGCCCTGTATCTTGTCTAAGTTGCGTTCTACTCGATTCAGTTGTTCCCCTTGACATTGGAGTTCTTCTCCTGTTTTTACAGCTATGTCGTGTGTGTCTTCAATCAGGGCTAAAGAACGTTTAGTACTCTCCATTGTCCTTTCTCTTGCCATCTGCATCTGACTTCGTAATTCATCTCCATCGACCTTTTCAAACTCATCGTCGGAACCGTCGTCAAACGGGTTTGTCTTGCGATTAAAATCAAACTCACTTCTCCTACCGTAAGCGGCCATGTTGTGTGCCGTTTGAAACGATGACGTCATTTCGTAGTTCTATTTTAAGCACATGACGGATCCGTACGCAGTCGCAGCTGACGCTAGCAAATAAGTGGCAGCTCGCACTCAAAATAATTGAGCTCTCAATGATCAGTCATTCAGTAAGAACATCCTGAAACTTTTAGGCATCGTGATTTATAGCTTTTCCATGGAAAGGCACTCACCACTTTTCCAGGAAATTATCCACTTCCCCGCTTTTCATATCTGCCCGCGTGCCTGACTCACAGAGGCAATATTACTGCTTACCTGTTTCTCTTTTTTCGTGCTCAAGTTTAAGGGAGGTAGATTTCTGTCACTCCAAATGCTAAAAGAATAAGACGGACAATTACAATACTAAAATTATTGAGTGTATTTTAGTCTACATTATAAGCAATAGCAAGAGTGCGTTAAGTTTAAGATTGAAAACCTAACGTAACGCTGGTGACACTCCTTCTTTTACTTCTTCCCTATTATACCCGATTTTGATCCTACCCCTGGCGGGGACATCCTGACATGAAGAATCGTGAAGAACTATGGGTAATGTCACGAGGCGCGCTAGGATCGTTGGTATACGCGGATTACAGAGTTAGGAATAGTAAGGAGTAGAGGAGTATTTACTTTCAAATTTTTCCTCAAAAACGGAAGTCTACGAGTTCCTCTGGAAAATTTATCACTTTAAGAGTGTTTTTCATCTCTTAAAACGTTTCTAAGAAGCCATTTTGGCGCTTTTTGAAGCTGCACATTCTCAAATATTATGGCGAAACTTGTAGCGGTGTGTAGAGACGAAACCGACTTCGCATTCGAGCGTCGACAAATCCCTCTGAATATTGAGGATGCCTTAACGGTAATTAAGAATTTGTGTCCATTGTGTTTTATCTCCTTCGGTGGAGAATACAAATCTGTGAGCGTTTTGTGTCATCCGCCGTGTTGTTGTCTTCCTTGTTGTCCTAGATGGTAATGGAAATTCCAGAAACTGTGATTTCTACTCGAGAAGTCAACGAATACGAAGTACAGTCGTTTCAAAAGGTGAGTTTAATTTTTCTGTCTTTCTTCCCCCGCTTGTGTATTTTTAGACAGTTCTGAAGTCTCCCGAGAAGTCTTTTCTTGAGCTGAAATGGTTCTAATCGGTTGAGATGCTACTTTTATTATCAGCGTCTCGGATTAACACGAGTAAATCAGTTGGCAGTTAGGGTGAAAATTATATAAACCAGACTGAATCGAGATTATTTCTAGAGATACAAATCGAGCATTAGCATTTAACCGCGCACCGACTTCGACAAATTGGTCAGTTTATGAAATTATATTTAGTGATTGGCTAGTGTGAAACAAATTTCGTATCAACCACCGTGATTCTTGGTGGTAAGAACTCCAGTTGTCTTCGTTCTTGATGTAAACACTGCATGTGATCGTGGTGGCTGATTTTACTTTGTCAGCAAATTCAGTTGTCCTGATTGAGTTTCTCCCTCTTTGCAGCGTTTTCAATGTCTTAGCGCCGATGATCTTGCGGTTGCGACGATGGTAAGACAGAAAGATGTTTTATCCTTCCTGTCCCACTCGGTGCCTTGTGTTGGTTGTCGGAGAAGGTATCGAATGTTTCTATTTTCATATTATTTCCTCATCACTGTTAAATTAATTATTCACTATCGCAAACGAAATCTCAGTAACATTCATAATTGATTTTCTAATCAATGAAGTTTTTAATAGCTTCGTTTTGACTTGAAGTTGTTGTATCCCAATGTGGTGATGTGTGAAAAAGGTGACATTCTATTTAGTATAAATGTGTGATAGTAATATTGGAAGAGCAGTGGCAGTTCTCTTACTGATATTGTGTTTTTATACATCAATGTAAGTTGTCAAACTCTCAAATGATGCCTGAGAGGGTATGCCAATTTCATTCAGTTTTGTAGCCGGCTTTTTTCACGTCAGCTGGAATGTTTTTCTTATCTCTTAACTATATGACTGTTCATCACCGGAAAATGTGTTACATAACAAATATTTTTGGCTTTTAGTGTTGCCCAGCACTATCATTTAAACCAGACTGAACAAACACAAATTTGAAATCACTTAAGTGAAAGCTTTTTGATTTTTCAGTCACCAAAAGGCATCATGGGTATATTCTGCTGTTTTCTATCTAGATTCAGGAATTTTTCATTTATCATTCATCATTCAGATTTGTCCTCTGGCTTGAAGGATTTCAGGTTAATAATTGTTGCCTTAGGTTCCTGAGATGATCATGAGCTCATTTTGATTAATTTATCCATTTGTATTTTGTTATTTTCACATGCAATCTGTAAGGTTAAAGGAATTTTAAGTGACATTGTATCAAAGGTCAAAGTCAAGGCACAAACAAATAGAATTCTGCTGCAAGAGTCAATAGTCAACCTCTATAAATGTGGCCAAAGTATTGATGGATTATGTAACAGCTTGTTGTCCAAGATTTCTCAGTCAAACTAGCTATGAGCTCTACAGTCATTGTATATACACTTTAAGCTGCTCGGGTATTCTAGCTTGGCATTTGATTTTGTTGTCATCTTCTGATGGCTTGTGTACTCTGTAAGCTTGTAGAATTTCATACCTTGCCACCCAATCAGAGGTTACTGAAGGAAATGTGATAGATGTTGATGATATTGCTTCCTAGCGCTAATTTCTCTGCAAATCTTGCATCAGGCCAGCCATAGGGAAAGCCCTGGAGAACTAGATTCTCAAACAACTACATTCTTATACAATAATCAGTGTTGACATCAGTTTCTCTAAATATCGTAGTGTTGTGTTGAACCAATTATTTTTTTGAGTGTTTGCTTTTCTTTGACGCTTATTGACTCTTGTTAGGCATCAAATGAAATATGATGCAATATTCACCTAATTTTTCAACCAATAACCTTTACACAGTATTGAGCGATTGTACAATCAGTTAGTGGAATCGGGACAGCCTGCATTGGAACCTCTGATTATCACAAACAGTGGAGGTATGCATTTTACTGTTTTTTTATGTAAGGGTAACAGACTGATAAATTAAGTAATTTACAGATGTACAATTGATGAAAATTCAAATACTCCACTCAGCTACACCTAGAACAACTTGAATATTTTTAACTTACTTCTCATTCTGTAACTTCATGAATTAAAGGTCTCTAATCCTTGTAGCATTGAAGCTGTGTTCTTTTCATTGACTTAGATTTCTTTTCGTTGGTCTTTCGTTAACGTCACACTTTGTTCTCTTAATTAACATTGCAGTCTTGACAATGGATAGTTCATTTCTGAAAGACCCAAAACTTGTGTATGCACTATTTTATAAACATGGGTAAGTGCATTTGTGATTATGGTATGTGATGGCCAGTGTATCAGACTTCCAGTATAAGGGATGTTTGTGCCCAAATGGTTGCACTGTGAACATTATGTTTATTAAAAAAATCTAAAATGTTTGGTGCACATACAGTGTCAATGTAAATTCTATATTTACTGGCACTATGCACAAGCATACCTTAGACAGAGTCTTGTTGTGATCATAAAAACTAGTGCTTTATTTAAATTTTATATTATTAATTAATCCCTCACCATCAGTTTTGTAGCTATTAAAGCAACTTAAATTGCACTACGGTTGTAAGTTGTTTCAAATTTCATGAGGAATGATCATAATTTCCAGTAGTGAAGTAGTTCATTTAGATTGTGTTGTTCTATTTTGACTTTACCATTATATTCCTTCTAGCTTTTTAGATGGTTAGGAGTGCTCTCGGGGTTCGGTCTGTGCATCATGACCTCTAGCCAGAAATCTTTCTGTCTGGCCTGACCTAACTCAGCCAAAAAGCATTTTATTTTGCCACCACTGTTCTTTCTTTATGCTTTCTTTCCTCTTTTAACTCCCAGGCTGCAGGGTGGTTTGGCTCTGTGTGCCCTTGTTCATATCATTGTGTGCTAGGTGCTCCTAGGGCAATACGGCTCATGTGATAATATAATTATTATTTCTCTACAGATCCAGGTTAAGTGAGATGGTTGAATCTATTCCTAAGAGCAGAAGAAACAGGTTTTGTATATCTCCTTCTTTCATAACAGATAATAATGTTCCATGTATATTTTTTATTAGTCAGAATCAGATGTTTGACTGGTTATGTTGCCTTAACTGTTTAACAATTGATTGATTTATTGATTTGATTGATTGAATGTCAAGGTACATGTATATATTGGCTGCACACTTTGTAATTTGCCTCTGCATATCATGTCTTGTAGGAGGTGCCCTTTGCATTCATTGGAAACGCACAAATCAAGGCCATCAGGGTAAATATCAGCAAATGTTTTTAAATAATTTACTACATACACCAGATACAGGGGCAGTGTATCTCAGAGACTTTTTCTTACATTAGTTTAAAGGTAAATGTTTTGCCTTGGAATACAGAGTTTATAGCCCTTAATTAGAAGTGATAAAAAACAGTTGGCTGCTAGTTTGAGCAACATTTCACAGGTTATGATGATGATCATGTTCAACATGATAACTTTAAAAATGTGCATGTGTCTTTGAATGGGAAATATAGGGGCATGAAACAGGGTTATCAAAGAAAAGAAGAGCTAACATGTGGCAGAAATAATCAGGAATACTTTTTTCTACTGAAATATTCCTTCGACTTCAAATGAAAGATTGCAGAACAGCCTTCTGCTTCATCAAGAAAACTTCCAAAGTTTGAACCTAAAAACTCTGCATGACAAATAAAATATATGTTTTTTATTAAGACAATTCCAGTAGGAGTGAAAAGCAAGAGTAGAATTGGAAAAAATTTTTACAAATATGGAAACATGGTAACTTTTCTGCCATATCTATAAAGACTGTTTCTGAAAAATTCTGATGCATTATAATCATTGTTTAGAGAGATTTTCAAATGTATTTTGTTGTTAATTCATTCATATCTTTATCTCTACAGAAGCTGGATAGATGTGTGGGATTTACTGTCACAGGAATGTAGGGATGAGGTACTTGGCATTGCTTGTACATTTATAGCAAATAATGGTTAGGAAACTTGCCCCAGTGTTTTGAAGGTTGGATAATTTTATCCACTGAATAGATCTCTGTCTGGTGGATAGCTCAGTATGTTTCACAATCACTCATCTGTTGAATAGCCTCATATGCCCTCTATGCAACTGGTGCCTGTTCTGTAAGACCATGACTCTCAGCTATATTGAACTGTTGTAACTTAATTTCATTGTAACTTTGGATCACAATATCCTCTGTTGACCCATAGGACTTGCAACATAGTGGGATGCAACCAAACATCCTACAATTAATCTTAAAAAGCGCAACAAAATCAACTATCAGAAGCCAAGGTTTGACATTGTTTGAAATAGTAAAAGACATGAGTTACTAATGACACTTCACCCTTGTTTTGAGAGACACTCTCACCTAACGCACAGGAATGCTTGACTGTAAAACTGATATGATATCATTTACAATTATCCCAATGACCAAAAGATGATAAAAAGGCATTTAATTGTCACAGTGTACTAACAAATTCTTTTCCCTCAAACAGGTGGTGCTGATTGACTCTGATGCTCTGCTTGACACATTGGAAAATTACCTCAGAAAACATAGGTAAGTGTACTTAGATGATCTTTCTGACATTTGTAGATTTTTTCTACAGATCATGAGTTACTTTATCCACTGCCCTGAACCCTTTCACTCTCAAGATAAAAAGATCAATGCTCTGCTTTGTACTTCATACATTTATTATGGGTTTGGCTTTGATAATTTTTTGTCAAATAAAACAATATATCCAAGTTTATGTTCTCCTTTCTTTCACATTACCCTATTTGAATGTGTGTTAATATTGTAAGGAGAAATTTCTTTTTGGTCACACTAGGGAGTACATGTGCATGTTTTATTTTACCATGTAACTCCTATAACTGACATATTTTATGTGTATAGTATGGTCATAATGTTCTGCTTTCAACCAGGAGACACATGTGCACTGTTCAGACAAAAGCTGTTCACTTGAAGTTCATCATGATTACTTAGCTCAGTGTAACTTATTTGTTGTTGTTGTTGTTGTAGATTTTGTACTGAATGTAAATCAAAAGTTTTGAGGGCATACAGTATTCTGGCAGGAGATTTGGATGGACCAAGTGAAAAGGGGTAGGTATGAAGTTATGTAAAGACAACAATATACCTGGTGAGGGTGCTTAATTTCCTTAGCTGTGAGCTCAGTTTGATTTTAGACCTGTTGTATCAGAAGTTTGGATGATTTTTTGGCCTTGCTAGAGGATTTCTATAGGATTCTCAAGTTTCCTTTCATGAAAAACTAGCCTGTGATGCAGTTGTCTTAATAGGGGTCAACATTACAAGTTTGCAATCAGTTATTCCTCTGTCCATGTTTGGTATAGCACTAGAGTGGACAGAAGGGGGGGGGTCTCCTTTCTTTTGACTGTTGCTCACCCCTTGGTACAATTTGTTTTCTCTCCCCAGCCTTTCCACTGCTGTAAAAATCAAAGACAGCAGCTTAATTTTCACCTAGAAAATACAGAGTACTTGCTTGCCAAAACTACACTTGCTCTGCAGGCTATTGAAAACCTGATAAGTAGATTGATATGTTCTGTGCTTTTTTAAAACATCTCATAGATTAACAAGCAATGTTTCTTTCTGACTCATCTAGTTACTGTGCTACTTTGTATGATGGTCTTAAAAGCTGTCCTCAAGACCGGCATGTCCATGTACTGTGTGATACAGACTACATTGCACATTTAATTGGACGGGCAGAACCAGAGCTGGCTGGAGGGTATGCAATACTTGTATCCTGTTGTAGCTCATGACAGGGCTTTTCAAAAGCATCATTATTTTTCATGTGGTTCTGGTCGCCTACTTTTTGCTTTTCATTTAACTTGGTTTTATACAAGAAATTAGGCTGATTAGTAGAAATGAAAAGCTTTTCACTCATGGGAGCTTTAAGGAGCTCTGTTGCTATAGATTATTTCCTGTAGTGTGATACTGCTGTTGGGTGGAAGAGTGTAAGGGTGCTATCCCTTCCCCCCGTGAACAGGGGAAGAAGTGGTAATTTAACATGATCAAAAGCTAGAGATGCTTAAAAATGCCTGTAAAGCATCAGTGGAGAAGCTCCGCCAACCCCTCTCTCTAGAGAGAACCTTGCTTTAAGCACTACTTTTTTTTAGATTCGTTCCTGAATTTTTTCTTAACCCTTTACATCTTAACATCAGCATGTATATTCTCCATACTGTTAAAGGGTTAAGAGTGTGGCGTACCGCTAAAGTAGATTCAAAACACTTCGCTAACAGAGTACTGGCTTCGATTCATAAGCTTCTCTTTTATGTGTTGTGATAGGAGGAGAGAAAGGCATGCTAAGACACTGGACATTGCCCAGGAAGAGGTAGGAAAAATTTTCGCTTTAAGTTTGTTAGAACTTCTATGTGGTGTCAATCGGTTGCTTTATGTTGAAGGATATTCTTTCCACTTACCAATATCGTTATATTCCCTAAAACTACTTTTCCGCAACAAGGTTAGCTGGTGGTTAGTATCGGTGAGGTTTCTTTCCGTACTAATTTAAACCATCTTATTTTCGGTCCATCTTGAAGGTGTTAACGTGTCTCGGTATTCACCTGTGGGAAAGACTTCATCGACTGTGGCAGAAACTGAGGGCTGAGGAGCAAACGTGGCAGATGCTGTTTTATCTGGGGGTGGAAGCTCTAAGGAAAAGTTTTGAGGCAAGATAAGAGGCGCTTTCATTTTATTTGTTGACTTTCTATTCATTATTTGCTGAGGAATAGTTGGATTGACCAGAGTTTGAATAGAACGATTGATTGAATAAACAAGAACCGAATTCCGTAGCTTCACGGAACGATCAACGGAATCTCTAACTGTTAATCCAATCAAACCAAAATCACACGAAGGTATGCAAAAAAGAAAACAAACAAGCAAAAAACAGAAATGAACAAACGATCCACAATAGTTACGGAGTGAAATAAAGAACGAGGGAACAAACTACATGATCAAACGAAGAAAAACCAGGTTATTTTACCTGTTGATTATCTTTACAGAACTTGACCATAGTTCCAGCAACAAGTAATGTTGGTTGGCGATGTTTTGCGTTTCTTTTTACATGGGTGTCGTTTTGACTTTGTCAGGTGGCGGTTGAAGAAAAGCAAGGCATATCACGCCTGGAACAAGTCGTCGAAGAGATTTCTGAGGCGGAGAGAGCCAAGGAACTCAGAAGAGAGCAGAAGCGATTGAAAAAGAAAGCGAGACGCAAAGAGAAATGTAAATGTGGTACTCACTTAACTATCTCGACAGCGAACAATGAACTGCAAAAAGAGGAAACTGCGAAAAACGAGGAGGAATTGGTAGAGGAAGAGGTATGTACGAATGAGATCGTGGAAGAGACAAGGGATATGAATGGACATGGCGATAGCTGTGAAGATGATGAAGACGACGGAGACAGTGGCGGTTCACCGTGCAGTTGTGAAGACTTGAGCAACTCTGAGCGAAGCAAGAGCAAAAAATCGGGTTTTAGGAATGGTGACTGCGGGTACGTATCTTTTCCAGGTTACCAGACCCAGTTGCTCAAAGGGTGGCAAACGCTATCTAAAGGATAAATCGCTATATAAAGGATAAATTCCTATCTAGCGGGTAAGTGTGAAGTAAAGGTGCTGGGCTATACAGTGGAATAGAGATTTATTTAGTGGGAAGTGTTATCCAACCTTCAAACAACCGGGGCCAGATTGTTAGCATCGAAAACACTTTTGTGTAGCTTGTTACGGAGAAAGTTGATAAAGTACTTCAGAGTTAAACCGACGCTAAAATTGCTAGTTGCCTTTCCTGGTTGATCTTTTGCGCCTTAAAATAAGTATGTATGGCTATGTAAGGCTATTTTCCTTTCATTTATTGACTTGAAGTGATCTGTTGTAGGTACGTAGCAGAGTACAATAAATGGTCCAGGATGGTACACCAGAGTGGAGACATGTGTAATCATGACGAAGATTCTTCGATGCTAGGAGGAGAGGAAGAGGATATATGTACAGATTGTTTGAGTGGGAGCCCAATTAGTGGTGGATCTCCACAGAGCAATAATGGAAAGGGAAGAAAGAAGAAGGGCAAAAACAAGGAGAAGAAGGTAAACATATAAGCCTCCTATCCACACCCCTTCACGATGCTTGATTAGTTATCTCTTTTCACTCCCATGAGCGACCAAGAGAGAATTTCTCCTAACAATACCAATAGAATATCAATCAGACAAGTGATGAGAATAAAGAAAAATATCATTTAGGGGATTATAAGTTGATCCAATATCAAATTCTCTAAACTAACATCGCAAGAACTGTATGGCAGACAGTTAGGAGAATTACTAATGAGATCTTGGGAGTTAAAGGGTTATTGTGCGGTAGTTTCAATCGTCATGCAATCTTGTCACTCTAACCAAGGCGGTCACGCTTTTTTGCCGTGTGAAGCTTACGTGACTAAAGGGAAGATGCCAAATGTAATTTTGCAAATCGTTACTTTGTTCTTCCTCACCGTTAAGTCAATGAAAGTATTCACTCATTCATTCATTCATTCATTCATTCTTCAGTCTTCAATATTGTTTTTCTTCATCTATCTCTTTAGCAAAACTCGCCGAGACATGAAAAGCAAGAAAAGCTTGTAGAAATTATTGATGACGAAGAAAAACGGCTCCTGAAGCTAATGGGTTGGAAGGATGGAGGAACAGAGTCAATGGTGAGTTATTTTTAACTATACTTCCGTCGCTCTACGACGATTTAGGTTTTCCCCTGGGATCCGATACCCCCAAGGGTAGAATATCCCCTGATCTCAAACTTCCTGTTGCGTCACGACTTGTGCTTCTTGAAAAAGAAAGCTTAAGTTTAGATAGTCTTTTTTAATTTTTATGTACAGTCAGCTTAAATCTTCTCCATCCTTAGCTATCTTTACTTCATCCTAGTCTATCTTTAACTTATCTTCGTTTGTCTTTATTATCGTGTTAGTATTTTGTATTCTCCGTCACGTTGTGCACCACTGAGCCAGTTGCGACTGGTCACGCGATCATAAATTAATGCGAGAGGTTACGTCACACAAATGTATATCGGGATCGTGAACAACAGGACGCTTTTCTCTAGATTGGTATACTATCGATTAAACTTTGTCGTCTTTCTTCATTTTACATCATAGGAGTGTTTTTCGTCGGAGGAAGATCTCTGTATATCCGAGCAGGAAATTCTACGGTTCAAAGCGAACCAATCGTCAGTGTCACAGCAGCGACGGAAGCTTCGAGAGAAACTTCGCCAACAATTTAACAATTTGACGCTTAAGGAGGGTCTTAACGTCGCTATTGTTCATTAGGCCTTGTTAAAAATGCACTCACAACAGGAGATGGGGAGATGGGCGATAGGAAATGGGCAGCGGATAGTGGGGATGGGTGGGAAAGTGACTGTACTAGAGAGACAACTTCCCTGCCCGATCCATGTTGGTAGAAAGTAGTCACGGGTTTCTGTAGTTACGGTGGAAAGATTGTGTATGCGTGTGTGTGATGTTGTTTATTGTATGCAAGTGAAGTCCGCAAGGTGTGCAGCGATGTAGCAATGTTAATAAGGTTCTCCTTTGTTTTAATTCTTTATTTTAATTTTACTCCCTGATTACACTGTAAATCAGGATGAGTTTATGTGAAAACGGAAATAAATCTCTTGAATCAGATACTGTCAGATATCCAGGCTGAATCTTTACTCGACTTATAAAGTCTTTGTTTTCAGTCGTTTTCACCAGAAGCAAAGTTTATTCACTTTTCTTGGGAATTTCCCCCGCTATGGACTTCCGAGTGTCATTGTAGAAATACCAAATAGTAATTTGCGTTTGCGGCAAAAGGAAAAATGAATTTCAAAGACTGTACCTTTTAATGGGAACTCCTCTTTCGCTTGCTCTTACCTGTCCTTTGAAACTTATTGCTATACTTTGCCCCTTGCTCGAACTCATGGTAGGGCGAAGTGTCTGCCGAGATGTTTGATGGGATATTTCTTCCAGAACCTGGTGAACATCTTTTTAATTCAGGATTTTATGCCAGTGTAATGAACAATTTCAATTAAAAGTGAGGAATGTTAGAGATTTTAACAAGACAATTTGAATTTTTGCTTATCTGCCCTTCGTCAATCTGCTTCTATGTGTTAAACGGATAGGGCCTGATGCCCGAAAGTGGTAGATCTTGGCTCGGTTTTACTTTATACCCATACCTTTAGTAACAAGTAAAGTTCTTATCGAGGCCAAGAGTTTAATAACCAATCACCAAATCAAAATGAGTCATGAAGCAATCAACTGTCTCTAACCTCCTCATCTGACGTGTGTGGGTTGGTCACGGAGAGCTTCCTTGGGAAGGTGTCGACTTCACCCGAAGGAATGGGCAATTTCAACGGAAAAGTTACGTTTGAAAGGTATTGTTCCCCTTTAACTTCGTTCCTAGTGCGTTTTTTCTACGTTTACTCAGTAATCTGACTTTAAATGCACCTTATAAAATGGAGAGCCTTTCCTTTCTCTATAATGACTCAGTTCTAAAATTTGTCGAAGATGTGAGTTCGTAATATTCCAATTTAAAACCCTCGTACCTTAATCCTGAGCGTAAACGCACCAAACAAAAGAAAACAATCCTTTTCGGGACGGTAAACAAACGGGAGTGGAGAGAAGGGGACCTTGTCTACGTGGGCAGTACCCTCCCGCCAGCGTGAAACGAATGCGAGGTCTCCCTCCCTCCCTTCCGTTTCATCTGGGGGGAAGGGTAAGGCTACACGTAGGCCAAACGGGCCTGGAAGGTGGGTTTTAGGTGTGCGTGACCACAAGTGGATACCGTGTCTCCAGACAACCAATAGGAGTGACGAAAGATTAGGATCAGACTTTGGCTTGGAGTGGTCCACTGTGTAGTGGCGTACTCGATTTTCGGTTTTGTTTGTTACAAAGAGGCGTCGGTCCAGGGAGTAATTAAACTGCAAACCTGGCGTTTTTCAGTTCAGTTTAAGATAAGTCAAAACAAGGAAGTTCCGTCTATTTTTTATAGTGAAGATGGAAAGTTACCAGTCGACACTACCGAGATCTATAATTAACGTAACGGTGGGCGTGCTTCTCCGGCTCCATCTCGTGAAATTAACTTATTATCGAGATGATCTCTTTTGATTTTGTTCAGTATTTCTTAGTTTTGTCCGGTACAGCAGAAAGGCCGTGAGGCAGCAAAATATTTAATTGACAACAGGAGGCAAAGATATCTTTCTTTTTTCGGAGGCATTTCGTGTCATTTTCCAATTTAATTGTATTGCCCTTAGGAGAAGTATTTTAATAAGTATAGAGCACGCACGTACTTTTAGTATTTCCATTAATGGTACAGCATTTCCAGGCCTTTGTTCCAACTTTACGGAATTTTTTCAAACAAGGTTCCAGTGCTAACCAAGAAACCTTGAACACTCCTGCCAAAATCATTGGGATCGTCAGAAAGTGATTGAGATTATAAACGCCATCGAACATTTGACCTGCCTAGGTTTATATTGGTCTCATACTAATTCTAAATTACTTTGTCCAGCGAGTTGTGGAAAATCGAGTAGAGGATAAATTAGATCTCAGGAGCCATGACCAGTTATCATTTATCGCTTAAGAGGTCGAATAATTTTACTTATTTATTTAATTTTTTTTGGGAGGGGATCACATGGTCTTCAGGGAGAAAAGAAGGGAATCATTCATCGCAAGAGACTATACACTCTCTTAGCCATCGCTAACGGTATATATTTGGCAATTTCCTTTAGAATCACGCTCTTCTCAAACACGCTCTGTAAAAGTCAGCGATTGGTCGAGGCCATTCTGAAGGTCAGCCACTCTTTCGAAAACTGTCCATCATCGGATTAAAAACATGTCTGTCTACAACTGCATAATAAGCCTTTGAATGTGTGAGGTCAAGGTAAATTTTCACGATTCTCAGAAATCTTGCATAACGAATATGCCAAAGACAACTCTCATGTAATTGGTCAATATTAATAGCATTTCTATCGCATGACTACTTTGTAATTTGTTTTACGCCTGTTTGATGCATGAAACGAAAGCCTTATCAAGCCTTTAATCATGGATATCAAAACGTTACTCGCCAATCTTCATGAAGAAGTATCCTGCTCTGTGTGTATGGTCACATTTACTGAACCAAAGCAGCTTCCATGTTTGCACAGCTTTTGCCTCCACTGTTTAGCAGGAATCCAAAGAAACAGCGGCCGCCATGATGTCATAACATGTCCTGAGTGTCGAAGGGAGAGTCAAGTCCCTGGAGGAAATCTTAAAGATCTGCCCACAAACTTTCGCATCAACAGCTTACTAGATGTGTTGGCCATAAGGGACTGCAATTCTACTGGAGTCAAATGCGGAAACTGCGACAAACGCAGAGTAGAAAGTTTCTACTGTTTTCAGTGCTGTTCATTTTGGTGTGACGAGTGTATCACTTTGCATAACTTACTCCGAGCAAATAAAGACCACCGAGTTCTTGCACTCAAAGATTTTGGAGATCAAGACATCGAGGATGTCTTAAAACGACCAGCATTTTGCCCACGACCGGGCCACGAAAAGAAAGAATTGGAATTCTTCTGTAAGAAATGTGAACAAGCCATTTGCAATTCTTGTGTTGCAACCACTCACGATGGACATGTTAAGATACTACTGGAAGAAGCGGCAAATAAAAAGAAATTGCAAGTCATGTCTGATATTGAGTCCAGAAAAGCAAAAGTGCAAAGAATGAGAAACAAAATATCTAAACTTGACGAAAGCTGTGATAAAATCCAAACCCAAGTCGCAAAAGTAAAAAGAAGCGCGCAACAGTTTGCCGAAAGCATGATTGCTGTCATCGAAGCCAAGAAACAGGAAATCTTTTCTGAAGCGGATCATGAGGCACAACAGTACCTGGAACGTTTGCGAATACAAAGGATCGAGATTGAAAACAAAGTAAAAATGGTCGAAACAGCTGTAGGAAAATCTGAAACACTATTAGAACGGAGCACAAACGCAGAGCTTGCACAGTTCGATGACTCACAAAACACAACACTCTTGAAAGGAGTTGATGATGAGAGAGAAGAAGTCGACTGCAACCTTGAACATTTTAATGAACTTATTTTCGAGGAAAACAAAGCTTTGAAGACAAAAGCAATCCACGAGGGAATCGGCTCCATTAGAGCGTTTCTCAGCGAGACCAGAGGGGATCAAACAACTGCTGAAGGAGAAGGACTCACTGAGGCGATCGTTGGAATTCAAGCGAAATTTGTTTTGACGACAAGAAATGCTGAAGGACGACAGTGCCACGACGAGCGTGACCGAGTAACAGTGGAAATTAAAAATCAGCAAGGCCATGACTGTGCGACGGAAGTGCGAGTCCAAGATATTAAAGATGGTAGCTATAAAGTCGGTTATTTTTTCAAAGAAACTGGAAGTTGTAAGGCAGAAGTTAAACTAAACGAAGTACATGTTGCAGGCAGTCCATTTCCGGTTCGAGTGAAACCCAGAAAATTCAGACCCGTGCTATCTTTTGGACAACGAGGTTCGTCTGCTGGAATGTTACTCAGACCCTGGGGAGTGGCCGTGAATGAACGCGATGAAATTGTAGTGACTGAACAAGGTAACAACAGGGTTCAAGTATTCAGTAGTGATGGAACTTACTTACGGTCGTTTGGTAGACAAGGTAATAAACAGGGAGAATTTAATCGCCCACGCGGAATAACAATACATGAGACTAATAACATTATAGTCGTGGACAGCTGGAACCACCGTGTTCAATTGTTCAGTGAGCAGGGTGAGTACCTGAGCCAGTTTGGTGGTGAAGGAAATCTTGATCACCAGCTGTCTATTCCTCTCGGTGTATCTGTAGATAATACAGGCAATATTATTGTTGCTGATAGCGGTAACAAATCAATTAAGATCTTTTCTCCTGACGGCCATTATTTAAGTAAATTCGGGGGTGAGGGTTCTTTTACCTATCCCGTTCACTGCGTACAATATGAAAAATATCTGATAGTGTCAGACAGAGATGAACATTGTATCAAAGTGTTTGATAGAAATGGTAATTTTTTATACAAATTTGGAAATGAGGGGGAAGGGGATGGAGAGTTCAATTACCCTTATTGTTTGTCAGTTAACAAGGCAGGACACCTGATGGTCTGTGATGCAGATAATCACAGAGTACAAGTATTTGAGCTAAGTGGAAAATTTGTAACAAAATTTGGATCAAAAGGAGAGAAAAGAGGAGAATTTAATCTCCCTGTCTCTACTGCAGTGCTCAGTGATGGTCGAATATGTGTATCTGACTGTTGGAACCATCGCATTCAGATATTTGAATAGACATCACATCACTATGCCTTACCAGATTTGAGCTCATATTTTCAAACTTTTATACATGAAACTACTTTCAACACGTGATTTATATTCTCTGTAAGAATCTTCTGAATGGTCACTGAAACTACAACACTATAGTTTCAATTAATGCTGCATCCAAGATAAATATCTTGTTACACCTATTTTATATGATATTGTTAATTAAGGAATTACAGAATTTACTACTATTGTTATAAAACAGATCATCTGCTCCACTGGTTTAACTCAGAAAAAGGCTCCAAAGTCAAAAATTGTAAAGAATCAAACGGTAGAAATGTGTCAATAAAGTATTTGTGATTGCATTTGCAAACTTTGCTGTATAGTAATCACTTGGCAAAAACAAAAAGGAGTGATTTGAAACTTTCCGACTGATTTTAGTCCAATATATCTGGGAAGGTCACAATTATACCTCATTTATTATGAAAGAAAGCTAAGATGAGAAAAACCTTAAAAATTTTTTAGGATTTGGGGTAGTTTCCGCCGTTCTGTCTATTAAGATTTGGGGTAATTTTTCTGCCGCTTCGTCTCTAAGGACTTGGGGTAATTTTCCGCCGTTGTTAAGGATTTTGCGAAGTTCTCCGCCATTCCACCATTCTGTCATTCCACCGTTCCGGTGTCCTAGCGGATTTAGACCCCCCAGTCCAAATCCGCTAGCGGATATGAACCCCCCTCCGCAGATTTGGACCCCCCCCCCACAGAACCGAGTGAAAACATCATCCTTAACGTTCTCGTAGAAATAGATAATACTTTCCGTTTCAGTGCGTACTAAAGTATGTTTTTAATTCAAAATATGCGTATCGCCGATGCATACGAACTGGCAGCTAGAAATGACCCGTCGGATTTTTCTTTTGACTAAGGGAAAATGTGCAAGCATTTTGTTCAATGTTCGGAGAAAGGTCGTTTTTGAACCTTTTCCGCGATAGTCGAACACCGCTAGATTAAGTAAGAGACAAACTTATGACACTTATTTATTTTGTTATTGTTCAATGCCCAAGTGTTGAGACGACATGGTACACTGCAAGTTTGTTATTTCAGATCCCTCAACAGTTAATAATCGTTAAAATTAGAAAATAAGATTGAGTTCGATGAAATAGTCTCCACTTTTGTTAAGGCGTAGACATTAATGTTGATTTGCATCTGAAAATAAGCTGAGAGCTCCAATAGTTCAGAATAGAAACATTTTTTTCTTATAATAGGCTTTTACGAACGACTTGTAGTCGGAGTTGTTACTTCGTTCTTGTTCAGAAACTGTTTAATGTTATTTAATTAGAAAATTGGACTGAGTTATTTTTGTGACTGGACGCAACAGTCTCCACTATTATTATGACGTTTCGTATCAATGTTGATTCGCATCAGAAGAAGCAAAGATTTATCGTTACAATTTCAATCGTTCGAATGCAGTAGTTCTAATAAATGCGACAGGATTGGAGCGAAATGGCTGTTTTTCTTACCCTTATTGAGGAATGTTGTGTTGTAATTGAAAAGAACATCGACAAAAAGCTTGCAAATAGAATTAGTTATCAAATATGATAAAATCGACGCTTAAAAGAAAAGTTTGGTAGGGGGATCCAAATCTGCGAAGAGGGGTCCAAATCCGCTGTGACACCGGCTTTAAGGGTGCCCTTTCCGGTGAGATGTCTAAAAAGCACCTCGTGGAAGGTAGCGACCGATCAAATAACGTATTTGCTTCAATCTCATCTGCAATTTCCACATAAATCGGAAATGTCTCGTAATTGCGGAAGTTCTGGGTGAATTTCAGGGAACGCGGTTCGATCAGCTTTAGACACCAGTTGTTTGTTTGCTTGATATGGAGGGCGCTCTCTAGGTTTTTTCACACAAGAGCAGTCTTGTTCACGATGAGATGTCCACATAATGGGTTGTTTGAAGTTGAAATAATTTTTTGTCGAACTGAGTTTTCTCGGACTTGATAAAGTATTTTTTTCCTTACCGAGAGGACCCATTTGGGATAAATTTCTTCAAAACCCTGGTCGATATCATTTTGAATTGAACAGAAAGCTCATTTTTGAATAAGCTTTTGTCAGACTGTCTTACTTGAAAGTCCTTTGTCATGAAGTCGACAGACTGTTCTCAAGAAGGAGATATGATAATCCATAAGCTGAGACAAAAACAAAAAATGACCTTTAGGAATACTGAGAAAATGACCAGCTGGTAAACGCCATGACGTCATGACACCGAAGGACAACATGCGACAACAAGAACAGCGCACGTGAATACGTTTCTCGGCGAAAACAAAGCGGATCAATTAACTGCTGAAGGAAAAGGACGCACTGAAGCGATTGTTGGAATTCAAGCGAACTTTGTTTTCACATAAAGAAATGCTGAAGGACAATGCCACGAGAAGCGTGACCGAATAACATTGAAAATTAAAAATCTGCAGGGCCATGACTGTGCGACGGAAGTGTCAAGTTACAAGATCAGCTATCCTCAAAGATAGTGAAAGGTAAGAGACAGTAGTGAAAGTGAGCGAAGAACAAGCTCGAGGCAGTCCCTTTCTGACTCTAGTTAAACCCAGACAGTTCTGTCCTGTTTTATCTTTTGGCCAACGAGGCTCGTCTGCTTGAATGTTAAACAAACCCTGGGGAGCGGCAGTGAATGAACGCGATGAAATCGCAGTGACTGATACTGGTAACCACTGGGTTCAGGTATTCAGTAGAAACGGTGATAAACAGGGAAAACTCACTCGTCCCAGAGGAGAAGTATTTGATAAGAATAATAACATTATAGTGGTGGATACTCTTAACAGCCTTGTTTAACTGTTCAGTGAGCAAGGTGAGTACCTGAGCCAGTTTGGTAGTAAAGGAAATCTTGATCACCAGCTGGATTATCCTCATGGTATATCTGTAGATAATAAAGGCAATATTATTGTTGCTGATAGGTATAACGAATCAATTAAGATCTTTTCTCCTGATGGTCATCACTCATGTAAATTCAGGGATGAGGGTTCTTTTACCTTCCCCTCTCACTACGTAGAATATCACAAATATCTGGTAGTGTCAGATGCAAACGAACATTGTATCAAAGTGTTTGCTGGAAATGGTAATTTTCTTTACAAATTTGGAAATAAGGGGGAGGGGAATGGGGAGTTCATTAACCTTCGTCATTTGTCAGTTAATAAGGCGGGACACCTGGTGGTTTATGAGACTTCAAACCACAGAGTTCTGGTATTTGAGCTGAGTGGAAAATTTGTAACAAAATTTGGATCAAAAGGAAATAAGGAAGGAGAATTTAATACTGTTATCTCTACTGCAGTGCTTAGCAACGGTCGCATACCGGTAGTTGTTTCTGACTATTTGACCAATTGCATTCACATATTCAAGTAGACATAACATCACCTTGCCCAAGCATATTTGAATCTAATTCATCAAATCTTTCATACATGTAACTGCTATCGGCTAGTGTTTTATATGATCTGCAAGAATCTTCTCACTGGTTATCAAAACTTCAGCAAAACCTACAACATTGCAAATTTCAGAGAATCTCCATTAACTTAAGTGTAGTTTTTAAGTTCATCTTGTTTACAATCTTAGTTTGATCAATCATGGAACATATTTCAATATTTTTCTTTGAGATCAAGTTTATAATGATGTAAAACTACAAATTAAAAATGCTGCTATAAATTCTTAGTATAATCATGTTTAGAAATGAAACAACATTTCACTCAAATGTACTCAAATGTTGTAGGAGGGCCACAAGTGTATCAGCATTGTAACTGTTTCATGCCACCCTTGATAAATAAAGTTGGGATGATTGATGGATTGAAACAACAAGTAATGCTACATCAGAGGTAAGGAGTTTGTTACAGCCATTAATTACTCCTCCTTAAGCTATTTTTAACTTTGTAAATTTGGAAACTTATCACTGAGGTAGGAACTTACTACTGGGTTTAATGAGAAGAGTGAATGGACTTAACGGTGGCTGGTAAGAACAAAACAGAGTCACAAAAACTACAACACAAACACAAACTTGTAGAGTTTTGTGTTGTGGATTTTGTGATTCTGTTTTTAAGTTTGTGTTTGTGTTGTAGGTTTTGTGACTTTGTTTTATTCTTACTGGCCACTGTAATGGACAGTTAACTGACAATAGCAGTAATTGAATAATTGACCACATCATTCCAATTTTTAAACTTTTAAAAGTTAGAAGTGTGTCAATAAATGTTGTTACAATGGTTGAAAGACTTTGCTGTACAGAAAGTGTTTGATGAACTAGAAAAAAAGAGGAGAGTGTAAAAAGACTTATTCATTCTAAGTGGATGTCTAAGCATTGTTTTTATGGTATGAGGATGTGCAGATTTTGAATTAGAATATATAGAAAAATAATAACATGCTAGGCGAAAGTAGTGTTTTACACTTGCTAGAAACAACTAATTGAAAATTCTTACAGTGCAGCACTAAAATTTCATAATGCATCATGACCCTACTTCAAAATCTGATTGATAACTTGTTTAGGTAAAGTTTGAATGTGTACTTTCAATTGCTAAGTCATGAGACTGCATAAACTTTGAGACAGAATAACAGAAGAAACCCATGCTCTATTCCTTTTTAACCCTTTACACCTTAGCATCAGTATGCATATTCTCCACACTGTTCTTTATACATTTCCTAAGGCACTGACAAGGAGAATTTGTTTGCCGATCTAAGGGTTCTTCTCACGTTGATCATTTACTTTATTCTCATGACCTAAATGTGTGATTAAGGGCTGATATTGTAGGGAGAAATAAGAAGCTAGTCAGTCTTAGGGTTTAAAGGGTTAAGTGGATCTGTCATTCTTATTTTCATCAAGTGCGCTAAACAACCACCATCTGAGTCCTCTTATTGATTGACAGTGGATGAAGGATGGTGGAATTTGAAGTGATGCTCAGTTGTTATTTATCAAATCAAACACTGTGATATGACAGTGATCTAAATCTTACAGAGTGTGTTGTTTGTTTTCTTTAGGCTCCTGTGGGTGGAGTTACATAATTGATCACATTGTTGTGGTTTTGCTGTTCAATGAACCTTTGTGCAAAAGTTGTTGACTCTTGCTGTCCTCGTCAGAGTAAAAATTTACCTATGTTTTAAGTTTTGACAATCTATTCTTTTACATCTGCTTTGTAATAAGTAACTGGAATTTTTCTTTTTAATTCCACACTTCAATTGGGTGGATTAAGCTCAGTATGTTTTGCTATCATTGATCTGCTAGATAGGGATTTATCAATTTTTTAGACTAGCCTCATACAGTGTATGTCCTCTATGCAACTGGGGCCTGTTCTGTAAGACTATGACACTCAGCTCTATCAAAATGTTGTAACTTAATTTCACTGTGACGTTGGATCAGAATGTCCTCCATTGACCCATAGGACTTGCAACAAAGCGGGATACAACCAAAACATCCTAAAATTAATCTTAAAAAGCATGGCAAAATCAGCTACCAGAAGCCGAGGTTTGACTTTATTTGAAATAGTAAAAAACATCAGTTACCTAATGCACAGGAATGCTTGACTGTAAAACTGATATGATATCATTTACAATTTTCCCACTGACCAAAAGATGATAAAAAGGCATTTAATTGTCACAATGTACTAACAAATTCTCTCCCTCAAACAGGTGATGCCGATTGACTCCAATGCTCTGCTTGACACATTGGAAAAGTACCTCAGAAAACATAGGTAAATGTACATAGATGATCCTTCTAACATCTGTTGATTTTTTCTACTGAGTTCCTTAATGTCCAAGTGCCCTGAATCCTTTCACTCCAAGATCAAAAGATCAATTCTCTGCTCTGTACTTCCTACATTTATTACAAGTTTGGCTTTGATAATATTTTGTCAATTAAAACAATATACCCGGCCAAGTTAATCTTCTCCTTTCTTTCTGACATCACCTTTTTATTTGAATTTGTGTTAATATTGTAAGGAGAAATTTCTTTTTGGTCACACTAGGGAGTACATGTACATGTGCATGTTTTATTTTACCATGTAACTCCTATAACTGACATATTATATGTGTATAGTATGGTAATGCTGTTCTACTTTCAACCAGGAGACACATGTGCAGTGTTCAGACAAAAGCTGTTCACTTGAAGTTCATCATGATTACTTAGCTCAGTGTATCTTATTTGTTGTTGTTGTTGTAGATTTTGTACTGAATGTAAATCGAAAGTTTTGAGGGCATACAGTATTCTGGTTGGAGATTTGGATGGACCAAGTGAAAAGGGGTAGGTATGAAGTGATGTAAAGACAATAATATAACTGGTGAGAGTGCTTAATTTCCCAAGCTGTGAGCCCGGTTTGATTGTAGACTTGTTGTGACAGAAGTTTGGATGGTTTTTTGGCCTTGCTAGGGGATTTTCTCCCGGATTCTCAGGTTTCCTTTCTTGACAAACCTGTGGTGCAGGTGTCTTAATAGGGGTCAACATTACAAGCTTGTGATCCTTTATTCCACTGCTCATGTTTGGTTTACATGTAGCACTAGAGTGGATGGAAAGGGGGCCTCTCCTTTCTTTTGACTGTTGCTTGCCCCCTTGGTACAATTGCTTTTCTCTCCCCAGCATTTCCATTGCTGTAAAAATCAAAGATGGCAGCTTAATTTTCATTAAGAAAATACTGAATACTCACCTACACCTACACCTACACCTACACCAACACCTGCTCTGCAGGCTATTGAAAAACTGATAAGCAGATTGACATGTTCTGTCCTTTTTGAACTGTCTCATAGATTAACAAGCAATGTTTCTTTCCTGACTCATTTAGTTACCGTGCTACTTTGTATGATGGTCTTAAAAGCTGTTCTCAAGAGCAGCATGTCCATGTACTGTGTGATACAGGCTACATTGCACATTTAATGGGATGGGCAGAACCAGAGCTGGCTGGAGGGTATGCAATACTTGTATCCTGCTGTTGTAGCTCATGACAAGGCTTTTCAAAAACATCATTATTTTTCATGTGGTTCTGGCCACCTACTTTTTACTTTTCATTTAACTTGGTTTTATACAAGAAATGAGGCTGATTAGTAGAGATGAAAAGCTTTTCACTCACAGGAGCTTTAAGGAGCTCTGTTGCTATAGGTTGTTTCTTGTAGTGTGATATTGCTGTTGGGTGGAAGAGTGTAAGGGTGCTATCCCTTCCCCCCGTGTGCTGGGGAAGAAGTGGTAATTTATCATAATAAAAAGCTAGGGATGCTTAAAAATGCCTGTAATGCATCAGTGGAGAAGCACCGCCAACCCCTCTCTATAGAGAGAACCTTGCTTAAAGCACTACTTCTTTTAGATTCGTTCCTTTAATGTTAATGAGCATTTCCTCGATTTTTCTTGGGCCTAATGTTTGGTTTAGCAGTGATACCTTAGTGAGAAATTAGATGCTAGTCACCCTCAGAGAATAAGTATGTAGAAGGTGAGTAGGTGTATATTGTCCATACCTTTCGCTTTACGTTTCCTAAGGAAATGACGAGGAGAATATGTGAAACAATCGGGAGCTTCTCATTTTCTTTGTTATCATGACCTTAATGCTTGATTCATGGATGATGCTGATAAATCAGAGTCTAGGCGCAGTATTGGTTTAAGGGTTGACAAGCATTCGTGCTGTAATCCCAGCTATTTTCCTTTCATTTATTGACTTGAAGTGATCTGTTGTAGGTACGTAGCAGAGTACAATAAATGGTCCAGGATGGTACACCAGAGTGGAGACATGTGTAATCATGGCAAAGATTCTTCGACGCTAGGAGGAGAGGAAGGAGATATATGTACAGATTGTTTGAGTGGGAGCCCAATTAGTGGTGGATCTCCACAGAGCAATAATGGAAAGGGAAGAAAGAAGAAGGGCAAAAACAAGGAGAAGAAGGTAAACATATAAGCCTCCTATCCACACCCCTTCACGATGCTTGATTAGTTATCTCTTTTCACTCCCATCAGCGACCAAGAGAGAATTTCTCCTAACAATATCAATACAATCTCAATCAGACAAGTGATGAGAATAAAGAAAAATATCATTTAGGGGATTATAAGTTGATCCAATATCAAATTCTCTAAACTAACATCGCAAGAACTGTATGGCAGACAGTTAGGAGAATTACTAATGAGATCTTGGGAGTTAAAGGGTTATTGTGCGGTAGTTTCAATCGTCATGCAATCTTGTCACTCTAACCAAGGCGGTCACGCTTTTTTGCCGCATGAAGCTTGCGTGACTTAAGGGAAGATGCCAAATGTAATTTTGCAAATCGTTACTTTGTCCTTCCTCACCGTTAAGTCAATGAAAGTATTCACTCATTCATTCATTCATTCATTCATTCATTCATTCTAGTCTTCAATATTGTTTTTATCTATCTCTTTAGCAAAACTCGCCGAGACATGAAAAGCAAGAAAAGCTTGTAGAAAATATTGATGACGAAGAAAAACGGCTCCTGAAGCTAATGGGTTGGAAGGATGGAGGAACAGAGTCAATGGTGAGTTATTTTTAACTATACTTCCGTCGCTCTATGGCGATTTAGGTTTTCCCTGGGATCCAATACCCTCAAGGGTAGAATATCCCCTGATCTCAAACTTCCTGTTGCGTCACGATTTGTGCTTCTTGAAAAAGAAAGCTTGAGTTTAGATAGTCTTTTTTAATTTTTATGTACAGTCTGCATAATCATAAATTATGCGAGAGGTTACGTCACACAAATGTAAATTGGGATCGTGAACAACTGGACGCTTTTCTCTAGATTGGTATACTATCGATTAAACTTTGTCGCCTTTCTCCATTTTACATCATAGGAGTGTTTTTCGTCGGAGGAAGATCTCTGTATATCCGAGTAGGAAATTCTACGGTTCAAAGCGAACCAATTGTCAGTGTCACAGCAGCGACGGAAGCTTCGAGAGAAACTTCGCCAACAATTTAACAATTTGACGCTTAAGGAGGGTCTTAACGTCGCTATTGTTCATTAGGCCTTTTTAAAAATGCACTCGCAACAGAAGATGGGGAGATGGGCGATAGGGAATGGGCAGCGGATAGTGGGGATGGGTGGGAAAGTGACTGCACTAGAGAGACAACTTCCCTGCCCGATCCATGTTGGTAGAAAGTAGTCACGGGTTTCTGTAGTTACGGTGGAAAGATTATGTATGCGTGTGTGTGATGTTGTTTATTGTATGCAAGTGAAGTCCGCAAGGTGTGCAGCGATGTAACAATGTTAATAAGGTTCTCCTTTGTTTTAATTCTTTATTTTAATTTTACTCCCTGATTACACTGTAAATCAGGATGAGTTTATGTGAAAACGGAAATAAATCTCTTGAATCAGATACTGTCAGATATCCAGGCTGAATCTTTACTCGACTTATAAAGTCTTTGTTTTCAGTCGTTTTCATCAGAAGCAAAATTTATTCACTTGTCTGGGGAATTTCCCCCGCTATGGACTTCTAAGTGTCATTGTAGAAATACCAAATAGTAATTTGCGTTTGCGGCAAAAGGAAAAATGAATTTCAAAGACTGTACCTTTTTTAAATGGGAACTCCTCTTTTGCTTGCTCTTACCTGTCCTTTGAAACTTATTGCTATACTTTGCCCCTTGCTCGAACTCATGATAGGGCGCAAGTGTCAGCCGAGATGTTTGATGGGATATTTCTTCCAGAACCTGGTGAACATCTCTTTAATTAAGGATTTTATGCCAGTGTAATGAACAATTTCAATTAAAATTGAGGAATGTTAGAGATTTTAACAAGATAATTTGAATTTTTGCTTATCTGCCCTTCGTCAATCTGTTTCTATGTGTTAAACGGATAGGGCCTGATGCCCGAAAGTGGTAGATCTTGGCTCGGTTTTACTTTATACCCATATCTTTAGTAACAAGTAAAGTTCTTATCGAGGCCAAGAGTTTAATAACCAATCACCAAATCAAAATGAGTTATGAAGCAATCAACTGTCTCTAACCTCCTCATCTGACGTGTGTGGGTTGGTCACGGAGGGCTTCCTTGGGAAGGTGTCGACTTCACCCGAAGGAATGGGCAATTTCAACGGAAAAGTTACCTTTGAAAGGTATTGTTCCCCTTTAACTTCGTTCCTAGTGCGTTTCTTCTACGTTTACTCAGTAACTGACTTTAAAATGCACCTTATAAAATGGAGAGCCTTTCCTTTCTCTCTAATGACTCAGTTCTAAAATTTGTCGAAGATGTGAGTTCGTAATATTCCAATGTAAAACCCTCGTACCTTAATCCTGAGCGTAAACGCACCAAACAAAAGAAAACAATCCTTTTCGGGACGGTAAACAAACGGGAGTGGAGAGAAGCGGGACCTTGTCTACGTGAGGCAGTACCCTCCCCGCCAGCGTGAAACGAATGCGAGGTTTCCCCTCTCCCTCCCTCCCTTCCGTTTCATCTGGGAGGAAGGGTGGGGGTCATTAGCATATACACAGCCTAAGGGGAGGTATCCTAAAGGGAGGTATCAGGAAAATTTTATTGTGACACGACCAAAATCCTTCAGAAGTTAGAGTACTTTTCCCTGGCGTATTTCAAGAGATTTTCAGTTTCCTCCGTTTCAAACTGAAAATGCTAACTTCAAAACAGGATATATATTATTATTGATATATTTCATTGGAATCTATATGTTAATAGATCAAGGTAAATAAGTCCTTCTCATTTTGTCTTATATTTAAACTTAACGGAAATGAAAGCAAAATAGAGTCTAACACAAATTTCTCTCCCTATAAACAAGTACGGGTAACGGTCTCTTTTCATGGCCGGTTCAAATAAATGCATTCTACGCGCATTTTTTAGAAATACAGATCCGACCCGATAATAAATGGCAATTTCCTTTAGAATCACGCTCTTCTCAAACACGCTCTGTAAAAGTCAGCGATTGGTCGAGGCCATTCTGAAGGTCAGCCACTCTTTCGAAAACTGATTAAAAACATGTCTGTCTACAACTGCATAATAAGCCTTTGAGTGTGTGAGGTCAAGGTAAATTTACACGATTCTCAGAAATCTTACATAACGAATATGCCAAAGACAACTCTCATGTAATTGGTCAATATTAATAGCATTTCTATCGCATGACTACTTTGTAATTTGTTTTACGCTTGTTTGATGCATGAAACGAAAGCCTTATCAAGCCTTTAATCATGGATATCAAAACGTTGCTCGCCAATCTTCATGAAGAAGTATCCTGCTCTGTGTGTATGGTCACATTTACTGAACCAAAGCAGCTTCCATGTTTGCACAGCTTTTGCCTCCACTGTTTAGCAGGAATCCAAAGAAACAGCGGCCGCCATGATGTCATAACATGTCCTGAGTGTCGAAGGGAGAGTCAAGTCCCTGGTGGAAATCTAAAAGATCTGCCCACAAACTTTCGCATCAACAGCTTACTAGATGTGTTGGCCATAAGGGACTGCAATTCTACTGGAGTCAAATGCGGAAACTGCGACAAACGCAGAGTAGAAAGTTTCTACTGTTTTCAGTGCTGTTCATTTTGGTGTGACGAGTGTATCACTGTGCATAACTTACTCCGAGCAAATAAAGACCACCGAGTTCTTGCGCTCAAAGATTTTGAAGATCAAGACATCGAGGATGTCTTAAAACGACCAGCATTTTGCCCACGACCGGGCCACGAGAAGAAAGAATTGGAATTCTTCTGTAAGAAATGTGAACAAGCCATTTGCAGTTCCTGTGTTGCAACCACTCACGATGGACATGTTAAGATACTACTGGAAGAAGCGGCAAATGAAAAGAAATTGCAAATCCTGTCTGAGACTGAATCCAGAAAAGCTAAAGTGCAAAGAATGAGAAACAAAATATCTCAACTTGACGAAAGCTGTGATAGAATCCAAACCCAAGTCGCAAAAGTAAAAAGAAGCGCGCAACAGTTTGCCGAAAGCATGATTGCTGTCATCGAAGCCAAGAAACAGGAAATCTTTTCTGAAGCGGATCATGAGGCACAACAGTACCTGGAACGTTTGCGAATACAAAGGATCGAGATTGAAAATAAAGTAAAAATGGTCGAAACAGCTGTAGGAAAATCTGAAACACTATTACAACGGAGCACAAACGCAGAGCTTGCACAGTTCGATGACTCACAAAACACAACACTCTTGAAAGGAGCTGATAATGAGAGAGAAGAAGTCGACTGCAACCTTGAATATTTAAGTGAACTTATTTTCGAGGAAAACGAAGCTTTGAAGACAAAAGCAATCCACGAGGGAATCGGCTCCATCAGAGCATTTCTCAGCGAGACCAGAGCGGATAAAGCAACTGCTGAAGGAGGAGGACTCACTGAGGCGATCGTTGGAATTCAAGCGAAATTTGTCTTGACGACAAGAAATGCTGAAGGACGACAATGCCACGACGAGCGTGACCGAGTAACAGTGGAAATTAAAAATCAGCAAGGCCATGACTGTGCGACGGAAGTGCGAGTCCAAGATATTAAAGATGGTAGCTATAAAGTGGGTTATTTTTCCAAAGAAACTGGAAGATGTAAGGCAGAAGTTAAACTAAACGAAGAACATGTTCCAGGCAGTCCATTTCCGGTTCGAGTGAAACCCAGACAATTCAGACCCGTGCTATCTTTTGGACAACGAAGTTCGTCTGCTGGAGTGTTACTCAAACCCTGGGGAATGGCAGTGAATGAACGCGATGAAATTGTAGTGACTGAACTCGGTAACAACAGGGTTCAAGTATTCAGTAGTGATGGAACTTACTTACGAAGTTCGTCTGCTGGAGTGTTAAAAGCACCCTGGGGAGTGGCAGTGAATGAACGTGATGAAATTGCAGTGACTGATGATGAGAACAACAGGGTTCAGGTATTCAGTAGTGATGGAACTTACTTACGGTCGTTTGGTAGAAAAGGTAATAAACAGGGAGAATTTAATGGCCCACGCGGAATAACAATACATGAGACTAATAACATTATAGTCGTGGACAGCGGTAACGACCGTGTTCAATTGTTCAGTGAGCAGGGTGAGTACCTGAGCCAGTTTGGTGGTAAGGGAAATCGTGATCACCTGCTGTCTAATCCTCTCGGTGTATCTGTAGATAATACAGGCAATATTATTGTTGCTGATAGCGGTAACAAATCAATTAAGATCTTTTCTCCTGACGGCCATTATTTAAGTAAATTCGGGGGTGAGGGTTCTTTTACCTTTCCCTTTCACTGCGTACAATATGAAAAATATCTGATAGTGTCAGACAGAGATGAACATTGTATCAAAGTGTTTGATAGAAATGGTAATTTTTTATACAAATTTGGAAATGAGGGGGAAGGGGATGGAGAGTTCAATAACCCTCGTTGTTTATCAGTTAACAAGACAGGACACCTGTTGGTTTGTGATACAAATAATCACAGAGTACAAGTATTTGAGCTAAGTGGAAAATTTGTAACAAAATTTGGATCAAAAGGAGAGAAAAGAGGAGAATTTAATCGCCCTGTCTCTACTGCAGTGCTCAGTGATGGTCAAATAGTTGTGTCTGACGGTTGGAACCAGCGCATTCAGATATTTGAATAGACATCACATTACTATGCCTTACCAGATTTGAGCTCATATTTTCAAACTTTTAAACATGAAACTGCTTTCAACACGTGATTTATATTCTCTGTAAGAATCTTCTGAATGGTCAATGAAACTACAACACTATAGTTTCAATTAATGCTGCATCCAAGATAAATATCTTGTTACACCTATTTTATATGATATTGTTAATTAAGGAATTACAGAATTTACTACTATTGTTATAAAACAGATCATCTGCTTCACTGGTTTAACTCAGAAAAAGGCTCCAAAGTCAAAAATTGTAAAGAATCAAACGGTAGAAATGTGTCAATAAAGTATTTGTGATTGCATTTGCAAACTTTGCTGTATAGTAATCACTTGGCAAAAACAAAAAGGAGTGATTTGAAACTTTCCGACTGATTTTAGTCCAATATATCTGGGAAGGTCACAATTATACCTCATTTATTATGAAAGAAAGCTAAGATGAGAAAAACCTTAAAAATTTTTTAGGATTTGGGGTAGTTTCCGCCGTTCTGTCTATTAAGATTTCGGGTAATTTTTCTGCCGCTTCGTCTCTAAGGACTTGGGGTAATTTTCCGCCGTTCGGTGTTAAGGATTTTGCGAAGTTCTCCGCCATTCCACCATTCTGTCATTCCACCGTTCCGGTGTCCTAGCGGATTTAGACCCCCCAGTCCAAATCCGCTAGCGGATATGAACCCCCTCCGCAGATTTGGACCCCCCAACAGAACCGAGTGAAAACATCATCCTTAACGTTCTCGTAGAAATAGATAATACTTTCCGTTTCAGTGCGTACTAAAGTATGTTTTTAATTCAAAATATGCGTATCGCCGATGCATACGAACTGGCAGCTAGAAATGACCCGTCGGATTTTTCTTTTGACCAAGGGAAAATGTGCAAGCATTTTGTTCAATGTTCGGAGAAAGGTCGTTTTTGAACCTTTTCCGCGATAGTCGAACACCGCTAGATTAAGTAAGAGACAAACTTATGACACTTATTTATTTTGTTATTGTTCAATGCCCAAGTGTTGAGACGACATGGTACACTGCAAGTTTGTTATTTCAGATCCCTCAACAGTTAATAATCGTTAAAATTAGAAAATAAGATTGAGTTCGATGAAATAGTCTCCACTTTTGTTAAGGCGTAGACATTAATGTTGATTTGCATCTGAAAATAAGCTGAGAGTTCCAATAGTTCAGAATAGAAACATTTTTTCTTATAATAGGCTTTACGAACGACTTGTAGTCGGAGTTGTTACTTCGTTCTTGTTCAGAAACTGTTTAATGTTATTTAATTAGAAAATTGGACTGAGTTATTTTTGTGACTGGACGCAACAGTCTCCACTATTATTATGACGTTTCGTATCAATGTTGATTCGCATCAGAAGAAGCAAAGATTTATCGTTACAATTTCAATCGTTCGAATGCAGTAGTTCTAATAAATGCGACAGGATTGGAGCGAAATGGCTGTTTTTCTTTACCCTTATTGAGGAATGTTGTGTTGTAATTGAAAAGAACATCGACAAAAAGCTTGCAAATAGAATTAGTTATCAAATATGATAAAATCGACGCTTAAAAGAAAAGTTTGGTAGGGGGATCCAAATCTGCGAAGAGGGGTCCAAATCCGCTGTGACACCGGCTTTAAGGGTGCCCTTTCCGGTGAGATGTCTAAAAAGCACCTCGTGGAAGGTAGCGACCGATCAAATAACGTATTTGCTTCAATCTCATCTGCAATTTCCACATAAATCGGAAATGTCTCGTAATTGCGGAAGTTCTGGGTGAATTTCAGGGAACGCGGTTCGATCAGCTTTAGACACCAGTTGTTTGTTTGCTTGATATGGAGGGCGCCCTCTGGGTTTTTTCACACAAGAGCAGTCATGTTCACGATGAGATGTCCACATAATGAGTTGTTTGAAGTTGAAATAATTTTTTGTCGAACTGAGTTTTCTCGGACTTGATAAAGTATTCTTTTCCTTACCGAGAGGACCCATTTGGGATAAATTTCTTCAAAACCCTGGTCGATATCATTTTGAATTGAACAGAAAGCTCATTTTTGAATAAGCTTTTGTCAGACTGTCTTACTTGAAAGTCCTTTGTCATGAAGTCGACAGACTGTTCTCAAGAAGGAGATATGATAATCCATAAGCTGAGACAAAAAACAAAATGACCTTTAGGAATACTGAGAAAATGACCAGCTGGTAAACGCCATGACGTCATGACACCGAAGGACAACATGCGACAACAAGAACAGCGCACGTGAATACGTTTCTCGGCGAAAACAAAGCGGATCAATTAACTGCTGAAGGAAAAGGACGCACTGAAGCGATTGTTGGAATTCAAGCGAACTTTGTTTTCACATAAAGAAATGCTGAAGGACAATGCCACGAGAAGCGTGACCGAATAACATTGAAAATTAAAAATCGGCAGGGCCATGACTGTGCGACGGAAGTGTCAAGTTACAAGATCAGCTATTTCCTCAAAGATAGTGAAAGGTAAGAGACAGTAGTGAAAGTGAGCGAAGAACAAGCTCGAGGCAGTCCCTTTCTGACTCTAGTTAAACCCAGACAGTTCTGTCCTGTTTTATCTTTTGGCCAACGAGGCTCGTCTGCTTGAATGTTAAACAAACCCTGGGGAGCGGCAGTGAATGAACGCGATGAAATCGCAGTGACTGATACTGGTAACCACTGGGTTCAGGTATTCAGTAGAAACGGTGATAAACAGGGAAAACTCACTCGTCCCAGAGGAGAAGCATTTGATAAGAATAATAACATTATAGTGGTGGATACTCTTAACAGCCTTGTTTAACTGTTCAGTGAGCAAGGTGAGTACCTGAGCCAGTTTGGTAGTAAAGGAAATCTTGATCACCAGCTGGATTATCCTCATGGTATATCTGTAGATAATAAAGGCAATATTATTGTTGCTGATAGGTATAACGAATCAATTAAGATCTTTTCTCCTGATGGTCATCACTCATGTAAATTCAGGGATGAGGGTTCTTTTACCTTCCCCTCTCACTACGTACAATATCACAAATATCTGGTAGTGTCAGATGCAAACGATCATTGTATCAAAGTGTTTGCTGGAAATGGTAATTTTCTTTACAAATTTGGAAATAAGGGGGAGGGGAATGGGGAGTTCATTAACCTTCGTCATTTGTCAGTTAATAAGGCGGGACACCTGGTGGTTTATGAGACTTCAAACCACAGAGTTCTGGTATTTGAGCTGAGTGGAAAATTTGTAACAAAATTTGGATCAAAAGGAAATAAGGAAGGAGAATTTAATACTGTTATCTCTACTGCAGTGCTTAGCAACGGTCGCATACCGGTAGTTGTTTCTGACTATTTGACCCATTGCATTCACATATTCAAGTAGACATAACATCACCTTGCCCAAACATATTTGAATCTAATTCATCAAATCTTTCATACATGTAACTGCTATTGGCTAGTGTTTTATATGATCCGCAAGAATCTTCTCCGTGGTTATCAAAACTTCAGCAAAACCTACAACATTGCAAATTTCAGAGAATCTCCATTAACTTAAGTGTAGTTTTTAAGTTCATCTTGTTTACAATCTTAGTTTGATCAATCATGGAACATATTTTAATATTTTTCTTTGAGATCAAGTTTATAATGATGTAAAACTACAAATTAAAAATGCTGCTATAAATTCTTAGTATAATCATGTTTAGAAATGAAACAACATTTCACTCAAATGTACTCAAATGTTGTAGGAGGGCCACAAGTGTATCAGCATTGTAACTGTTTCATGCCACCCTTGATAAATAAAGTTGGGATGATTGATGGATTGAAACAACAAGTAATGCTACATCAGAGGTAAGGAGTTTGTTACAGCCATTAATTACTCCTCCTTAAGCTATTTTTAACTTTGTAAATTTGGAAACTTATCACTGAGGTAGGAACTTACTACTGGGTTTAATGAGAAGAGTGAATGGACTTAACGGTGGCTGGTAAGAACAAAAAACTACAACACAAACACAAACTTGTAGAGTTTTGTGTTGTGGATTTTGTGATTCTGTTTTTAAGTTTGTGTTTGTGTTGTAGGTTTTGTGACTTTGTTTTATTCTTACTGGCCACTGTAATGGACAGTTAACTGACAATAGCAGTAATTGAATAATTGACCACATCATTCCAATTTTTAAACTTTTAAAAGTTAGAAGTGTGTCAATAAATGTTGTTACAATGGTTCAAAGACTTTGCTGTACAGAAAGTGTTTGATGAACTAGAAAAAAAGAGGAGAGTGTAAAAAGACTTATTCATTCTAAGTGGATGTCTAAGCATTGTTTTTATGGTATGAGGATGTGCAGATTTTGAATTAGAATATATAGAAAAATAATAACATGCTAGGCGAAAGTAGTGTTTTACACTTGCTAGAAACAACTAATTGAAAATTCTTACAGTGCAGCACTAAAATTTCATAATGCATCATGACCCTACTTCAAAATCTGATCGATAACTTGTTTAGGTAAAGTTTAATGTGTACTTTCAATTGCTAAGTCATGAGACTGCATAAACTTTGAGACAGAATAACAGAAGAAACCCATGCTCTATTCCTTTTTAACCCTTTACACCTTAGCATCAGTATGCATATTCTCCACACTGTTCTTTATACATTTCCTAAGGCACTGACAAGGAGAATTTGTTTGCCGATCTAAGGGTTCTTCTCACGTTGATCATTTACTTTATTCTCATGACCTTAATGTGTGATTAAGGGCTGATATTGTAGGGAGAAATAAGAAGCTAGTCAGTCTTAGGGTTTAAAGGGTTAAGTGGATCTGTCATTCTTATTTTCATCAAGTGCCCTAAACAACCACCATCTGAGTCCTCTTATTGATTGACAGTGGATGAAGGATGGTGGAATTTGAAGTGATGCTCAGTTGTTATTTATCAAATCAAACACTGTGATATGACAGTGATCTAAATCTTACAGAGTGTGTTGTTTGTTTTCTTTAGGCTCCTGTGGGTGGAGTTACATAATTGATCACATTGTTGTGGTTTTGCTGTTCAATGAACCTTTGTGCAAAAGTTGTTGACTCTTGCTGTCCTCGTCAGAGTAAAAATTTACCTATGTTTTAAGTTTTGACAATCTATTCTTTTACATCTGCTTTGTAATAAGTAACTGGAATTTTTCTTTTTAATTCCACACTTCAATTGGGTGGATTAAGCTCAGTATGTTTTGCTATCATTGATCTGCTAGATAGGGATTTATCAATTTTTTAGACTAGCCTCATACAGTGTATGTCCTCTATGCAACTGGGGCCTGTTCTGTAAGACTATGACACTCAGCTCTATCAAAATGTTGTAACTTAATTTCACTGTGACGTTGGATCAGAATGTCCTCCATTGACCCAAAGGACTTGCAACAAAGCGGGATACAACCAAAACATCCTAAAATTAATCTTAAAAAGCATGGCAAAATCAGCTACCAGAAGCCGAGGTTTGACTTTATTTGAAATAGTAAAAAACATCAGTTACCTAATGCACAGGAATGCTTGACTGTAAAACTGATATGATATCATTTACAATTTTCCCACTGACCAAAAGATGATAAAAAGGCATTTAATTGTCACAATGTACTAACAAATTCTCTCCCTCAAACAGGTGATGCCGATTGACTCCAATGCTCTGCTTGACACATTGGAAAAGTACCTCAGAAAACATAGGTAAATGTACATAGATGATCCTTCTAACATCTGTTGATTTTTTCTACTGAGTTCCTTAATGTCCAAGTGCCCTGAATCCTTTCACTCCAAGATCAAAAGATCAATTCTCTGCTCTGTACTTCATACATTTATTACAAGTTTGGCTTTGATAATATTTTGTCAATTAAAACAATATACCCGGCCAAGTTAATCTTCTCCTTTCTTTCTGACATCACCTTTTTATTTGAATTTGTGTTAATATTGTAAGGAGAAATTTCTTTTTGGTCACACTAGGGAGTACATGTACATGTGCATGTTTTATTTTACCATGTAACTCCTATAACTGACATATTATATGTGTATAGTATGGTAATGCTGTTCTACTTTCAACCAGGAGACACATGTGCAGTGTTCAGACAAAAGCTGTTCACTTGAAGTTCATCATGATTACTTAGCTCAGTGTATCTTATTTGTTGTTGTTGTTGTAGATTTTGTACTGAATGTAAATCGAAAGTTTTGAGGGCATACAGTATTCTGGTTGGAGATTTGGATGGACCAAGTGAAAAGGGGTAGGTATGAAGTGATGTAAAGACAATAATATAACTGGTGAGAGTGCTTAATTTCCCAAGCTGTGAGCCCGGTTTGATTGTAGACTTGTTGTGACAGAAGTTTGGATGGTTTTTTGGCCTTGCTAGGGGATTTTCTCCCGGATTCTCAGGTTTCCTTTCTTGACAAACCTGTGGTGCAGGTGTCTTAATAGGGGTCAACATTACAAGCTTGTGATCCTTTATTCCACTGCTCATGTTTGGTTTACATGTAGCACTAGAGTGGATGGAAAGGGGGCCTCTCCTTTCTTTTGACTGTTGCTTGCCCCCTTGGTACAATTGCTTTTCTCTCCCCAGCATTTCCATTGCTGTAAAAATCAAAGATGGCAGCTTAATTTTCATTAAGAAAATACTGAATACTCACCTACACCTACACCTACACCTACACCTACACCAACACCTGCTCTGCAGGCTATTGAAAAACTGATAAGCAGATTGACATGTTCTGTCCTTTTTGAACTGTCTCATAGATTAACAAGCAATGTTTCTTTCCTGACTCATTTAGTTACCGTGCTACTTTGTATGATGGTCTTAAAAGCTGTTCTCAAGAGCAGCATGTCCATGTACTGTGTGATACAGGCTACATTGCACATTTAATGGGATGGGCAGAACCAGAGCTGGCTGGAGGGTATGCAATACTTGTATCCTGCTGTTGTAGCTCATGACAAGGCTTTTCAAAAACATCATTATTTTTCATGTGGTTCTGGCCACCTACTTTTTACTTTTCATTTAACTTGGTTTTATACAAGAAATGAGGCTGATTAGTAGAGATGAAAAGCTTTTCACTCACAGGAGCTTTAAGGAGCTCTGTTGCTATAGGTTGTTTCTTGTAGTGTGATATTGCTGTTGGGTGGAAGAGTGTAAAGGGTGCTATCCCTTCCCCCCCGTGCTGGGGAAGAAGTGGTAATTTATCATAATAAAAAAAGCTAGGGATGCTTAAAAATGCCTGTAATGCATCAGTGGAGAAGCACCGCCAACCCCTCTCTATAGAGAGAACCTTGCTTAAAAGCACTACTTCTTTTAGATTCGTTCCTTTAATGTTAATGAGCATTTCCTCGATTTTTCTTGGGCCTAATGTTTGGTTTAGCAGTGATACCTTAGTGAGAAATTAGATGCTAGTCACCCTCAGAGAATAAGTATGTAGAAGGTGAGTAGGTGTATATTGTCCATACCTTTAAACTTTTACGTTTCCTAAGGAAATGACGAGGAGAATATGTGAAACAATCGGGAGCTTCTCATTTTTCTTTGTTATCATGACCTTAATGCTTGATTCATGGATGATGCTGATAAATCAGAGTCTAGGCGCAGTATTGGTTTAAGGGTTGACAAGCATTCGTGCTGTAATCCCAGCTATTTTCCTTTCATTTATTGACTTGAAGTGATCTGTTGTAGGTACGTAGCAGAGTACAATAAATGGTCCAGGATGGTACACCAGAGTGGAGACATGTGTAATCATGGCAAAGATTCTTCGACGCTAGGAGGAGAGGAAGGAGATATATGTACAGATTGTTTGAGTGGGAGCCCAATTAGTGGTGGATCTCCACAGAGCAATAATGGAAAGGGAAGAAAGAAGAAGGGCAAAAACAAGGAGAAGAAGGTAAACATATAAGCCTCCTATCCACACCCCTTCACGATGCTTGATTAGTTATCTCTTTTCACTCCCATCAGCGACCAAGAGAGAATTTCTCCTAACAATATCAATACAATCTCCATCAGACAAGTGATGAGAATAAAGAAAAATATCATTTAGGGGATTATAAGTTGATCCAATATCAAATTCTCTAAACTAACATCGCAAGAACTGTATGGCAGACAGTTAGGAGAATTACTAATGAGATCTTGGGAGTTAAAGGGTTATTGTGCGGTAGTTTCAATCGTCATGCAATCTTGTCACTCTAACCAAGGCGGTCACGCTTTTTTGCCGTGTGAAGCTTGCGTGACTTAAGGGAAGATGCCAAATGTAATTTTGCAAATCTTTACTTTGTCCTTCCTCACCGTTAAGTCAATGAAAGTATTCACTCATTCATTCATTCATTCATTCATTCTAGTCTTCAATATTGTTTTTATCTATCTCTTTAGCAAAACTCGCCGAGACATGAAAAGCAAGAAAAGCTTGTAGAAATTATTGATGACGAAGAAAAACGGCTCCTGAAGCTAATGGGTTGGAAGGATGGAGGAACAGAGTCAATGGTGAGTTATTTTTAACTATACTTCCGTCGCTCTACGACGATTTAGGTTTTCCCTGGGATCCGATACCCCCAAGGGTAGAATATCCCCTGATCTCAAACTTCCTGTTGCGTCACGACTTGTGCTTCTTGAGAAAGAAAGCTTAAGTTTAGATAGTCTTTTTTAATTTTTATGTACAGTCAGCTTAAATCTTCTCCATCCTTAGCTATCTTTACTTCATCCTAGTCTATCTTTAACTTATCTTCGTTTGTCTTTATTATCGTGTTAGTATTTTGTATTCTCCGTCACGTTGTGCACCACTGAGCCAGTTGCGACTGGTCACGCGATCATAAATTAATGCGAGAGGTTACGTCACACAAATGTATATCGGGATCGTGAACAACAGGACGCTTTTCTCTAGATTGGTATACTATCGATTAAACTTTGTCGTCTTTCTTCATTTTACATCATAGGAGTGTTTTTCGTCGGAGGAAGATCTCTGTATATCCGAGCAGGAAATTCTACGGTTCAAAGCGAACCAATCGTCAGTGTCACAGCAGCGACGGAAGCTTCGAGAGAAACTTCGCCAACAATTTAACAATTTGACGCTTAAGGAGGGTCTTAACGTCGCTATTGTTCATTAGGCCTTGTTAAAAATGCACTCACAACAGGAGATGGGGAGATGGGCGATAGGAAATGGGCAGCGGATAGTGGGGATGGGTAGGAAAGTGACTGTACTAGAGAGACAACTTCCCTGCCCGATCCATGTTGGTAGAAAGTAGTCACGAGTTTCTGTAGTTACGGTGGAAAGATTGTGTATGCGTGTGTGTGTGATGTTGTTTATTGTATGCAAGTGAAGTCCGCAAGGTGTGCAGCGATGTAGCAATGTTAATAAGGTTCTCCTTTGTTTTAATTCTTTATTTTAATTTTACTCCCTGATTACACTGTAAATCAGGATGAGTTTATGTGAAAACGGAAATAAATCTCTTGAATCAGATACTGTCAGATATCCAGGCTGAATCTTTACTCGACTTATAAAGTCTTTGTTTTCAGTCGTTTTCACCAGAGGCAAAGTTTATTCACTTGTCTTGGGAATTTTCCCCGCTATGGACTTCCGAGTGTCATTGTAGAAATACCAAATAGTAATTTGCGTTTGCGGCAAAACGAAAAATGAATTTCAAAGACTGTACCTTTTAATGGGAACTCCTCTTTCGCTTGCTCTTACCTGTCCTTTGAAACTTATTGCTATACTTTGCCCCTTGCTCGAACTCATGGTAGGGCGAAGTGTCTGCCGAGATGTTTGATGGGATATTTCTTCCAGAACCTGGTGAACATCTTTTTAATTCAGGATTTTATGCCAGTGTAATGAACAATTTCAATTAAAAGTGAGGAATGTTAGAGATTTTAACAAGACAATTTGAATTTTTGCTTATCTGCCCTTCGTCAATCTGCTTCTATGTGTTAAACGGATAGGGCCTGATGCCCGAAAGTGGTAGATCTTGGCTCGGTTTTACTTTATACCCATACCTTTAGTAACAAGTAAAGTTCTTATCGAGGCCAAGAGTTTAATAACCAATCACCAAATCAAAATGAGTCATGAAGCAATCAACTGTCTCTAACCTCCTCATCTGACGTGTGTGGGTTGGTCACGGAGAGCTTCCTTGGGAAGGTGTCGACTTCACCCGAAGGAATGGGCAATTTCAACGGAAAAGTTACGTTTGAAAGGTATTGTTCCCCTTTAACTTCGTTCCTAGTGCGTTTTTTCTACGTTTACTCAGTAATCTGACTTTAAATGCACCTTATAAAATGGAGAGCCTTTCCTTTCTCTATAATGACTCAGTTCTAAAATTTGTCGAAGATGTGAGTTCGTAATATTCCAATTTAAAACCCTCGTACCTTAATCCTGAGCGTAAACGCACCAAACAAAAGAAAACAATCCTTTTCGGGACGGTAAACAAACGGGAGTGGAGAGAAGCGGGACCTTGTCTACGTGGGCAGTACCCTCCCCGCCAGCGTGAAACGAATGCGAGGTCTCCCTCCCTCCCTTCCGTTTCATCTGGGGGGAAGGGTAAGGCTACACGTAGGCCAAACGGGCCTGGAAGGTGGGTTTTAGGTGTGCGTGACCACAAGTGGATACCGTGTCTCCAGACAACCAATAGGAGTGACGAAAGATTAGGATCAGACTTTGGCTTGGAGTGGTCCACTGTGTAGTGGCGTACTCGATTTTCGGTTTTGTTTGTTACAAAGAGGCGTCGGTCCAGGGAGTAATTAAACTGCAAACCTGGCGTTTTTCAGTTCAGTTTAAGATAAGTCAAAACAAGGAAGTTCCGTCTATTTTTTATAGTGAAGATGGAAAGTTACCAGTCGACACTACCGAGATCTATAACTAACGTAACGGTGGGCGTGCTTCTCCGGCTCCATCTCGTGAAATTAACTTATTATCGAGATGATCTCTTTTGATTTTGTTCAGTCTTTCTTAGTTTTGTCCGGTACAGCAGAAAGGCCGTGAGGCAGCAAAATATTTAATTGACAACAGGAGGCAAAGATATCTTTCTTTTTTCGGAGGCATTTCGTGTCATTTTCCAATTTAATTGTATTGCCCTTAGGAGAAGTATTTTAATAAGTATAGAGCACGCACGTACTTTTAGTATTTCCATTAATGGTACAGCATTTCCAGGCCTTTGATCGAACTTTACGGAATTTTTTCAAACAAGGTTCCAGTGCTAACCAAGAAACCTTGAACACTCCTGCAAAAATCATTGGGATCGTCAGAAAGTGATTGAGATTATAAACGCCATCGAACATTTGACCTGCCTAGGTTTATATTGGTCTCATACTAATTCTAAATTACTTTGTCCAGCGAGTTGTGGAAAATCGAGTAGAGGATAAATTAGATCTCAGGAGCCATGACCAGTTATCATTTATCGCTTAAGAGGTCGAATAATTTTACTTATTTATTTAATTTTTTTTTGACTGTCTATAAGGGTGAGGGGATCACATGGTCTTCAGGGAGAAAAGAAGGGAATCATTCATCGCAAGAGACTATACACTCTCTTAGCCATCGCTAACGGTATATATTTGGCAATTTCCTTTAGAATCACGCTCTTCTCAAACACGCTCTGTAAAAGTCAGCGATTGGTCGAGGCCATTCTGAAGGTCAGCCACTCTTTCGAAAACTGTCCATCATCTGATTAAAAACATGTCTGTCTACAACTGCATAATAAGCCTTTGAATGTGTGAGGTCAATGTAAATTTTCACGATTCTCAGAAATCTTGCATAACGAATATGCCAAAGACAACTCTCATGTAATTGGTCAATATTAATAGCATTTCTATCGCATGACTACTTTGTAATTTGTTTTACGCCTGTTTGATGCATGAAACGAAAGCCTTATCAAGCCTTTAATCATGGATATCAAAACGTTACTCGCCAATCTTCATGAAGAAGTATCCTGCTCTGTGTGTATGGTCACATTTACTGAACCAAAGCAGCTTCCATGTTTGCACAGCTTTTGCCTCCACTGTTTAGCAGGAATCCAAAGAAACAGCGGCCGCCATGATGTCATAACATGTCCTGAGTGTCGAAGGGAGAGTCAAGTCCCTGGAGGAAATCTTAAAGATCTGCCCACAAACTTTCGCATCAACAGCTTACTAGATGTGTTGGCCATAAGGGACTGCAATTCTACTGGAGTCAAATGCGGAAACTGCGACAAACGCAGAGTAGAAAGTTTCTACTGTTTTCAGTGCTGTTCATTTTGGTGTGACGAGTGTATCACTTTGCATAACTTACTCCGAGCAAATAAAGACCACCGAGTTCTTGCACTGAACGATTTTGAAGATCAAGACATCGAGGATGTCTTAAAACGACCAGCATTTTGCCCACGACCGGGCCACGAAAAGAAAGAATTGGAATTCTTCTGTAAGAAATGTGAACAAGCCATTTGCAATTCTTGTGTTGCAACCACTCACGATGGACATGTTAAGATACTACTGGAAGAAGCGGCAAATGAAAAGAAATTGCAAATCCTGTCTGAGACTGAATCCAGAAAAGCAAATGTGCAAAGAATGAGAAACAAAATATCTAAACTTGACGAAACCTGTGATAAAATCCAAACCCAAGTCGCAAAAGTAAAAAGAAGCTCGCAACAGTTTGCCGAAAGCATGATTGCTATCATCGAAGCCAAGAAACAGGAAATCTTTTCTGAAGCGGATCATGAGGCACAACCGTACCTGGAACGTTTGCGAATACAAAGGATCGAGATTGAAAACAAAGTAAAAATGGTCGAAACAGCTGTAGGAATATCTGAAACACTATTAGAACGGAGCACAAACGCAGAGCTTGCACAGTTCGATGACTCACAAAACACAACACTCTTGAAAGGAGTTGATGATGAGAGAGAAGAAGTCGACTGCAACCTTGAACATTTAACATTTATTTTCGAGGAAAACAAAGCTCTGAAGACAAAAGCAATCCACGAGGGAATCGGCTCCCTTAGAGCATTTCTCAGCAAGACCAGAGCGGATAAAGCAACTGCTGAAGGAAAAGGACTCACTGAGGCGATCGTTGGAATTCAAGCGAAATTTGTCTTGACGACAAGAAATGCTGAAGGACGACAATGCCACGACGAGCGTGACCGAGTAACAGTGGAAATTAAAAATCAGCAAGGCCATGATTGTGCGACGGAAGTGCGAGTCCAAGATATTAAAGATGGTAGCTATAAAGTGGGTTATTTTTCCAAAGAAACTGGAAGATGTAAGGCAGAAGTTAAACTAAACGAAGAACATGTTGCAGGCAGTCCATTTCCGGTTCGAGTGAAACCCAGACAATTCAGACCCGTGCTATCTTTTGGACAACGAGGTTCGTCTGCTGGAATGTTAAAACCCTGGGGAGTGGCCGTGAATGAACGCGATGAAATTGTAGTGACTGAACAAGGTAACAACAGGGTTCAGGTATTCAGCAGTGATGGAACTTACTTAAGGTCGTTTGGTAGAGAAGGTAATAAACAGGGAGAATTTAATTACCCACGCGGGATAACAATACATGAGACTAATAACATTATAGTCGTGGACAGCGGTAACCACCGTGTTCAATTGTTCAGTGAGCAGGGTGAGTACCTGAGCCAGTTTGGTGGTAAGGGAAATCTTGATCACCAGCTGTCTAATCCTCTCGGTGTATCTGTAGATAATAAAGGCAATATTATTGTTGCTGATACCGGTAACAAATCAATTAAGATCTTTTCTCCTGACGGCCATTATTTAAGTAAATTCGGGGATGAGGGTTCTTTTACCTCTCCCACTCACTGCGTACAATATGAAAAATATCTGATAGTGTCAGACCAAAGTGAACATTGTATCAAAGTGTTTGATAGAAATGGTAATTTTTTATACAAATTTGGAAATGAGGGGGAAGGGGATGGAGAGTTCAATGACCCTTGTTGTTTATCAGTTAACAAGGCAGGTCACCTGATGGTCTGTGATGCATGGAATCACAGAGTACAAGTATTTGAGCTAAGTGGAAAATTTGTAACAAAATTTGGATCAGAAGGAGAGAAAAAAGGAGAATTTAATCTCCCTGTCTCTACTGCAGTGCTCAGTGATGGTCGAATAGTTGTATCTGATTATTTCAACCATCGCATTCAGATAT